ATACAATTATATTTATAAATAAACAAGAACAGAGAAAAAAAGAACTTTTATTCTAAAATATAGATAAAAGCTCAAAAAACAAGAAACTAGCTGAAGATTTGAGCAGAAGATGTAAGTAAATACAATTATAATCTCTGTTATTGTAAATAATCTAATCAATATACACACAATGATAGACAGTGATTTTCTTCACTATACTTTTATAAATACTCAGCTAGTAGAAAAGTATAAACTTCAATGTATTTCTTTTTCTGAATTATATAAACTGAGTAAATTCAATAGCTCTAGAGAATCTATCTTCTACAATATAGTAAGATTCAATATCAATATAGAAGAATATAAAAAGAAGAGTGTTTTTATATATAAAGTATAGAATTTTAAATATAATTAATACTTGATCTGTTATAACTTACAGAATTTGAAATCTTATTAAATATATACAATCACTGTCTTATTTTTTCAGAAGATGACTGTATCTATAAAAAAAATATTGATAGAACTGTCAATTTTATTCAGATATTGACAGAAGTATTCAAGTTATTAACTCATCAAATATATGAGAAAAAAAATATTCAGATGTTCACTGCTAGTATGACAGATATCAAAAAGATATTAGAAAAATTAGAGCTCAAGAATTTCAAAAAATCTCACAAAGAACTCTCTGAAACATACAGAAACTTTATAGATATATTTAATAAAGAAGTAGTTAAAAAGCTTCTCTCTCATCAAAAGTATAATATAGATTATACAATCAAACTTATTAAGAAAGATAATAAGAATTTATAATCACTCTGAGATTCTCTCTACAGTATATCACACAATAAGCTTCTTATTCTACAAAAAACACTCAATGAACTACTGAATAAAGACTTTATTTATATTAGTAATTCATTCACTGCAGTATCTATACTATTCATAAAGAAATTAGATAAAAACTTACAATTCTGCATCAACTATTAAGAATTTAATAAGATTATATAAAAAGACTAATATTCTCTTTTACTCATCAATAAAACACTTGAATAGATAGAAAAAGTAAAATGATTTATGAAACTTAATATCTCTGCAGTTTTCTATAAGATAAGAATTAATAAGAGCAATAAATAATTAACTGTCTTTTATATATATTATAGACTGTATAAGTGAACAGTAATTTTCTTTGAGCTAGTGAATATTCTCAGTATATTTCAGAAATATATCAACTGAGCTCTATAAGATCTGCTCAATAAGATTATATCAGTATATATAAACAATATTCTGATTTTCACTGATGAATCATTCACTGAATATCACAAGTATATACAACAGATACTCAACTGTTTACAAGAAGCAGAACTATAAGCAGATATTAATAAATATAACTTTAAAATCAAGTCTATAATCTATCTAGAATTCATCATCAAAGCTGAAAAAGATATATAAATGAATTCTAAAAAGATGAAAGTAATTCTCAACTGAGAGATATCTATCTCAGTAAAAGAAACTAGAAGTTTTCTAGAATTCATCAACTTCTATCAAAGATTCATTAGAGACTTCTCAGATATCATACAACCACTAATGAATTTGATATAGAAGAATACTATATTTCAATGAATCATTGAAGCAGATACTGTTTTCAAGAAATTGAAGTATATATTTATAATCATTTCAATGCTGCAGTTGTTTGACTCAGATAAGTATACAATTTTTGAAACAGATGCTTCAGATTATATAGTAGATGAAGTATTGATATAATATAATAATAAAAATATTCTATAATTCTGTATTTTCACTTCAAAGAAAATGTCATCTACTGAATATAACTATAAAATTTATGATAAGAAGCTTCTGATAATTATATAATATCTTAAAAAATGAAAATCTGAGCTCATGAGTATTGAGAAGTTTGAGATTGTCACTGATTATAAGAACTTAGAATACTTTACAATCATTTACAAGCTCACAGAGAGATATATATACTGATTACTATTTCTCAATTGTTTCTCATTTGTAATTCATTACTGATCAGAGATAGAAAATACTCTTACAGACACTCTATCTCACAGAGAATAAAATATATTCTCTGATAATTTAGATGACAGATGAAAGCACTGAGAATATCAGTTAATTAATCTCATAATTATAGAAAGTCTTATATAATCAGATAGCTTTTATATATATATTAATCTGTTCTGAGCTCAGAAATTTTTACTCAAAAAACAATGAAAGTAAACAGCAGAAACAGATAAATTCTGATAACAAACTGTGAAAATTATATAAAATAAAGTATCTCAATTTCTTACAGATGTATACTCAAGAATGAATATTTCAGCATACTCAATTAATAATAACAACTGTTTATATTTTTAAGATAGATAATAAATTTCTAATTCAGAACTTTTATAAATATAGATTATATAAAATATTCATAACTTATCAATAACTGAATATTCAGAGTATAAAATTATATACAGTATTATTATCTGAAAATTCTACTGATCAGATATATTAAAAAATATATATCAATTTATATACAATTGTAACTGCTGCAGCTCAGTAACAGTCTGATATAAGTATTAAAAAAAAATATTAAAATCTCTATCTATTTCTGAATAAACTTGATATGATATAGCTATTAATTTCACAGTTTTCTTATCTAAAAGTAATAATTTTACAAATATTCTAATTATTGTTGATTGTCTCAGTAAGAATATAATACTGCAGCTCTGTAATAAAATAAATACTGAAATTATTATAAATATCTTCATCAGAAGCTTATTCTATTATATATATAGTCTATTTTTATTCATTATATCAAATAGAAATAGTCAGTTTATAAGTATATTTTGAATCTGTATATATCAGCTACTGAAAATTGAGTGAAAGTTGTTAATAATATACTACTCAGAGATCAATGAAGTCACTGAAAGAATAATATAGATAGTTAAAAATATTCTTCAAAAGTTCTGTAATTATATATAAAATAACTGAAGCAATCTGCTGCTGTATATTGAGATTGCTATAAATAATCAAGATTCTACTACAATAGATATAAGCTCATTTTTTCTTCTATATAGTTATAATTTAGAGATTCTGAACTTCTCTAAAATTCTCTGAGAAATTATATATATCTGCAGTTCTGTACAGATAATAGAGAATATAGTCAGTAAGTTTAAAAAAACTCATAAATAAGCTAAAGCTTCAATAATTAGTATTCAATAAGATTATAAGAATCAAATAAATATCAGAAGAAATTCTACAATTCATTATAGTATAGAAGACAAAATCTGATTAGATTTCAAGAATATAAGAACAGATTATCTCTCATATATATTGAACTATCATCATATCAAATATATAGTAGTAGAAGTGTTAGATATTCACAACTATCAACTGAATATCTCATCTGATATTTATAATATCTTTCACACAAATCTGTTTTAATTCATAGCTGAGGATTCATTCTCTTTGCAAAAAATCTTCAACTGACAATCATCTGTCATTATAGAAAAAGACAATGAATTTGAATAAGAAATTGAAGCAATTCTCAGCAATAGAATCAATCATCATCACCACAAATATCTTGTTAAATAAGTAGAATATAATCACTCAATCTGAGAATCTGCATTTATTATAGAAGACACTGTTGCACTCAATGTCTACAAATTCTCACTCATCTCAGTAGAGAGAGATAATATGATAGATTAACATTTATTAGTAGTTAACTTACACAACCAACCCTCTATCACTCATTCACCCTCTTATATACTATTGTATAATCTTTAACAATTCCTCTGCATAACTCTTCTGCTTCACACTCATGTAGTCTCTAACAATTTCTTTATATAATTCTTAACATTCTTCCACTCCATACTTCACTGCAGCATAATCTTCAATATTCTTTCATTTCAATTCTTCTTCTATAAGAACTCTTTTATACAATCCCTTCTTCTGATTTTTCTTCTCTTTCTTTTCTTAATCAATTCATAAACTGTTATCAGAATAGTGTCAAGTCTGTTGATATTGTCATTGAAACAGATCATACAAACTGCACAGATGATATGAATGGTTTAATCTGCAACATCAGTAACATCTGCTTAATCAGTAGCACATTCATTACACTAAAAAAAGAAAGAAAAAGAAAAGAAAAATGTGCAGAGTATATATGAATATATATATATATATATAGAATTAGTGATAGTGAGAATATAGCAATAAAAGATAACAATAAATGAAAATAATATATAAGAAAATAGTAAGTGAGTGTGAAATAATAAGCAAGTGCATTATAAAACTAAACAATGTCCCACTGAATCTCAGTGCTATCTTTTGCAAGCATGACCTTCTCTATAAATACTGCCTGTTTATCATGTAATTATTGAAGTTAAAATAAGCAATTCAATTCATCTTTATTGTATTTAGAGCAATATTTGAACCTATTCAGTTTCAATATAATGAAATCTCTGCAGCAGTCTCAACAGTAATTCTATTAATTATATTACTTTTATAAATAAAGAGCTCTCTATTCAGAGAAATAATATTCAACTCATTTAATAGTATATCAGTTGCAATATATTCTAATTAAAATATTTTATTTTATTTAAAAATCTGCTATTCAGATCATAATCTGTGGAATGGTTAATCTTTTTATTGTATAATCACTAGCTAACTATATAGAGATGTCATCTGAGCAACTAGTACCCAACAATTTTAAGATTTCACAATAAAATGACTTAATCAAATGATATTCAAAAAAGATTGCTAAATAGAAACAAACTGAGTGGTTAAACGAGGTCTTTGGCGTGTGTATGTGGTATTACACCAAAAAAGAAAACAATTTTTATCGCAAATCCGGAAAAGTATCGAATCACACAAGATAAAGGAAAAGGAAAAACTTGTATGCAAAAATTCGAATGTGAAGATACCGTCCCCAAACGTTCCACATATAAACCAAAGAAGTGATCTCGTGGTATCAATATATAGCTCATGCAACATGCCATACTTCTAACCTCGAATCAGAATTACCTCCCCAAATCCAAACTCGGCACAATAACCGGTCCGAATTTAACAACATTTCCATAGGCACCTTCCCCTTGCACCAAGAAATCTACCGCAAGACTCAACTTGGGAAACGAGCCCGGTGCCGCCATCATTCCCGGTGTTGTTGGACTCATTAACCCGTAATTCGTCTGTACATTTTCCGGATCATATCCCACGATGGCCACGTAATTACGGCGGCCCATGAGTTTGCGGTGTTCGCGTGGTTGACCCGTGACATCCGTCTGGAAGATCTCCATCATGTCTTCCTTCGTGTCTGTGACGGTGCCAGGGGTGGCTCGTTGGCCGTTTGCGGGAATGTAGAGCGCTTTATTACCGCCGTGGAGGAGTTTCATGACATAGGATGGTGGGGGCGTGTTGACGACGGAGGAGGAGATGATCTGGTATATGGTTTTGTGGTCAGTTGGGTGCGAGGGGTCGTGGACGAGGCCAGCGCCGCAGCAGTTGACAGCGCCTGAGAGGAAAGTCATTCGGATGCTCTTTTGGTGGGCAATTCCTTGGAGGGTGCGGATGAGATAGGTTCGTTCAAGATCCTGGCAGAGAAAGGTAAATAAATTATTATCGTATTGACAGCAACTAAATAAATGATAAGAAATTTACCTTCGAGTCATGAGTCCACTGATCCCGCAGTTCATCGAGGATTTCAATTTCACCAAACGGACTCAAAACGCTACCCATTAGTCCGGACTTGCCAACAGCTCTTTTTACAGAGTTGAACCCAGATCCCACTGCGTTCTTAGCGCCCACAACACCAGCAACGGAGCTGGTCACTTTACCGAGGACATTGTAGGCTCCAGTAACAGCTTTTTTCCCGGTAGCTATCGTCTGCGCGAGGTGCTCTGTTGACTCTAACCGTGGGTATATAGGTGGTACGGAGATCATCCAGATGCAATGTTGCACGCTGGGAGGTAGCGTTACAACTTTGGGGAAGAGACCCTGATAGGTAGGCCCTGCCATGACTTGATGGGGGTTTCTTTCCGAACGGCAATCAGGCCCTACCACAGCGATGGCAGGGCCAAGGAATTTAACGAAATGCCACCCTGTCCCGGTTATAGTAAAAAGGTCCATATCGTTGCTTACATGGCGCAAAATCTCTAAAGTTGTATGGTGCTGGAAAAGGAGATACATCTCGATGCCGATTCTGCCAATGTTCTTGAACATATTCGAGAACTGCATGTGGTCCGGATATGAACCGAACCCGTCGAAACTGAAAAAGAAGGTATATTAGAAAAAGGTATGCAATCAAACTGTGCGAACATATATTGAATGGGGAAAAAGGCATACATATCATGATCATCAACTTGTAATACATGAGGAATCTGAGCAAATGCTTCGCGCATGTGCGGTTGATCAAAGTGGCTTGTATAGTAGTGGAAATACGCATGTGTAACATCCTCCTCATGGGCGGCCGTCCACACTGCGCTTTTCCTCTGCTCCTTGCCGCTAATGGTAAGCCATTGTTTGAGCGATGGGATCTCTTTCCAAATCCGATCGGCATTGATCTGGCTTCCAAGTCCAAGGTGGACATGGAAGCCTCCGCATTCCGTATGTTTTTGCATGATATCTTTCCACATGTATCCAGCACCACCAAGGCGGGCCCTCTCATTGGCACTCACACTAAGGGAGAAGTCGTTTCCAGATGTTGCAATAAAACGCCAGTTGGTTTCATTACGACCTGCGACGAGGAATTCATATCTTGTGCATCCTAGGTGCGAGGTGATCGCATATGTCCATTTGGCAGGGTACTCTTCCATGGTCAGATCAATGCTATATTTGTAGAAAGTCCACCGCTGGTGCGTTGAAATTGGCAGTCCTTTGAGTTGTCTCGGATTTGGAGACAAGTCCACGCTCTGATGAATGTGGATAGTTGGCGGCTGGGGTGCATCAGTTACCAGTAGAATTGAGCCCAACCAGAGTCCACGTTCCATGTCCATATTGGTGTAGCGAAGATAAGGGCCAAAGTATACTCCATTGGTTGGGGCAACTTTATACAATTCAACGCCGCTGGCAGGTGGTGGGCCAGTGAAGGCAGTACTCATACTCATAACGCTTCCCTCATACCCGGGTGTCATAGGGAGACCCGGTGACCCTAGTGGATGTCCAAAGGTAGATAGTCCAGGCGATGCCAACGGATTAGGCCCAAACGTAGAAAGGCCCGGGGAAGCAATTGTGTGGCCACCAAAAGTGGTGACTCCGGGTGACATGGGTTCATTCAAATTGAGAGGAGTCGGCCCCTTCGGAAATTCCCATTGGGTAGATTGAGAGGGAAGGTGAATGTAATAGTATTGTCCGGAGTTGGGATCCAAGTGTGCAATCCAGCCTTCAGGGAGTGGAGGAGGGGAAGCTGGGGAGGGCCCAGGAGGTGCAGGCGAGCCGTTAAGAGGAGCTGGTTGGACACCAGGATGTCCATTCTGGGTATTTGGTTGCGAAGTGCGAGGATCAGCTTGTCTGGGGTCATTGGCAAATGCTGGATGGCCCTGAGTACTCGGAGCAGGAGTGTGGGAATGGGGTGCCAGAGTAGATGGCGTCATAGCTGCATTGCTCATCGCGATCATTGAGGCGGGATGAGCGCCTGCGATAGCGACAGCGCCTTGCTTTTCATTTGGGTAGCTGTGGGGCGCAGGCCCGCCAGGTCCTGGTCCACCAAGGCTGGAGTACGCGGGAGGAGGAGAAGCAGTCAAATTCATTCTCTGGAAATCTTCCTCTAGTGGGTTGTGGTTCTGATGGTAGCCAGCAGGGTGGCCTGGGGGTGGATGGCTGGCCGGGCCTGAAGTCTGCGGAGGAGGCACGGATGTGGGAACGGGTCCCTGATATACGGTTGGTGGACCATGCGGTTGGCTACCGGGTAATTCTGTCGGCGTCCATGGTCTGGGAGTCGAGTTCTGAGGTTGGGAGAGGTGGGTTTGTGTTTGGGGAGCGGTATACTGCTGGGCACGCTGTTGCGCGGCAGCACTCTGGGCCTGGAGATTGGTGAGAGTCGAAGTGCCGGCGATTCCTGCTGCAGCGTATCGGGATTCAATATCGGAGCGACCTGGAGGCACAATTGGGGTTTCTGGTGGAGGAGGAGAGCCGCGGTTTGCTTTCGTCGTTGAGGTCGAGGCGGTAGAGCCGAGACGATTGACCGAATGGGTTGGCTGTGGGGCTGCTAGGCTCGACGAAGCCAGAGCATTGCTTTGCGAATTCCAGTATTGCTGGGGGACATCGGGATACGAGTTCACCTCCGTAGAAGGTTTTCTCCGTTGTTCTGGCATGCCTCCAGTGTGCGCGCCTCCTCCTGGTGGGCGCTGAGGAAGTTTTTGAAACAATCCTTCTTTATCTGATGTTTGAAGTATTGGAGACTCCGGTAAGGGCTTTGGGCCAGTTGTTCCTCTTCTCTCCGCCAGACTAGACTGGGCTGTCTTCGAATTTCGTCTTTCCCGAGGCCGCAGAGAAGGAGGTATGTCAGCAGGACTCGATCCTCCTGAACCAGAATAATGCGGCGAGGAGGGTTTGGACGATTGTTTTACAGTGGAGGGCAACGGCCCATGGTCAGGATAAGGGGGCCTGGTATTGGAGGGGCTAAAGGATTGCATATGATGCGGCCGTGGACGGTCGTCTGGGTATGGCAGGGGGTTTTGCGGGGGTGGGCTTTGCGGAGGCGGACTGAACGCGGAAGGCTGCGTGGTATTGCCAGCAGTTGGGCGGGGGGAGGGAGTATCTCGTTTGACAATTCTCAATGGGGAGACAGTCGGGGGGTCGCGGTCAGATGGGGAGGTGAGAAACATTTCGTCGTTCTGATCCATGCCATGGCGACTCATGGCGGGCGGACTGGCGCTGGTCGCAAAAGAGTATAAAGGTTTGCTTCAAGCTCTAGGTAGCTGTATAGTAGACGGGGAAAGAAGCACAGAATATTTATTTATAGAAGTCCGCACAGCGGAGGTTTCTGCAACATGCAGGCTGTTGCGGGCGCTTGGAGATGGTGCGAGGGAGACGGAAGCAAGGCGCCAGGTAAGTGGGGTGGATGGAATCTGTGGTTAACTTAGCCAGCGGTTGGTTAGCGCAATGCAGAAGGAGATATAAACTACGTTTTCAGAACGTATCAACACGAAAGCGGGGATATATATGCGAGTTTGTCCAAAATCAAGAACAGGAGATGAGAAAACAGTCAGAGAAGATGAAGAGAAAATGAATCGAGGCGAGGTTGAAGCAGTCAACGAGGAGGAGGAGGAGGCTGATTGTGTGTATGTATGGCTGTAATGATGGTATGGCGAATACGACAGGCTGAGACTGCACATGCCAGGCCCTACCATAGCTGGGCACCTGGAAGCGCCAATGACGTCTCCATACCCAGCCAGAGAGGAACCGTGCTGGTTGCCACAGGTGGCTGAGACTGCGCCTTGGGCCGGGAGTTGGGCGTCAATATCCGAACGGTGTGGAATATCGAGGCCCTGTGTGGAGGATCAAGACGGATATACGAAGACAAGATCACTGCAGCGTTCCCTCCAGGTCCAAACTCTGGACAATGGTTTCCCCAGACGGCAGAATAACCTTATCCGTTCCGTGGATGGTCCGGACGGGTGCCTGTGTGTACCGTTGTATTGTCCCGACCGTACCCGACCGTACCTGACCGTACCTGACCGTACTTGATTCCTGCAGCCAATCACGTGCTGCCGTTGCTGCCTCGACGACTCGGGTAAGCGCCGGGACAAAAAAGTTGAATGTCGGATGGATGAGTGGGATAGCCAGCGCTTGTCATGGCGAGCAGTTGCTGGCCATCATTGGCCTGTCTGAGGCCCAAGACATTTTGCGGTGGAGTCTGCAGCGGGATCACACACACAGTCCCGCAGATTGAGGGGGTGCATGGTGAGAAGTAAGACTGCCATTCAAGAAAAGTCTTATGGATATCCTTGTATTTACCCTGCGCAACATGCATCTGGGCATTGGACGGCTTTGTGGGACCTTTGGAGAAAATTCTTCATGAATTGGAAATGATGCAGAAGCAACTGGCCATGCTGGAATCGACCAAGAACTCGCGTAAGGGGCCTGCCTCAACAGGACCAGGGCCCAGTGTGGTCATGAAAGCTGTTCCCTGTTGAAAAGGTCACCAGCAAATAAGAACGGCCAATGTGACAACACACCGGCTGCGAATGCTTGGATGATGACCGGCGGCAAGAACTAAGTGCTGTTTCGCACGCTTCTTCCCGCCACGTTCATAAATGTCACAGGAGCATAGGAATGGACAAATTTTGCTTTGCCAGTGCACCCACAGCTGCCGGTTCTACCACCCAGAACTACAATTCGTGAAAGCTCACAGGTTCAGGCAATCATGCCGAGATCTCCGAGCTTTCGTGCGCGGACTGACAGAAATGTTGCTCTAGCCAATGAGACGACGGATGCCGTGTAGTGGCTAGAGCTAACCATATTCCACCCCCGACGCACTCAAACACAGGAACACTGTCGTCTCAAGAACGAACCCACGATCATAGCGAGATTGATAAACTGGAAATCCACCAGCATCGAGCCAGCATTTTACTACGCAGATCAGATACTGGATTTCACCCAACTCTTCCCCCCACCCTTTCCTACCCTACAACAGTCGAATAGGCGGCTGACCATTTTGCCATGATGTTCAGGAGCACGACGCATTACGTCCCTTGTCCCTATCCCTTCCCAAGCAAAAGAAAAAATCCCAGCCTGTTAAATAGAGTTGGGACTTCTACCAAAGGGAACGAGATTTCCAACCAGATATTACTCGTCTCATGGAAGTTACTGAAGATGACGGTGTGTCCTGAGACCTGTCGAAAGAAACGACATAGACGCATCAGCGCTTATTTGGGATGGCGATTGTAAGGAGATTAATGATAAGGAAAACGACTCATCCTGTGTTTCCGAGGCTTAATGAGTGTCAGTATTGGCTGCTCCCTCGGGGTGCTGGGGATAACTTGGTAAAATCTTCGGAAGGAATACCTTGAAATAACATTATATTTCTGGTGAATAATTGAAAATTACTATATACTGTATTCCACGCCGCTGCGATTTAGATAGAACGACCAGGCTTGACATTAATATGAGGGAGTGGTATGTACTAGTGGGGCCGTAGGCCCAGTGGAAAGGAAAACATTTAACACCGAAGGTGAAAGTATTTGAACTGTAATGGAATAATAAGGACGAAACTCAACCTGACAAACTCCAACGCTACAAATTAATTCAGAGACTGGATAGCGAAAAACAAATAAACAAGCAATAAAAAAGTGAATATGAATATGGAAATAAGAAATAAAAAGGGTATAAGGTAGTATGGTAACTAAGTACGTGGGACAGATGAACGGCAATTGAAGAAAGAGATGGGATGAAATTGACACAGCCAGATAAATATGGACCAGATATCAAAAGCCAAAGGGGAATCAAAAATTGGAAATGAACAGGAGGATAAAAAGCCCATTTAAAAAAAAAAAAGAAAAAGAAAAATCATAGCCCAAAATTCACCATCTGCAGGCCTTGTTCAATCATAATTTCCATCCAATCCACATCCAACGCATGTCCCTTCCGCATGTATCCCTCCGTCTGTCTCTGGAACACAATCTGCAGTACATGTCTCGTCGTCGTAACGTTGCGACCAACAGACTCATTCCCCTCAATACCAGAAAGCAAGTCCAGCGCGAGCATTTTCTGCGAGCTGGACGAGGACGCCACACCCGCCATGAACAGCGGGAAAACGATGAAGCGCAGATCAAAACGCCCTGCGTGTACGATACTCGAGGCAACGTGGAGGATGGCGGTGGTCCGTTGGGAAATTTCGAGCGCGGGGCCACCGCCGGTCTCGATGCTTTGGCTAGACCACATGCTGGTATATGAGTAGATGAGGCTGGCGTGGAAGAGAGTGGTGGCCTGCGGAAATGGAAGGTAAAAGTTAATTTCACTGTTACCATTCTAGCAAGGTACATTAAGGAGGGGCATGAAGGGAAGAGTGGGAAAAACGAACATGTTGAAGCATCTCCTTCGACCGACTGGGGAGCAAATCCATTTGTTGTTCCAAGATAGCAAGATTAGAAGTCTCCCATAAATGCCGTAGTGCTTGCTGGATTTCAAATAGGCGCTTTTCCCTATCGTCAAGCATTTGAGGAGGGAATACATGGGAACCACTTGAATTTGCGTTATTAATTAATGCTCCATTTGCATAGGCGCTCTGTGTACGGAATTCAGATGCCAGCAGCCCCAGGCGGACCGCCAGGACGAATATGTCATGGTTAAGCTGCAGGATGGTGGGAAGTATATCCATCTCCTCCGGATAGATAACGCTTGTCCCATCCTGGCCGAGCGGGTAGAGATGGTATCCTGGAGATGGGATCATGTCGTTTTTCAAGACCGTCGCAATGAATTCTCCCGTTCCTGTACCGCTGAATAACGCATATAAGTCGATGGAACAAACCCACCAGATGATAAAAGGGAATTTTTCTGTCTTAAAAATCTCATTTCGCATTAAGATGATTCGTAACAGTCGTTCCAGATGGTGGGACCAGAGGTTGGACCCTCCTGGTTCAGCTGCAGCTATCTAATATGTGACTTAGAGGTTATTTTCTTAGCAGAAGAGTTAGGGGAGTGACAGATACTTACCTCGTAAATTAGGAGCAAGAAATGGGTGAGGAACACTCCATCCGAGGAGAGATCTTGATGGCTGCGCATACTGGTTTGTAAGAAAGGAAGAGTTTGCTGATAGTGTTGTAGAGCAGCGATGCTTTGGCCCTTCCCTTGATGGGACAAGCTCAGAGCAGAAACGGCCATCATGGCGTGGAACAACTATTGGTGGAGAGTTAGTATTTGAGCCCAGGGGCGTCGAAAAAAATAGCCACTTATTAGACAGGGAGGTTACCGGGCGAAAAGTGGCCGCCTCCTGCTCAAAGATATCTGAGCCAGGAGCATTGCAAACGTCATAGACTGGAGATTCACAGCGAGAAGCTGTTTGCACGAGATGGCTCCAGACCACTCTCCTAAAATGCAAAAGTAGTCTTGTATCTTCCACATACTGTTCCGTGGTATCTATGTATGATTGATCAAATGATTCCACGGGATCCTGAACAGGCACTTCATCAACCAATTCCGCAGAGGACTTGGACCCAGACGTACTCGACCTCGACGGGGACTGCCTCATGTTAGTCCTCCAGTGGCCAGGGGATGAGATTGGAATGGAGTCCTCGAATTTCGAGAGAATGACCACATTCGGGTCACCCGTTTCTGTCAACGAAGAATTATCCCTATTGTGTTTTCTGCCTCTCTTCCTACTACCGGCATTGGTGGTATCGTCCTTACCAGAGCCAGGAGAACTCGACATGGATGTGTTGTCAGTTGTGTCGGAATATTCAGGCAGCGATGAAAAACTCTCTGGGTTCACAATAACGTGATAGGTGCCCGGAGAATATGCCTCAGCTTTCATCTCTCGTTCCAAGTCAGATGTTAAACACGCGAATGGGGGTAGCGTATCTCCTCCGATGGACGAGTTTGGGCTACTCGCGGTCAGACTTGGCGATGTTGCTACCATTAAACGTATTAGCCATGTGAGTGACGACAAGTGTACCGGGAGGTATAGAAGCAGCCGCAGAACGTACGGTCCCAGACTGCATTTCCAGCAGTGGAAACGGCCTGCATACGATGTTTGATTCTGTATGTATCGTCCCGAAACGCTAACCTTGGACTGTAATCGCATTCGTGCCCGAGTCTTGAGCATTGCTAGAGTGCAGTTTCAATAGTTTGTTGCATAAATTCTATATCTTCATGCTTAGTTGACTTACGCCACAGGTAGGATGACCCTCATCACATTTTACTGAGAACAACAATCAGCAAACCGCTCCCGCTGGTATTTATCACCTAGATGGTTGAGCAACACTGACCTTTGCGACTCTAAGCAACAGAAATCGACGGAGTCAGCAGTGAGTTTTCGTAGCCACAAGATGTCACAACAAGATATATAACTCACCCGACAGGTCCTGAGCCGAGAATCAAATGTTAGAAATGTATAACAGCGAAGGATTCAGGTTGCACAGGTCACGCAACTCCCTTACACGCATAAAAAGGATAGCAGAGAGAATCGACTTACCAGCACCCAGTCCTGGATCTTGGAGGCAAACGGACTCGAACAGGCATTTTCAGTTTCTGCTCATCCGCGGTTCCTGATTTAGCTCCGGACTCGGACGATCTCACCACGGCATCATCTTTCGGTGCAATAAGTGGAAGATGCGCGGTGTGCTTTGGTGAAGGCATGATTCGTTTGTCTGGAGTCACAACAGCGCAAAATTCATGGAGTCGACTTTCATACACTTGCGCCGTCGTTCCTCTTGAATGTTCTTTTTGAGTCTCTCATGCCCCGTTCTACCCTCGAGGCCCACTTTGTTTCCCCTGGATATGCAGTCTTGTATCAAGGGCGAGTGAAAGTTCAAGACGCAGCAGGAACAGTAACTAGAGACACAAGCAGGATCTGGCTAAAGATATATATCTATATCGATCCAAGAGATTCATGAAGAAACGGTGGCGGCCTCAAAATGGTTATGGAATGTGCAAGCCACTGCCACTAAGATGAGACAGGATCAAAGTTCGTTTCTTCAAAATCACTCAGGCTCGTCAACCGAGCCGTCATCGACTGAGATTGAGAGTACGTGGGGTTTTCTCGATCCGCTTGGTTTCGGCTAGCGACTGATCGCAACCATGAACGTCAGGCATTGATAGAGCGAGAAGGATATATATGTACGCGAAGTACACGAGGAGATTCGGGAGGGATAGTTTTGGATTTGAGCCAAGGGTTGAAGATAAAAACTCCGAGGGAATATGTGTAGGCGTGCAGGAAAGCTTTGACAGAAATGATAAACCAGAATATTCTTTGTTTCACAGCATAAAAAGGAATAAGAAGTGAAAAGAGAACGGATGGATATGCGCAAGAGACTTCTGTGGCGGGTCCACAAAAAGTTGTGAGAGATATATACTCTGTTAGTGGAGAGGAGCAGGGGCCGCTCAGATGCATAATGAAATGGTTATATTTAAATATAATATATCTCCTGTGCATTGTTCATTTTGTGAGGCTAAAACCCGCGGGAAATAGGCGAAGCCAATACCAAAAGGAGGAATTGCAGAGAGCGTAAGAAGCGGAGAGTGGAAGGAAAAATTTTCATGTCAGGGACACACTATCAATAAGGTCGGATCAATATGTTTTAGGTGAAAAAAAGTTGTCTGCAAGTCTGGATGCTTGCAGGTTTTTTTTTCTTTCTTTTTTTGAACCCCCATGCAGTGCCGGGCCTGGAGATCTGTCTGTGAGTTCAAGGAATCAAAACGCAAGACCATCATGAATAAGCCCATTATTTTCCAGGATGCCCTCGGTTTGACAGCGAACCCACGCAGGAATATCATCGCTGATCGTCAAACAGGGTGTTCTACTGCGGCGCTAGAAGGATTTCGAAGAATGAGGTGGGGTCAAAAACCGGGGATAAAATGAACACATCAGAAAAGAGACGGGCAATGGCTCCACCACCCTCTCGTCGTTCAAATTTTGAGAGGCTTTGCGTCATCGTCAACCGAGCGATCTGATCCCAACACCGAAATCCCACAGCAACGAGTTTGCTATAGGCTGAGATACCGGGGCTAAGGCATGCAGTCAGCACCGGGGCGCCCGACCAGAGCATCCCGTTGGACTGCTGGGATGCCGGCGAGGTTCTGGAAGAAAATCGAAGGGTGTCACGGACTGTGCGCAGCGAGAGCAAGTCGAAGGCCCCGGCGACATTGGCAACGCTGGGATCCAATGGGCGATGTTGGTTTGTCGGCTGAATTGGCCAAATCCCACATTGCCTGCCTGCGTGGAAAGGCTTCTGGATTCCTTCTAGAATGATTTCCGCAACCTTGTGGAGGCTTTTTCTTTCCCGCTTCTGCATTGTTGGATGCATGCACAGGGCAACATCAGGCTTGCATGAATAGGATGGTTAGCTGTCATGTCCCCCGCCCTTCATGCTACAGTTTATCTTGGCTGCGAAGTGCGCAGTGTTGTCTGAGGCCGACGGGGAATTTCTCGATTCTTCTCATGTACCCGGTAAGGCGAGTTTTTGGGGCTCTTGAGATGTATCCGAGCCATCTGAAAGAAATTATTGAGTCACGGAAATGCGGTTTGTGGCTGTTGCTCAACTTCACGCCGTGAATAGAAATGTCTGATATGCATTTCATGTTATATTATCTGTTTATTCTATTGGTAACCCGCTGGCTTCACACGATGCTGCAATAGATGACAAAGTGGGTAAAATAGTTGTTAGAATAATCATCCTAAGATAATTTTATAATAGCAACAAAATAATGGTAGCGTAAAAATCATGATTTTATAGTGAAATGGCGGAGGGGTGGACTCGCATTCGTCCTATTCTTAGGGAATAATTAGCATCCGACATTATATTGTTCTCTTAATTGCACACACGCTGGTTCTGATCCCTGTGGCTAATTAACAGGCAATAATAAGTCTCAACCACTTAGGTTGCATGCCGGGAATTGAAAAAAAATATGTTTTGTGCCATGCACGCGCTACGATGCAACTTCAATGTCGCATGCTCACTTCTAACTGGCTGAAAAGATCAGCCCTATTAAAAGTCTGTTTGCTTCGTGCAGATCTTCGTTTCCAGCTGGCAAACCCCACAACGACTTTAACCGGTGCAACGGCTCAAGAATAGATCAGATGCTGCTCTGACATGTCAGGAACAGGTAGAGGATGACCGAAAATAAAAAAATAAAATAAAAAACTAAACGAAACATGCGACAAAGCCGAAAGTCCGACATCAGACGCATTTTCATGTGACAATGACAGGGACCTCCTAGGGTAGAGCTCATTGCAGGGAGTTCTTCTAGGGCTTCGATCCTTCCACCATATCAGAGCTACCAATTTTGAGACATCCCTGCAATTCAAATGGATTTTGGCAATTTAACTGGCCTGATGGCAAACTTTAGGCGATCTTCTCCAATACTTGGCGCAGGGCCACTTGCACCTGCCTGGATCGCTCCGTTGCTAGCCACTCTTCAACTTGTTGGCGCTGTTCGTCAGGAATTTTAATTTCGATTCCGTTGCAGATTTGTATGTATGCAAGTGCGGCTTGAGCACGACTGTGCCTCGTGTTTTCCACGGACAGATTGAGGCCCCGAAACAAAAGTTGGTCGGCGAGAGAGAGTAATGCAGTCCGGAACTCAGTAGTTGATTTTCCATTGGGCAGTTTAGAATCGGGTTTTGAAACTTCTGCACCGAGTTTTTCGAATGAAGATTTCAGTCCGCTGTACATGATGCTATATATGGGCTTACCACCGTATGTGACAGCCTTGTCGATTACAGGGTTTATTTGAGATATATGATCGGCCAGTACTGTAGCCATTAGTAACGAGAGCCAGTCTCTTTGGGTCCCTAATATTTTGCATACCTGGTAAGGGAATAGTGGAATTAACGCAGTTGAAAATGCACTCCACACCAGCTGCAAGAGTTTGTTCCTCAACCCTGCAAATCTACAGTTAGTTTTAACAATAAAACTCATGAGTCTTCGATCATTTGACCCACTTTGAAGCCTTGCCGCCTGCTTCTGCATCTACCTCCATTGTGTCTTGCGTGTCATCAACTAGATCCTCAACCACTTGAGAAACAATTTTCAGAGTATCAGGCATGAGATCTAAATCATCTCGATCCTTGGCAAATTCACCAAGAGACCTGAGCGCATGAGGTCTATATGCAGAATTGTTTCGCTTAGCTTCTCTCACTACAATAACCTGCATCGTGACAGTCAGAATACGTTTGCAAACCCTGCCGATCAGGCGACGGACTGAACCAACCTTTGTTTGCTCACGGATTTCGCTATTTTGCGCCCAGAGAGCTTTTGACTTGAGAGAAAATTTGACAAATCCTTCCAGTACCATTTCTTTTCCTTCCCAAGTCTTCCCTGAAACCGCCTTCTCGATAATTGGCCAAATGCGCTCTGCTGTGCCAAGATCAATGTTGTCATCTAACGACGAAGCCACCTTTGCAGTTGCAAGGGCGGCAGTGTGTTTAATAGCCCACCGTGGTGAGCCTAGATGGATGGACACAATATCAAGTATTTCCCGAAGATACAATGATACAGCGCGAGAACCGCTGACATTATTATTCCATGTTTTTGAAAACAGCTCCGCAACCTGCGCTTCTGTATCATGCATTGCCACGAAGATGAAAGGAAGAAAAGCTGCCGAAAATGCCGCAACACGGTCGTTTGCAAGTTTAGAAATGGAGCTTAAGATCTCCCCTGAGATGACACGGTGAGATGTGTCTTCGCAACCAAAATAGAGCGATTTTGCAAACTCGATTGTTTTCAGCATCTGGTCATCTGATGCCAACCGCATGAGATAACCTATCGATGAGCTGTATGCAGCGCTGATTGTATCGTTCCTGTCAAGCACATATTTGCGCATGAGTTGAACGAAACGATCAGCATGGGGGCGGAAGAGAAAAGTTTTGGAACTGAGAATAACCAGGACACGGCTGACGCCAACTTTTGAAGGAAGGCCGATTGCTGATCGCAGAACGTCTTCCAGTTTATTTGAAACTTCCTTCATGGCTACATCATCTAGAGACTCGAGAAGATAGAGCTCTATAGCCTCCATCATTGGAGATGTTCGAATTGCCGACAATCTCATTTTATCGATGTCTTGCCCGGTCAAGCCATATTTGTCGGCGTTGAGGTGGATGTAATTGACAGCTTGTGGCTCAAGCGAGCTCAAAGAAGAAAGAAATCTCTCTAATATCTGAGGCACAAATTGGCGGAGTGTTTTCCCGGGGCTTTTCTTAATGATCTTCGTTAGAGTTGCAATTGCATAACCTTGCACTTCTTCCGCGGCAGACTCCATGCCCTCATGACTAAGCAGAAAGGGAATGATATGGTTTAGCATGACCTTTGCTCTTTTCGAATCGGAATCTCCTGACTCTAAGGTTCGGATAACAATGTTTGTGAGGACTTGACATAGTCTAAGCGCTGCTTGGCGGACAGAGGCCTTAATATCATCTAGAACCTTGAACGCTTTGGTAAGGATATCGCTAAGATATTTGTCGTACTTCTCAATAGGTCGCCCTTGGATAAGGTCAGCAATTGCCGCACAGCTCGCCTGGCGCACTCTCCACTCTTTGCCCGTCATAATACTTTTGAGCAGGTCATCCATGATGGCGTCAAAATTTGACTCGATTACGGCGTTCGAATCTTTGACCAGGGCGTTCCAAATGTCATTCATTGAGCGCTGCACATTCGAGTTGGGGTCGAATCTGTACCGATACAATTTGGGATAAAGCTTAGGATTTTGCGCGAGGTATCCATTGACGCTTGAGTCGGACAGCACGTTGCTTAATCCGAATCTGCCGAAGGCCGCACGGCTTGACCAAATAGCGTTATTTGAAGCAAGTGACATGAAGCGATAAACGAGACTCGGGTCTCCTACTTCAGATGCTAATCCAACAATATCCTTGTAAGTGGTGACGGATCCCTCGCCTGTCGGTAGGGCACCGGGCTCAAAAAGTTCTGTATCTGTGGAAATTTTCCCACCCCCGAGATTGGAGCCTTCCATTGTAAAAGATCGAACAAGATCGCGCACCAAATCATCTTTGAGGTCCTGGTTGCCCATCTCGTATACCAAACTCAAACCCCTAGAACCTGTCTCCTGCACAACTTCATCTCTGTCTGATAGGAGCCATACAAAGGTAGCTTGGCATTTCCTCAGGCGGTTTTGCACCTCCGAAAAGCTTCCACAATATTGGATTAAGCAGAGAAGCCAGATGACAGACGCCTTTCTTAGCGATGGCTTCGAGGCCTTGCAATCGACAATGATTTTGTCAAGCATTTCCGAAAGAATATGCGAGGGTATATCTGATTTCGGCCAGGCAGCGTCTACGTCAAACATTGTAATTAACGACTTCGACAACCATCCAACTGCCACTGTACACAACCCCTCTCCTACAGAAAATTGGACCTCTGGCCTCCTAATTTCATGGAGATCATAGAGAGATTTGAGTAAATATCTGAACGGGGAGCCTTCGCTGACGTCCTTGGGAAGTACCAGAGAGAGACGTCCTAAAGCCAATATCGCCGTTTCTTTTTCTTTTTTTGCTTCTTCCAATAGTTTTCTTATCACTTTATTCACAGCCTCATCTTTATTCTCCCCAGGGAACGATGTGGGGCGTAAAATAGATGCGAGACTCAGTTGCCCGATCGACACCTGAGCAGCCTCCTTGAGTGCGAGATCTCTAGAATTGTCCAACATATCAAACGTGATATCTACAAGCCTTTGGATCCGGTTTTTGGATATAGAATCTAGTCGACCCCGAAAGGAAAGGCGGGAGGATAGATGAGTCAACGCCATCAACGCACCTCGGCACTGATTAATGCCTTGACCGACCGCAGTTTTCCAACCCTCAATCAAAACGACAAAAGATTCAAACAATTGTTGCAACTGGGGGGGAGGATAATCCATGTGAGATGCTAAGATGCCTAATGCCTGTGCTGCTATGTCCTGGTTCGCAAGGTTATTTGACAGTATAGGATCTTTAAGGGATGACGCGTGAATGGCGAGAGGAGCCAGAAGGTTGTCAGATGCGAGCGCGCAAATTTCAACAAAATGAACACCACAGCGGCCTAACCCTTGACCATGCTTCCAGAGGAGACCGGCTAGAGAGGCCTTCAAGAACTCAAAAGTTGGCGCACGATCGCATTGTTCAAGGTAAGCCTTAAGGCTCGCCCTTGAATCTTCCTTTGTTGAGATAGCCACATCAAGGCGGTGTTCCCAATCCGGTTCGACACTCAGGGGAGAGCCAGCAAATTGATGGGATTCGCAAAGGAGAATATTGCGAATAAAAGCAATAGCTGGTGCAAACGAGGTTATGTAGGTGTCGGAAAATCGCATGGGAATAAAAAATTTTCCATCATTCATCTCAATATCATCGCTACTCGGATCGTTGAATAGAGAGAGTACTAATTCTGTAAACCGAGGAAACCGATATCTAGGGGGAACATCAGGTCCCATGACGGTCGAAGCTACCCAACTCCCCTCCTTGAGGGGATTAAGCATCCTATACCAGTATGGGTCCAGACCTCTCTGGCCTTCTTCTATGATTTCAGATCTCCCACTAGACTCCCCACCAATAGCCATAAGATCTATCCAGCGAGCCTGCACATCCCAGTACGGCAAGCACCGATTTGCAAATCGTACAGCAGCAAATCTCGTACTTCGGACAATACGGAACCCTGTATCGCGGTCTTCCGTGTCGGGTTCGGCGTTCATATGGTGGATTAAAAGGGGACGGATTTCATTTTGAAGATATTCAGCTGCATGATTTGCGATAGAGTTGAGGATACTCCCCAGAGCTTGTTCGATACTCACGAATATCTGACCACTTGAAGCGTCAGAGCTCAGGGACGTGAATAGCCACCGGAGCAGATCAAGATCAAACACCCGTTCCTCATCGTCCTGGGAAGTTCGGTCAATTTTCGGGGCTAGCACGCCAATGGTTTCATACGCAAGACTTCGAAGACTAAGTTCAGCAGAGCTCAGGTTCTGTGCGCTAGCGCGAGGATCAGGCCATCCCTGGTAGGAAACAAATTCTCTTAAGCCTTGAATGGCACGAGGTGCGACGACATTTAAATCCGCGGAAGAACCCATACGTGCTATCCACGTCACAAAAGAAAATATCTGGTTCCGGAGCTTCGACGCTTCGAGACCCTTGGCAGCCGTTTCATCATTCGACAAGAGGCCTTCATCAAGCAGCTGATTAATCCGCTCAGGTTCGGCGGTAGCTTTTACTGATTTACTTAGAAATCCGAGAATTTTAGCTTGTAGCGCTGGCCGTGCTGGTGGGGCCCCTTCCGGCCCTTTAGTTCCAAAGTAAAGTGTAAATAGTTCATCCACAACTTCCGCGTTTTCCAAATCTGGACGGAAACGTTTGAGTATATCTTCCCCAACATCTGAAAGACGACTATTTGGGTCAGCAGAGGCAATGACAGCACCGATAAAGCGCTCAGAATCGGTAAAAGCCCCGCTGGCCAAAAACTTTGCGAGAGAAACCTTAGTTTCGATCAAGTTAAGACCGCCAGCTGCCGACGGATTCCAAGTCTCGTCAGGCGGTGAATCTCTGTTCACAAATCTGTACTCCGAAGGAGTAAGGCCGGGACATTTCGTCGCATCCTTTCTACCGGGGAAGAAAAGAAGGATTTTAGAAAACCATTTTGCCAGGAATGCAGCGTCTTCATTCGAGATACCTAGTTTTGTTCTCAGTGCTAGATCTTCTTCGCTACCTCTTCGTGGCAGCTTCAATAAAGGTAGCAATCTCAGTAGGAGATTGAACACGATGGAGCCTTGTGATGAAGCTGAAATGGAACCTCCTACCCCGGCAATGCCCTGGATCAGATCTGGTATGAGATCGATGCGCTCATTGGCGGGAATCCGATCAAGACCCTGCTTGATATAAATAAGATCGAAATGTCTCACCAGCGGTGCATTAACATCTTTAAACTGTTTCAGAAGAGCTGCGATAGGCAGAGTGATAGATGCTGGCCGGATTCGTGTGTTGATATGTTGGCAGATAGAAATGACTTTGTTGCGCACTGCAAGACTTTCTGAAGCTAGTTTTAGGAGGAGGGGACCAAGATATGTCTGGAGAAGAGACTGTAACTTGGAATCGCTGTCTGCGAGGGCAATTCTAAGCTCGAGTTTTGATATAAGACTTAGTTCTCTGGCCTCGTCTGGTTTAGACATGACGGATTTCACTGTAGCACAGATGAATGGACAGTGGAGTGGTATGGTTATATCATGAATGGGTATTGTAGAACGAGAGAAAATGGAACTCCCTCCTGCAGGATTATCCCGCGATATGAATGCAAGACTTGGTTGTGCAACACATCCGGGTGTACGTAGACAGATAGATACCTGGCGTGTTGGTTCTTTGATAGCTTCGTGATTGGTCATCGAGAATACTGCTCGGAACTGGTCTCATTTTGAGTTAGTGCGGCTTGTTGCTTCGATCACATGATATGGCGTCTAGCAACCAGACCACTACGCCCGAACCACTTGCTTTATACATATCGCATCTGGGATGAATTTGGTACCTTCACACAATAGATTGATCGGAGCTGGCGAGGTGGGGTGCTGCTATCTCTTCGTGCAACTCATTTAGGATGGATGGTCCACATCTTGACGATCCCAGATCCTCAAAAGCGGGAAACAACTCGCGAACCTCTGGAACACTCCTGATTTGCTGGCTATGAGGTGGCTGTACCATGATATCTCTTGAAATTTTCCGCGCTGCTTCAGGATTTCTGATGCCATGCCAAATGAATGGGAGGCGTTGCTGGGGATTGGGACGTCTGTAAGATAGTATAGGGAGGTTTGCCGTCCTCCAGCAAGTTTTGTCGAAACGCAGGTCTCAGTCAACTATGAAGAGTGTTTTGTGTTTATTCCACATCAAGTAATTACATGAGGTAGTGGGAGTTATAGTAGCTAGTTTTGAAAGGCCAATGAGCCTGACATTTGTGTCAGAATGATAAACAGGACCGTGGTAGAATCAGCTGGTAGATGGACAAAACCAGTGAGGCACGTAGGAGTTCGGCGCCCCTATTTGCGGGCAATCTCTCATCATGGAGGAAATTGTACAGGAAGGGTGGAATTCTTTCAGCCCCCCTCTCTCTTTGCGGAAATTTCGACAATAGGCTTACCAAAGATACATGGCGCAAGCGGGGTGTTGATATGGAAGTGTAAAGGGAAGTCAAAGCGGCGCGGGACAATTGTTCTAGATCAGCGGTGATAGGATTATCTTATCATGAATAAAGCATTAAGGGACATAGGCTTGCAGGTGATTTCGTATGCAGGACCATGCAATGCACATGTACACATCATGCCTCTTTAATCCTTTAGCGGTGTTGTAATTTATAATTATCAAAACCAATCTGTATACCATCAGATGGGTTGCGTATTTCTGTTATCACCATAAGGCTGGAGTCGCACACATAAATTATGAAACTTTATACCCACCGCCAACGTGGTCGCACATGGCTGGGATACCTGTTCGGCCCAACTACATCATTATCGCCATTCCCAGCTGCTTCAATCCTCCCTTCCGCCGCTTCAGCCCTCAAAAGCCGATCAATATTATTTGGCACATTCCCTGAGTCCACCCTCGATTTCGCCCTCCTGTTACTCTTAGCAAACAAGCACTGCCACAGATCGTCGTCAGGAACCAGTTCTCCCTCAGCCGCAGTCCCCGCCATTAAATTGCCCAGCTTCGCATCTTGTATTTCTAGAGAGTTTGCAGCCTCAATGACTGTCTCTATAGGAACATGTCCATTTTCATCTTCATCATCTTCTCCTCCTCTTTCACCAATTCCCAAATTGTGGTTCTGGCTTTTCACACTATGCTGCCTGCGTTTTTGAGCAATGTGAGCCAGCCGCCGCGATACGGAAATATCGTAGATAGATTCCTCGACGGAATCAGATACGAGATACATCCAAACTGTTGTTTCCTGTTTCTGCCCAATACGATGAACACGGGCGATGGCCTGAAGCTCAATTGCAGTATTGATTAATGGCTCGCAAAGAAAAACGTGCGTAGCGTTGATGAGGTTTAGCCCCGAGGAATGAGCTTTCGCATGCAGGAGGAAGCACTCGACCTGTAGCAGAAAGGGATCGAAACATGAGTCAAAATATTAGACATAACATAAAGGAAGCTACCTCTTACAGAAGGATCAGTTTTAAACTGTTCAACCCCGTCAGAACTGTCAATGCTACTATATCCAATTTTGAAGTGCGAAAAAGCACGCCCAAGAATCCCCAGGAAAGGCTTATACTGCGAGAAGACAATTGATTTTGCACCCGGATCGTGTTGTCGTAACCAAATCAAATGGCGACCCAGAGTATCAATTTTTGTTCCGAAGGAACCTTCAATTTCAATATTTCTAATTTCCTTCAACATGCCTGAACTAATGTCGGAATATATCAAGTTCTCCAGAGAATGGCCAGAATCCCGGACGTGTGCTGCAATGGACTTTTCTTCCTGCGCGACAATCTCTGTGGGTTTGTAAGCAATTTGATGGAAATCGCTGCCTTTCAGGCGTATCTTGCACATCGGACAAGTTTTGTGTTGGCGCCACCAGGATCGCAGGCAGTCGCTGCAATATTTGTGACCACATACGGTCAAGACACCTAGTTATTTAAAACAAAATTAGGCAATGCTCGTACACCAAGTGGGATAACCTGGATGGGGTGGCGATTTTTACCGATTTCAAAGGTCGATTGGCATATGACACATAGTCTTCCTGACTCCTCAGCCCCAGAATCATCTCGAAGATGGATAAGATACCTATGTTTAGACTTCAATACTGATATCTTCTCCTGCATTTTGTCCTCCAAATCAAGCATGCTGTCAAAGAGAGCGGCATTAAGCGGTTTGCCTCTACTATCTTCATCGTAAGGCGCGACAGTATCCGAAATCTGCTGTAGTTGCCTATAATACTCCAAACGCCGATTCATGACATTGTGGAAAAGCTGCACTTCCTTCTCCAAATCCAGCGAAGTCTTTGCTTGCTCCGATGACATCTGGCTCGAGTCTTGCAGAATACGATTGACTATACCAAGTTCAGCACGGGCTCGAGTGCTACCCCGGGCTTCCTGCGATTCGAGAGATACCACAAGGCTACGCAATTCTGTAAGAATACCGCGAAGCGATCCGAGCTCATTCGGAGGCTTCAGTCTTTTGCGCGTCTTCATGATGGAGATGTAAACCTTAGGTGATGGGCCCTCTCCGATTTCTGCAAGATCTAACCTATTCCTAACATCATGCTCGATCAGGTGGTTTTTCTGACCCGTGATAGCGTCATGATAGTCGGCGAATAGAACGCGTAACGCTTCCATGTAGACATATACCTCATCCTGATGACGAGTGGAAGATTCGTACTCGTCGCCCTCCAACTTGGCATTATCGTCTTCTTCGTCTACTAGCGGCTCCAAGAGTAGCTTGAGAGCATGTGCGCGCCACTCAATATACTGCCGTGTAAGTTTATTCGTTGCCTCACAAAAGTCTTCAAGCTTGTCTAGAAGTCTTCGACTTTCGATGCCACTGAGATCCAGCCTTGGTGACATTTCAGGGATTTGTACAAGTCTTTTGCTATCAACTTTCGCTTGAAGCTGTTGGATAGATCGACTGGTTCTTTGATCTATCTCGGCTAGCATCTCTTTTCGAATAAGCTTTGCTGCCTCGTAGTTCTCTACCTCGAGCTTTTCCAGAGCGAAAAACTCTTTCGAGTCAGGATCTGTGAGTTCCGCATTAGTTTTGATCTGATAATACGCATTTGCAATGAAAAATTTGCAAATATGTTCGATTTCCAAGGCACTCCGGAGACGACTGCGATAAGCCGCCATCTTGGAATTCATCTCTCCTTTCCCGTCATCAGCATCACCCTCATCATCTGAGGAATTTTGCACACCACTCGGCCATGCGATCTGCTCCTTCTTACGTTCATTTTCAAGCTGAACTCGAGAATCCTTAACATTAGACTCAGCCAACGCCAACGCGGCTTGCCACAGCTCCAAGGCCTCCTTGGGCTGGCCAGCATTCTCCAGCAGCTGGCCGCGGCGAATTTGAGACAAAAGAAGTGAGCGTTCCTCTGTACGGATACGAGCTTCATTCTGGTCAATCATCACCTCCAAAACCTCTGCGACGGAGCGAAGTGGACCGCTACTCGCTCCCAAACCCTTGCGGCCAGCACTAGCTACTTCAGGATGGAGACAAGCCTGGCGAAGCCTTGTTAACCAGCGCCTCATTGCGTCAATGACGTGTTTCGAATTAAGATCCAAATCTGCTGTACGAGGGTCTCCTAATGCGTCGACTCCGCATTCGTCGCACATTTGTTCAAAAAGTTGATGGTAATGTTGTTCTTCCACTGGTGTGAACGGGATAGTTATAACAACGCGCTTCTGAAGAGGTAGGTGTAATTCATCACGTATCATATCCTTATTATGGCGCAGGACAATGCGACCAACAATTTCTTTGAATAGGGGCTTGTGGATCTCGTATAATCGAACCCATGCATCCGACCAATCGCATAATGGGTGAATATGTAGAAATGAAAGTATACCGAGCAAGTCATTCATATCCTTTCGAAGTGGTGTACCTGTTACTGCCCAAGCGTTGCGCCGCGGAATAAGCCTCGCCACCCTCGCCGCATGGCCCGCTTTAGTTTCAATCATTTGAGCTTCATCGATACAAACTCTCCACCAAAATATTTTGACCAGGGGGGATTTCCTTGGAATCGATTTCTTCTCACTGCGTAGTGAACGGTCAGGTGGATCTTCCGCGTAATGAACTTCTCCCTGTAAGATATTGAACGTTGTGAGAACAATGTCACGGGATGCTAGTTTTTGTACCAATTCCTCATCGCTCCCTTTCATGCGATTGATACCCCGATAGTACGTATATCGAAGATGTGGAGCACGAGATGAGATTTCCTGTTTCCATTGTTCAAGGAGAGTAAATGGAGTGATGATCAGGGTGGCACCGGATTCGGTAATGGCAGGCGGTTGCCGAAGTAATGGCAGGCCCTGCTCAGAAGCAGGCCTCCGGTGCAATAAAATCAGAGTGATAATTTCCACGGTCTTGCCAAGTCCCATTTCCTCAGCGAGAATACCGCCTTTCAGTGTCGTAGTACTGCTCCACTCCTTAATCTCGGAGGTCATAACCCAGTAAAGGTGACTGAAATAACAGATATGTCCGTCCGCATCTGTTATCTGAGAGAAAGAGTCGGGAAGAGCAGAGCCCGGAGGAGGTGAAGAACAATCCTGCACTTTACCATCCGGAAGGAGCTTTACACCTTCTCTTTCAAGTAGCCACCTAACTGTTCTCCTCTGGAAAGGGAAAAGCTGACATTGAACCGGTATAGTGCTTAGCGGCAGATCCAAACTTTTGGAAGGGACATGAGCACTCTCGTAAAACTCGCTAGGGCTCCAGATTCTCTTTTCAACGCGCCACTGCCGCCAATCCCGACGGGGGCGTGTGGTTTCGTGACGTTCCTGTGGCGCGCCTGGCAGATATGTTGAAAATGCTTTATTCTGCCAAAAGCCCCTTTTCCCGAGCTTAACTGTATCTTTCCAAAACACCTTTGTTTCAAGAATGAATGAAAGTTCGTTACCCTCAACCTTCCGCAGTGTGGACATTGAAAATACTGTTGGGGGATCTTTGCGCGGCGGAAAGGCTGAAGGCAGCTTCCCCGGGAGGATAGGGTCGTGATTCCATGTGTGGAAATCGAGTGTCTGGTCAAAGATGACATCCGAGCTACTAGTTCCAAGCTGAATCTTATATTTTTTCACAGGAGCATTGGATACGCCAGAGAAATCGTTTAACTTGGATACTGCTAAAATGATAACAGGAATTTTATCCGGAGTGCCATTTTCAAAGACCGAGGGGACAGCACTGGTGCCAAGTGCCGGCGAGGAAAACGTCTAGACAGAGAAAATAAGCGTCAGCTTGCGACAAAGGAGACGAATTCCACAGTCCCTCACTCAAAGGTATTGATCGTCATGCGGCTTCCCTTACTATTGTCAATTCTATGTGCGCCAAAGTCAAATACTCCGGAAACATAGACGAAGGAATGTCCTTATAATTCCATATCTTTGTGTTTAACTTCTGCCGCTTTCTTGGGTGATCTTGACCCGAGTCCGGTTCCTTCGATTTTGAGAAACACCCTTGAAGAATGTCTGGCACGGGGCCTTCATTGCATCGCATGTTAGTTCCCATTCACATAAACCTGAGATCAGCGAATAACCGTACCTGACGCGAAAGCCACATCTTGAAAAATAGACATATCAATATGGTCTCCAGATGAGCCCCGCCTTCAGTCCTGCCCCATCAATTGCAGATGAACTGTCCAAGACGTCTGACAAGAAAGGCAACAAACTAGGACAGCGCTTTTTGGGCGTCACAGCCCCGCACGTGACTGGCGAATACGGAGGTTTCTCCATGCATATAAGCACAGGTGAGCATCCAACACCGTGCTGACCATTCAAGCCTTAACGGGGGGAAGAAACCCAAATTTGGTAGGCATATTCAGTCCGCAAGGTCTCGTTTCGTAGGTGTTAAACTATGGCGAAATAAATAAACCATTCTTGTTGGGTTTCACCATTTGTGCTATTTTCACCCACCGGATAATCATGAGGGTGGGTAAATTTGATAGTTATATACCCTCTCTCTCGCACTATCTTCTAGGGATGAAAGAAATGGTTCTTGGTTACTTCCAGCCTAGAAATGTAGAATTATATTCGCCATGGTTCGCCAAATGTTTGGAAAAACCATCTGCGTTCGGCTATTTGGGCCCGGCAACTTCGGCAATGGAGAAGTGTTGCCGATCATTGAATTAAATTTTTATCAATCTCATATGTATGTGTACATGTACAGTACGACTATCACTGATATCAGACATGAGACTTCCCCCCCCCCCAATCCCCGGATCTCCTGAAATGCTTACATCGTTCGTTTGATGAGTTCTAATGTTGACGGAAATTATTGGTATCGTAACAGCAAAGTGTGAGGGATGAAATAAGCGTGGTGTCTGGGCTAACAGCCCGAGGGCTATTTTCGTCGTTAATACTCCCCATGTCCAAAAAAATATGTCTTAAGTCAAAGTCTACAACAAAGCCCCTCAGATAGAAGTTCTCCCGTTAAAATCTAGGAAGCTTCCCTAAAGTTCATGACGTGGTGAGTTTAGCAAGCTTAGTTCCCGATATCCCGGAACTGGCTAAATCGATGAACTTTCTCTGCACTGGTTTGGTTCTCCTTCTGAAACCACCTTATGAGCCAGAACTCCCAAACGCTCCATGTCTGGATGAATAGAGTTCCTGGAAAACATGAGTCAAATAAGAATTATATATACGAGGCTGCGATTTGGATTACCGAAGACTTCTCGTTTTGGTTCTCCACGACTTTTATCTACATTCGCAAGTCCTCGTCTCGCTGGCGAAGAGCCCGACTTTTACGGAGTAGGTGGTTTCCATCGTGTTGCGCTTGGAGACACCTTTGATGATGGCAGATACCGTATCCTAAGGAAGCTCGGCTACGGACAGTATTCCACAGTGTGGCTTGCTAGAGATTCCAAGTACGCCGTTTATTCTTGTGCTTTTGCATGATACAACACATGCTCATCCAGACTACAGGCATCAGAGATATGTGGCTCTTAAAATACCGAGAGCCGATTGTTACGGTGGCCCTGAGCGAGTTCTCCTCTCGAAGATCACAGAAACCTGCGCAAGAAGCAAACACGAGGGCCGACATTTCATCTTGCCCATCCTGCATCAATTCAAACATGCGGGCCCAAATGGGGTGCATGTTTGCTTCGTCTTTGATGTTCTTGGACATCATCTGTATTTCCAATGCTCAAAGTATGAGGACGGACGACTTCCTGTGCGATCCGTAAAACTAATCGCACGTCAGCTTCTCCTTGGGCTTGACTTCCTTCACACAGAGTGTGGTGTTATCCATACCGGTACGGTAAACTATATATTGATATATATATTAAATTAACCCATTTTTTTTGTGGAGCCACGGGGACTAACATCTCTCCAACTCATGAGTAGACATACACCCGAAGAATATCCTTTTAGGACTGGAAAACCCACACGCAGCAATTTCACGGCATCTATCGGAGGTCTCTCCACGGACAGATACTCGGTCTGGTGAAGTATTACCGCTTCGGGAAGTCATGAAAATTCCGCCAATTTCTGAAATCAAGGAACCTCACATTAGGATAATTGACTTTGGCGTAGGTGAGGAAGTTACAGTATTTTTCTGATTTCTTGATTTTATATCTGTCCCTCTCAATATTCCCGCGAGGAAGCTAATTTTCAAAATAGCTACGTGCAGACACGAACATCACTCACATAAAATTCAACCACCAGCCTTACGAGCACCGGAAGTGACAATAGGAGCCCCTTGGGACGCAGGAGTGGACATATGGAGCGTCGGATGTCTTGTTAGCAAACCTCTTCTTTCTCTATACATAAACCCGTTTACGACTTAACCATGACAATGATCATTTTTGCAATAGATCGTGGAGTTTATGCAGGGAATAGTGCTTTTCTCAGGGCAAGAATCAAAACATGGAGACTGGACAGCTGATGACGACCGATTAGCAAAGACGATTGAGGTCCTCGGCGCATTTCCTGCTGAACTTCTCAAGAAGGGAAACCGTACAAGAGAATTCTTTAATGAACATGGTACACATACCCAGTTCTGGGGGGCTATCATGCCAGTTCTATGTATTGATGCAACTTTTGCTACAGGGACTCTTCGAAGAATTGCGAATTTGAATCCCACCACTCTCGAAAGTATTATCGACGGACCAGAATCCCCTTTCTTAAAACCAGACGACATGCCTCATGCGGAGGTACCAATTTTTATCGATTTTCTTAAGGGGATGCTTGCAATTAATCCCGATCATCGACGGTCAGCAGCTGAGTTACTGAGACATGGTTGGTTGAAGCAGTGATGTTCCTTAAGGTATGGGGGAGCATGTAATAATGGGCTGTGGCCCAAGGCGGGGATTCTCTGCTCATTTTTGGAGTTAGTGAGTGCGGAAATAAATTTGTGACTTGTTATCTCACAAAACGCCCTGCTGGGATCTCGAGGAGAATGAACTGACGTTATCATAAAACTATGCTCTATAATTACACTGAGTCTTCATGGAATTCATGTTGCTAACTTGAAGCATTATACAACTCGTCCCACACACTGCATCTCGCGTCCACATCCTTGGAATCTATGGTTTCTAATACCTTTCTGTCTTCATCGCCTGTTCCTGTTCTTGCACCACCGCCAAACACCCCGAGTTGAGGAACTTTCTCCCATCCCGGCCCCTTATTTGGATTCTTGGCAAAATTCGCCCAAGCCTCCTGCATCCCCTTTCCAACTTCTATCTGGAACTTCGTGGCCCCTTCTTGAGGATACGTTCCAAAAATCGAATAGACTTCCAATCCATGATATGCTCCGCCTCCTTCGGCTAGCTCAGTGTTTGGAAAGCTCGCGTTAAAATAGTACCGCCATACATCAATTCCCGCGGCTGCGCTGTCATCTGTGTCTAACCTCGCTGGGCACTGGAAGGAAAAGTCAGTAAGGATGGCGGAGAGACGATGGGATTCATCGCTGATTCCTGGGGAACCAATAGGGTATGTATTCAGGATGTTTTGAATAGTCTTTTCAGGAACGCCCAGTAAATATCCACGGAGGAATCCCTCAGTGTCATTCATGCCTGCTGCGAAGGGAAGAGCTTCGTCAGCGTTGCTTCCCATCAACACCGGTACACGCGCAATAAGTGATTTTTGATCGGCCGAATCGAGACGCCTTTTGCGAGGAGAGTCTGCCCAGGTGACGCCACCATCAGGTGTCGGTCCAAATACTAGCTGTTGCCGTTCGATGATTTCTTTCAACTCCAAGGCAGGAACTGCGCGAACACATTCGAGAGCGTCATTTGAGGAAGAGCATCTAGTCACGTCCAGGAGCTTTTTCCATGCGACAGCGGGGTCAGGGTCGAGAGCCCTTATCGTGGACTGGCCAGATTGCATAATTGCAGCGCGGAAGGGAACAGGTTCAGGAGGAGCGGTAATTAGACCATCGACGCTCCCTCCTCCTGCGCTTTCTCCGAAAATTGTTATTTTCTCTGGATCCCCGCCGAAGGCTGCGATATTACGTCGAACCCAATCCAGGGCGAACCGTTGATCCAGTAATCTGGAACTCATATAATTAGATTTCAACTTTCTATTTCTTGACGAATTTGAAACTCACCCCAAGTTCTTCTCCGCTGCTGGTAGCTCAGGGGATCCAGGGAACCCAAATAGATTTGTCCGATAGTTGATAGTTACCACCACAACATCTTGATTAGCAGCCAAGCTGGAGCCGTCGTAGAGGTGCAAAGAGCCAGACCCAAAAAGGTAAGAGCCTCCATGTATCCAGACCATCACGGTCTTGGGGCTTCTGTATGAGGACGCTGGAGCAAAAACATTGAGATTTAGACAATCTTCGCTCTCTCCAGCGGGAGGCGGAGGCGTGTTGAACCACCTGATTGACTCGTTGCGCACTGCTTCCGGGTAATTGAACTGCTGGAGACAAGCGGGCTTGTATTTGGAGGCGTCATACGTCCTTCTCCATGGCGTGACTGGCTGTGGAGCCTTAAATCGAACAGGAGGTGCAGCAAAGGGAATACCGAGGAATTTATTGACGGAGCGACTGGAAGATGGAAGACAGGCGACAGTCCCCGCAATAGCCCCGGAGTCTATGGTAACCGTAGGTCGACTTTTCGGGTTATGGCAAGGAGTTGAGCTGGCAGTGAGCGCGTAGAGAAATGTAGTAAGAAGTAGGACGGAAAAATACATGGCGTTTGTTTTGGATTTTGATAATTAACTGAGGGCTTGGAGGAGCGCAGCCATGCCCCAAGAGAGATACATTTATATATATATATATATATATTGCGAGCCCTTTATATGTGAGGCCATAAGGTCTCAATCGAGCTGGAAATCTGTCGAGAATTTTACCCTAAACGAGTCAATCCTCTGCGTGGGACTCCTCTTTTCTTGGAGAAAACTTCAGCTCAACTTCAAGCCCGAACAAACTTTCACATCCTCTTTGAGGCATCGGAGAGCTGAATCAAGTACATGCTAGCCCTCTGCATAGAGCGATCCTTATGCGCCCGATTCGGAAGGGATCGCATGGCTTAGGTCCGCTTGTTCTTGTGGATCCGCGTATCTTGAGGAGAGAATCCGCCTCGGCTGAGATGCACTGGTATATCAGCAGCGTGTGCCAAACAGTCCAGCCTGTCACTTGTGAGACGCTGTGTCGTGGTTGATTTAACGTCTTGACAGCCAAGCTCCTGCTGATATCTGTTTTCCAGCATTTGCTCCGACTTGAGTTGGTGAGTTACTCAATTATTAATTCCCAGGCGGCGGTCTGCAAACAAAGCTGTCGTGAAACCTGGATTGCCATACTAGCCAATGGCATCAGAAACCGCTTCCTCGCGGGACATCCTGGCTACACAGATGATGTAACAGCGCATACGTGCTTCGAGGCTGTAACATTGCATTGCCACACCATTCTCTCCACAGCTCGATGGATGTGTGGGGGCAGGTAGTATTGTGAGATAAAGCCGAGTTCTGTATTTAAGTTACCTTCACTGATCCGCTGGATAAACAGATCTCCAAGTCTAAAAAACATATGAAAGTCTGGCAGCCTAGTGTAAGGCTTTTTGGAATTCCTAGAGAACCATAACTAGCGATCTCAAAGTCATGATTTCTCGGGCTGCTTCTTTTTCGTGACCGTAAGACTTCCCTTTCAACAGTCAACGAAATGGAGTTTGTTTTAGGCAAACAAGGACACACAATCTTGTTTGGTCCACTGCCATTCCAGGGATTTTCTTCCCGTGTCTTCTCATTCCGAGAGTTCGAATGTTATTTCATTTCTACCTAGGGATGTGCTGTATCGCATCGACATCTTTTGACGACGTCAGCCCAGATGGCGCAACGCGCTTAGCGTTGCTGGTTTTCAGGTAGGACCATGATCAGCCACCCGTAGCTGGCAAGGGCTTCCCTAACAACAGGAAATAAACAATATCAGATATCAGCACCCCACACCAGTGAATGAACTAGCAATATTTGGATGTAAGCCCATCAATCACTTGCTCGGTACCGGCATCTGTATTCTTCCAGCCTATCCATATCCTCCTTGTTACCTTGGGTTCCCATTAACGTAATAAGATCCTGCAGCGTAACAATACTTGCAGTTGGGACGCCGAATTCTTGTCTAATCTGACCCATAGCACTCATCCTCGGCTCGTCGTCGGTTTCAACATCTTTCGGCCCGGGCATTTTCTCCTGTCGGTCAAGCGCAACTACAAAGCCCACCACTTTGCCGCCTTCTTTATCCACTAACTTTAACGTCTCTCGCATCGCAGTACCGGCGGTGATCACGTCGTCTATGACAAGAACGTTCTTCCCCTTTAACGGGGATCCCACGATGCTCCCACCTTCTCCGTGATCCTTGGCTTCCTTCCGGTTGTAGCTGTAGGAGACTGAGGACCATGTCGCCGGGTCCATACGGTGAAGTTCAAGTAGCGTTGCGCACGCGAGAGGGATTCCTTTGTAAGCAGGCCTTAGGAATTCTCCAATCAGTAATCTTACGGCTTCTGCGATCGGTATCAAAAGATTTATGTGCTTGCTTACCCGAAGATTACATCGGGCTTCAGAATAGAAGGATTGGAGGCGAGGTAGGAAACGATAGTGTTAGCGTAGGCGGTAGAAATAGCGGAAAGGAGTGACGATGTATGAAAGAGGCCCGCATTGAAGAAGTAAGGCGACTCTAAAGCGCTGTATATATCAGCAATCGGCAACTCATGCGTATCAATCATGCGGAGAGTAAAAGTATATACAGACTTCGCCCGGATTTAAGGGTGAAAACCCCGAATTTCAGCACATTGGCGGAGAGACAGGACTCGAGGAAAGTCGTTTTATACGCAGGAAGGGGAGAGCTTGTGGACTGTGCCGAATACATTGTAGCAATTCCCGCTGGGTCCTCCGACTTGTTAGATTAATGTTAAATTCAAGTTCATATCATCAGCGCAAAAAAACGAGGGGAGAGGGGTGTTGGTGACTAAGCAGATCTGATAAAGTCAACCTGGGCGACTTCCAACAATCTTTTTGTAAGATATGAATTTTCCATTTTGATGACTCTGGGAAACATTCATCTGCATGGGAGTGGAGTGGATCGCCAGTATTAGAGCAACCGGGTCACATCACGGAGGGCATTTCCATCCGAGGATTCCTCAAACTTGCACGGAGAGGTTTGCGGCTAGAGGGTGATTGCAACTCTTCTTCCACTTGGAAGAAGAACGAATGGCTGAACACGAGTAATTGTCTATCGAAAACTCTCAAGTTTATATAAAGCTTCAATCGAGTCAACCACATCGTAAGGTTTACTCGAAGCACATCTGAAAAACCAAAGATTGAAAAGGAGCGGATTGGAATCCTAGTGAGTATTCAGTTGATATCGACACCTACAGAGTAAACTGCTAAATTTTCGTCAGACCCAAAATGGGAGCTCCTGCGACTTGAAGTCAACACCTGAACATGGGGCCCGCCGTTGCGCTTTGATGAAGACTAACTAGGTCTTAACTAAACACCGGGTCCAAGTCAGCTACTATTCTTAAATTTTCTAGCTAAGAGTCAATGGTCGTTTGGCTCTACATAGTAAACTAAGCACACCTATTGCCCAGACGTCACAACTCCACTAAATCAACCCCTGGCAAACGCTGGGGTAAACAAACTGCCTAAGTTTCAGTTTCTGCCAGCAAAAGTTTAGCGCTTCGCAAAGAAACAGAACCCGCGCCAGACGTCAAGTGCCAGCCTGATTGGCCCAAGCAGTCAAACTGGTCAGGGCATGGATGGGGGACGTGCTGTAGCAAGAAAAAGCAATTATGGACACAACATTTCATTTCGTTCGGGGACAGGCGCGGGGAGTTCCTTCTGTGGATTCTCTCAATCCTACTCTTGTTGATGACACCAGCAGTTTTATTTTATTTTCGTCATCCTACTCAATATGGCATTTAATGGATTTTCGACGACCTTTAAGAAGTGTATGCATTTCCAAACACCGCTTAAAACTAGCACGTTTTTGCTGACTGCCTGAGAATGATGCCAGATCTCGACGTTGTTGGGTATCACCATGTTTTGATGTTTCTTTTGCTTGTTCCAATTGTATTTCTATGTATGTTTCGTCGCCCTTCCTCTTTCGTCCCTGTTTGTATCTGTATGGAGCGAAATATTGATTTTCTTTCCAGCGGTTCTTGTCGCAGGCTGCTCGAACTCTGCTCTCATCAACGTTTATTTAATATCGTTATCATACGCTACGAATATCACCTCTTCGCCGCTTCAGGATGAACACCCAGCAAAGCTTAATCCAAATATGCCAGGGATATTCGCAAATTTAACAACTGGAGCGCGAAATAATGCAGATTCGTTTGAGATCAGGACAGGATATCTGAGCCATTGCTTGAAGCAAGCCTCAGGGCTCTGGGTTTGTGCTCGAGACATACAGCCGCTAGCAAAAGTCATCAGTGACCAAAAAAAATCAAATATCGACCCGTTAAATCTGATATATATGTCCAAGGCCTTCAAGGATCGGATGGTTTTCAGCGGCCTAATGTAGGAGTCGCCCATATTCACTTTCATCGCATGCGCTCTCCAAGAGCGGCCATCCCATGCGTCGATAATTCCTCGTGGAGAATTCACTAATTTGTCAACATAGATTTGCATCTATTCCGTTTCTATTTGTCTGTTTCCTGCTTCTCGCAACCTTTCCCACCTGGCAGGATGAAGTTGATTCGAATGGCAGCGAAGTTCAGGTCAAACCATTTCCCTCAAAGGTGGTGTCTCGTGTCACGACTGTTTTAGTGGTGCTTGCTTCCTTGTTAGCCTTTGTATCTATATTTTGGCAGCATATATCGAGCTCGGCAAGTGTTACCATGAATGAGGAGCTCTATTATGGCGTCGTCAGATCTCACAGCGGAGTAGTTGCTATGATACTTGGCTGGGGTGGAGTTTTTGCTGCTTTTCTTGTTGTCTTAGGGTTGGTTGTCATGCTTGTGAGCTTAGACCTTGTAATAAAGCTTAGCGATTAGCGATTTGGCGTGATTTTATCTCTTGTTTACGCCGTTTCTTTTCGTTTAGTCAAATCTTTTAAGTCAATATATGAGTTATGCTGGGACAACTAGTCTGGGAATTTTTAAGCTAGATGGACTCTGAGAATGCAATGTTTCAAGCTATGACCTAACAATCTATTCAAGAATATGATGATGAATAAGTAGAAATGCTCTCGTTCGCATGCAACTTGTTGAACAAAGGGTATATACTGCGAACTGCAAGAGCCAGTATTGTCAACAAAACAATGAAGACAGTCACAGCCGCTTTCATTCCTGGCGCCAGATCCCTGGTCCAAATGACTGAAAGTAGTATTACCAGCGATAGAACGATAAAAACTACAGTCGCCGTTGGTTTTCCATGGCTCTTTAAAAATTCTGCAATGCGATCCTGGTTCAATGCAATCAGAATAAAAGGGATGGATATTGCCCCGGATATGCTGACTGCTAAGTATGTTAGATACGTAAAGGACGATAGGTTGTAAAAGGCACAGGAAATTTTGCATACACATGTATCTCAAGACGTAATCCATTGGGAGCTTATCTCCTTTATTCCAAGGGAAAGAATCGATATTAATGGCGAAAAACGCAGCCATAAACGATAACGGAAGCTGAATCTCTCGATTAATTTTTAGATCGGGTTTAAAGCGCGGCAGAGGATTCCTCACAAATATAATAGTGACCACGGTGAAAACTAGCACTGTTCTGCCTTGCCGTATGGATTCATCTGCTTGCTGGCGGGCAAGGTCCGCATTCTCCAGACCCCGCTCGGTAAGGTCCTTGGTTGCTCTTGCTTGCTGCGAGGCATTTTCGGCCTGTTTACGTGCGGACAATGCTTCAGAGACATTGTTTTGTTTTTGCTTCAAGTCGAGAAGATTATAGAGCTACAAAATATTAACAGGGGGATATCATTTAGTCTGCTTTCATGCACTTACGGCTTTGGAAGTCTGGTTCGCGAGCCGTTGCATTTTTTCAACCCGATATAGATGGCCCTCAAGAACTGGAAACCGTACTGGTGAGGAATGGTCATCACTCGGATTTGCATTTTTAGGTTTCTTGTGCTCCACCAAATATTTGGAAAACTCCTCTATAGGTATTGTCTGGTCGCTTAGGATCATGTGTAAAATTCCAAGTTCGTCGATGATGTCTTTGATTTCGACAAGCAATTTTGTTTCAGCGCTGATGCTGAAGACCTCTGAGCTGGGCGTTATCCGCAGGCTTGATCGAGCCAGTCTATTTGCAAAGTCCTCAAAACATTGCGTTTCTTGGTCAATCTAGTTATTTCCGCAAGTTAGTTTGGACCACACTCTCAGAAGGGGTGAAAAACCCACCACAGCACCAATAGATCGTTCGAAGAAGTCAAAAAACTGATACTCATCCGGGACCTGATACTCATCAAATAAACATATACAAAAGCCGGTAATGAGCTGCGCTAGATCGTGAGCTGATCTGAGAGGGTCACGCGTTTTCAACCCAATGTGGCTGAGTATCATTTGGTGAACGTTCAAGGGGTCGCGTTTGAGCAATGCCAAACGCTTCTTTTCGATAGAGGACCCGCCGTTGCTACTGGCCGGAGATCGGTGATGCCGTTCCTCGTTGATTACTGATGCCCTCCATCGTTCTGTTCTAATATGCGAGTCCTTTCTGCTAAACCCCGATTTCGGTTTTTTCCCTGTCACCCAGCCAAGCATAAATCCCGATTCATTCTTGTTTTTATCCTTCATCTTACCATGGCTAAAGTGGTCATGCCCCTGTCCACGACCGTGAAATTGTGAACGATTAGCTCTGGTATCAGTATCCTGAAACGGCGGAATGTCCAAGATGGCTGGATCAACTGGTGAGGTTTCGAAACCAATGCCGGCGGCTGGTGGGGATTGACCAGACCAGACATCCCATCGCTGTGGAAAACAGCTTATAACAGTATCTGAAATTTGGTCAGCCCGTTGAACAAAATCCAAATGAAGACATCAGGTAAGTGGAGGTAGGCAATTACTGTCGTTCAGTATCCAGAGCCACAACTGATCTACCATGAAAATCTTAGGCTCTGCAGAATTCTTTAACGTGTATCGATAGACTACCTGGCCGCGGTCTCTTGCAGCAGTATCTGTGAGATGGGCATAGAAATATTGATCAAGCGTTCTTCTTAGGTGAAGTGGTGAATCTGTAGGGCTCAGTGGAGACAAATACCCTTTCACGAGATGCTCGTCGAAGGGTATAGCAGGTTTCGTGCCTTCAGATTTAGTTCTATTGGCTGTTGCATCTGCCGGTTGGCCGTCATCCCCAGGTATATCAAAAGCAATTCCACCTCCGGTGCCTCCGGGCACAGCATTAGCAGGGACGTCGTCTCCCTCAATTTTATAACCATCAGTCACAGGGAGAGCAGTATTTTGGTTCGCGGCAGAATCATCCTCGGCGTGGAGGTCCAGAGTCGCATCTGCCTTTCCTGGCTGGCCAATATGTGTCGAAATATCCCTAGCTTTTCGGCCGGGGGAATTCGAATTTTCAGCTACAGAATTTTGCGAATGGTTTTTTGCAATATTAGTGCTCGGGGATGGTAACGGTTCGGCGACCTGGGGGCTTGCTGTATTCCTTGCTGGGATATCGGTGCCTGGTCGGGCTAAATCTTCCACATGGAAAGAATTTCGCGTATCATTGCTTGTTCTATTGATTGGCGGCATTTTCGGATATCCTGTCTTGTCTTCTTCTATTTTGTCTGCCGGTGTCGACTCCATAGGTTCTTTATTTTCATCACGCACATTTCCATCACCAGAATCGATATTTTGAAACTCATATTCCTTGCCAAGCTTTGTTCGCTCTGCCTCAAGTGCGTCCTTTTCTGCGGGTTGACCTTCATCCTTAGCACTTGTTGTGCCCCCGCCTTTTTCTAGGTCGTCTTCATGGTCTGATGATTTTCGTGGTGGCTTAACAATGTGACCCGACTTTTGGAGAATTTTACTTCCGAGAGTACGAATAGTTGACAGTATATCCATCCCCCCGTGAAAAATGTTCCGAGAGTGAGAAGGCTCCTTGGTGTCTTCTGAACTGGAGCAACTGGAGCTGTATTGGCTATCTACAACGGTCTTAACTGACCTTTTATTGACTCCCCGGTCTCCTGGTCGCGCGCGGGAAATGCTTACTCTCGCCCCGGGTCTGATTCTACCATGACGAAATTGCGATACTTTTGAATGTTGTCGTTCACCGTCGTGTACAGCTCCTTCCCTCCTAATCTTCTCGTTTGTTAAAAATGCAGCCATTCGTTCGTAGCCAGCATGGGTTTCGAAGTGGAGAAACGGAACCTGCCAGGGACTTAGTAGATGGGTTCAAGAGCTGCAGCAATCATCTGGCTTACGAATAGCATGAGTTGATCTGCTTGGTCGTTTCCCAGAAACAAATCAGGGGACTATAATTCAGATATTACTAACTGTAGTAAACGGCAAATATAAAAGAGTAATGTTATATATACCTTGATTGTTCGACACAATGGCCTCATATAAGATGAAAGAGTAGAGGAAGCTCTATATCGTTGGCCAATCCCATTAGCCAGAGCTAGTTTCGATTTCGATTCTTCGCTTAGTACTATCGCGCCTGACTCCCTTTCACCAAAATGTCGGCTAACTAGAATCTGTTGATTATTAGTGTCTTGGGTCTTAGTTTTAGACAACTAGGAACGATGAATACTATACCTCAACCCATTCAATCTACAAAATAGTTAGCATGTAGTATTGCGCTTGCCCAAGGTAAATGCACTTACATTGTTTGCGGGTAGGTGATACCACCTAAAGCTTGCTTGCTTGTCCATCTTACTTTTTTTTGCGGAATTCATAATTGCTTCCGGGCCTTTGCCGTAAAGCATGTCATAAACCGACGCTGTCTTCTCGATCCTCTTCTCCGTTCCTTCAAGAAAAAAGTCAATAATAGTGCCTTGAAATCCCTGGCAAGAATTGAATTTGTCGGTCTCCTCAGTTGGAAGAGATGGAACCGTATAATGAATTTCCGGTTTCTCCCTGCCCCTTTCAATTGGCGGGCCATGCAATACCCTATCCGATCGAAGCAATTCAAGCATATGATCGCTCGTTGCTAATTTGTCCACTGTTTCGCCATTATCATCACGTAAATATTTATTGGCGCCATTATCTAGCAAGAATTCAGTGATCTCCAAATCGTCGTGCATCACGGCACTGAACAATGGCGTGTGCCCATCCGGAGTTAATGCGTCAATATTGGCTTTGTTTTCGAGGAGGGCCATGGCAACACCGGCGTGTCCATTTAGAAGGGCCTGGTGAAATGCTGTATATCCAGTTTCATCATTGTGCGATTCGACATCGGCGTTGAATCGCAATAAAAGGTTGACAAGGGCTAGACTTCCTAACTCCGCCGCAATATATAAAGGCTTGCTTCCGTTATGACTGGCACTTTCCGCGTTGGAACCGGCCTTGAGCAGAAGTTCTGCCAGCAACTCATGATCGTTTACCACCGCTAGGTGAAGAGCTGTGAGTCCATCGCCGTTTACAGCTCTCAGATCAACACCATTGTCTAGAAGGCGCAGCAGCTCGTCTTCGTTGCCTTCACTCACGACCTCAAGAACTCGTAGACTCTCAGAATCGAACTCGTGTTGCACATCATACTCGTTCAGGGGTTCGTCTGTCAGTTTAAAATGAGTATTTTCCTGGTCACTATGAAAAGCATTGGAAGGGCTATCCATATTGAAAGTAACATCCTCTCCTTGATTTCGCTCTCTGATGGAGGAGTCTTTCGAGAGTTCTCATATTCTCGAATGGAGCTTTCATTTTTACATTTTGCAGCACTAGCACATCAGGCTAGCAGGCTCAGGTTAACAGCCCGACCAGCGAGCGAACCAGCCATTGCAGCTTGCGGCAAGTGGGCAGGATCCTTCGGGCTTCATGGTCATTGGTCATATCCGCATTTTCAATATTTTGGCGACAGGAGAATTCTGTCTGATCTGGCGGGCTGAAGCGTGCTCATTTCTGCTGATTCGAGGGGAATATCTTCTGCAGCAAGGCTCGTGCTCCATTTAAAAGCGATGCCACGTCTCTTCTGGCCCTAACTTGATTAGTTAAAGCATCCTTGTTTGTGTAGGTAACTAACGTTAACTAGTAAAAGAACTATACGAGAGAACCGAGACCATCCTTGTACCTGACACTGCGATTGGAGGATGTCTTGTTGGTGTTTTTCCCCCACATTCTGCTGCTCATTGTCGCTGTTTCTTGAATTGTCGTAATTCAACGAGTAGCGACCAATTTTTTAGACCAATACAGCATCAATATATCCTCCAATAACCAGACAGGCTGAACTTTTTGTCCGCCCTTCCACATTTCAGCCCACAGGCAGATGGAGAAACCCACATTATGTTGATATCCGGGTTCGGGATCGGAGGGAAGGGAAAATATATTTTGTCCAGCGATGAGAATGGGAGGCTTAGCCCCATACAGAATGTTCGCGGGGATGTCCTAAATATCGAGTTTCTTGAGCAGAAACTGGGTCAACTCCTTCGCTATATCTACCCGATCAAACTGCTCTTTTTTGCCTCTTATATTGCGGAGGATAGCTCCGGCACGATAGGATACCGGCCCATGCTCCAGAAGCCCCTGACTTGAGAATGACGATCAGCCTCGCAGCTGTCCAGCGCAGCACTAGAATTTTTAACCGCTCTGCAACTACTGACAAAGTATGTCACCTCATCCACGAGGCTGGAGAAAGGGAGCGGATGTTATTCGGTTCCCTGAAGGCTTTATCTTGTGCTCCCATCCCGGGTGACAACGCTCCCACTGGTCTCAGAACCAGCCCTCCCTTTACCCCGGGGCTTTTTCCACGAAAGCGCCCAGGTTCCCGTTGCTGGTGGCTAAGTACTGTTCAAGCGGCATGTCGAGATGTCAATATATCTGTCGTTGTGGCATAAACGAGAGACACATTGGTAGTATCGCATTCTTTTCAACACACAATTAATATTCGGACAGTATGGTCAGTTATTGCACAATCATCAAGAGTACATGCCAACCACTTGGAGAGCGGCTTATCCACGACCCGGAAACTACGGGAAATAAACCGTCCGTGGAAACCAGCTTTGGCTGCTAGAGAACTCATTTGTGAGTATGGGGATTCCCTGGCTATTTATCCCCCCTCACGATAATCCGATCGTGCACGTAGCCTCATCGCAGCCAACTTCGGCCGGGAATCATCCCAGCCAATATGCAGAGGAACACTTTGACCTACAGCAGGAGGACTGACTGGCAACATCTCTATCTTGTTTCATCAACAGTTCCGTGGCAGGGTAATTGAAGCATATGGCCACAATGGAACCGGGAAGGCAATTCCTACGCAAACACAAGAGAAGACTGGCCGCTTCAAAATCCTTGGACCCAACGGCTCCACAGTCGCAGGAGCATTCGAAGAGGTGCAGGGAGGAATTTTATATGTAGATGTGGGCACTGATGATTTCGCTGATTCTGAAATACGCGACCTGCTACCGAGTATGCCTGAAACCATGAGGAACCGGAGCTCTTTGCTCGCTATATCGCGAAGTATTTCGAGAATATTATCAAGCCAATGAAGCACAGCTCAGCCATGATTGTATATTTATTTTCTGTTCCCGCCAACTTTATTTCCTTATGTTAGATAGGTATTGATTAAATGAAGGATAAATTCTATGAAACAGGTTCATATAGTTGAGCGTTGGTACAGATCGAAGCAAAAGTGTCCGTAGATGCGACATGGTTGAACCAGTGACGTTGAAACCAGCCAGGAGAAAATTACCACTATGACATCTGCCCCTCACCACAACAATCCACGTCAAACATCAAGCGCAGCACCTCTTGTTCTACAATACATTCGAATTCTCACCCCAATTCCAGATACCCTCGTACAGGGCGACCAGTCTTCCGTTGTAATCACATACTCCAGCAAAAGAAGATAAACACAAATGGCTGAAGCAGCCGCTGTTTACCCCCCACTTGAAGCCAGGCCGCTCAAGAACACCATCTGCCTTTTCGATGTCGACAAGACATTGACGCCAGCGAGAGGGGTGAGCCTTTGCGCCTTTTCCCCTTCGATTCTGTCTTCACTTGATTTCTACTCCATTTCGTTATGTGGGGAAGTTTCTTCTAGCATACCAATGACTGACATATTTCGCGCTCTGTGTATTATCCAGACAGTCGCCCCCGAGATGCTGCAGCTGCTCTCACAATTGAGACATAAATGCGCCATCGGATTTGTGAGCTACGGCCATCCCCAAAGCATACTACAACACATCCTAACTGCATTGTAAACTTCCCAGGTCGGCGGATCCAACCTGCCCAAGCAGCAAGAGCAACTAGGTTCCGCCACGGTTGATGTTACCACCCTCTTCGACTTTTGCTTCGCGGAAAACGGCCTCACGGCGTATCGCCTAGGCAAGCCCATGGCCTCCAACAGCTTCATCCAGTGGCTGGGCGAAGAAAAGTATCAGAACCTCGTAGACTATTGCCTGCGGTATATTTCCAGCGTGAAGCTTCCAAAGAAGAGAGGGACATTTGTGGAATACAGAAACGGAATGGTCAATATTAGTCCTGTGGGGAGAAGTGCGAGCACTGAGGAAAGAGATGAATTCGAGGCGTATGTGTGTCCGTCCTAATTGCGGGGAGTGAAGGGCACTCACCTTGTTCGCCCTTCCCACCCCCCACCCCCCTGGTGAAAACGGCCTTTTATATTTTCTTATTTTGGACTAATAAGGTTGACCAGGTATGACAAAATACACAACATCCGCAAGACCCTGGTGGAGTCCTTGAGAAAGGAATTTGCCGATTACGGCCTCACGTAAGTTTTTGCGCACTTCATCTAGCTTAGACCTCTAATCCACTCTCCTAACATCTCCTTCTATATATAGCTTCTCAATCGGTGGCCAAATCTCGTTCGACGTGTTCCCCACTGGCTGGGACAAAACATACTGCCTCCAACACGTTGAGGCAGAGAAAAACATCAGCGGTGTCGAGTACACCACGATCCACTTCTTCGGTGATAAGTGCTTCGAGGGGGGGAATGATTATGAAATTTACGTAGACCCCAGGACGATTGGGCACGAAGTCACGGACCCGGACGACACGATGAAACAGCTAAGGGAGATCTTTGGGCTATAAAAGAACAGAGACCAGGGGTTCACCAGTTGAGGTGTGTGCAGGGAAGAGGGAGGGGAAAGGGCATTTATGCAAAAGATCAAATAGAGGCACGTTTTTACTAGATCAGCTACACAAAGACGATGACTATTTAGCGAGAATGTTGGCCCAGCTTCCTCCATGCTCTTGATGTGATGTTCCGTTGTCTTACCTGGAAGGGGAGAGGGCGGGAGAGGGCGGGAGAACATAGTGTACGACCTGATTTGTTTTGCAGCATTTTAGATATGACACTCTGGGGAGCACTGGGATTTCTCATTTCAATATCAAAGCCACAGGAACATAGAATCGCAGAAGAAAGTCATGCATAGATTGAGATACTTATGCTTCATGGTACCTCCTAACTCTGTCTTATATTTTCCTGACCGATTGCTACGAATATCAGGAACTAAGCCCAGAGAACAGCAGAGTTCGGAAGACCAAAGAAACATCGTCCCATCTACTAGTAGTCTCAGGAGATGCGACAGCTTCAAACCTATTGCATCCACGTTGTTGCCATTGTGGTCTATCAAGAAAGAAAGTCCCCCGGCCGAGTTTTTTTCCGGGCCGAAAACTCCTCAAGCGTCGGCTTCCAAGGTTTCTTCGGCGGAAACTACGACAATAAAACTCTCCAGCCTGCATCATCATCATCTTCCACCCTCTTCACCGATTTCCTTTGCATCCTAGATCACTCTGGTGAGATACGCAACCCACACAGCCTACACGCCCCGGTTTCCTGCACCATGAATACGGCTCCAGGCCGAAGCCACAGCTAATAAACGCTTTCCCGGCTACGCCCATATCGACAAGTCTACCATGGCAAACTCGAAGCAGGTCGTCAAACTCCCCCGATTCCTCGTCCAGCCCATAACGTGGAATGCATCTTCCTCCATTGGAAACCCACAAGCTGTGACGGTTGCATCGTCTCCTGGCCTTTCTCTGCACCTATTTGCCCCAAAACAGAAACCACTCAAAGTCCCCAACCGGCCATTACACACTTCACCAGCGATTCCGCGACACTCCCGATCCTCCCCCCTTTCCTCTCGCTCATATCTTACCTCCATCGCCAGGACACCCCCCTCCTCGACAAATATTCCCAGCGATGTCAACTCCGCTTCAATAAGACATAATGGCGTGTACGTGGCGGTATTCAAACCTGCCCGCCGCGCATTCCACAGTACACCCGCCAACTGTCGGGATCACCATTTCGACACGCTCAAAATTGTCCAGCGACTCAAAGGCGAGGGCTTTAGCGAGGAGCAGGCAGTGGCATTGATGAGGGTGCTGAATGATGTGATCGAAGAGTCCATTCAGAATTTGACACGCACTATGGTTCTGAGAGAGGGTGCGGCCCCCCCAACTCTCCATTTTGCCAAATCCCCCCTTTGAAGATGTCCTCCTAGGACCGCTAATCCTAACCCCACTATGAATCTTCAAATAGATTCCGAGCGATCCACTTATACCCAAAAAGTCGACTTCGCCAAACTCCGCTCCGAACTGTTAAACTCCGACTCCACCGAATCGCAGTTAACCCGCGCCTCCCACGACCGCATCGCGGGGGACATCCAAAAACTGAACTCACGCCTCCGTGACGAAATAGGGCGCACACAGGCCTCTGTGAGACTAGATTTGAACCTGGAAAAAGGCAGGATCCGCGAAGAGGCAAACGGACAGGAGATGAGAATCAAGGAGACGGAAACGAGAATCGAGCAAGAAGTTGCCGGCCTTCGCGAGAGGGTGGAGGCGGTTAAGTTTTCGACTCTGCAATGGTTGATGTATGTTCCCTTCTCACGTTCCTTTGTTTCATTTATTCTTTTAATCATCGCGGCTTTGCTGACTTGGGATTCCTTTTGGTTCTTCCAGGGGTGTCTGCACGGGTACAGCTGCTCTGATTCTTGGTGCTTGGCGCCTGTTGATGTGAGGTGTATATTATTACGTCTTTTTGTGAAGGCGAGTTGGGGATTTCTAGCACCCCGACTGTGTGGGAGAAATGCAATACTATTTCTCCCTTTCCGACATTCCCCATTACAGCAAAAGATAGACTTAGACACATACTTCACGACTGATATTTTCTTTTGTCCACTCGAATGATGTATACTATGAACCCAAAACCATGACAAATTCAATGGCTAATCAAATGTCAACGCAAATATTCATTTTACACACCAAATATACCCCTGCCTTTACTTTGGATAAATGCAGGATAACATACTTTCTCACAGGAGAAGAATAGCTTTAAAATCACAATGTTTCCCCGTGGCCATCATCACTAGAATCACTGCTAATAACAATCACATCAGCATTACCATTTTCGCAAGGAGCTTGAACTCCTGCCATTGACCTCGCGGCCAAACTTTGAACTAATCCCCTCTGCCGCACCTCCTTCTTCCCGTCTGCCAAGATCGTGCACACTCGTTGCCCAACAGACTCAGCGCGTATTACTTCACCGTGCTCCTGCAGAAACATCTCAATCGCAACCAGCGGAACACCATGCCTCATTCCCGTCCGATCGTCCCAAGACGAATGCAACCCGATCAAACTCCCATCCGCTGTATTTAACAGCGGCGCGCCGGAGTGGCCCCAATACGTCCAGGCATCATGCTTCAACGTGCCGATTTCCGAATTATCACACGGGTCTGCGCCAGGGACCATCCCCTTAAACGCGCCGCGCGATACCTCTACAAGACCGTAATCGGTTTTCCGGTCCGTTGCAGACTCCAGATCCTCACTGCCAGGCTGGCCGATACATATGATCGGCGTATGCACGGCAGGTTTGCAATCGGCAAGGGCCACAAACGGAAACGAAGCATCGGCATCGTGATCATGATCAATACGATTGTTATTATTTCTACTGTTCGGGCCAATTCCTGCACTGGCGCCACCTGACTCAATGGCGATGATCTTCAAAAGCGCAAGATCCCGCTTCGCGTCCCAAGCGCGACATTCGGCCTGCACGGCTCGTCCGTCATAGAAGAACAGCCAACGGGTTTTGGGAGAGGCGAGATATTCTTCCTCCGTTTCACCGAAGCAGTGCGCGCAGGTTAGCACCCAGCCAGCTGGGTGTATGCAGACCGCGCTTCCGGCCTCGTGCTGGGCGAAGATCAGGCTAGCCTCAAGCGCAGTGCGGAGGTGTTGGCCCGATACTGAGGCGCGGGTGTGTGGGGTGTCGTTGGAGAGGCGGAGTTGTTTTTCACGGAAGAGTTTGCATTCTGCCGGTGAAAGGTTTGGCAGTTTTGAGCCTCGGAGGATGGTGATTATTGGGTGTTCAGGTGCTGGTGGTGCATCTAAAGGAGGCCTGAGAGAGGAAGGTTGAGATATAGATTCCTGTTGCTTTGCCGCGGACCTTAGGATTCGCCTTGTATCATTCGACATACTTGACTATGTGTTGATAAAGAGCAGTTTCTAACATATTACTTTATCCTGCAATGCAGCTCCAGGGCTTCAAATGCTGGTGCGCAATTGTGATGCTTATTCGTCCTCGTATACGGAGTAGATGGGCCAGCAAATCTCCTCCACAGGCAGCAGCCATATCACATGATAGAAGTCAACACGATTTCATTGCTCGCTGTCTTCGTGGGATGTCATTCAACATGTTTATAACCGAATATAACAACAACCACATAAGAAAAATAGATCAATTATATTGAGAATTATTTATTCTTGTTGGCAATCCCTAATTTTCCTTTGTCAGAATAGTACTAGTGGTACTAAGTATATACTGATAAACTGATTAACTGATGACTGTATAGTAGAGATAACTATGATTGTGGGAGCTGTTTCTGATGATTCTGAAGCAATCTTGCACTTTGCAGTGCTTAAGATAAAGGAGATGACCCCCATTTTTGTGGAGTCTTAGCTATGCTTCTTATTGACAAGAAGTGGCCCCCAGATAAAAGTGTGGAGGCCACGCATTTTGAAAAGGTCACCTTGCCCTTGCGTGGTGATGCAGGTGTAATGCAGCTCTGATATGGCCCATCCTCGGCGCCGGCTGAGACCCTTTTCTCCCCAACCTCCGATCCAGTTCCTGCTTTCGTTTCCCTCCTCACTGCTACAGCAGACAGGTTCTTCCACTTCTGCTTTGCAATATATCGCTTCTAACATGGATGTCCGGCGTCAATTTCCTACTGTACACTGGATCTGGGGAGGAGGGATTTCATCTGTGTATGAGGTCCATCCTCTCATCGTCGTCAAGGTCCCAAAGCCTGGCGAATTTGAGAGAGAGCAATTCCAAAGGGAACTTAAGATCTATGAGGCCTTTTCGCAGCACCCGCCGTGTCCCTCTGTGGTGCAGTGTTTTCACTACACAAACAATGGCATCTTTCTAGAATATATGAGGGGTGAGACTCTATTTCAGTTCGCATGTATGTAATAGGTACTGACAGTGTCAGTAGATGTCTGCCTTTCTTACAGGATACAATGCAATCACGTTCGGGATCAGCAAACTATGGTGGTTACTAAAGTCGCAAAGTTGGAGCCTCTCTCTCTGCGCAAGGAGTGGATGAATGACCTTGCTCAAGCTGTTGCTTTCCTTGAATCACTCAACCTTGCCCATGGCGATCTACGACCTGAGAATATCCTACTTGATTGTGACCGGCTGAAACTATCCGATTTTGATTGTACTGTAGAAATTGGGACATATTTTGAAGCTTGCATACCCCCATATGGAAGAGTACTGAACAGTAATGAGACAGATCAAGGATCATCTGGATCTGCGGGCTTCTTAGGTCCTCGAACAGAGCAGTTTGCCCTTGGTTCCTTGTACTATCTCATAAATTATGGCTTTGAGGTTTACGGAGATCGATGCCTTGCCGAGGATCCTAAGGAGCATGGACGTAAGACTGTTGACTTACTCCAGAAAATGGAGTTTCCGAAGCTAGATGGTGACCCACCGATTGACAATATCATCAACAAATGTTGGCACAACAAGTATTCCACTGTCGCGGAATTGGCTGCAGACACCCAGATGCTCCTTAGAGGAGAAATCAAGGGGGAAGTAATCGCCGAAACGATCGCCATCACCCGATGGCGCACGGATATAAGCAGTATAATTCGTGGGTTATGGTGCAGCCTCGGGGATTGGCTGCCGTTTTCACGACGGAGCACCAAAGATGATGAAAACAACACCGAAGATATCGATGGCAGAGAACGCAATAATGACAGCGATTGCAACGTGGACGAAGATCACTTGGCAGAGGATTTGGCTTCGAAGAAGGCGTTCTGTCAGGACTTGGAGAAGCGTGGACTTCTTCATTTGCTTTCTTCGGGTGAACCTGAACAACTTGGTTTCACTTTCGACTGGTACAGGTACACGTCCTCAGTTGCGAAAGAGCAAGCACAATTTTGAGCCGCGGGTCTGCATAGGGGAATAAAGATTATCTGGGGCCGCTAGGTTATGGGAAGAACTTTGCAACCGAAGTCAGACTTATGGCTCACTCTGAGCTCGATCTGTTCCACGGATTCGTTGTCACCATCCTCTAGTTGTTAGATGGATGCACTTGTGTGCTTTTCCTACAGAACTGTTCGCTGCTTCCGCTCCATCTACGTTCCTCAAGCAACACTTCAATCTCAAAAGCCACTTCTCCCATCCAAAAAAGCATGGCCCGGAGTAAGTGAAAAAAATGGTCAATCACCCGATTTTTGTCCACCCAGTTTGGTGGAGCCTTCAACCATACCCATGCTTGTTTTGAGGGGATGCAGGTACAGCTGGAAAAACCAAAATGAAGGTGCTGTGATGAATCTGACTGCGCGTCCTGATCCCGTTGTGCCCGCCCCCCAGAGGAATTGAAAGCACACAATTCCGCTGTTCAATCCGCTGCGCACCTTAAACCGATTTTTGTCGCCCGGTCTGCTGTGAGTCGTGGAAATTGCAGATCCGTAGGGCAATTGCTTTGAGGGAGGTAAAACTGCTCCCTGCTCCAGAACCATAGGAAACTCACCTTACTTTCCTTCTGATGTGCCTTTACCCCCAGCAACACAGTTTCCAGATAGCTGTGAGCGTCCGCTCTATTTTCAACGTCATGGAGCCTTCTACGGAGTTTGAATGGAGGGGCCACCTCTACGGGTGTGTTGTCTTTGCGGTTGTATTTGGAAGGCGTATATGTAGGGACTGTATGTATTGTAGTAAATGGTCCGTTTTAGAGTGCGATTATTGAACATTTATTCTTCCAGGCTACTTTTTTCCCAATCAGAACAACTTGATAATATCGTTGCTAGCTATCATCGCTAGCCAAATATTATCGCTAACTATCATTTATAAATATGTTTATCTACTGATGATGTTGATGATATGATATCCAGCGATGATGGATAGATACTAGCATAGGTAGGTAGGTGGGTGGATCGGTGGGTGGTGCATGGTCTCTTGACAAAAACATTTGCATGAGCTCTCAAAACATTACCCATCTTCATAATGTAATACCTCAACCAATATTCTTCATCAAAGCTTCTGTGGTAGCAGAAAATGAAGCTAGATAGACTAGAAATTCAAAAATATAAGATCCATGATGGTTGAATGGATATTTGAGGTAGATGTATGACGTTGAAGAGTGTGTATGATATTATATGCATGGGAGGGTTGATTTCTTTGATGGCTGAGCATGCTGAGACAAGTCTTCTCAACGTCAACCGCGTAAAGGCAACGATTTCTCTTAGAACACGATTAAATGCGTCTTCAAGCCGGCGCTGGAACGAATGTTCAGGCTATTTTAGTAACTATCCCATGATACCCTGAGGGCGTGATAGCGGATAACGCACTAACGCGACAGTCGTTTTTTCGAGGCAAATTCGCCCCAATTTTGAGGCTGGCGCTCACGCTCCCATGGCTCCTATAAAGAAACCAACTATTCAGGCCAGGCGCATCCTCCAAGTTATCAAACTGGGACTAATAATTGACCACAGATGAGATGGGCGCAAAACGGCAGGGCCTAAAGAACCTCGCTAGGGTGCAGGATCTCAATCGGAACAATACTAGTTTTTGCAGACGTCCAACATATGCTCTCTGCGTCTTTACTGTGCTTTTTATGCTTTTCTGCAGAGGCCACGCTTCTCCAAATCCAGTATCACCAGACGAGGAAATTCTTCGGTTGAATGCCACGCAACTCCGAGTATTCCAGGTGTACAAGCCGGTTCCTGATGAACCATCACCCGAAATCCCAGGAGGATGCAATGCGAAAATTTTATTGATGCGACATGAGTTTGGTTCTAGCTATGGCCATCCGTTTGTTGGTAAGTCCAAAACCTTTCGTGTTTAATTAAACCTACGTCGCATCGCTGTAACATGAATTCACACTTTGATATCAAAAAGGAAACTATGTCCCTCCTCGATGTGATTTCGACACTGTAATCATGACTATGACAGTAACATCCAAAGGTCGCCAGTTCGATAGACTTGCGCTGATGTTTCTTGGAGATACCGAAGTATTCCGCACATCAACGGCCGAACCTACGACTAATGGTATTATTTGGACCTACATCAAAGACATGTCGCTCTACAAGGCACTATGGGCCAAGCCCCAGAAGTTAATTTTCGATCTTGGGAACTTAATCAACGATAAATACACCGGCCCATTTGACGTGACGCTGACCGCCAAGTTTTCCTTGAAATTTCATGAGATTAGGGCGGCAGATATTATACTCCCGATCTCCGCCCGGCGTTCAGTAGCAGATTCTCCAAGTGGCTTTCATATTCCAGATGATAACGCAACTGTGACACATATTATACCTCCAGATGTTTCGCGAGCCACAGTGTCCATATCTGCCTGTGGCCAATCCACGGAAGAATTCTGGTACAGCAATGTCCTGTCTTCCGACGTACTTACGTTTAATAAAACAGCGGGGCCACTGTACGGATACTCCTCTTTTCGGGAGATTCAGCTATTTATAGATGATCAAATGGCAGGAGTTGTATGGCCTTTTCCAATCATCTTCACCGGCGGAATTTCGCCTGGCTTTTGGAAGCCAATTGTCGGTATTGATGCTTTTGACCTTCGCGAGCCAGAAATAGACATTACCCCTTTTTTGCCTGTTTTGGCTGATGGCCAGTCTCATTCTTTTACGATAAAGGTTGTTGGTCTTGGAGATGTGGAAAACGGAGTTGCAGAAATTTCAGAAACGGTTGGATCATATTGGGTCGTAACCGGGAAGATATTCATTTATCTCGATGGGGAGAGGGGCTTGGTCGATCAATCTACAATAAATCGACGCGGCGATTTGGTCCCCGTTGTTTCAACAAAGTTCGGATCGGATATTTCACACGAATGGCAACAGAATCCAACCACGGGTATGAATGAAACCCTATCGCATACGATTCGAATTTCTAGGTCATTAAGCGTCACATCTCCTTCTTCGCAATGGACTCAAAGCCTAAGCTTTTCCAACTCAGGGACCTTTTCTGAGCAAGGTCAGACACAGTTGATCAAACAGGTGACAGATGCTACATCAGAATCTCTCGATTTGATGGGCGAAAAGGACCTCGTTATTAGCAGAGTAGCCAGCTCCTATCCGCTTGAAGTGTGCTCAACGTATCAATCCAACCCTAACGGCCTGGAGATCAACGCCTCCCTGTCTCGCGGTTTGCAATTCTCCTACCAGAGTGACGTCAGCTATTATTCCCCTTATACCCTCACAACTGGTTCCTCCGAATATGATGCGAGACAGTTTGGCAAAGCAACATATCGGTCAATGTCCAAGGGCAGTTCAAGCTCTACAGGCGATACGTTGGAGATTTTCAAAGAGAAGTCTGCAGGGGCAACCTTCGACGTAAGAATTCGGGCGGTAAATGGAACTGTTGTCAAGGAAGATGAGCAACCCCTGGTATTAAACCAGTGGCTAAATGAGGATGTGCTAGCGGGCAGAGGAAGTATAAAAGCAATTTTAGGCAGAGGGCCAGGAAAAGCAAATATTGAACGCCTCTTATCTGGCCGTCAGCACCATGCATGCATGGACGGACATCCATGTCCATATCTCAAACAAGGCGTCCAAACTCTCCGAGCTGACTGTTCTTCACCTGTCATTCCCTGCCCACAGAAACCCGGGCCATATTAGAAATCCACTCGCCAAGCAAAAATTCAGGGACGGCGGCCGGCCTATTCTGATTTCGGCAAGGTTGCATTAGATCCCTACAACGAAAATAGATTAGCTCACGAGGATGGAGTGGATCCATAACATGCACCAGGAAAAGGGTTAGCGAACAGAAGAGCAAATAATCTCCTCCAAACTTTGCTGGATATGAGAGCCCATATCAACAGCAAGCCCAATGGAAAAATGATAGCCTATGTAGTAGTACATCATCATAATCTCCAAGTTTTGTTCTTCCAACTCATTTTCCAACGAATTTGTGAAAAAAGTGGGTAGGGTTAGGCAGCGTTCGCATTTGACGCGAAAAATTCCAGCAAATGGATAGATGCATGATAACTCCAGGCCCGTTTTATCCAGGCCTCAAAGGCTGTGTTTTATTTTATCAGGCACGACGTTGGCGCTTCCAGAGCTCCGGCCTGGGGTTTGGGAAAGTATTAAGCTCGCGAGATCTACTATTTGGCGCTTGGGCTAACTGACGATTCCTGTGCACTCCAAGCCTGGGCCGTTGAACTGTGGAGTTGACTTACGATCTTGCCGATGACCCCATCGGGTCATGCTTCGAATGCTTCTTTTCCTTGCGGGCCAACAACTCGGGATGAGCCATCCTCCTGCGTAGTGGGAGACTACGTGTGGCTAAGGAAACTCGGTCAGCCTACCATCGGGGTGCGAGGCCAGCCACTTCGGATACGGCTCCACCCTGTTCGTTGCACTGTCGAAAGACTCGGGGTTGGCGGCGCCCCTGCTTACTTGTCTGACTTGTATCATGTCCTGGGTCTCCAAGCTCCAGAGCGCCCCTCAGCTTCCTTGAAGGGTCCATGGGGAAGAAAAAAGGAGAAAACATCACAGGCTCCCCCTCTCAGCCTGTCTTTCGATTCCAGTCATCCAAAAAACCATCATGGCGACAAATACACTACCCCCAAACATACACCCACAAAAGAGGAAAAACGAAGACCACCTTCGTCCGAGCACGCGAAGGCCTGTTCAAAAGAGAGCCTCCGCCGCGTGTCGCAGCTGTCGTGCTCGGAAAGTTCGCTGTGATGTTCTACTGAAGAGCACGCCCTGCACTAACTGCCGCCTGGATGGCGCCGAATGTATCATTGCAGAGAGCAAACGGACAAGATTTGCTCGTACAGCGGATGGCACAACGATACTCATTGGAAACCCGCGAACATATACTGACAACAACGATGGGAACGCGGGAATTGTCGCACCGAACAATGATCTCATTGAATCTTCAGGCAATCCAAGCGTTGAACAAAACAATGGTAAGTTAATTTCCTACTAATGTTTCCTCCACTTTTAACAAATTTCCAATGTCACGTTCCTGGAGGTTTTGGTATATATGATATGGAATAAACACCGCCCGCTGACTTTGACAAATTCAAGACTACGATAGTAGCAGCGACTGCGAATCGCGGCAGCAGAAATCGCCGGCCGATCCAATCATCGCGCATGACATGATCTTGACAAACATGTTCTCCATCATGAATCAGCTTTTCGGGCCCGCGCCGGAGTCCATGCGTAGAGAGCCTGATATAGACCTTCCCCGATTCATCAAGCAATCCCGCGTGGACCTCGAGATTAACGATTTAAATTACCTGCAGAAGAAGGGGGCGTTCGAAATACCCCATTTTGCGTTTCGGAATGCACTTCTGAAAAGCTTTGTAAACTATGTTCATGTTTACATGCCCTTCCTTGACCTTAAGGATTTCCTACAGACCATCTACGAGAACACTGGAAGAAAGCGTATAAGTTTGTTGCTTTTCCAGGCTGTAATGTTTGCCGGGACGGCGTTCGTTAATATGAAGCATCTACGCATGGCAGGATATGAATCTAGAAGAGCAGCGCGGAAGGCCTTCTTTCAGAGAGTGAGGGTAGGTTTGACAGTTTGCTCTTTCTGAGATGTCTTTGAGATTTTAACCCGACGATTTTTGCAGGCGCTCTATGACCAAGATTATGAAGAGGAGCCGATTGTTATTATTCAGACATTAATGCTCATGAGTTATTGGATGGAAACTGCGTTTGATCAGAAAGACTGCTTTCACTGGATCGGCATCAGTCTAGCCTTAGCTAGACTTAATGGCATGCATTTTGATGCCACAAGCGCTTCGATGGATCTTGATCAAAGACGAATTTGGAGACGTACCTGGTGGATTTTATACAGCAGAGACAAAATGATCGCGCTTGGTCTGAGGCGCCCTATAAGGCTTAGAGACGGTGAACATGACCTCGACATGATCAACCTGGACGATTTTGACCTCCAGCCATTTCCAACCCACCTGTGGCAAATGATCGGGGCGAGCGAAGTCCTTAACAACCCAGAATACCAGCGAGTTTTGGCACTACTGTTCATTGAGAAGATAAAATTGTGCAACCATTTACATCGTGCACTCATTTTGCAGTACCCCACTCCGGCCGAGGGCATCGAGATGATGAGAGCTGCTAGGATGGCCCTTATTCCGAAACAAGTGGTACCGGATGTCACGCAGATCAGACATCTTGATGAAGGCCTAGACACATGGTTCGCCAACTCCCCCCAGGAAACTCGATACTCCCCACAGTTCGGCTGCCAATTGTCCGAAGGCGAGGAAGTCCTGCATGTTCACCGCGCGATGCTAAGATTAATTTATCTCGCTACGCGAAGCACACTCCATCTTCCAAAGATCATACGCGCCCTCCCAAACAAACTCCAGCCGATCGAATTACACCGACAATCACTCGAAAAGGTCCGGCACGCCGCTGCCGGAATAACATCCATCACACAGGACCTGCAGCACCTAAACCTAATCCGCTACCTCCCCTCAAACGGCACCACCCCTCTCCTCTCCGCCATCGCAATGTTCGTCATCGACACCCTCGTCTCACCAGGCTCCTCTATCAAACTCAGCAGCATAAACGGCTTACACCAATGCCTGCGGACAATCGTCCGCCTGCGGGAAATCTATCCGATCGCCGACGACTTTGCCAGCGCCGTGGAAATGCTCATTCGCAACATCAGCGTACATCAGCACCTGGAATACCTACACAACCCGTTGTCCATTCAGGACAGGACTGCGGATTGCTTCGACCTTACCAGCGCTATGACGGAATGCTACGGCCCCGCGTCAGAGCCCAAGACATCTCCCCCTAGCCTGAAGATTTTAGATTCTATCATCTGTCACCCGCGCATGCGGGAGGGGAGCAGTGCCTCTTCGTCGGATACTGGGACCAGTGCTGAGATTGTTAGGGATATAGTATATCAGGATAGGGAGCACTACGGATTTGCAAATATCCATGCAAATGCCAACGCATATGCGAATGCGAATGTGAATGCAACAGGAAACCCAAATGAAACGGGATTTCTTCTTGGGCCCGAGAACCGCATTGGCGGTGGCTATAACGCGTCTACCTCGTCGTCCAGCTACAGCAGCCCGGGCAGCTATGGCCATTGCGACTCCAGCACGAACACCCTAAGCAGTTACGCCGTGAACTATCATATGGCACAGGTACCCTTCCAAAGCGCAAACCAAGCTGATCCCGCAGCGGCACCACGGACGGGAGCTGGGATCGAATCCGAACCGCAACCGCTACTGCAACCGCTACCACCACTGACCGAACCGGGGAGGCCATATCCAATGCCCGGCCAGGGAATGGATGACCAATCCATCCAAAACGTGCTATCTATGTTCTCGGGGCATTACCCGATGTATGATATGGGCTACACGCAGTGCGGGGACAGGCCCGTCCATGATGTTTTGCCTAGAAACCAACGATGAGGATCTGGATGGCAATGACGGTAATAAAGCAGCGAGGGAAGAAGGGCAAGCTAGAATGGAAAGGACAGTTAATGGTTTCGTTGTTGCGGCGGGACTGGAGCAGGAAGTCGGCTTTTCGGTGTGAGATGGTCTATATGGGGGGTTTTTTTTCTTTCTTTCTTGAATTTTTTTTTTATAGGTGGTTGGTGTTATGCATGTGAATAACGAAACAAATATGATGTGTGATAATAACTATGACAATATGACATTTTAGTCCCCACCTCCCTCCTTTTTTTTTTTTTTTTTAGAATCGTCAATACAGAAAAGCAACTAATTAAACGGGCCACAGCCGCAGTAGACCAAACAACGCAATGAATGAATGAATGAATGGGCTACCTACTACCGTTCATGACCGAATATTGTAACTATCTACCTAGCGGGCGCAGCACTGCTTAAATAGGTGTGGTCATGTGGTCTTCCAGCAAGTGATAAGGGATGCCAACATTTTTTCGATTATTTTTTTTTCTTTTCTTTTTGGCGTTGAGCGATTCCTATCTCTATATCTCCAAGTCTATCTAGCTCGAACAAAAGAGAGATGAAAATGAAAGTCCCTTGCTGGCTCCTGCTTGATTCATTAGAGGGTGACTACCACCCTCCCTTCACGACATAATTCACAAAGGAATAAGATGTCCAAGGGGGAAAAAGAACAATGGGTGGCAGTGCAAGAAGCTGTCGAGAAATATTAAGAGCGGGAACTGAGCTGGGGCGAGGTAAAGGTGCTAGGCAGGGCATAGCAGAATTTGTGGAGTGGAATGTGGTATCATAATACAAAAAGGAGAAAGTATAAGCAAAAAGAAAAAGAATGAAAGAAAAGAGAGAGAATGATACAATGGTGTATATTGAAATGGGAATCAAAAAGAAAAAAAAAATATCAAGACACCGGATATTAAAAATATTATAAAGAACGCAAAGAGAAAAAAGGGAGGACGAGAGAGAGGCTGTTATCCGATATCCTTTCCCTCTAAGCAGCCGAAGCACTAAGATTCTTCCCTTTCACGCTTTTCCACTCAACACCGAAGGCTCCAATAATGCCCAGCGCCGACATGACAACAACGCCGTACCACGTTTGTGTTAAGGCCTTGTTATACGCCACCTGCGCCGCGTCGAGGAATTGAGGCGGAATCACTTTCGTGAGCGACGTGGCACCTTGACCCAAGACGGCCTTTGGATCCACCCCGGGCGCCGCAATCATGATACCCTTGGAAAGTTTATTGGTAAAGATGTTCTGGGCGACGGAGATGAAGAGCGCGCCGCCAAGGAGCTGCGAGAACATCGTCACGACGATCCCAACGGCGACATCGTCGATGTCCAGGACCACCTGCGGCGTGAGGATGGGGAGCTGGAACCCGAGTCCGACTCCGAGGCCGTAGATGACCTGATAGCCGATCCATTTCGGGGAGCCGGTGTCTGTTTTGAAGGTGGTGAGCATAGCCGCGCCGACGGTGCTAAGCACAGCGGAAATGTAAAAGAATGGGGTGAAGTATCCAATTAGCGAAATGAAAAGACCGCCGATGATGGAGCCGATCACGAGGGTAAGGACCATAGGAATTGTCATGACTCCGGACTTGGTTGCGGAGGCGATCTTGATCGCCTGGAACCAGATCGGGAGGTAGAAGACCAGGATGAAGAACGAGGCGCCGAGGGTGAAGGCGAAAAAGCTTGCGAAGGCCATGCTGCGTTTCATCACTATGCGTGGCGGGACGGTTGCATTTTCTCCCTTCCAGATCTGGATGACGACAAACGCAATAATAAGAATACCGAAGAGGATGAACAGGACGATGATGCGGGCGTTACCCCAATTGTACTTGGTCCCCCCCCACTGGAGCGCAAGAAGCAAGCAGACGATACCAGGCATGAAGGTTACGGTTCCCCAGGGATCCAGCTGCGCCAGCTGGCCCTTCCATGAGTCCGGCTTCTTCAGCGTCTGTTTGGGGTGCTGGAGGAAAACAAAAATGGCGAGAATGGTGACGGCGCCGATGGGGAGGTTGATGTAAAAGCACCACCTCCAGGAGACATGATCGGTAAAGGCACCACCCATCAATGGGCCAGCCACCGAGGCAATGCCGTACATACTGCTCAATACGCCGTTGTCTATTTCCAAGATGGACAGTCAGCGTTGTTTCATCAGAGGAAAAGAGGCAAAGAGGCAGAACTGCATACACATGGGTCGTTTTTCCAGTGGGATAGAGTAGGTGATGATGATCATGGCACCGCTGAATATGCCCGCAGAGCCAATGCCAGCAATGGCACGGCCGACGATCAAGGCCTCCGAAGTAGGCGCAGCACCGCAGATGGCGGAGCCGATCTCGAAGATCAGGATTGCGGATAAGAAAACCCATTTGACTGGGTAGAAGCTGTAGAATTTCCCGAACATCAATTGGAAGGCGCAGGTTGTTAAGAGGTACGAGCTGCCATACCAGCCCACATCCTCTAGGGCTTTGAAATGGTCTGTGATCCTGGGGATAGCGGTGGCAATAATCGTATTATCCTGGGAGGCGAGCGAATTAGCCACTGGGTTCCGTGCATAGGGAGATTGGGGTTGTGGGTTGAGAAGGGAACAAGGGAAGAAGAGAAGAAAGGGGGGGGGGGTGTATTTTCGACATACCAGTGCAACCAGGAGAACAGCGAGGCACAAGCCGATGACAACGATTGCCAGAGGAAACCCTGAGAGATAGGTTACTCCAGCGCTGTCGTCATTTTCTATTGTTTCAGATGACACTTCTTGCCCATCTGTTGCATCTTGTGTTTCTAGGGGAGTCTCCTCGCTTGGGCCAGCCGGCACCTGTGAGGTGGAAGCTTTTTCATTTCGTGGAGATGCTAGTGCTTCAGGGGCTGTCTTTTCATTCGGGCTGGCCATCATCTGTGAAGCGGGAGCTTCATCTTGTGGAGATGCGGTCTCCTTCTCTGCCTCGACGACCGAGCCGGAGTGGCTTGGGACTGCTGTAGAAGCGGAGGACGCTGGCGCCACTTGAGTCGCAGCTTTCGCATCCGAGCTGCGGGAGAAGAGAGATTTCAAAGGCTTCATCGCTCGGTATCAGCGGGCGAGATAGATATATGTTAGTGAGCTTTATACGGACGGAAGGCTGGCAGGCAGGCGTTCAAGGGCTTCCAATAGAAACAGCAGAATCACAACATTTCTGAGAGAGAAAAAAAAAAAACAATTACAAAAAAAACAATACAAAACAAATAAAAGTCTAAAAGATCTTGCGGATTCTGAGTTTAATGTAGACAAGCTCAACGAATCTCGGTCGGGGCAGAGGCCAAAAACTTTCAAGCATCTCGGACTCGGATAGTTTCTTTCCCGCCTCAAAGTGCCCGGAGCAAGCTAACACGCCTTTGCCGGACGGAACATAAGCTTAGCGTGGCGCCGATATCCCGATCCTCGGCAGCGAGATCGTGCTTCGCATCGGAGGCGGATAAAATAATTTCATCACCCGCATGCGGACTGGATCGGGCAGCTCCAGCTCCAGCTCCAGCTCCAGCTCCAACCACTAGCTTTGTTGCCTGGGGAAGATATCGGAGGTCAGGCGCTGGGGATTTCCTAGATTCGTGGATTGCATTCCGAGCTGCAAAATCCTCGAAAGCTGAATGCATGGGCTAGCGCATCGGACATCGCATTCATTCATCCGAGATCTGTTGGTTGCCTGCCTCGTATTCCCTGTGTTGTAGCGGGGGATCGTGTTGGGAGTGAGAAAACGTGGGTGCCACAAGAGCTTCATCTTCGTGGCGTCTTCGGATCCGAGGGCGAACTCTGCCTGGGGATGGAGTATCCTCCGCTTGTCATCAGCATGCATGCATGGCATAGTGTGATGGTGTATGGTGGCACAAGCCCGGCGCATCTTGATGCTTCTATATATATATATATAAATCCACTGAAAAGTAGATAAAAGCACCGTCGACCGAAGCTGGTTCCTGCAATCTGTCTGCTTCTCTTCGATGCTCCCTCTGTGCGAGGAAGACATAAATCCTCTTGCTTGGGATAGCGTTTCTCGCTGGATCCGGCGCTGATGGAACCAAGGAACCTCTCTACCTGTAAATCCCCAAACCCATATCCCGACAAGCTGCGGAGACCCGGGCGGATCCAACTGCAGCTCGTTCCGGTGTCTGGTCGTATCTGTGTGGCACTCCCTATCTATTCATTCTCGATATTCATGCATTCTCTCAGTCAGGGAGGGATATAATATCAGGATCCCTGCACAGCTCAAGTTATGTATACAGAGAAGAAGACCATCGGAGCCCATGGGAGCAAACGAGAGGCAAACGAGAGCTATCCCCTCCTCCTCCGATATGGAAAGGCCCCGGCTCTGTTTAGGGACCCAGCTGAACAAATCCTGCCGACAGAAACAAGACATCCCTAACCATTTGAGCTCCTGGATCAAATTTGATATACTTCGATTCCAGAACTATAATCAATAAAATACCCTGCACTCGGAGAAACTCTCGTCCATCAACTCCCCCGTACTCCCCCGTACCCCCCGACTTCCCCCCCCAAAAGAAACAGCACAGAACACACATACCCCCACCCCTCCCCGCGCAGCTCACGAAACAGCAGACCTCAAAACCCTCGCGGCCAACTCTCCCAGCAACCGGGCCTTATCCTCCGCCGGCAACGCCTGAAAAACCTCATAAACGCTCTTCCCCTTCGCATCCCTCACCGCTCCAAGTCGATTCCCCGCAACCGCGCCGGCCACCGCCCCCGCCAGATTCGCAACAATGAATCCCAGCGCCGCCCCACTCAGGCCGCCCACAACTGCCCAGAACCGGCCCGTCGGCCGCGTCCTCCCGCCATCGTCCTCCGCCAGCCCTTCCTCGCGCAGCATCTCCTCGAAGACGGAGGCAAACTGGCGCGAGGCGAAGGCGGCGGAGGCGGAGCCTGTGTCTGTGCCTGTGTCTGTTGCCGGGCCAGGTGAGAACGGCGGAGGGGTGTCGGGACGCCGCTGCTGGCGGCGCTCGAGGTCATATCTGCGGCGGCGAGCGGGGTCGGAGAGGACGTAGTATGCTTCGTTGACTTTCTTGAAAGCCGCCTCGCGGGCGGGGCGCTCGGGGGACGTGCTGGGCACGCGGTCCGGGTGGCATTTCAGAGCGGCGCTGTATATATATATATGTATGTGTGAATGAGTAACTATCTGGATCAATATGTGGCATTCACGCCCCGGACACTCCCGTAATTTGATTCAGTTGATTCAGTTGCCGGTGCGCACCGTTTATATGCGAAGCGGACTTGCTGCTCCGTGGCCGACGGGTCTGTTTGCAGGATCGTATCTGTGCTGGGTAAGTACTCGTAGTGGTAGGCAAACGGCCAGCAACAAGCAGATGAGATGCAAGTGAAGTGAACATACAGTAATCCACACCAGCGTCTGTTGGATATAACATATCCCATGATTAGCCGCTGGATTGCACCCGGCGAGCCTAGGGTTCTTACCGTCCATGACGCATGCTCTGGTTGTCCAGCTTCAAATCGCACGAATACAAGAGATGGATTCTATGAGTAAAAAAGCCCACGTCGATATTGTCCTGGAAGAGATCTTTTCACCGAGAGCTCTGAGAGCAACAATGAGTTGTAAATAAAGTCAGTCGTCACCGTAAGTTAGTTAGTTCGTTAGAAGGTTAAATATCGATGGGCCTGGATTTATGTCTATACTATATACTGCATAGACTCTAGATACTAGTACTGCATTTCCTTTACGGCGTATATACTCCAATGACGATATGGCAACTGGTTTGTAATGGTATGTTGGCGGCAACACACTCGCTTGAACAGCTTTGCCTTCGTCCTCTGATATTCTGATAAAGACCATCTCCAGCCCCAGACACAGCACATCACCGACTCCAAATCCACCAACGGCTATCCAGGCATGCCGATTTGATTTTGGTAGTGCCAGGGAACTTGGTGTTAGCCATACTTACTTACCGGCATGGCCTTGAGTTGTTCTTCGACGTGCTCTTCTGGCAGTGTGCCCGTACTGAGTCCTGTAAAGAGCAGGCTACAGAAGTGGTGAAGGTGATATCTACAGGCATTTGACAAGGCCATCGAGGACAGTGAGAAAGCAACTGAGCAGGCGTTGTGCTTGGAGTTTCTTCTTCTTCTTCTTCTGCTTCTTGTATTTTCTTCGTAGGCAGCCACTAGCCCGCATCACGTTAGACGGCGGCCTATCCCCAGCCACCGCGAGGAGACATCTAGATAACTAGGAGACCCAACATCCAACCACCCGCGGGACGGTGGACACTTCACTTCGATGCCATCCATTGTCCAGCAATCCCGTCCTCCAATTGATGCTATGGTCAGATAAAGCAACATATGTCCATTGCCCCTCTGAAACACCTCTAGCTCCGGTGCGCGAAGCCTGCGTTTCAACCGGGCCTCTCTCTCTGTATCTACTACCTATCTACTGCGCATAACATTGTTATACAAATATATTTCCTCAATTTTCCGCCGCATAAGACCCAACGCACTCATCCGGCCGAACCAATTAACCCCTAGATCGCACAATTGCGCACCCCACCAGGGACTAATCACCTGCATAACTACCCTTAAGGAACCACACCACTCCAGCAATGGACTGGCTGTACCCCTTCAGTGGCATCGGCCGCCGCGCACGCAGTCGAGACCGCTACTCCACCACTTCCTCCTCCCGCCACAGTCATAGTCACAGTCACAGTCACGGCCACAGTCACGGCCACGGTCACGGCAAAAGCCACAGCCGGTCCTCCCTCTTCAACCTGGGCGGGCACGCCAACCGCTCCACGACGTCTGCCGCCTCCCTGTTCTCCATCGGCAGCGCGGGATCCTCGTCGTCGCGCCGCGCAAAGCCGCGCTCGGGCTTCGTTGCCCGTGTCGTGCGCAGCATCCGGCGCCTGTTCCGGCATATCGTGCGCTATGCACGCAGCCATCCGCTGAAGGTGTTCTTCATGGTCATCATGCCGCTGATCACGGGCGGGGTGCTGCAGAAATTGCTCTCCGTCGTGGGCATACGCCTGCCACCGTCATTGGGTGGGGGTCATAGTGGTGGCTTTAAGACGGGCAATGGCGGTGGTGCGGGGGGAGGGGGATTGGGAGAGAGTGTTGGGGGGTTGGTGTCGTTGGCGAAGATGTTCGTGTGAAGCGGATATATAGATATAGATATAGATACAGATATAGATATAGATATATCTACAGTCGCTCGAAGAGGGCGGAGCGGGGAGGAATTGAAGGGAGCCAGTGGAGTGGGCGAGTTAAACTTATGGGGCAGCGGGCACGCCACTCAAAGATCTATCTATGAATGCGCAGAAGGGTCCACCGCCAGTCCGCACAACAACGAACTGTTCCGTTTATTTTATTATTACGATATTTTGTTGGCCTTTTGTATTTTTTTGTATTTTTTTTTTGTATTTTTCTTTTCCTCTCTCTTTCATGGGCGTTTCCTCTTATACAACGTTTTCTATATACTGATTTCCATATCAAAGCTTCTTTCGAAAGCACTCAGCAAAAAAAAAAAAAAAATCACTCTAAGCCACCGACTGAATTCATATCTATAAAAAGCCACTCTCGCAACCAAAAAAAAGAGAGTGTGCACATGTCCAGTACAAAAGCTACAGAGCAACACAGTACCATCCCACCGCATATCCAACTCAAACTCGGAAAATGCATCGGTAAGTTGTGCAGACATACGTGCATACATACATACGCCAGCATCCGTCCCTCTGCTCTGCATCCTGCCGTTTCATCATCACTGCACGTAAAAATAGCAAACCGCCCCAGGCCGGCCGATACTTACACAGGAGGAATCCTGCATCCTCCACCCCCACCCCAAGCAGACAGGCAGCCTGCTGCAACCTTGTGAACTGACTAGCCTGTGCAGCGCCGTCGCAGGCTTTTCAATTCAAGCTTTCGATAGCGTTGAGCAACCGGGAAACTCAATTGGAATGGCATGCAATGCAATGCACGCAGGACGGCTCTTTGGTTTGGTGCAAAGAAGCAGTTAGTTGTCGTCTGAGGGGTGGACGAGGAGCATGCCGTGTTGTTGTTGATTGGTGTGATGAGAATGGGGAGAGGAAGTGTATGTGGTTAAACTTAACCGGCGGAAGAAGTGCGATGGCCAGGCTAATAGGTAAGCATCAGAACGGATATAGGAAGTGTTATAGATAGTACAATAAAGAAAAGGACCGAATGGCAAGGATGGGCAGGATATGGGGAAAAAAATTATGTAAAAATGTATACATATATATATCTATAAAATACAGATCAACGCATAGCCGCTAACCCATCGAAAAGTTGAAAATAGGAAAACAAAAAGGAAGAAAAGGAGAAATATAGAAACTGATGAACACACGCCCTGATACCAAAATCAGAATTGAATCAACCTTTCTTCCCCTTTTTCCGCGATCCAGAGTTATTCGGCCGCTTCTGAGTCCCCCCAACAACAGACACATCCGCGTCAGTATCTACGCCATCCTCTCTACCACCCTCCGCCACATTGCCGTCCGCTGAATCAGCCTCACCAGCTCCCAAAAACCGCCCCAGGGTTCGCTTGTACGCCCAGAGCGGAAACTTCACCGCAAAGGTATCCCGCAGACCGGGCCGCGGAATCTCGTCGACATCCAACAAGAATTCCTCCGTCACGCCGTCCTCGTTCTCCTCTTCCAGAAACACTTTGCCCCCAGCATCGACGATGAGAACCTTGCCGTTCTCCGCCATCACCCGCTTCCGATCGCCGCGGTAGCCGATCACGCCCTCGCCGTTGGGCGTCGCATTGCCAGATGACCGCCCCTTCTTCTTCCCGTCCTTTCGATTCTCCTTATCCATCATCCGCTTCTGCCTGCGGTTCATCGCCACGGCACCATCACCGGGATCCGCGCCTGATCCCGCTCCGGACGCAGCGGCACTGCCATTCAGCTCGCCCAGGCCTGCAATGCCCTTGACACCCAGCTCATCGCCCCACGCCGCCCGCCTGGCGTGTCGAATATAGCGATCCACAAACTCCCGCTGCCGCTTCCAACTTAGCACTAGCGCGCCATAATGGGCCGCGCCGCCAAAAGTCACAAACAGGCCGAACAGCACGCTGCCCAATCCTGGGCGGAAGCGGGAATAGTAGTATCCCGTCCCCTTCCACTTGGGGAAGCCATTGTGCAGGAAATGGTCGTAGCGCTCGCGCTCAGGGCCCTTCAGGATGTTATGGACGACGCCGAGGCGGGCGTAGCGTTCTGTCGCGAGTTTGAGAGCGTGGGCGATTTCGCGTTCCGAGGGGCCCTTGGAGACGCGAACGCCAGGTTTTTGGCGGTTGTTGGTTGTATAGGAGGCGATGAAGGTGCGTTTGGCTTTGTCCGGGTGGAGTTGTTTGGATTTTTTGCGGAAGGCCTTGAGGAGGTCGGCCTGGGAGACGGTGGGTTTCACGCCGAGGAAATCTGTGGGGGAGGTGTTTCTCCCGGGTTGGGGAGTAAGTGTTAGTGGATAATTTTTAGTTCTTCGCAGGATCAATTATATTATTGTTGCTGTTAATGCTGTTGTTGTTGTTGGGTGGTGGTGGTTTTTTTTTTTTGGTTTCAGGTACCTTTAGCCACAGCATAATGGCATGGAATAAAGAAAAGAGTGTCCGGCACTTACCGTAGAAGGTAACATTGAGACCCTCGGTCTGCTGCACCTCATCCCGCAAGCGGAATATCTCATGGTCTAAATGCAGTCAATGACAACATAAACATTAATCAGCCCACATGTACAGTTACATTGCACGCCAATTCAGTGTGTGGGGTTAGGAATGTTTGCGATTTCGCGAACATGGGTTTCGAACCTTCTTTGGTCCACGCAGCCACCAGAGCCAGCAAGGCTGATAGGATGAGCAAGAGCCTTGCCAGCGAATGCCTCATTTTGGGCGAGAAGAGGGATGGGGATTAATATACTGCGTCGTAAGAGGAAGGCTCCTGAGGATGTTGGCGCCCGACGAGGCGGGGATGTGGGTGGGTAAGGGTGAAAGTCAAAAGGAAAAAAAAAAAAAAAAAAATTAAGATGTATCGCGAACGAACAAGCTGAAGCCTTGTCAGAATAGCGTGGGCGAGGCGAGACGAGGGACTGAGACGTAGCAGGATTCCCACTCTCCTGCCCTGGTCGTGTCACTTCTTCGTTTCGTTGTCTGTGTTCCTCTTTATGCTTTTCCCCTTTGTGTCTCTTGTTTCCCTTCTGTTTCGCAGCAGTCTTGAGGATGTTCGTTTCTCCACCGGGCCCCAGAGAGATTTCAACGTGGACCAATCAACCCGTGCAGCGTCGCAGCGAGTTCAAAATACCGATTATCATTATTGAGAACAAGCAAAGTCAAAGGGCCGCACTGGATGTGATGAGGATGTGGGCATCTGCAGACTGCAGGCCGCAGACAGTTGGACAGATATGTATAGTAGTTGTGCAAGGCTACGGAATAAAGGCCGGGTTGGTGGTGATGGTCGTCGCAGAGGGCTAGTATTTAAAGGGCCAGCACCCGTCGTCTGGTTTCTCGATCTCCTCTTTGGCAATCTCTCTGCCTTTCCTTTGGCGTATCCCTTCCTCTTCGTTGGGCTTTCTGGGTCCTGGGCCTCGCTGCGGTGGAAGAGAAAGGTTGAATGAAGCTGGCGATGGGGCCAGCTGGGCCTGCTCTTGGGCAGCCACAGTGAGGCGTTGCCCGAAAAAGAAAAACAAGAAACACTCCGTAAGAGAGATCGAGTTCCACGCCTCGTATCTCAATGCTTAATCCCACTCGGACTGTGAATTCCTCCTGTCTGGAGTGATCTATTGCATTCCTTCGGTCTCGAAATCTACAAAATCCCCCATCTTCAAACCCCGATCGGGCAAGTGTCCACGTGACAGCGCCCTGCCACTGCTGAGTCAGGCTGGCTGAGGCTGAGTCCTGGCGCTTTTCCTTTCTGGGCCAACACTCCTGCTTTTTGATCGAGAATTCGCCGCCGATTCTTCAACGCTTTGACAACTGCGAGAACTTGTTGCATCGACGACGGACGATTATCCTATCCCAGATTCCCATTCAATCCTGCTGCCTTGAGTACTACTCCAGGAGACAAAGCCCCCTTGGAAGAACGGTACGTGGCTCGATTCCCTGTCCTGGCCACCTCTCCATCCAGATTAACCCCTTATCATCAAATTCAATTTCCCCCTTGGAAGACACCCGTTAAGATAGAAAAAAAGATCCCCCCTCCAACAACCTGTCAGCAGCCTTTTGAATCTACCCCTCGTTTTTCTTTTCCCCACGGAACATACATATCCCAAAGTCCAACGCAATGGCCCGTCTTCAGATTCCTCTTGACGCCTTGACGTCGCGCTTCAACCTCTCCGACAGGTTCGCTGGAGTCCGCTCCCAGTCCCTCGCAACCCGCTTCTCCAATCTCAGACCACTCTCGGAGTTCTTCGATATCAAGCGGGTTTCCAAGCCAGCCAACTTCAGCGAGGTCCAGAGCCGTGTCAATTACAATTTGAGCTACTTCTCCAGCAATTACACCGTCGTCTTTGTCATGCTCAGCATTTACAGCCTGCTCACGAACCTCATCCTTCTCTTCGTCATTCTCCTGGCTATTGGCGGCTCCTATGGGATTGGCAAGCTGGAGGGACGCGACCTGGAAATCGGTGGCTTCCGTGCTACCACATCCCAGCTCTACACTACACTACTCATTATCTGCGTGCCCCTTGGTCTCTGGGCTTCCCCACTAACCACTGCCCTTTGGCTCATTGGAGCTACTGGAGTGACCGTTTTGGGTCACGCTTCGTTCATGGACAAACCGATCGAGAATGCTTTTTCAGAGGAGGCGGTCTAGATGGTCGGCCGCGAACTCCTTACGATTCGCCCCTATGGGGAAGACCATCGGGGGCGCGAGTGCGGAGATCGAGCAAGGAGGGTTGGCCGAAGCAGCTGGAGGAGTCTGTTCAGATAGAGCAGCTGGGTATGGTCGACTATGATGATAACGACGACGACGACGATGACAACCAAGGTGTGCGACTAGGTCCGCCGTTCGATCCAAGCCGGTTCAGTGACGCCAACATGCGGGCTCTGCGCCCTGACTATAATTCTAGCGTGCGCCTCAAAGGATATCATGGCGTCGACGACGATGAGTTTTACGGGGAGGATTCCTCGAGTGATGACGATGACGAAGACGAGCATGGCCTTGTTGGCGGCGATGCTAATAGTACAATGGCTTATGCTATGCAGCTGGCTCGCCGGGATAAGCAGGCGAGGCTTGTCGAACGGGCTCTAGCGAAAATACGTCGAGCGCAAATACAAGGGCTATCAAAGGTCAAGCTTTCGCAGCGGGAACTTGATGCTTTGGAGAAGAGGAGGCAGCAGGATGCCCCGGTCGATGGTTCGAAACCCAAAGAAAGCAATGGGCAGCCTGCAATTGATAGCAAGCCTGTAGTTTCGGACAAACGAATACCGGGCGGGTACGCTTCTTCCACGGGGTCTCCCAGACGCCACTCACCGACCCCTGGCAAACCCTCGAGCCCTTCCTCACAGAAGTCCCGTTCGCGAGTGCCCTCAATAAAGCCAACCAGGATGTCGCAGCGCCCGGACACATCGCCCCGCAACAAGCCTCAACAGATCTATCCACATGCCCTTCCATATTCCGTCCCGGAAGACCAGACTGCTCGGCCAGGTTCCTCTCCGTATCAACCAAACAAGCGCCCCGGATCCGGTTCGAGCAGCCATTCAGCATACCCAACGCACTACCACCACCCGCCATACTATACGTATCCAATGCCTGCTGCTGATCCACGCTACGCCTATTCTACACACCCGCCCCGAAACGCCCCACCACCACCAGCTATGGACGCGACATACCAGCCCGTCTACCGCGCCATGTCCGGCGACTCGTACATGATAAACCACTCATCCTCCGACCCTTTCGTTGTACAGCATGCCTCGCGCCTGTGCGAGTCCCCGCGGTCCATGCGCAGGAGCAGCGGGAGCAGCAGCAGCGGCGACAACGGTGTGCACATCGCGGTTGAGAACCCTAGTGTGCCAGCGGGGTACGCAGCGAAAGGGACGAGTGGTGATGGTTCTAGCGGTGCTGGTGGCATCCACGGGCGTATACGCCGTCGAAAGCGTCGTCATTAGTTAATTAAAACCGGCGCCTTATCACTTGCCTTGCCTGGCCTGGCTCGTTCCCTCGTCATCGTCATTGTTTGTGAATTGTAATCAAATCTATCGCTATCATCATTACTGTCGTTTGTCTTTCGTCATAGATATTCTACCCAGTTTCACCTATATACAAAGGATAAACAAAAGAGGATAGACTCTCTTTCTTCCGAGCGGCGTCTCGGTTCCAATCACCCCCCATTTTTTTTTCTTTTCCTTTTCTTTTTCTTTTCGCTTTTTTTCTTACTTACTATTTGCTATTAATTAAATTTTACTTATAAGAGATTCTCGAGACAATTGAAACAGCTTCATGCCATGACAAGCAGGGGAGACAGAAGTTCCTCCACAAATCTCAGAACAACTTGCGGCCGTGTCCATCGCTAGCCGTCCTAGCAAAGCACATTGTAACCCGAACCCTCCAAATCAGAATCAGAGACTATTATTAGACGTCGAGAACGACTGGTTTTCAAACGGCATTTTAGCAGGGGAATAATAGTTTCACACCGCTCAACAATTGTTTTTAATCATATCATCTAGCTTAGCTTTTGATACCGTCAACTTAAGAAGATGGAGAATGAACGATGATCACATAATGAATTATATATCAGACGCTGGGTTAGAATAAAATCCGGTGGAAATGTTGTATCACCACAAAAGAAGGAAGACGGAGTAATGTTAGTCCTCATCGCAATAGTAAAGATCGGCCATGTTTATCTCTTGAAGTTTCTTGAAGCTGTGTGTCAGTCGAGCAACAACATCCTTCTCAACCGCAACTAGCCAGCCAGCCATTTGAATAGGAAGCTTCTGAAGCATGTCTAACTAGACCAAGACACTTGACTTGTCTAAACTTTTTTCTCAGCGCCGGCCACCGCACTTATCCTCACTTTACCTGTTATTTACCTTTTGGAAAGGAATCAATCTCCTCCAACAGCATCTGATACGCCTGATGATGAGCTGTGCGAAGCTTGCTATTAGGATAACCTTAGCAACTTTAAGCGTTCAAGCCTTTCTTTATCGAAACGATATCGAAAAATTTATCCTCAAAAAGTTTTGAAACTTGAAGAATTAGATTTAAAAATTGATGTTAATATGAGCAGATCCCTTCGACCCCCCTCTTTTTAAAAGAAAAGAAAATAAACAAGATATCAAAGAAAGTAAGAGTATAGGTAGGGGCTTATAGAAAGGGAAGAGGCAAGGACTAATTAATCTCTAACCCTAACAATGTGAGCCGCAGCCAAATATAAATACTCTAACCCCTAACCCTAAGACATCGACTTAGTTGGCTAACTAAATACCCTTCAATCGATGGAGTCGACGATGACGATGACATTGAAGCAACTTGAGCCCTCGCTTCCAACAACATGTCCAGCACAAAGCCACAGTACCTTCCGCAGCACCAATCGCCGCTCCTGGGCCGCCTCCCCTTCGAGATCCGCCGGATGATCTGGACCTCGCTTCTCCACCACGCCCCCGAGAGCGTGCACATCGTGCGCTGCAGGGACAAGGCGACAGATCTGCAATACGTCGTGTGCCGCGAGGGCGTCAGGCCAACTTTCCTTGGCTGGAATTGCTGTAAGTTTTGCGTCAATGCCGCCAGGCGGAAGGAGATGGGGTGGGGGCTGGAGTATGGCCGGTTCTGTGGGCTGAAGAGGCCGTTTGGCGACTTGGTGGCGGTGGGGAGGACGTGTTCGTTTGCGTGAGTGTTTATAATATATCTATATATATATATATCTCTGTGGAATATTTCCCGTTCACAATACAACTAACTCGCTTATTTTTTTTTCGCCGTGCGTGGGGTTTTTTTAACTTCTCAAATTTCCATCCAGCAGTGGCCCGTTGTCTTCTATCCCCCGTTCCAAACTCTAGCCATGTGATAACAATAATAACAATAACAATAATAATGCAAATCTGCCCAGCTACGCCGAAACAAGCCCCCACATATATTCAGCAGGCACCTTCATCTTCGCCAACGCCACCAACTTCCTGCACTTCAACTCCGCCGTCCGCGCAGGTCCCCACTGCCTCCAGCACCACCAGCACATCCGCTCCGTGAAAATATACTGGAACCTGGCGGGCGACTTCTTCGTGGGCGATGAGGAGGACTTCCTCATCCAGCTCTCCGTCCTCTGCGACGTGGCCAGGGGGCTGAGTGGTCTTCGACGATTCGTTATCCTCATGCCCCCCGTACATTGGTACGGGCGGGAAGATATGGTAGCAAGGGTACTGGCGCCGCTGGAAAGCCTGCGCTGTGCGTGGGAGCTGAGTATGCATCTTTCATTTGGGGAGGGGGCCAAGCAGGTGGTGGACCTGGGGAGGGTTTTTGGGAAGTTGGGGTGGCGGGGAGCTGTGGGTGGGTATAGACTCCTAAATGACTACGATGCGGGGTGGGTCATACAAGTGCTGGGTGCGCATGGATGATGATGATGATGTATAGCCTATATAACCTATGCTTTGTGGTGGCTTCACCTTGAGCTCCAGTATTGAGATTTTCCATATAGATTTCTGGAGTCTCCAAGGACTTATGTTCCTCACCTCTGTTCTAGATGATAATATTAAGCCTTCCAGGCACGGCAGCGGCGGCCTCTGAAAGGCCACACTTTAGCTCCACCATGAATGGCCATATGTCGGGCCAGAAGTGGATGCACAGCTCTGTGAGCTGACTCTTCTCAAGAATTGCCATCTGGATCCTGTTTCTTTCCCACTGTGTATAAAGAAATCTCTCCAGCTTAGCACGTCCCTATGCCCTCCGGGAGGCCCCGGACGTTACAGTGCTACGCAAGGAGTTTAATCAATATACACTAGTTCCAAAGTAGTTTAGTGTTTACACAGTTTATTGCTGCAACTAGCTATTAATTAATTCCATGCTGAAAAGATAGCACATTCGAGGGCTTAATTCTCTGTCTTGGGCCATAGTGGATGATGACGATGATGATGGGGAAATATAACTGGTAAGATGACAACACTATAAGAAAATAATGTGAAAAGAATATAAAGATTTATTGTTCTGAAGAAAACACATGAGAAAGCTGATAGAAAATCGGAGAATACGGCGTAGTTTGTGTTGGAGGTCATCATAATAACCAACCAAGGTTCAACCCTCTTACAGTTTGAGGTAAATGAGTCTAATTTAAATATCATGTGGCGCTATAGTTACCGCTAACTACTATCCATGGATGTGTTAAATTGCTTTGGAACTAGTGTATATTGATGAAGTCACAAAAGCGTAGCACTGTAAATCTATACATTATACATACATACATAGACGAATATATTCTGAATCAGTTTTTATTTTATTCAACTACTAACCCAGGGTCTCAATGATTTAGCTATATCAATAACTATCAGCTAATATCATCTGATAGTTACTAATTCTCCTAGAAGAAATATATTACCAAAATAACAAAAGCCGGGGATGCCCACTATATGCTGCTGTTTGGAATTAATCTTTATTGCAGATATGGATCGCTTGCAAGCATCCATGGATGAACAAGTAGCCGCAAGGGTGATGACTAATAATGATGTCATGGGGCTTAGTTATCTCAATCGGCGTTGATTTGTGTTGATTTGTGTTGATTCCTGTCATTGTTTGAGGATTCGAGAGCTTGGAGAGCTTGCATCTCGTCAACAGTCTCTTCAGCCAAAACCAAACCTTTTGAACCGCACCCAGCTTTTTTGGGACCGCATTCAAGTGTACGCCCGCGATGTTGGAAGATGTTTCGGGTGCGCCCGATATTGGCCCGGGTCCGAGGTTCCCCCGTTGCTCGATTTGGAGATACTGTCAATTGTGCGATGAAATTGCCCCGTATTAGCTACTAACTACCATGTCGCTTGACATCTCCCGCCTCCTGCGCGCAGTGATCCTTCATTGCAAACCCCGTCCACAACGTCCACAACGGCCACAACGGCCACAACGGCTGCTGGTTGTCCCTGCTGTGGAAGTGACAACCGGGCCGACAGGCTAGCTATGAGCTACCTGATTGATAATCCGTGGGCCTTGATCAAGAACCCCGCTCGCCACTGTCTGGGAATGAGGCGAGTTTTTATTTTCAGGCCGGCGATTCCAGTACTGTCTACCTTTCTACCATATCCATGGCTCAGCTACCCCTCTAGTTCTATTCCTTCCTGCCCAGTAGCTAATATTTATGACACTCGTTAGAAGCCCGGCGCGATGTTTGATGTCCGTTCTCAGGCTATCTCCTCTTTCCAATCGCTGCCACATTTCTCCCCGATTAGAGGGGGCATCATCACATTGGTCTTGCTGGACCTGGATTTGTCTATCCGAACGTCTCCCATCTCCCCTCATTATTAGTCTACCTTTATATACCCGTCTTCACGATTGCGGTGGGGGTATTAAAAACACGATCAGTTCCAAATGTGGATTATATCGTTTTGGATATTTCCCGTAATTGCATCATGCATGTGGCTTGGTGGGTTAGCGTCTCATCCAGAAAGGCGAAACATAAAACATGCACGCAAGTGCTCCTGCAGGTACCAACATGGCGCTAATCAATCATATCTGATAACCTGTGGAGCAAAACAGCTACGACTCTCACTCTCCTGATCATATGGACCGTGGTTGACGGATCCCCACGCTACGAGAGTATGGCGCCATATCAAAGGATCGCATTCATATCAGACATTGGCGCCCAGCGCTTAAAACCTCTCTTCGTCGCCGGTTGCGTGATCACTGCTGTGTTTCTCAGCGCTTCATTTATGTCCGAGAGATGGCTTAGACACAGCGGCCACCTTGCTAGAAATAGAGGGAAGAGAGACAAGGCGTTCGCCATCATCGCTATACTCCTTTCGCTGATCGGGGGAGCGGCACTGATTCTCCTGTCGATTTTTGACACCCTGCGGCACGCTAGGATTCACCAAATATTACTCATGACTTTCATGTAAGGCCTCCTTCTTTACCCCTTGAAAGTTTATTACCCCCTTTTTTGTTTTTTTTTTGTAGACGCAGATAAATATTACATTGGATATGATCTAAATAAACCTCGCCGAGAAAATAGAGGATCATACGTTCTCAGCACGATCTTCGTATGCGCAGAATACTACCGACTCGGCATACATTATCGGGAACACAAAATTATATTCGTGAGCTTTTGGATCAAACTCGCCTTCATCGTTGTTGAGATGGCGCTTTCGATTGCGTTGGTAGTTCTGCGTAGACGAATGAATGACGACCAAGCTGCAATCTTAGAGTGGAGTATGTCAATTCCTCCCGTCCCCTTGTCAGTTATATACCCAACAAAAGAGACGCAAGCTAACCGACACCACTACTCTCCCAACCAGTAATCGCCTACATATTCACCTTCTACATCTTATCCTATGCAGTTGACCTCCTCCCCGCCGTGAGAACCCGCCACCACATCCCACAAGGTAAACGGATAACAGAAATGTCCCAGGCGCTTAACGGAGCCCAGCGGACGACGGCTATTTCTCACATTTCTACACCTACTCTTACACCCTCGCAAACAAATGCTTATTCCGAGCAACCCACCCTTGCCACAGACTCCGTGGGCGATCAGGCAAATATCGAAAAGCCCGCTCACAACCAATCGTCGGACGCCATACAACAGCCTCCAGAGGATCACTTGCATGCTCCAGAGGAGAGTTTAGATGTCTAGACATGACATGATATGACTTTCCTTTTCCTTTTCCATTTCCCCCCCCCCCCCCTTTTTTTTTTTTTTTTTTAATAGGAAATGACCAGGATTTGGGGCAATTGGGCGGTACAAAAATACATAGTACAGGGGGCGTTGTTCTAGGCGTATTTGCGATTTCTTTTCTTTCACCTTTTGTTTTAATAGAGGGAGGTCTTATAAAAGAGGGAAGGGGACGGGAGGACTTGTCCCTAATTCATATTATTAATGCGTATAGATCCCGCGGTCTCGTTTGGGAGGGCGACTGCATCCCAACACACCCCGCGTTTTCTTCCTGAACATGCTATGCTGTTGCTGCAGCTGCAGCTGGAGCTAGAGCTGAAGCTGTAGGACAATCGTTCATTTTTCTCAATCTCCACTTTGAGATCGGTGACTGGGTTATCTATCTCGTTGGAAGACATTGAAATGAAGCCCCTGGGCAAAAGCATTGCTGCGTATGTTTATATTACTACTCGGGAATAGTTCGCCTTCTTTTTCTTTCGTGTATTATTTACTTATTCTCCGATGTCGCTTTTCCGCACTTAGGCCGTCCATCTGCTTCCCAAAAAGCGGGAGCGGAAGGCAAGTGCAATGGCAGATACAATGAATAAGAGCTTTGAGCAGAGAAGAGAGAAACGAAACGAACATGGACAATCTACAAAACTCTCTTCGGAGGTATAAAATAAAATCTACATAACCCTATCTAGCATGTCCCTCCCGGCACCCAAAATCAATTGCGCCAGTATCTATCTATCTATCTATCTATCTAACAGAACTAGAACCAGAACACACCCGCCCCGCCCATCTCAATCACGCCACAAGCAACCCCCTAACCCTCTCCACAACGCCATCATCCACCCCAACAGCTCTCAAATATCCTCGAACCCCGCCATACCCTTCCTCTAAGAACCGCACGACGTCCTCCGTAAACCCATCCGGGCACGTCGCATATTCCTCCGGCATGCCCATGGCGCGCATCTCCGCGAGCCGCTCCTGCAGCTCCGGAAGCAGCTCGCCCTCCGACGTTTGGTAGTCGCTTGCTATTGCCGAGAGAGGGATTTGGGGGCTTGTGGCTGTTTGCGTACCTGTGCCTGTGCCTGTGCCTGTATCTGGATCTGCAGCTGGAGCTGGAGCTGTGTCCGCATCGGGGCCCAGCTTGGGAATGTCACCCTCGACGTGTGCATATCTAGCCCCACCACCACCTAATCCCTCCCCAGCGTTATTATTATTATTACCGTCGCCGTCGTCTTCGCCGTTACTATTCCTACCACCACCATCCCCCATCCTTTCCCTCGTCCCCCCCTCCTCGCCAGCAGGAGACCCGGCCAGTAACAATAGCAGGATTACAACCAACCCTGTCCGGTCCTTGCCCTGCGTGCAGTGCACGAGTGTCGGATACACCGCAGGGTTGCCCAAGTGTTCGAACAGTTCCTTGATCTCGGCCTGGCTGGCCGTTAGCGTATCGAGCGCCAGCCCCTTGAGGCCGCGGGGCACCATGGCCTGCTCGACCACGAGCTTTGTGGCAGCGTTGCGGTAACCGGACGCGAGCAGGGCGATGGCCTTCCTAGACGTTGTATATGTATTAAGTTAAATAGAATAGGTAGATGGGTAATAAAATACAATAAACATATATAAGTAAGTAAAAGTGCCTGCTCACAGCAAATTGAACCAACTCAGGCGCCACAGCAATAGCTTCTCCAGACCCCAGCCGGCCAGACTGACCATAATTCGGCGCACGCCGGGGAGCTGGACGAGGTGTTCATCGTTCGTTGTGGACTGGGTTTGGACAGCTGGCGTGGGCCCATCTTTCGGCCTGCTCGGCTGAGAAGCGAGGTGTCTGTTGGCAGCGATATTATGCTCTGTGCTAGGAGTATAGGTTTCCATTAGCATAACGTACGTTTACTTTGGCTGGGTGGATGGTTGTTGTCCCCCGTCCCCCGTCCCCCTCTACTTACGTTGACCTGAGATCTATCACGGAAGCCAGATGGAGCTCCTCTGCTAAACGGTGGCGGTCTGCTTCTGAAGCATTGTCGGGCTGTGAAATGGAGAATTAGCGATGGTTTGGGGAGCGGAATGGAGTACAGAAACTCTGAGCATTGGGAAGCCCGGATTGTAAGGGATGTCCGGTAAACCAGCGCAGGATATATACATATATCAGGAAGACGGGTACCATAGGAATGAGCAAAAGTATGAAGAAGGAAAGATCTGGATAGAATTTATCCCGTTATTACCCTTGCACTTCGGAATAAAACACCCTCTCTCATCACCCTGAAGAAGAACAGAGAAAAGCATTAGCATGCCTCAAGGCCGATATATATACATATCTATAAATCCATATAGATAGGATCATCGATACATCTCTTGTACAAATTATACAAGTGAGGGGGTCGGGGAACTGGCTTTCCCATACCGTGTTCCACAAAATTGATTGATATATGAACCCACATCCCGGAAATTCAGAATTCTCTCAAACCGGAGGTCCGGGGAATGAATTCGAACGGCTGGTTTGACGGTGGTAGTAGCATCACTGTTTCTGGCGACATCGATATTCGCGTTGAAAGCCCGTGGGATGGGCTCGTGGGGACTCATTTGCGTTGAGGATATCTCTCTTATATGTTCTTGTTTTTGTCTTTGTCTCCTCTTTTCATCTCTTTTCTATGGCTTTTCCCTTTTTAGACACTTAATTACTTTAGCAACATCATCAATTGGAGTAAGTTACGGTTCGATTGCCAACGTTATATTTGGAAGAACATGTTGCGATTGGATGTGTGGTGGCGTCTATCTCGAAGGGCTGGTTGAAATAAATATGAGTAGTTAACTAAATAGAGGAACTCGCAACGTCATTTCAAGATGGTCAAATACTTACTGCAGCTACCGCGTACAGGGAGTCCATCCGCTTCGCTCCAACCCTGACTATTGTATGGGCAATAACCAAATGGTTAGCAAAAAGAAAAAGATTCTCTCAATGATATCAAGCTCCCAAAACTCTAACTTAGAAGTTGCTTTATTGATGCATATGATTTCCAAGCATTTCATTTTGGCAACGCCACATGCTGTTTATATAAAGGCTGCGCAACTTCTTAACCTTCAATGCATTCCCGGGTGCGATATGAAGCTTCTTTCCCTGCAATGCAGTTAGTTAATCCACTGGGATGGTGAATCTTCTATTATTGTTGCGGGAGCAAGCTACTATTTAACTATATCTACAGAAGATGAACTAGACACTGCTTGGCCGCCTTACCCTCTATTTTTTCCCTTCTTCAGATTAGTCCTTGCCTCCTTTTCTTTTCATTTTCTTCTTTTAGAAGAATTATTGATGTAGCTAGGAATAAAAGAATAATAACAACAGTTGTGATTTCAAAGGTTGCTTGGGCCGTGGAAGCTTCTAAACTTACAGTGCTTCACTGCTCAAGCAGCCTTTGCATCGTATCTGATAGTATATCTCAATCAAAGAGAGTAGTTAACTATACACTTCTGATCATTTCATCAATGATATAAATCATAGATACTCCTTTCCCACATAACAATTGGCATCTTGGCGCTCAGCCGGGAACAACCTAATTCCGACGAGTTTAAAGAACGGCGCTTCACTGGGTGTCATTCATTATACAGCTCCAAATGTTTCGGCAACATCTGGGAACTTACCTGGGAGACTGGTGTACATTACCCTAATTTGGTGGCTTGGTTATCTTCGGTTTCTTACCCGCCCTCATGCGCGGGCACGCCAGTCTTCCTCGTGGCCCAGAGGGTACCATTTATGAGGCGAGCAGATTCGACGACAATTTAAGGATTGAGATCAATCCCACAAAGATCAAGTTTACCAAAGTGCTGAAAACATCAGAGGCGTCGTCGATATTCCATGTGAACTATGATGGCATGCCCCGCGTTCTGAAAGTTGTATGTACCTTGATAATCAGTGCATCTCAAACACCAGTTCTGACCCTGTCTAGTTCCACAATAATGAAGATGCTGGGTATGCTGACGACGGGTTCCGTGACTTGAATCGTGCTCGCTGTGAAATTCGGGCTTATTGCAGCCTTAAACGATCTGGCATATGCGACGGGGGCTATGTGCCACAGTTTTATGGATACACATTATCCTTGCGCCCAACTGCCCTTGCTCCTCATCTGGATGCCTTTCAACGCGATGCTGGCCTCCCAAGTGCAATTTTGATCGAATATCTGCCAAAACCTCTGGCAATGAACTGCGTCACTTATAGCAAAGAGCGAATGGCCAAGGCAGTCAAAGGCATTCAACAGATACATTCAGCTCTGATTGAGCACAATGACCCGTATCCCAAAAACATTATGATTGTTCCTGATGACCCCGAAAGAGTTGTGTGGATAGATTTTGATGTTGCGATCACTTACCCTGATAGTTCCTACATTGGCGATAGGGAGCGTGGCTGGATTGAGATTGAAACTAGGCGGGTTGAGAGTGTTGGGGTGAAACTTGTCGGTGTCTCAGACGATGTTCGCTCCTTGTTTCCTTGCCACTGACAAATTATAGGCAGATGACCAGAAACAGGGTCTTCCCCCGAATACAAAATATTACTAGGACGACGGTTCGTCCACACGCGCATGCAGACCGACGCAAAGCGCATCACACCTTTCCGATAATGGGGAACCATGGGAGTATGTACCTGTCTATAGTTGAATCCTTAGTCAAGTCTCACGAACACCAAGCGATTTGTGGACTAGGAGCTATACATTTTTCGCACCTCTCATGTTTACAATCTTTCCAGTCAAATCCCCATTTTCATGACACCTTTGGGTCTCCTGGACAGCGGTTGGGGGAAAAATTGAGAGTACTACTGGCTTGGAAAAAGGTGATATTGGATCAGAAGTTGTTGGCAATTTGAGCTGCATCGCCTATGCTGTTGGCTGCTTGAGATTCGCAAGATCCGTGCACGATCCCGAGCGAATCGATAACACTGTTATCCCTGCACCGACATGGTATCTGGGACACGTGGATTGTTTTGCGATAGGTGATTTGAAGTATTCTGCGTTTACTTTATCACCAGGTACGGAGGCGTGGAAAGTATACTCCTGTGTACGCGTTTCTTTAGGGCCAAAGCTGCCTGCTATACATTGCGGGAGCGGGCCGGAGCAATTTAACCCTCAACTTCAACATCAATATTTAGCGTGCCCAAGGACCTCCGTAGACAGAGGATCAAATTCTATTAATAGTGAAGCTGCGCATGCGGGCGAAAGTGCCTTGGGTGCTGTGGAGCGTCTGGCAAACGTCATTTTCATTTTCGAGTTTACGTTGTTGCGTTCGACGCCCTTTGAGATAGTGTGACAGAAGATGGATATTAAAGACTGCCCCAACTTCCCCTTTTATAGAGAGGGCGACAGTTCGCGTCTGGGCCGCGGTCTCTGGAGAGATGCTCTCGGATAAGAGCATGAAACTCCGCTGGCTGGTTCCATCTCTTAAGGTGAGCTAGATAACTGGGGCAAGAGGTGTCGAGCGGATTTAGTGTTGGATTGTTAGCAGAAGTCAAGCTTAGATTGCGATATGTCAAAATCCACGTTAGGAGAAATCTGATCAATTGCTGAACAGATTCGTTTTAGATGAGTTGGCATCCATATGTTGTAGACACTCCTCATGAATTTGGATGCCGCCTGTTTCTCCTTGCCATCTTGTTCCGTGAAATCAAATTTGCGAATCGGGTGGCGGTAGAAAGCAGTTCTGTCTGCTCCAAGAACAGCATAATGGCCATATACCCTCACTGCTGTGTGGCCATGCGAGATTGAAAATTGCGACAATCCCTCAACCGCTTTTTCAACATAACTCAACAATTGCTCTCACTGCATTAGCTGACTTGACCTCACACTGTATGATAATACAAAATGTGGCCAATGAAGTCCAACTTCTCACGGGGTCTGGCCGGATGAGTCAGCGAGCCGTCAGTGGCCGGCCCTACGTCACCGACAGCGTTCGAACCAGACATCGAGATTGATATCAAGTTTGCCTCCAAACTCTCCGCGACAGCGACCTCAGATGCGAGAATGGCCAACCGAAACTCTCTCCGCTGGCCGATACACCAGCCGTCTCAGCGTCTATCACAGCTATTCGGATCCCATCTGACCCGATTCGGAGTCATGTTGGCTCCCTCTTCCGAAACTACAACCTCTGTGTTGCATCCACTCCATTGAAGAAGTTGTGGGCACCGCCATGTCTGCCGCTATGATTCCCCAGGTCCGGCATCGACCGGATCCTGATGAGAGCCTTGGTTCGTCTTTCCGATTTCCTTGTTTTCTTGCAGCGTTTATCGTCACCCAACCTAACTAACATCTCCTTTGCAAAGCGTCTTCGGCGGCAATGCATGTAGCTCGTTCCCGACCACCAGTGCCAAATTCCCAAAAGAGCCACAAGACTAATCGCACTGGTGAGTGTATTGACGATCCCGGTTCGAGCAACCTGAACTCTCTTAACACATTATGATTCGCAGCTTCACGCCGAACCATGAGCCCACCTAGCTATCTAGACCCAGCCAAACTTCACTCTGGCGACCGAGAATTGGCCTCAGCCGGTGCTGCTGCCAGCTTAGCACATGCAGGATACACAACTCACCAAATAAACAAAGTGGAGACCGAGCACCCTTTGAGAAACCCAGAGCTTACTGCTGCGAGCTGCCAGGCTGCATCTCAAGCAGGGAGGTCACAGGCAGTTAGGAATGCTAAAACATCAGAGCAAAAGCATATAAGCCACGAGAATGAGCGGCCTAAGAGCGATGCTGGGGCGATGCTTGCGGCAACGGACGCGATATCCCATAGCCGCAAGAGAGCGGTGTCAGCTCCTGCAGTGTCCAGCGACGGCAATCACTCCTCCCATGCTATGACCGCTGCTTCAGCATCCCACAAAATGTTTTCCGGATCCGGATCCGGATCGGCACCAGTGCGCGGAGAATCCAAGGTTGAGACCCCGTTGGACGCCCGTAAGGTCCATGCAACCGCCATGGCAAATATCCGCCGCGAGTTCCAACCTGAGAGAAAAGGCAGCCTACACAAACAAGCGGTGGAGGTGGCACGGCAGATGTTCTCAACCGCGCCCCAGGCGGATGCTGCGACGGCTTCCATATATTCGCGCCGTCGTCGGGAACCAAAACCGTTGGCACGTCCGCTGACGTTGCATGAAACAGCTCAAAAATTAGCGTCGGAGAGATTAGCCATGATGGATGATCAACACAGGGCTTTCCGAGATTACTATAGTGCAGCGATCCCACCCAGACGCCAGCGCTCTTTCTATTCGAGATTCAGGAAGCGCGCTGCCAGCGACAGCGGTGTGGTAGACATAGACAATGAACAATCCGTCAAGGCCCAGCCGCGAATGACAACCTTGCAGAGTCGAAAAGACAAGGCATATGCTGAAAAAAGGGCGCGTGACCATGAGTCCCTGATGAAAGCTGCGAGGAAGAATGCAGATGCTACGCTGGACGATGTTGATCGAAGGATTTACGAGTCCACAGGAAGATCACAATCTCGCATGGTAGACAAAGCAAAAACCCGCACAGTTGATGATGAGGATTTAGTTCCTGTCCCTATTGGTGCAGGACAGTTTGTCGCCCAGGAGGAGGTTGACCGCCTTGCAAAATCGAAAACCAAACCTGCCGTCGATGACGTCATGAGAAGACTTGAGGAACAGCGGGCCAAAGTGATAGAGGAAGAGCTTGACGAACGGGAAGCCATTCGCCAGCAAGGATTGGAGAAAGAACGGGAAGAAGAAGCAAGGAGGTCCATACAAGAAGCAAAAGGTCGGGGTCTAATATCCCTCCTATCTATCGCTTTACCCATGAATTGGCCTACTGACAGCACATGACAGAGGATGAAAAGAGAAGCATCAAGAGGCCAAAAGGTACCAAAAAGATTTTAGATCGCCTCAGCAAGCCCTTAGGGGTCGACTTATTCCGACGCAAATCCTCAAAGGCCCGCGGCAAATTTCCAGCCAAAGACGAGGAGGACGCGGCTTCGGGTGCCCCGACTGATCACCAAACTCAGCAGAATGTAGAAGTGGACGGCTGGGCTCAAGTTCCCGAGAAACAAAATCCTTCAATACCCCATACTCCCACACATAGCGCGGGAGAAGCGTCCCAATCCATATTGTTGGAACCGCCGCGCGAAAGTCTCTCCCGGCAGCCAACCACTGCTTCCAACAAATCACAGTCAGGCGTCTCTGAAAAATCCAGTTCGCAATCGAAGTTACAGTCCAGGAAGAAGCGAGACGGCAAGGAGATGGAGCCCACACCATCCGGTGAGTCAGGCAATATTAACGGCTCTGAACCGGGAGAAGAAAGCACGAAACGAAAAACTGCACCCGCGACGGCCCGCACCGCCACGGCTCCTATGGTGGTATCGGTGAATGGAAGAAAGGCGCCAGACAACGGGCCTGCATATATCGAGGCGAGGCCAGCTCTGCCTCAATGGAGCTCATCTATAGAAAGCCCACGAGCGGTACGCGAGCGGCAGCAGGATCATGGTGGAGGCTTATCGAGACGGCTTTCGATGAAGGCCAGATGGAATCTTCGCCTGTTCGGTAAATCATCACGGAGAACTGCCTCGGACGGCACTCAGGGCTCCTTCGAGGTGCAGCGCGAACGTGGCATTGCTCAAAGAGGCGCGCCAGCAACTACTGCGGGTGGGGTGGAAGTCCCCCCCGAACCGCTTCGCACCGTACCCTCACAGAACTCGTCGGTGAATACGCCAACAAATCCGTCGAAGTTTACAGAGAACCTGTGATTTCATTTTCCTATTCATTTCCTTTTTCATTTCATTTCATTTCATTGTTTTTAATTTTGTTTTCTCGAAATTTGGAACATCAACACGGAACATACATTGCTCAACATTGCTCATATTTGGAGTGACATATCTCGTTTTTCATCTGCGCACAATACTGGGAGTCGGCTTTTATCACCGTATATTTTCTATCCATTTCACTCTGCATTTGTTTGCTCCCACATATCTGGTCACGGCATAATATCAACGCTCATCATTGTTGTTTTCTCTTTTCTGCATTTTTCTTGAAAAACTTCAAGCCTTTTATGGCATACTTCTCTTTTCCTTATTACATTGTCCCCCATTTTCAAGTCACCTATCCACTCTCTAATATATCTGCTGTCATAATCAAGTTTGGAAATGTTTCTTTTTCTTTCTTTCTTTCTTTCTTTCTTTCTTTCTTTTCTTTTCTTTTCTTTTTTTTTTGAAATACCGCATTGGCCGCTGAGTGCATTGGAAAATGAGATTTGCAAAAAAGTTTTAAACTCACGGCGAGACACTTCAGTTATCGCTTGTATATGGGCTGTTTTATTTGATACTTAATTCACATGAGAGCAGAGAAAACGGAACGGGAGAATGAGTGCGCGTGGCATGTCCGCCAATGCTAAAGTGCCTAATCACAGGTTCACACTGGCGCTACATTCAGATCATAGTATGGCATAGTATGGATGTGAAGGGGGATAAAAAAAAAAGTCGATGGATTACAGATGCTTGTCATACTCGATTTTTTTTTTACACCATGGGCTATGCTGGAGTTAGCGGCGTTAATATTCGCTTTATTGCTTTTCCTCCGCCAAAAAAATATATGCAAGTTGGGCTGAATGCAGGATGGATAATACGCTACTCTCTGCGTCTATCATAATGTAATAATAAGCTGTTAGGGGGGAAACTATATATATATGTATATTGTTTTTTGCCTGGTTTAAGACAGTGACCAGGTTATTTTCATTGCATTTTGAGTTCTGTTCTTTGAGATAGTTTGGCCAAACTAACCGGCCCTCTTTGATATCATCTCAAGCAAAATAACTCGCCGGGTCTAGTGTCATTTTACGTGCCAATTTATTCCCCCGCCGGCACCGGCAAGATACCCTCATGCCATTTCATTAGACCGATTCTCTGAAGAACTCCTGAGCAAGGTTTCTTATTCAATTACCAAGACCTGTTGGAACTGGTAGATAATAGAGACCCATGAACATCTTCTTTGTGGTCCCATTTACCGTTTGAGCATCGCTGCCCGCAAAGTTGGCCCGACCAAGCTAGATTATTGAACTTGCTCAACAGCAATTCTACACGCCGTGAATAAAGAAATCATGGCGGAACCTCAACTCGGCCCCATAGTTCCAAACAAACCTGCCATCCCACCCACCCGCAAACCCTTGCACGGGAGAACAATCACCCTGGAACCGCTCACCGCAGCGCATTCCGACTCCCTCTTCTCCTGCCTGGGCGGCGCAGACAATGCGAGACTATGGGATTACATGCCGGATGGGCCCTTCACGTCGAAGGCCGACTTCGACAATTTCATCCACTACGCCGCCACATCTGAGGACCGGCTCTTCTTCAGCATCATGGACCACACCGGCCTCAAGGACGCCTACAGCGGCAAGGCGGTTGGCTTTCTGAGCCTGTTTCGCATCGATGTGAAGAATCGCGCCGTGGAGATCGGCTTTGTTACCTTCTCCCGCATGTTGCAGCGGACCACTGCTGCGACGGAGGCTTTCTACCTCATGCTTGCATTTGTGTTTGACGAGTTGCATTTCCGCAGATGCGAGTGGAAGTGCAATGACTTGAACGTCCCGTCAAAACGTGCCGCGACGCGGCTAGGGTTTCTCTTTGAGGGGGTTTTCAGGAAGCATATGATTGTGAAAGGGCGCAACCGCGACTCGGCGTGGTTTTCGATTGTTGATGAGGAGTGGAAGGGAGGGGTTAAGGGGGCTCTTGAAAAGTGGCTGGATGCTGACAATTTTGATGCTGAGGGCAGACAGAAGAAGGATCTGGTGAGTATTAGACTGGGGAAGTAGGCGATTCCTCTCGAACACTGTGCATTGATAATCGGTAAGAATGTCGCCATATATGCTTTTTTACTGTTTATAGGTTATTTTGATTCAAAAGAACCAAAAACTCCCCCATTTAAGATGGAGTCGTTTCTTCGCTTCCGATTTGCAGTTCCGTTAGTTACTACTGGCGAATAAGCAGATTTTGTTATATAGTAACGATTGTCCTCACTAAATTCTTTCATTCGGCTTTTTCTTTTCAAGTGGACTCAACTCGCCTCATAACATGCGGAAACGAAGCTACCCTATAGGGTTAACAGGGAGACAATTTCTGAGATGCGGTATCGAACATCTAGAGCCTTATTGGGCCCAATATGCTCAAGCGGCCATCTATATCTGGTTTCCATCACCGAGCAGATGCCCACACCACGAACCGAAAGCCTACGGCTCCAACACCTGGCTACGGAGAACTGATTCCTCCATACTAGTAGCTATGGAGGGTGCCCAATCGTTCGTCATGAAGTCACCAGCCCCATAGCGGAACCTGGGTTATGCACCGATCTTGATATCTAAGTCAAGCTGTGAAATTCACAAAATATAAAATTTTCGGATAAGCTTTGCCACCGTTTTCCTGGCGTAGGAAGCCGCATTGCTAGTCGTTATGACAATTGCAATGCCCCTTATCAAGGAACTTGCTGCCTTAGCTTGCCTTGCCACCCCTATCACAGCCAGCTATGCTTTCTACGTCTGCAAGGACCTCGTTACGATGACCGCGTTTCAATGGCCGGAACGGCGGAGGTGTCCAGCTACTAGTTACATTTCCCCCCCGCGTGAGACCACGCATCCAGCGTCGCCGGGGATGCATTGATATTTACCTGGCGAGCTGATCAACAAGGCGTGCAGTACAGCGAATTGGCACGCGTGGTGATGGAGCACCAGCGCATCCCGGGAGGACGTTGAAGCTATCGGAAAACTTATCAGGGAGTACGGCTACGCCACCTACGGGATCCCGGTCTGCGAAGAGGATCTACGTGAGTGTGTTCACGACCCGCGCAGTGCAGATGATCAGGCCGGGTATGAACAAGTCATTATCTTAAAGGAAGGCGTTCACCCTGATCTGTTGCGCGCTGGATTGCCCCGACACACCTCAGTGGCTGCACCGTTTGTCCCACGGTGACTCGGGATCAATCCCATCCCTCCCGAGTTCGGCCAACACCGGTATTCCACCGACGGCGAATACATGAGCAGACTTCGGGCTGTCTCAGAGCTTCCTTGCTCAATCGCAGTCTGCGCAGTTTTTTCAGCTCAGCCAATATCTCCCCGCGACTGATCCTCGAATCCCATCAGCATAACAGTCACGATGCGGAAGTACCTTTTCAGATTGGAGCATATGTAGTATAGAACTCGCTTAAACAGGCGACTTGCGAACCGGGACGCCTCATGCAACCCATAATCCCACTTCAGGAATATACTAAATGCGCGTTCGCAAACCCACGTTGTTGAGGCGCTGAAATGGGACGTGCCGTGATAGAACCAGGGGAACCAGATTAATGGTGCAGGTATGTGCGAATGTGAAATGGATAAAACTTGCAAATATAGTATCTTAAGATGGGTTCTCCCACCTTAAGGTTTGATCCTTTGGTGTAGCGATAGACTACCCACAGCGAGGAAACGGTCAATTGTTTAGTTGGACTTGACCCTGATGTGCCGCCTAACGAGCAACAGCAGCCGTTGAGGCGACGAGCGTTATAGAGAGTTTACCCCATAGTATAAAATAGATCAGAATAGAATTTGTACTAGTATTAAAATAATTTCTGGCCTCGGTCAGTTTGACACCTGGCTGAAGTATCATGCAATCAACTCCTTCGAACTCACGATGGGTACTAATAGTAGTTTGGTAGTTATCAGAGAACATTGGCTCATCTTAGGGAAGAGTTTCCACCGTGCAATCGAATAGCTTCAATTTGGAATATCCACAGAAACCTAATTATTCATTCTTCTGGAATGGATCCATCGGAAACTTCTTCGTGCCATGTTGTCCCCACAGTTCCAGCACCAGCATCCGCTGGCCCTGCCCCTCCCGTTCGCTCAAAATGTTCCACTTTTCAAATTCGCTAGCTTCATCTAGGCAATTGGCCAGGGCGCGAGTGTCTCAGTCGGCTCGTCCATACTCTTGGGCTCTCAAACAGCCCATCTGAGTCCTTATCCAAACAGGATGCATCCTCTCAACTTGACTGTTGTCGCCCTGGCACCTTTCAAAAGCAGTCATTGTCATTGCATCGTGGACCTGCACATCAACATATTGCATTCTCTGAGTCCTGTCGTCACTTTTTGTAGTGACCAAGCAGCAGTGAAATACAAATTGAGCCCATGGCAGGACGAGCATAAAAACGCATGCATATGAAAAAGGATTTGGCAGCCGGGGGCTTTATTGGCCAAGATGCAATAATGTGAGGTCGACTGTCGCACAACATCAGACCGTAATCTGTATTTGCCATTTGCTCTGATATTTAGTTATGATTTCGACCCGAGGCTTGGGGCTGAGCCGATCAAAAAAGGGTTCATGCCTGAAACAAGGGAGATTCCCAACGTTGAATTTCGAACTACCCCCGATTTGATTTAGCCGCCTGCAAAGATCCTGGGTTGTTTGTGGAAAACTTACGCGGTGGGTGCTTGACTACTTACTATATACACAACTGGGCATCTCTGCATTTGGGGTCTTCCTCCAGACAGCACAGAACACGTCTCGGAGCCGATTATGCGTTTTTTGTTCGATTGACCTTCAGCGGCTGGTCGTCTTCTCGGTCCTCTACGAATATAATATGGGGCTGCCCATTTTCTCCTGGCTCCAGCGAGCTGTGCAACGTCTTTCCCGTGTCCCAGAGCATCAAGCGAAGCAAGGTCAAGATATCGCGACTTCGACAGATGACTTCCGCCGGACCATGGGCGCCGGTAAATGCACCGTGACCTGGGTATCCGGGCAGCTGAACATTCCCTGCCCTTGTTCCAATGGCATTTTCGAAGTTCCTTTTCCGACTGACAGTGTTCAATGCCGGCTATGCGCTCATGCTTTGTCGAACCATGAAGACTTTGACTTCATTGTTCCTCCACAAAAGGCGACGGCTCCCCAAACATCTCTACAGAATATCCAACTACAGACTGTACCGGAGAGGGATCTAGAAAGTGATCACGCTCAATTAAACAACCCCGGACCCCCTGACATAAATTCGCTTGAAGACGAGTCTCCTAGGATATCTCGCGATGTAACGGTAAGAGCCTTGTGGAAACGGGTGAAGGAGACTGGAGTCGTTCATATTCGTGGTACTCCAGCCAGCGGTAAATCTAATTTGGCTCGCCTCCTCCGCCGTCATGTTGCGAAAACATCAGAAATGCCGGTTATCAGCCTAAGCTGGCCGATGGACTTCCCCCAAAATTTGCCTACAAACGCCATGTACTACAAGCTATTGAACGCCATAACTGTGAGGCCTCTTGATCTGGATGATTGGCTGGAAAAGCGCGTTCTCCTTATTATCGATGAGGCGCAAGGCTCATATCCTTATACATCTTTCTGGAATGACTTCATAAAGTTCATTTCACCCGGTCTTGGCCCTTGCGTCGCCATGTTCTCATCTTACGGTTCGCCGTCTGGCCGTCCACTTGACGAGCAAACGCCTACCCCCATTCTACTTCTCCCATCCCAACGAATATCACTTCTGCGTACCCCTATTAATCCTGACGTCGGATTGTACTTTTCACTTGAGGAGTACCATAGTGTAGTCCGTGCTGTGTGCAAATACTACGGACAGGACGGTCAGCAGTTCTTGCTCTGCGAAAACTTAAAAAACTTCATCTGGGAAATTACTTGTGGGCATCCGTCAGCTGTCAGGTCACTCCTTGATGGATTGGCTTGTGCTGATGTATGTATACCTACTCCTGCTCGGGTTATTTACATGTCACTGATCAACAGTATTAGGCTTTCCGCGAGTACCGCAAACGATCCACTGAGATCACTCTTGAAGCTGCCCGGGAATTTCTCTCGGATGATGCGTCTTTTCTCAACTGTCTTGAGAACAGCAAAATGCACGGCTTTTGCCGGGGACTACCAGCAAAATATATGCTCCAAGCAAACCCATCTGTTTCCCAATTCCTTCGTGAAATCGTTGTGGATTTAGTGTCAACTGACGACCCCAATTCGAATCCTGCGCTTAATACGTGTTATCGCAAAGGATGGCTTCAAGCTGAGCTCTTGGAAGAAAACAAGCCAATCTACATATTCTCGACCGGTATTCATCGAAGGTAAAAAAATCCGCACCCATTGCAAATGTAATTTTAGTGACCCATGTATGACATATAGATATATTGAACATCTCCTCTCCATTGACACTCCACCTTTCCCCTTTCATCTTTTCCCCACTATTGAGGATTTGAGTTTCGCCGCTATCCGGGAATTCAAGCCCGCTGGATTAAGGGTAGAGCAACGAGGCTCAGCTTTTACACCAGCTACCCGTCCCCTCGAAGCTACTTTCCAGAATGAGTTCTACCGCGCTTGCTATGAGCTCCTCGGGAAAAGATTATATCTTTCTTCTGAATGGACCGGGACAGCGAAGGGGGGGCGTGTGGATTTCCAGGTCAGGGGGACTCGTTGGGCGATCGAAATACTACGCGATGGGGACAATATCGATGAACATGTCGCCAGGTTCCAAACCGGGGGTAGATACTTTCCTTGGCTCCAGGCGCAAGAGATACAAGAGTACATAATTCTAGACTTCCGGAGGACGCAGCCACCGAAAAAGCTAAGTGAGAATCCCCCTTCAGGCTCTTTCTATTTTTTTTTTTTTGGTTCTATTATTATTATTATTATTATTATTATTATTTTATTCTTTTGGTTGCGTATTGAAATATGTTCAATTTTCTAACCCACCCGATTTAGGCTATAACCGCGTATTCTATGTTGTATTTTCCGAAGACTATACGATGTATCAGTTGTTTAACTCGAAACTGGATCGTATTGGGGATTCTGTTGCGCTTCTGGCGTAAGCAGCAAATGGTAAAATTACGATTTTTTTTTATCAGGGCTTCTTAGCAAACTAGGTTTCGTTTGATCGTTTCCTATCTGCCCATCAAAAAACTAGCCATTACAGAACTCGAATTCCCCATATCATCACACCTATCATTTCTCATGCTATTCCGTTCCAGTTGGATATGAAAGACGAGCATGAACGTGTCTTCGAAAAATTGCTTTTGATACCCCAACGCTTAAGTAGTATTTTTTCCTCTCATCTTCCTTTTCCCCCATTTTATTCCTTTGTTTCAGCGTAGCGTCCGTTTTATATTTGAAAAAGCAAAACGTTTAATGCATAATCTCGTTTCGCCTAGGTCTTCTCTAGAATTTCAATTTAGGTCTTGCTAACAAAAGATGCGCCCCCATATTACGGCATATGCGCATATATCCAAATACCTAGATTATAGATTTAAGAGAAAATTTTCCAATATATAACAAGCAGTCCCACTCGTATTCTCAAGACAGCTACACAGCACGACCCACAGCCTCTATCGCTTAGAAACACCCAAAATTCGGGTTCTTGTTATTTACTTCCATATTTGCCGGGATAGCGTTGGCTAGAAATCCCTAACCCTTAAGGCACCTCCGCGTGTTATTGGTCATCGACCTACCCAAGACGAATGAGGGGGCATTTCCTTAGTTTGCCAATTCGTCTCTATTAGGCACATACGATGAATCCTTCCCCCTCTCCCCCTTCCCAATCCTTCTGATGTTGAAGAACGAGATTAAAAAGAGGGAAGTTCATCACGACGAATCCACTCGGAAATAGGTATATAACCAATCGCGCTAATAAAGCTCGCTGTTAGCACTTGCTTCGCATCATTCCTTCTGAATCACTGAACATTGCATATACTTACAGGTTCATACAAAAGTTCGCATGGCACAGTGCTGCTGATATCGATTTCACGAAACCAGGATCTTCCATATTTATTTTGAAAAGATGAGAAGTTCATTTTCAGGCTCCTTTGCTATTTCCTTGTCGGTCTGATCCATCCACCAGTCTTTTATGCGTCTTGCTTTGACTAGTACAGTAGTTGCTTCGGATTAGACCTGATTCAAAATATTTCATGGGAACGCATGATGACAAGTATCTTACTGTCTAATATTGCCTCTTCCCATTCTCTCTCCCTCCTAGCTCCCTTGACCGTATCGAGAAAAGTTCTATAATCGAACTGTCAGCTAATGCTCTTCTGTGATATTCTGAAAGGCAATGGGGGATGAAGAAATGAGAAATGAAGGAAGATAGGGAAAGAAAAGCTTCAAATAGAAAAGAGTGCTAATATACCTTAGCCTTTGTAGGAGATTTTTGATCCTCGCTTTCCAGATGGTGCGTCTTTTAACCCGGGGATATAAATCCACATATGGAGGAGGACTCTCGTCCGGTATCCACATGATGTATGAGCGATATAGCAAACGAAATTCGCAAAACTTGTGAATATCACATGAGATGGGAGTAGAGATATGGGACGGATACATAAAATGATATGGGACAGGGTCAATAATATCTAGATCTGAATGATGTCATTTTAAGGTTAAGCCCTAAGCCCTAAGTTACGGCTACACTAACTGAGTACGGTATAGATCGAGAATTATACACTAACCTTCCAGGCGTTGTAGAGAGTTAAACTCAACTGCGAGGAACTATGAAAAGGATCGAGCAGTATACTAATATTTGCTAGTGGAAAGTTTCTCCTATGACGCCTGCAATAATTTCCGATATCACCCAGCGCGAACTGTATTCGACAAATGTGCGCGACGTAACGTACCTGAGAGTCCACTAACTTGAGCCTGCTGCAAATTATGCTCCTTGAATAGATTCAGGATTGTTGCGTAGCATCACCCTGAGGAGGAGAGGCGGAGGAGGAGGAGAAGAGGAAATCCTTTGGGTTCGGTCATAATTCCGGTTCCATCGCTAGTTACCAATCATCACAACAATGTATTAACAAAAGCTATTAGGTATCGAATCCTTTTTTCCTGATCACCCGCCCGCCGAACAGTCTGCCAGCAGGCCAAAAAACATCTGCGAATGAATCAATCCCTTGTCTTCATTTGGGCTCTCTTCCCCGCAATAGTTAGTTACATCGGAGATGAATTCTGTCCTGCACACACATTGCATTCCATTGCTGAAAAAAGTCAATCTACGTTCATTCTAATTGTTATCGTGTTGGATATTATATATTATCGTATCCAGCTTGCCCCTGATTTCTGCACTTAATATTACCAATGAGGACCGAGCTTGCCGTTTCCTCTGGAGTTAGGGGATGAATTGTATCAGTAACTATGAGCCATTTATTCCTCTCGTTGCGAATATACCGTGGGACTTTACTCCGTGCTAGCGAATATGCGTATAATTTGCAATGTGTTAAATACGGCCAATGAGAGGATGGACCGGTATCTAAATGACTACAGTTGATTTTGGATCATGTTGAGTTGATGAATGTATTTGCCTCCGACATGACGACCCGGATACAGATGCTTCAATCGCCATCAAACAGATAAATAATTCGTCTCGCGACAGTTAAAATTATCCTTCTATCTACAAGATTTCCCATTTGCCATATTTTGCCTCAAAGCCAAGTCGGCTTTATAGACTAACATCTTTATTCTATACGCTACGAGACTTATCGCTACGAAAAATGGCGATACAAGATGATCTTCCTACTTCTCTGAAGGAATCTGTTGAGTCGTCAAAGGCGGAATACACACAATTGACAAGTCGGGACTGCGAGTTTCAATTCCAATTTTCGAGACCATGAGTTATTCTATTTTTTGTATGCAGTCCCATACCTAAGTCTATTTGACCCCAATTCTGCAGGTTTCCAATATTATTATGGTAGCAGAAGTGCTAGATTTCCAAATGCACATGGTAAAATGTGGAACTTGATCTAGTTACCCTGCCATAATAGACAGTTGGAACCGTTGTACCAAAATATATACGTACTGTATTTTGTGCCCAGTGGGCTTTGAAAGTAGATAATTAAAGGGAGATTTGTATAAGCGGCAGAAATGGATGAAGATATGATACAAATGAGATTCATAAGGAAAGGTAGCCCAGGAGTAGAGGGGTGGGAGTCTGAAAATACCCTGGAACTATACTTTCCCAAAAATACCCTGAGAGGTTGTCATCTTGCTCCCAAACACAATGAAGCCACCAACTAAGCACATGATACCGCTGAAAATGCATGCTTCAAAAAACCCATGGTACTTGGCAACCAGTGCCCCGTTAACTGGAGGGCCAATCAAGATCGCGACAGAACTAATCGCCATTCCCATTCCTAAATAGGTGCCAATGTCCCGGTGATCTTTAGCACAGACGCTGAAGGCTGCGGCAATTCCAGACATTATGGTGCCCGAAGAGAATCCAAACGCAACCGAAAATACTACCAACGCGGTAGTACTTTCCGTCTCGTTCATACAGGACACGATGACGCCAGTGACGATCGAACCGATCCCGAGTATATTTATTCGGCCGAATTTATCCGCCAACACACCGGGTATGATCCGTCCCAAAGCGGATGCGCCGTTGATAATTGCTAACATATAGGAGGCGAGCGTTGTGTCCATACCCCTACTAACGGCATAGGTGGGTAGAAACCAAATTGGTGTGGAGAAACCGATAAACACGAAAGACGCGCCTATAATGAGAAGGACATACTTGACGTCTTTAAAGGCCGCTTTAACGAAAAAGTCGGTTGTTCTCGGCGGAAGACGGGTCCTGACTGTAATGCATGAGAAGACTAAACCAGGCAGCACGGCAAACCCCATTATCCGAATGGACCATCCGAAGCCAAGAGAAGAGTCGTTCAGCATCTTTGAGAGCGCAATAGGAAATATAACGCCGCCCACTGATGACCCAGAAACAGTGATCCCCAAAGCAGTTGCTCGACGCTTATCAAAATACTGAGATACAGCAGCGATTGCTGGGACCAAGAAGAGCGCCATGAGCATCCCTATGACGACCCCTTGCGTTAGCATGAAATGCCAATACTCCCGGCATATGCTGACCATCATAACAGAAAAAATGTAGAGGATAGCGGCTGGACGGAGGATCTACTCGCATGTCAGATTTCCGATTTGGGTACAGGGACTTAAGGGAGACATACCCAGCTGCCATACCGATCGAACAATGGTCCTGAAATTGCCCCTGCCGAAAGCTGGAGAAAAGTTGCTAGCGATCCAATCCAGGCGATATCATCCGGAGGCCGATCGTGGAGCTGGTGAGCCAAATAGTATTCTTGAAAAACGCCAAAGGAGTTCGCATAACCCAGGGTGGAACAGAGGATGAAAAATGCCCCTGCGACGACGAGCCACGCTCGGATTCCACCATCTGGCGTTGCTCCGAAGCTCTCGGGAGTCTGTTCATCATCAACTTTGATTGCCGGTATTGGGAACATCTCATCTTCATTGTTCGAAACCACGGTCTCTGATTCAGCGTCCTTCATTTTAACTCAGGGCGAGGTAGCTGACTGACGCAAGGTATACGGGGTGGACTTTTGCCGAAGTTCGGCAAAGGTGACGTGCTGCAATCTGACAACAGACAATCCATCACGAAATCAGATAAAACGATGGAAAGCCTTATATATCCAGAATAATATGCTGGTATCAATTGTAAATATGGTGTCTAGCTAGCTGTTCGGATGTCAGGGCTTCCGTGTCAGGGGAAGTCGGAATCGGCATGTTATCCAATGATATTGCATGGAAGCTCGGTAAATGGCGAAGCATACGGACCAAAAGCGCAAAAGCCGATTTCGGCCCGGAGCTGATCGGAGCTTATAGGATCACATATTTTGATCCATTGGTTTTGCAAATAGGAGGAATACATCGGAATTACAATATCGGGAAATTCTCTCCAGGGGCATCTGGTGACAAATCTTTGAGAAACTGGAACGTGGAGCGACAAGGAGCAGACAGGAAAGCCGATAGCGAACCCGATAGCGAACCCGACAGCGAACCCGACAGCGAACAAAGGATGGCCGACCAAGAACGGAAGAGGCGAAGGCCTGCTGTGTATGTATCATAGAAGACCGGGATTTGTGTAGCTCTTTAATAACAAACATCATACAGTTCTTGCGCTCTCTGCAGACGGCGTAAAATTCGATGTAATAGGCAAACTCCCTGTGGAAACTGTGTGCGTTCCAAGAGCGGTCACTGTGTTTATGGCGATGAGCCACTCGGAACTCCATTACGCAATCTTGCACCGGCTCAAGGATCACGGAAGCAAGTCCATGTATTGCCTGCTTCCGAGTCTCCTAATGTTGGAAGTGACTCGACGACAGTAAGTCGAGTGGTAGGGTCGATAGTGGCAAGCTCAGCAACCCCCTTGACTGCTGCTTCTCAGCCATCCCATGAAGTGGAGTACTTGAAGAACAGGGTTAGATTACTTGAAGAGCATTTATCCCAAGCAGCTGCGAAGGCTGCGGCATCTCCGAATTCCACCTCAACGCCAGCTTTAAACATAGAAACAACATCGTCATCCCTCGCAGGAACATTCTCTGTTCGTCGCGAAAGCCATGCACCGGGAGGAACACCAACTATCAATCGCGGTATCTTTCATAAAAGTCGCCTATTTGGACAGAGCCATTGGGCTAATGGGATGGTACAGGTCAGTTGACTCTACCCGGTAGCGGTGGGGGGGCGAAGCGAGAAGAAATTTTTTCTAAAGTGCAGGAATAGCTCCTTCGAGGCCTTCTCGAGATAATCGAACCACATATACAGAATAGATCCAGACTCGCTTCCGGCCTACAGAGGTGTAAACTGCTAGCAAAGATCATAAAAGCGCAGTTGGCACCTCCGTGGCCAGTACCACCAACATCCGATTTACCACCAAAAGCCCTCGCCGACAAGCTCCTGGACTGTTATCTGCGAACCACAGAGACGATATATCGAATCCTCCATATCCCCACGTTCAAAAAGGATTATGACGAGGCATGGTTAACCGACAAAACTCCGGACACAGCGTTCCTCGTCCAACTTAAGCTGGTACTCGCCATCGGGGCTACCACATATGACGAAAAATTCTCCCTGCGCGCTTCAGCCATTAGGTGGGTCCATGAGGCCCAAACGTGGCTTGCAGAACCAGAATTTAAAGCAAGGCTAAGCCTCCAAGTACTGCAGACTAATCTCCTGCTGCTTGTTGCTCGGCAAACGGCAAGCGTCGGTGCAAGTATGATCTGGATTTCAGCAGGCTCTCTCATTCGAAACGCAATATATATTGGGTTGCATCGGGATGCCGCATGTTTGCCGGAAGGGACAGTTTTTTCTATCGAGATGCGCCGGAGGCTGTGGAACACCATCTTAGAAATAGCTCTTCAATCGAGCCTAGACTCCGGGGCGCCCCCTCTCATTTCACTACAAAGCTTTGATACCGAACCACCTCACAACTTTAATGACAATCAATTGATGCTTGGGAATCTGCTTCCAGCATCAGATGATACCTTCACACAAATGTCTGTTGCCATCGCCCTCCGTAAAACATTTCCAATTCGCCTTGCGGTTACCGAATTTTTGAATAATTTTCAATCCGCTAGTTCGTACGAGGAAACGCTTCAGCTCGATGGCGCATTGAGGAAATCATATAAAGAGCTGTGTCGTACACTTCAAGGTCTTAACTCAGCCACAGGGTCCTCCCCCTCTCGATTCCAAATCCAGGTAGTAGACTTCATCATGCATCGCTATTTCTTGGCTCTTCACATCCCTTTCTTCGTCCCGCCTTTACGCGAGGCAGCCTATGCGTTCTCTCGGAATGTAGTAGTGGACGCGTCGTTGAAAATCTGGCGCGCTGTTCTGCTTCCCTCTTCTCACAGTGATGAAATCTCTCCACTAAATGGGGACGATCTAGAGCGACTGGCAATCTGTGGATCTCAATTCTTTCGCGTGAGTGCTTTGCAGGCCTGCTTTATGGTAGCAGCCGAACTCATATTCCAGCTCCAAGAAGAGAACAGCTTAAGTCCTGCACCCTTACGTCCTGATCTACTATCAATAGTAAATGATGCTGTGAATTGGTCCTTCCGGTGTGTTGAGGCCGGAGAGACCAACATCAAGGGACATCTCTTCATGTGTTTGGTAGATGCGCGGCTTGACGGACTCATACGAGGCGTAGGAAAAGACGAGCTTCCAGCATCATTAATCAGGGCAGTAGAAAACGGCCAGGAAAACTGTTTGCGAGTCCTGGAGGAAAGGGCTGCTGAGGGCCAGACAGGAGCGAGAGTAGATTTGTTTGGCAAAACGGGGATTGACACGCCCAAAGGTATGGAAGACTGGGATATTATGGTAAGCGGGCCGCTAGTGTCATGAATCTAAACTGTCATTAACAAGAGATCAGATGCCGATTGGCCAGTTCAATTTCGATAGCGGAGATCCTATGAATTGGTGGTTTGACGATGAAACGATGGAACGTTTACCACTCTAGTTATGAAGCGAGGGAGCAGTTGAGTTTTCCGCAGCATTGAGAAATATTTCGGGTTGAGAACTTGGTGTCCAGCCAAATTGCTATTATGCCTGACACACTCAGTTCCAGAATTTATATCCCTGAAAAACATGTGGCTTTAAATTTGCGGCTGCTCCCAATATAACTGTTGTCCGCACTCAGCTTAGCGGAGAACCGGATGGTTGAAGGGGCTAAGAGGAAAAGAAACGAACAGAATTCTGATTTCCCGCCATCAGTTATATTCATGGTATTTGCTAATATTTCGCAAGACCCAGCAGTGTTCCCAAGACATAGATAGAAGTAGAGACCGATTCTATTATATGTATATGTTGTACAATTGGGTATTGACCTCCCTTCCGCTCTTTCCGAACTTTAGATAAAGCACCAAAATTGTGAATGTTGCAAAAAGCAACTTCCTTCCAATCTTAGCGAGAAGTCAAGATACTTGTCAAAAGCCAAAATAAAAAAAGAATAGCAGAGCTTCGTAAACACTGTGAAAAATGTAAATTCAATGGCGAAAATAGAGGGAATCGGTGATCTAATGACAAGGGGTGATGAGACAACGCGAAAAGAGGTATAGAGAAGCTGGGAATATGTAATGAAGTCGCAAAATTTGTAAAGCAGAAACGAGGTTTGGGGAGGATATGAAAATTAAAAATGAGGAAGAGAGAGGTATATAAAACAAGAATGGGGAGGTAAATAAGAAATATTCCAAATGAACAATTCAAAATACAATATGAATGGGGAAGAAATAAAACGGGGCCGAATGAAGAATGTGCAAAACAGACCGGGCCTAAATAATGGGCGCAGTTTATAAGGAAATAAAGGAATAAGGACAACAGTCTACCAGGGAAAATATAAAATGGTGGGGGGGATAAAATCACAAAAATGTAACCTTAAGCGAAATAGGAGGGAGGGGGATAATAACTTGACTAAACGTCTAAAGAAAATGGGTGTGTAAATGTGTCTTGGGTAGGCAAGATAGGGGTGCGATCGAAGGGCATTTAGGGGGATGAGGGGAGGGTTACAACAGCTAAAAATTGTAAACCCTCTTGAGACGACGTAAAATGAAATATAATGCAAACGGAAGCTGCGTTGCGGATACTCCTTCATGTAATATCGCCGAAATAACTCAGTCGAAAGACTCTCTTTAGAGTGATAGGAGATCGGTCCCCTCCGTATCACTTCTCACGGCGCATGGTTCTTTTTAGGCCAAGCAGCTGCAACCTCCGATATCTCGAAAATCGCAGGTATGCCAGGCACGATGAGAGTCATTCCTCTCCAACAGCGACTTTGGGTTCCGCAGAAGTGGAATGGCTTGTAGGTGGCCTGTCCGCAGTGGGAATCGCCTCGTTAAGTATTACAGATGGCAACACATCACCACCATGACCAGAGGACCCAGGTTTCTCAGCTAGTGACGAAGAACGGGGAGGATGTGTGGTCTCAGAACCCATTGGCTGTTCTGTTGGATGGAATGGAGGATATTCCGCCTCAAGGATGTCTGCAGCGGGAAGGAGATGTGGCTCGTTGCTTGGCTGTTCAATGGTGTTCCGTGCTCGTTCGAACTCGAGGGATACCCTTGCATCCAGGTCGGACGGTGAAATTGGTCCTGGATCAGTGTTAATCGTAGGGGCATCATCGGTGGAGCTTCTGCAATCCATGGAAACCCCGCTTGCTTCCTCATCGGGTTCAAATGTATCCACTTCTTCGATATCCTCATCACAATCGAACGGAACTTCATCCTCTTCCTCAATAATTTGGCTTTTCCTTGCACCAGAACCAGCGGCTTGAGCCCCGGAGCTCGCACCGACTACACCGTCCCTCGGTTTGGGCAACCCTGGAGTGCCGGGCCCGCTTGAGGCTGATACAGCAGAAGTGGCAAGGGACGGACCCTTAAATGCTGACCTTTTTCGGCGAGCGAAAACAAGCCCCGATACTGGAGAAGAAAGGAGGGAACTCGGAGCAGCTTCGTTAAAAGCACTATATGCCGCCCCTTTAGGATGGGCGGAACTGCCAACAGCTGATGGTCCACCACCTCGGACAAGCCTGATACTACTTGGGAAGGGGATGCTTGTACTTGGAGTGGCAGGTAGAACTTTGACAGAGGGGTGCGGAGATCGGGCAATTGCTTGCTTGGCCGTAGCAATGGGTGTCGATACCGTATTGGTACTATTTGAAGAGATGGACGAGGTTTTAGAGTGCGAGTGCACATGATGAATACTCCGAATGGACGAGACAGACGAAGAAGTGGATTTCCGCCCACGTAAACCAGTGGAAGAACGACGATATGAGTTCCGGGGGGTAAGAGGCGAAGGGGATAAGGAATTACGTTTATGAGTGGCACTCGTGATGCTAAGTGGTCGTGGCTGGTGGGACAGGGAGCCCGAGCGAGCAGCCCCAGGATAAGAGGCATTGCTTGGTGTGAGGCTGCTTGCAGTAGATGAACGTTTCATCTGAACTGGGGTTTGCTGTGTCCGGTTGAACGTCGCATTAGTAGGGGTTGTTTGGGCTGGTTTGGCTGCGGGATCCTTATTCTTAGGTGGACTGGATTTGTCGGTAAGAAACTTAAGCGATGCTGCATGAGAAAATGCTTTCGAGTGAGGCGACTTGGCACGTTTCGTTGATTCAATTAGCCAATGCTTAAGAGATGCGAGTTGGCTGATTATAGGATGATGTCGACGACGTGCGCCATGTCGTCTCAAGATACTCTGCGGGTGCGATAAATCAGGCTGAGATGCGCTGAGATGTAGTGTACTCGTACGTGATCTGCGATTTTCTTTCGGGGGAGGTACTGGTCGATGGCGAGATGAGCTTGCTGGCCGGACAGAGGAATCCTTCTCGATTGGCGGCGGAGGAAGGGAGGAGGCTGGGGAGGAGACGAGGGAGGCTTCCGGTAGCTTAGGAAGGTCTGGAACTATAATTTGAGCTGCATCATGTTAGAATTAATCGCCATTACATATTCGGGGGTCAGTCAACTAGACGCACGGTTTGGTATGCTTCTCCTATCTCTCCTGCCCCTGCTTCTTGGTGGATTGGTAGAGTGCCCTTCCTCATCAACCTCGACAAGTGCAGCTGATATCCGTTCGAGGCGGCTACTGGCTGCGCTCAATCGACGTAAATTTTTTGCTTCAGCCTCCCTCTCACGCCTTTTCCGCTCCCTTCTTTTCTCCTTCCTTTCTTCCTTCTCTATTAGAAGAGCCCACCAGCCTGCCAGCGCATCACAACGCTGCGCAAGTACGCTTTCAATTACCTGATCTATATTTACCCCGGCACTTCTCATCCTCTCTAGCGTGGTTCTTTCCAGAGGCGTTGAGAATGGAGCAGGTCGGGCTAATTTCAAGATTGCTTGTTGCTGTGGGGAATGCTCGCTCAAAAACGGATGATTCAAGACTTCGGACAGGGTAGGCCGGAGAAGAGGGCGTTTAGATAGTAACAGACTGATCAGTGACCTTACATCTTCCGGAAACCGATCGTTGTACTTGGGGTCCTCTACTAAAATCCGCTTTTTCGTGAGCTGGTCGTCATCATCATCGAAGGGAAGCTCTCCAGCAATAAGAGCGTAGAGAATGATTCCCAAACTCCAAACGTCCACTTTCTCCCCAGCATATTTTTCACCCTTGAGCATTTCCGGCGCACTGTAGCACACTGTCCCGCAGAATGTTTGTAGGTAGCTGGCCTTTCCTTCATATTCCCTTGTGAAACCGAAATCGCATAACTTGACATTTTCGTGCTTGTCAAGCAAAATGTTCTCTAACTTCAGATCACGATGCACACAAGATTTGCTGTGGACGTAGCAAACAGCCCCAACGAGCTGAGCGAATATCCGTTGGACTTTCTCAAGCGGCATCGGTCCATTGCGGCTAAGATAGTTGTAGAGTTCATCGCCTGGGCAATATTCCAACGCTAACCAGACAAGATTCTCGGTCACGATCACTTCGTACAATCGAGCTATATGCGGATGGAGGAATTGACGATGGTGGTGAATCTCGCGCGCAAGGTTTGCATCTTCCCGGCTCGACGACTTGAGGACAACCTGCAAATAACGGCCCACTGTATCAGTATTTGACGTGCCACGATAGAAATCCAGAGGGATGGAAGGTATTGTATCCGCAGTACCTTGGAGCCATTGGTAAGTTTATGTGTCGCGAGATAAACCTTTCCAAAGGAGCCTTTGCCTATCAACTTCCCGAGACTGTAGTTGCCGACATTTCGCAAATCCTTTGACGAGAACTCTCTGAAGAGCAAAGAGCAGAAGGTCAACACAAATTCATAGATATCAATGCAGTGGTATGATGCAGGAAACAAGGCTCATCTGGAAGAAGAGGGGGTTGATTTACTGTAATAACTCGCGGTAGGAGTTGACGAGCTATGCGACATCAAGAAGAAAATGTCAGTCAAACCACAGTTTCCGCCAAAGCCAAATCACAGAACAACAACAATGAAGCCAGGCCCAACAAACCTTATCCTTTTGCAGCTGGGACTCGAGCTTAGACTTGGGGCCCGGCATGTGTGAGGATGGGAGTCGATGGTTAATGTGATGCTGCCCCTCGCGTTGCTCTTCTCCTTGCTTGCGAATGGTCAAAGCATCGCAGGCCAGCCATACAATGAATGCGTTCGATGTCAGCACTTCGGGAGATTCTGGACGAGGGAGGGCACTGATTGTTGGAGGGCAGAGAAGTCTGGGATCGAAGGGCTTGTGGTGGCTGTTTGAGACCGATAACTACTTATTAATCACGAAATTAGCTGCGGGTGGATAGAGTTGGCGGAAGAGCGACGATCATCCCTGAAGTGTCTTTTTGACAACGACATCGACGAACTACTGCGTACAACTCAAGACAACCAGAGACAACACCTATGGGATACCATTGACGGTGCACCCGATAATTGGCCGAGCCAGCGGTGGCTATCGCTGGAAAGGACTGGCGGACTTGTTCTCAGGCATTATCCGATCAGAACCACCAAATTCGCGACTTCACACGCAATTGTGGCAACGAGTTTCTACGCTTGGGGTTTAACGTTCTCACTCACTGTACGCAGTATGCTTAACTTACCCCCTTGGCCGTCTGGAGTACGTTTGCCCATTACCCACGCGCTTTTGGCGTTATAGTTAGCACTGGGTGAATAGGGGCAAGGGAGGCAAGGAATCATCAACTGGTTTCCACCAATGGCGACCCATGTCCATGAGAATCCGCCACTCAAGGACATGCATGCCACAGAGTTTGGAGGTGATGCAGCTCTTGTGTATCATGCATATATATACAGATCTGTATGTATATATATATCTCTCTCTCTTGAGGAATAGGTGGCTACCTTAAGGATTTATCCTTTTTGGCGTAGTGGTAAAACCTTCCTACAAGATTGCAGTTCTGTCATCCTGTCTAGATGCAGATTTGATATCTGGGAATTGAAAAGAGGCACTACCACGGTTCACTTTATATAAGTCGAACAGAAGGAAGGGCAAAAGAGATCTACTCTTACGAGTCATATACGAGCTTATTTATGGTGGTTCGGGTTCGTGTTTGATACATGGGCCCTTGAGCAATACTCGAAACACCACTTACCTTCCTTCCGTACGTAGTATGTCACCATTCAATGGTTTGCGGAAATCAGGTCTCTAAACCCCGACGTCAATGGATTACATCACATCAAGGACAGTCAAAAGAATTGGGAGACAAAATATCTGCACTCATCCTGCTCTCTCCACTTCGCCAAGACACCAGTTCCAGGTTATTTATTTTAGCCCCAATCCTGGTGACCGTTGCTAGCATGTTTGACTTATCCTTCGAAACTTTCTTCCTCAGGGACAGGGAAACGATAATGAAAACCTAGGAAAACATGCAGCAAATTGGACAGGGCTATGCAAATCTGCTAGGTGGTTTTGCTACTCATTCCCGATATGTCTGCAAAAGGAAGCGGATAAACTATTTTTATACTTCCTCAATATTGACTCGGGAGTGATGGTCAAATTTCTTTGGGTTTATCAGCAAATGGTTGTGGCTGAGTCCTTCTCATTGTTTTCCAAAAGGCATCTGCCGCCCGTGAGCCAGAGCACACCATGCCACCAGAAGCGAGCCGTTACGCACCTGAAAGTTCAATTATCCAAAGTCAGCAATCTAGGGAAATGCTTAGGCCCTAAGATCGAATGGGCTAATATCTACTGGTCCTCTCTTTCAACGATATCGGATTATCCTTCAAATCTACTACGGCGTAGGTTTTACGCCTTTTGACAACAAGGGACCCTGGAGATTATGAAGTTGGAAGTCCGGTTGCATATGCTTCACTTGAAGGAAAGGCAGAATATGCTAAACGAAAATGCTACACGGGCCGTTATAGCAGTAAGGACACGATAAAATAAAAAGTCACTTGGGGGGCCATATTCAGGGCCGTAACACGCCCATGGAGGAAGCGGCCTGCCTTAGCAGGATCATTCGTTTTACAAGACAGGCTTGCAAGGGAGCTTATTTGTAAGGCTTCTACAACGGTTCCCTGAAATATTCGAATGGGGAAAACTTGAATGTAAGTTGTGATTTACCGTATACTTTCCACCCATTCCAAATTACTTCTTATCATTATTTACTCTCAGTGTGTTTATCGGGAGCAGAAGCTACTTTCTTTTTCATGATCAAAAACTTGAAATTCTTCAAAACAAAAATTCCTACTCGTATAATATAGCAGGCCCACCAGTTCTCTCTCGAATGCCTATATCCCATTTGTATATTCAATGTAACAAATCTGTAAGCCATCCAACTTTCACATTCAAACCTTTCGCTCCATCGATGACCAATACATGCAATTGAATAACTATCTATATTGAGTAAACTCAAATATGGCCCAGTGCTATACACTAAAACTGTGATAGAGTCTCATCTGCCTTTTCAATTAGCAAAAAAAGAGACGGAAAAAAAGAAAAAGGAAAAAAAATAATTCCATAAGAACAATACATGTTCCGCTGAAAAATTAACCATGATAACAATTTCCTTGCATAAGGTGCTAGCTAAGATACTGACCCTCTGTAACCATTCTCTAAAATGCAAAACAAAAGCAAATAAGGTCCCACCCGTCAGAAAACAAACAGACTCATCGTACACTTCTATAACTCACTCTTTTACTATTTTTCTCATCTTACTATAAACTCAGGCCTAAACAGAGAGGCAAATGTCGTTTGTGGAGTGTTGATGATATGTAGAGGTCATTCGCGGTCTGCTTGGACTAGCACCAATCAATAAATTTAATAATCAGCCTAACTAACTACATACAGAGGCTGCCTGACATACCCCTTCATATCGACATCGGTCTACCGGTCTTATTTCATTGAGGGAGAATTGAATGCGCTGGCTACTTATCGTCTGGATAAAATAGTTTGTACTAATTGGAATGCTCTCCTCTCATGCCATCAAGAGGTCGGGAGTTCGTGAATCGCTCCCCCATCAAATGTTCTCATTAACCAGGGTGTTTTTGAAATCCCAACATGACAAATTATATTCGATATTCTCCCCACCCCCGGTTTTGCTGAGCTTCTACCGACTTTTGCTCTTTGTAAGAAAGCCATTGTTCTCCCGCATGCCTCTATCAATGGGATTCCGAGCCAGCCCACCAAGGAAGAGACTCGAGGTGCCGACGTGCTCGTTTGCTAGTACAGAATGTTGGGTCGACCCTGGCAATTCCGGCTTCGCCAAAAAGACCAAGGCTTGCTAGTCCCAGGTAGGAGTGGAGGAGATCTGTATGAAGGGTCAATTACTTGCAAGTGCAGGGCTAAGTAAAACAGAGATAAGTCGGGGGGAGTAGGGATGAACAACACCTACCTGGTGGGTCATCGACACACTTCCCAAACCCCCCGATGATATGCTGTGTTTTCTCAAGGAGATAGCGGCGATTCGCTTCTGCGTCGACAACGTTCAGCCTGTCAAGAATCTATATCAATCATCAGCCGACCGAACATAAAGTATGGGAGGCGGGGAAATACTTACACCCAGTGTCCCTGTCACCCAGAAAGAGTAACACGTGTCGGCTATTTTATTCGATCTGCCATTGAATCCTGCCCAATGGAGATCCTCACAAGGCCGCTGTGAGAGAGAAGGTATATCCGGGAGTGCAGATATTTTTTCATCTATCGATGTTTGCACGTCAGTGACTGCCATTTCTTCGGCATCACTTTCGCCTTCTTCCGCCTCTTCAAGGTCTACCGTTTGTCGCCATGCCAACCAGCGTACCAAGTCTTCGAAATTCGTTGCTGTAGGGGCGAGAAAAGGCACACCACGGACACCCGTAGCCGGGATGCACCCAAGGAATGAAAGCGACGCGAGGGCACAGTATGTCAAACCAGCTGGAACAAAATGTAAGCTGGGACGCTGGTTATCATACAAGCAGAGCAGTATGTTGCGTACCGTGCGATTCGGTCATTGGTGACACTGAAAAGCCTCCATCGTATGACTTGCAATATTGTGTTTCTAGTCAGTCCGGCGCACACGTCTCATAGTTCGGATCATATGGTAAGGAAAGAAGGGGACACCGAAATTACCTGACACTCTTCAATGTGAGAGATTAGACGGCTAACGTCGATATCGCCAACATCCCGGAGATCGCTCGCATCCCTCCCCCGTAATATATAGCGTACGCCAGCCGCGCAACAGCAAAACCGTAAATCATTGCTTCCTTCAATCCGTCCTTCAGATCCTAATACCTCCCCAAAGCTTCCATCCGCCCGCTGCATTCCGGCTAACCACAGTAAGCATTCTCGCCGCCTAACACGGGTTAAGTCGTCCCCCAATACAATCAAAGCCATGAGCGCAAAGAACGTGGCGGGAACATTGGCGGGATCCCAACACTCATTTTCACTGGTTCTCTTAGAGTCCCCAAATATCGTCCCTGGGAATCCCCGGAAGCCACCAGATGGCACCTGGCAATGGTATATCCAATCAATATAGCCCTTGCGCTCCGCGGGGGAGATGTTGTCGTCCAAGGCGTCGAGCAGATCAAGACCCGCGACGGTGAAAAAGGCCAGGGTCATTCGACTTGAGTCATTGGAGGTATACTGATGAGGGAGAAAGGTTTTCAGACATCGGAGGAAGTATTTTATCTGGCGATCCTTTCGGAGCGAAGAAGAATCCGCCATCGATGGCGAGAGAAGAGGGAGGGCGGCCGGAAGGCCCTTCTCCGCCTTTACCAGTGCAACGCCTTTGTTAGCAAGGGGATACCTCAACTCTGCCGACGATTCATTGAGCCACAGAATTACCCATGCTGCGGCAAAGTATATTCCAAGACAAAAGACATTCTCGAGATCATCCGTAGCAGGTGAAAGTTGAAACAATCGTCAACAAGCCAAAGAGCCGCGGGGTGCTGAATGACATAACCATTTAGTCAGCAAGGGCCATACCGCCGAATAAGGTTCCTCCCTTCGCATTGTTCCATGGAATGTGTATTTATATCAACCCGCAATATCAACAAACATGGTCCTTGGACTTTGTTCAAACACTCGAAGGACACCTCGGGAATCGTAGCTCTCTTTCGGGGAGCTACAGGGTACAGCTTCGTCATGGGCCGGCTCTCGTCGAAAAGCTATATCAACCTGCACGCTCTCTTCCAGTTTGCGCTCGCCGTCTACCTCACTCGTTACCAGGAAGCTATCGCGGACTGCGACCTCTCATACAACGTTAATGATGTTATTCGGATCGTGAGTACCCTTGCAATGTATATGTGTATACACAACCTCTTTTCCTCGACCGGATAAGAAAAGAAAGGAGGAAAAAATGAAAAAAATAAAAAATAAAAATAAACACCCGTGGGAAAGACCCCGCTAACGGATGTCCTAATCACCCGCAGGATGCGACCCCGACGTTCGCCCGACCTCGCTCTCCCTTCGCCTACTGCGGCGTCACCTTGCTAGTCTTCGCTCTTTTCGACCTGATATTGGCCACACGGCTACCGTTGATCAACCAACTGATCTCCGTGATGAGCCGCCTCTTCAATGCCCGGCGCACACATGACTCCGCGCCGCCCTCATCCCCGACATCGTCCACCGCCGACAAAATGCTCCAAACCTACACCTCCCTCTTTACGCACATTTGTATCCTGCTCGCCATAACGAGGTGTCTAGTTTTCTCCGTCATATCAATACGAATATACGCTTCTGCGTCGGAGGTTTGGGTGCCAGCTGCTGCAGCTACCGCTGGAGGCAGAGGGGGGATGCTGGATGCCGCTGCGTTGGCCGCGAAAGTGGCCCATATAAAAAACAAGGTGGTGCTGGGATATGCGGTGGCAGAGATGATGATTTCCGCCTCGGTAAGTGATCTGTGAGATCTAGTGTATATGTTCTTATTTTGCACAATTAGCTCACTGGTATTTTTCACACTTTTTACCAGACTCTCTTATCCTTGAAAGATGAGCGGCTCCAGACGAGACCAGCACTCCTATTCGGACCACTCATCCCTTCGCGATTTCTTCAATGATTATATCTTGCCTTATATATACGATGCTTATATCAAGAGACAATACGCTGCCGATATGTAGCTGCGGCGGTTTTCTTGGCAGCCGCCCAAAGGGTGAGAGCAAGGAAAGGGAATGACTTTTTTCTTGCCTGCTGTGCAGAACAGAATCCATTCCCCCCCCCCGGCGGTGCTTCTTTGGTCGGAACCTAGTACACACTACAAGCCGGGTCCCGAAACGACAGAATTATTATTTTTTTCCAGTCCGTGTCCATTCCTTGTGTATCCTTTTTTTTCACTTTCTTGTTTCGTATTTAAATTCAAAAAATCACAAAGAACAACGCTTTGTTTTCCCATAATATAAGAGGAACGGCGTGTGGAAAACGAAAGGCAGGGCCATTCACAATCCATAGTACATGATCATCATCATCCATAAGATAGAGTTCCTTTTTGGCAGCGAATTTGTGGTTTGTTGGCAACCTACTCCCTATATACCCCATGTGTTGTCCTTACTCTTAAGTATCTAAAACACTTTTTCTCTTATTTATTTTCCATCTTATTACTACTACTACTCACTTTTATCATTTATTTTTTATTGAGTATGTACTCAGACCCATATACAAACTTTTTCCTGTAATGCTTTCCTAAGAATGATTTATTTTTTCTTCATACTAATCTGTATATATTTTGCACTTCCCCAGACCCTTTCGCTTAACTACATAGTAGTCAACTAACTGTGGCATCTGACGTCATCCCACTCCCCACACCACAACTCGCATCCAGCAGTCATTCGGCAGGACAAGGACTAGGACCCATCACTCCCTTTGCTAACTATCAAGGACGATATTTATAGAGGAAGCGTACAGCGGAGCGTGGAGAGTCCACGAAGCCTTGCGAGGACTTACTTCACAGAGGAAAACAGAAACACGCCACCAGATGCATGAATGTTTCCGGGGGAGGGGAGGCTGGCTTGGAAGTTGTTTGCTTGCGTGGCTCGGGGTAAGCCCTAGCTACTCACTCACGAACCCGCCCCCCGCAGTTATCGACCTCAAATCCGTCCTCCCGACAAGATGGTTGGGATTGGAAATAGGGATGCGCTCATGGCACAACCGGGCAGGAAGAAACACAGTAAGTAGGAGGGAGAAGGGCCAGGGGGGGGACCTATAAATGTGGAAGATCGACAGAGGGAATCTATCAAGTATTATCGCTGCTCACTTGAAATCTTCCAAGGTTCCCACGCGAGGATACCCTGGGATGGAGGAGACGATGGATGGAACATTTACGTGGGGAGGAGTTGCATGCATCCACCCCACCCGGGGTTCATGAAGATGAGCTGGGGCGATTTGAGTTCAACGAGGGTCCATGCCGTCCATTAGTTATCAACATGGGGTAGTTAGTCAACTATTTCATGATTGACCCATAGAACTGGAGGGAGATCAATGTCCTGCGTTGAAAAACAGCTGGGGACACGCATTCATATATGTACAGTACCTGAAGAAAATTGGGCATGTGGTATCTATCAATCACACATGGACTGCGAGCCGTGAAGGGTGCCGAAAGATCCAAAAAAAGAGATCTGTCATTCTGGTTACTTGATCTTATTTTTTTGAGTCTTCCTTATTTTTGTGTTCTTGATGTTCATTGGAAAGCTGATTGGAAATCTACATTGTACTGTATTATATTATATTGTACTGTACTGTATTGTCGCCCGACAGACGGTACCTTACACCTACCTCCCTTGTGTACTATATTGTATTGTATTGTATTGTACTGCCGGGATTTTTCTATGAAGAGGCTTTGAGGCAACGGTCTTTCGCTGAAAGATGTTTAGATATAGATGCATCGAATCGGCTCATATAGATAAAGGTTATCTAGATATACGGTATTTGAAAGCTAAGTGGGACCTGTAAGTGCTATCCATGGTAACGGACAAGGCGGTTCCACGCGGACGCAAACCATAGTTAAACTTTGATCTTGATCATTCTAGAGCTTTTCGAACTAAAAGAACTGAGTGTGTGTGTGTGTGAGAGAGAGAGAGAGAGAGAGAAGAAAAAAAAGAAATTGAGAATGTTTGGCTGCCTGCCTGAGATTTTAGTTATAATTAATTAATGAGTGAGTTGGGTAGCTGTAGCTCTAGCTCAATTTCAATACATAGGCCATGTCAATCCTCAAATCTTCCATTCGGTACACACAAACTTGCAATTTGCACCAAACACACCACGCCGTGAAATCACAGATTTATATATAAACTCGTATACGTAAAGCAAAACCACAGTTACCACACATCCGCACCAACCCACCCACCCACGCAAACCCCCCGCCCTTACCAGATACACAGCCCTACATCACCCCAACAAACCCCATCAACAACGCAGCCCCTACCCCCAGGCCGGCCGCAACCTCCGCCCGACTGCCTGCACCAGGCGTCGGGGAAGCGGTAGCTCCGGTCGTGCTGGGCGACGACGACGGGGTCGTGGAGCCGGTGGGCGCCTTCTGGGATGCGGACGCAGTTGTGCCGGTCGGCTCGATGATAGCAGTGCCGGTGAGCGTGCCAGTGATTGATGCCGTGGCGGTCGCGCTTGCGGAGGCGGAGTTGCAGGAGGCGGATTCAGGGAGGTCGTTGATGCCAGCGGCGCTGCAGACTTTCTTGGCGACGGCGCTTGCTTCTATTGGGATGTTAATTTTGTTTTTATTTCCTTCCTCGTTTTTTCTTTCTTTGTTCCGCGTTTCGATTCTTTTGCTTGTACTAGATGGGGGTGGGGGAAGAGCGACATACTCTGCTGTTCATCTGGGTTGCAGGACTTGGCGACGCAGCAGGTCATGGCATCGATGAAGGATTTGGCAGAGCAGATGCATTTGGGATTAACACCGCACTCGGGGGGCATGGCGGGGAATGCGCAATTTCTCTGGATTTTTTAAATTAGTTGTTAATGTACCATGCATAAATACTATATCTATATATATCTATATATCTTATAATATCAATGTTATCACGGATGGCGAAGACGTACAGCACATTCCGGCAGATCAGCAATCTGACCCGCGACAAGGGCGACGAGGGACGTGGCAACGGCGGCGGAGATAGCGAGACGCATTGTGAGAGATGGTAGAAGAGAGTGAGCGGAGGGATTTGACGATGATATCAAGAACTAGATAGACAATGGAGCGAGCGTGGGGCGGAGTTGGGGCCAGGTGCAGGAAGTTGTCGTCGTCATGCAGGGTAAAGGGAGGAAGAAGACGCGTGAGGAGGGAATCCGGGCACATTAAGTATTTCCTGGAGTTGCATTCAATTGGGTTAGGGCCAAGCTACCTCGCACCGCAGCGACCAGCAGCCGGACCCAGGGGGGATCTGGCATCTGGCGTTGACTTGATGAGAGTTGGCCAATCGAACTGAAGGTGGAAGGTTAGGGAGAAGTCTAACGTCGATAAACTCCGACCTGAGGCGGCGCCAGCAGTGAATTAGCAAACGGACTATAACTATCTGAGGATGGGCTGAAAAATACACTACGACGATGACAAGCAAAGAACTGACTTGGGAGCTTGACCCAAGGTCTGGGCAATGAATGCCCTGCATATTCAACTGCATCGTAAGGTCTTCAAACACGGCATGGCAAATGTGGCTATTCTGGTGTCACCGTGGTGACCTGGCAAGCCAAGATCCCGAATCCCAAAGGCATTCATTCATTAATTCATTCATTGATTCCTCCGCTGCAGATCAGATTGGTGGCTGAATGTTGACACAGGATGCATCACTGGATTCAATACCAGCCCCCACCTGGCACCCGGAGTTCCAGGGGATTGCTCCCCAACTGGCCTGCCCAGCTTTAGGCGTCAAGCCCCAAAACTTAGGTTACACCGGCCTGTTCCTCGTCTTTCCGTATCGTATTGTATTGTACATTACATCGCTGTCATTCACCTCGGAGCCTCCATCGATCCTCCATTGATCTTCCATTCCTCAATTCTTCGCGCTTCACCTGCAGGATCCGCTGTGCGTCCACCGCCCCCAATGAAGCTGTTGGCCCGCAGTGTCAGTGATCATCGTCTTCTCTTTGTCTGCGCCAATTGGCAATGTAAATGTGAATCTCTATATATGGTTGCCTCTGCTGCGTGCGTCATCCCCTGTTTTCCTTGTGTTGACATCCTCCTCCTCCCTTCTCCATATCTGCATCTACGTCTCTTCTAACTCTAGCGGCTGCGTCCATCTAGCTTTCAATCAGTTAATCAGAGGAACCATCCGGTGGGACGGCTAGGTTCCCAGTTATCTGATTCCTGGATACTGAATTGCAAAGCACAATCCACTACTTAGCACCACCGCAACCATGGGTCTCGGGATTCTCGAGGACTCACACCTCGACCACGTTCCTGGTACGTTCGCTCGATGCTCTCTGTCTCTGCCCAGATCCCATATCTAATTCCGACTGTGCAGGTACCACCTTCATCCTCGAGGACGACTCTAGCACCGTCGAACAACTCGCCCCCTCCCTGCACATCAAATATGACCACTCCGGGCCTACCCCGGTCATCCTCGTCCCGCAGCCAAGCAATGACCCCAACGATCCTTTGGTAATCCCCCAATTCTCTCTCCCTCTATATATACATCCATTGCACTGTCAATCATCTATGTATAGATATATATATATATGTTTACTAATTTCTGCCCAGAACTGGCCCCTGTGGAAGCGCGACGCAATCCTCGCCATCCTCTCCTTCGTCAGTCTCCTCTGCGCGACAACAAGCCCTCTCCTCGCCGCAAACACCGCAACCCTAGCCTTCCACTACGAAGTCTCCTTCACAGACGCTGCCCTGCTCACCGGCTATCACCTCTGCGGCGTCGGGGTGGCCGGCCTGCTCTTCGTCCCCTCCGCCCGCGTCTGGGGCAAACGCCATCTATATATCCTCGGCTGTGTCGTGATGATCATCAGCTCCGCATGGGGCGGCGCAAGTTCAGGGAGTTACCGCAGCCTGCTGGCTGCAAGGGTTTTTCAGGGCGTGGGCCTGGCGCCGTTTGAAGCGTTGGTCAATGCGAGTGTCGGGGACTTGTTTTTTGTTCACGTATGTCATTCTGATACTTTTGTTTTGTTTTGTTTTTTCCCTTAAGATTTCCTCAATCCTAACAACTAAATGATCATTTAGGAACGCGGGAAACGAATGGCATTGGCCAACGTCGCCCTCTTCGGTGGCAGCTTCTTAACCCCAGTCATCGTCGGCAAGCTCACCGCCTCTATGGGCTGGGAATGGACATTTAACTTCCTCGCCATCTTCTCCGGTGTTTGTCTACCATTGGTCATATTCTGCGTCCCGGAAACCGCTTTCAGGAGGGCGGCTCATCTCAACACGGATATCGAAGGGGAATATGGCCGTGGAGATGGCTTTCGTAATCCTGCTAATACCACTACAACCCAGCCTCTCGAATCGGAGACGGAGAACAAGAGCTCATCATCGCAAAAATCTCGTGAGGAGGAGGCAAAGAAGGAAGCGGCGGAAGTGGAAACGAAAGTAGAGGATCGCAACGACCATGGTGGTACAGAGGGAGCTACACACGATACACACGATACACACGATACACAGGATATCATTCCCCCAAAAGCGACATATTGGCAAACCCTGAAACTCTTCAACGGGCGCAAGACAGACGAGAGTTACTGGAAATTATTCATCCGCCCGCTGCCATTATTCCTACATCCGGGTATTTTATGGGTAAGAAGATCCCCTCACCCCAGCCTATCCACGCACTGCTCTCAGACTGAACATCCCCAGGCCTGCCTAACCCAGGGCGTCCTAATCGGCTGGACCGTCTTCATTGGCGTCGTTCTCGCCGTAATATTTAGCGTCCCGCCGCTCTGGTTCAGCGAGGTCCAAGTCGGCTACCTGTACACGGGCGCCTTCATCGGGTCCATTGCCGGCCTCTTCCTCTCAGGCCTCTTGTCCGATTACACCGCAAAGCTCCTGATAAAGCTGAACAGAGGCATCTACGAGCCCGAGTTCCGGATTGTGCTGGTGCTGTTCCAGCTGATTTTTAGCGCCATGGGGCTGTATGGGTTTGGGATTACGACGGAGAACGTGGGCCGGTTTGGATACGTGGTGCCCGATGTGTTTTTTGGGTTTGTCATTGTTGGCATGGTTATGGGCGCGGTGGCGAGTGCGTTGTATGTTGTTGATGCGCATCGTATGTATTCTTTTATTCTTTTCATACATCAATAACAACATTCATTGCCCCCTTCCTTCCCCAACGGCATGTTGACATATACGCACCTCCAGGCCAAATCGCCGTCGAAGCCTTCACCTGCCTCCTCGTCTTCAAGAACATGTTCAGCTTCCTCCTGACATACTTCGCCTACGATTGGCTCGTGCTCTCCAAGCCAAAACATGTCTTTACAACCATCGCCAGTATTCAGGTCGGTGTGTGTTTGCTGAGTATACCCATGTGTGAGTCCGCTTCGTCTCCCCCACCCTTGCTTCATAACACATTCCAAACGTCCCCGGGCGTTTTACTTTGAAAAACTGTCTATGGCGAGATTATTATGACTGGGCGAGAAAGCAAACCCATGGCTAACCGACAAAAATTGATGTGAATAAAAAATACAGACATCTTCGGCAAACGTAACCGCTCGTATTTCCACCGCAATGATATCCTCAAGAAATTGAATCTATGGTGAAACAACAAAAATGCAATAAAAATGCAATATTTGAACAGCAGCGGATAACAATAACATGTCACGCCCATACACCTATGACCCCTACTCAACCGACCCGACCCTTGATCTTTAAATTTTCACTTTGAAATTTTATTCCATCGAACCATATCGAACCCATATCGAACTCATATCATATCATATACATTCACGCCTAGCCCAGCCCTTCAATACCGTTCTCTCACAGACTACTTTTTTCTTTCTTTTCTTTTTTCTCTCTCTTTCTTTTCGGATTTTCAGCCCCCCCCCCCCAAAAGCGAGTGGAAAAGGTGTTCTTGAATTTGTACAGTACGTTAGCGATGTTATATTGTATTACACACACTTATATATAAATATATTTAGTAATTATTAATGTTATTGCTGATAATTTGATCGATGGGATTTTTTCTTTTCGTTTTTTTTTTCCTTCTCCCCTCCCCCTTTTCACACAATACACCCAGCATTGATCGCTTTATTTTCTAATTATTTTACACGAACGTGCGCTGCTTGCCATGCTCTCCTTCTCATTATCCATTCCTGGGAGTGCTCGCTCTGCTTGCGTCAGGTAATCATATATTTGCTCCATGTAAAAACTGTGTATCACTTCTAGCAAACCAACCCTACAGACAGACAGCCAGGCAGGCTATGAATAACCGTTTCAATTTAACAAACCAACTAATTATACACACTTATGAGCAGGAAGGCCGTGAATAAAAATAATCCCCATTTTCAAATCTTCAACCTCTATAGTTATAGATAACATCTAACGTGAGCAGGCCTTCGCTCGCAGATAAATGGTGTTTATTTATAAAAAAAAAAAAAAAAAAAAACCAATAAGAGTTAGGACAGCCATTTTCATCAGTGGAGAGACACAGGCAGAAGATAGGCAGATCTCTAGAGATTTGTTGGAGAGATCATCAGCTAATCTGTATCTAGCGAGCTGGCAGTCAGGGCAGGTTGAACTTGGTTCTCTCTCTCTCTCTCTCTTAAACGGTAAACTTTCATTTCCCTCTCGCGTATATTCCGTTTTTCTGATGTTTTGAAGAAGGTTGTGAGAGTCAGGGAGAATCTGCAAGGGCCCACGCTTTGACACATTCCAAGCGGTGTTCTGATCACCGTCTTGTTTCGAATCCTTGTAGCAATTTATTTAATAAGGGCATGCATGCTGTTGTTCCCCCGCACGGCGGTCAGGGTCGGCCGCCCCTACCGGTATCTAAGCAAGAGTTCGACTATCGCTTGATGTCCCATTCGCATAGCTTCAGATATACATGTCTTCAATGTGGCCATCCATCTAGGAGGAGAGATGAAATTTTTTTAAAAAAAAAAAAAAAAAAGGTCCATTATGGTGCCCCAACTCAAAGACAATTAATTAATTATGCATTATAGACGCATCAGAGATCATGCATTCAACTTCATCATCGTATATACCGCCGCAGTTGATTTTCTGTCATCCCGTTTCGTCAGAATGTAACATTGGTAACCGGACAAACAATATTCGCTGCCTATGCGCATATGGGGACAGACCATCAAGAAACTTACAAGTTCATTCCGCCGAAAGATTCCCTTCATCCGCCCGAAGAAATCACGCAATGTATATATCTCCATCAAGCAACAGCACTCCTCCTCAGGCCAATCCTTCGAGCGATAAAAGTTAGAACTTAATTACGAAAAAGCATATATATAAAGCTCCTTCTTAAGGTCATCCATCCATTACAAGGATGGGGTAGACATACCTCTCGATGATCCGGTACCTCACCTAGGCTCACAGAGCTGAGTCCATAGTTGAGATCAAGCAGTATCATCGTGTTATTTTCCACATCAAAGCATATCCAACACCCGTACTCTGCGGCCGGCATTGCATATACCATGACAGAAGGCGCGAGATTTATACCAAAACTCTCCTGAAGATTGCGGATATCCTCTCCGTTAACGCCAGCGCCTGTCCTGTAATCAACCGCAGTTGTCAACCAGTAAATTTCGAAACCCCCAATATTTCTATATTTCACAAATGGCAAATGGCGGATAAGGTCGTTCACAGCCGGTGTTCTGCCCAGACTTGAGAGGGAATCTTCGGGCAGTTCAGGCCACCCGCCCGCAGGCGGGCGCAGGATAGCCGAAGCGGGGAGGAGGCCTCTGTCCACTAGGAAGTCATAGTACTCCGTGATGACAGAGACAGTCTCGTCCCGAGAATAACCCGACGGCTCTGGATTTCTATTCACAATCAGCCTTTCTTCCTCACGGCAAGGGTTGCGTGGAATCTCCTGCGAGGCCTGGCTGCTTGAGGCTATCGCTGGCGTACTGGGCTGTCTCATGGCGGGTTCCGCGGTGTCATATAGTAAAAATCCATGATGATAATGGAGAAGATGACCCGAGGATTTATTTTATATATATCCTCAGTTAGCACTCCAGGGAACCGTAAACGGAAATACCTCTCCAAAACCAGAGGCCAACTGGAGTAGAAACAAGGGCAGTTCTGGACTAGCATGCAAATCTCAAAACAACAACTACTACAAGAAAACATAGTCCTTTGGGAGGCATCCAAATATAGTTAAAATATATATTGGAATAAAGAATGTCTATTTGGTAGGGGCATCATATCATTATCATGTTTCAAAGGGCTCCGCATCCCTTGAAACAATGGCAAGCCAAATGAGTAAAGAACTGTCTGGGAATTTAAGGTCGACACGTCGAACAAAGAAACCAGAAACGCTCTCTTTTCAACTCCACGTCGCATCTTGAGAACAGGATGGTGCTCCCAAGGCAAGCTCAATGGTATTGGAATCTGCCTTCTCCTCTGCAGCATGCGGTTATATCAGACTGTCACTCTGGTGTGCAAGAATTGGAGCATCATACACATCAAGCTGGTAGAATAACACGAACGAGTGTTGCAATGTCTTGACTTCGGTTGACGAGAGCTGGGAGTTTCCAATCGTCGGACGTCTCAAGCGATTTCTTCGTTTCGGTCGCTGGATGCATGTATTCCATCATCGACGAAGAATGTCAGTTCAAGCCCAATTTTTTCCCCAGGTTATTTGTGACGGAAGATAGGACAACGACCATGAAGCTCCAAATATGCCCACTCAAGTAGACATTCAGATATGCATGCCGCTTCTCACAACGCCTGTACGAGAGTAACAATCCATATCTCAACAGCCAGAGAGCGACAGCCGCGAGGCAGACCACTAGTGGATTTGGAAATGGGAGGATGCCTCGTGTTCGAATAATCCTCTCGCTAAATATTCCACCAATCCCTATCTCGGTCCGATTGCAGACTCCACACAAAGAGCAAATGGGAAATTTATACGATCTGATCGCGGCCCGAAAACCTTCACAGGAGATCGATGTAGGTCGAGCTTCTCTTGCATATCGCTGACGTGGAGAAGTCGACATTAGTGCCCTTAGTCCCAGAATATTCTCCGATTGACAAATGACCGCAGAACTCAAAGAGTGAGATTCGCATCAAACTACCACACTAGCACGTCTAGTACGTTCCAGCACTCCGCATTAGTCTCGCACAGGATGCACCTTGGTCTGCCGGGCCAATGGGTATGCGGGGCTGGCGAGGATCTGGAGGATTAGCTGACCATCAACCACGCGAGCTGGGATGCGCGAGGGTGGCGGATGAGAATCAGAGCGGGGAAAGATGCGCATTGAAAGTAATCTGCTTCAACGGTGGTTTTCATGGGGCTCCTCTCGAGAATGAGTTCTAAATGTGTTTTCCTCCCTGTTTCTTCCCGCCATTCAACAACCAATCCCCCGATCCCTACAGCACTAATCTATACATACATATATATATATCTCAAAGGAAAACCGGGAATATTTACTGATCTTTTTTTATCAATCGAGGACAATTCTCCGCTAGCCCACGCTCGCGATTCTTTAGATGCATTACAATAAGTGAAATCGCAAACAATATACGGCGGGCGGGTACGACGCACCTACCATTTTTTTAAACCGGAAATCTCAATATCCCCAGGTAAATGTAACGCCCTGTTCATTCATTGAAACCAGCTACTTCAACAAACAAGCTCCAAGCGTAGTTTGAAATGTGATCGAGCGGTAGAGTCACTAGTCAAGAGTGCAAACTCTCGAAGAAAACATCCACAGAGAACCATCCATCTACTCCTAATTTTTATCAATTCTTCTTCTGCATTACAACTAATTATTCTACAAGGGGATAAATACTAGTAAAAGCAAACACAGATAGATCTATCTAGAATGGCCGAGATCTACACGGGAGCAGAAGTAACTGAATCTCTATCCCAGCCTCGCGAAATGGAGCCTCGATCTGAGCTGGCAACTTGGAAACCTTGTACGGACTGGGCGAGCCATTATTGCCCTCTCGCACACAAATGTGCACCAGACTGGGCAGGCGGGCTTCTTTGTTCATTCCAATTTGTAGAAGCCAGTTGAGATATTCAGGCTTGTAAGTAGCAGGAGGGGTGACGGGCGAAGAGCCATCAGCGGCAGATCTAGCCGTAGTTTCAAAGGCCCGACAGGTATGCTGGAAGAGAAGCTATATACACAGAGGATATAAATATTAGTATCTAGAATTTAAGGAGGCAAATATATCATTTGGTTGCTCCACGCGGCCGTGGGGGTAGAAAAAGAGCCAGTGAGTGAAATACAAGCAGGAAAGATAAGACGAGGGGATAGATATATAAAATGGCTGATCCTGACCTCCAAATATTCTAACGATGTGGGCAGCCATTGATGAATGTCGTTCCGCAAAGTTGGATCGCCTCTCTCCTCGTCAGTGAAAAGAAACAACACATCTATCTTCAGAGTCCGTAAACACCTTAGAGGGCGGAAGACAATGGGACAACATTCAAAATATCCCCTACATTCGTCGTATTCGCAATCGAGTTCGAGTGTAGTAATTGTCTCTTGGCAGAGGTTAAGAGCATTCGATAACAGCATTTGCTCTAAGCGGGTATTGCTGCGACACTGTATACTAAGGACCAAAGTTGCCAAGTTCGGGCAACACGAGAGAAGTCTAGGGAGTAGGGAGCTGCACTCAGAGGGAATGCGGATTGCCAGCCTTTTGAGAGATGTCTGGCGCTCCATGTTAGGGGGAAGTCTCGCTGCTGGAGAACAGCGGCGACCCGTCAGGGGTAAACAACCGCTCTCAACCTTTAGCGACTCCATGGCCGGGAGCTGCATGTAGCAGGCAGCGACAGCAAGACTGACAAAGTCGCCGTTTATATCCGCGCAGCGCAGCCTAGCGAGGACGTTCCTCTGAAGGACCAGATGGAGTCTATCTTCGGTGGCTGTTGACAGGACTAACTTCTCCAGGCTGTAAAGCTTAGCGAGAACCTCCCAAATACAGTCCACGGCACCCTCATCTTCGACGCAGGTCTTAATCGCAATGCTCCGTGTCAGTCTGGCTAGACGTGGGTTTCTCGTGATGGTTCTGTTAAATTGCGCCAGGCGCTTGAGACATGCATGTTTCGATTCCCCGGACGGGTGGGCAGATATGAACTGAACGTCACGGTATAGATATTGAGGCACGATTCCGGCCAGATGCCTGTTTACTCGTGCAAGGTTGACTAGATCATGAGGTTGGATATTGTTCTGCGAAATAATTAGATGGACAAGCTCGATGGGTAGCCCGTTCCAACCCATGTGGGCGAAAAGCGGCCCCCCTTTTCTTTTCAACTGCTTGTCTACTGTGTCAGGGATCCGTGGGCGAGATTCGGTAGTAGAGAACAATTGAACCCACCTGCGTCGCTCAAAGAATGGCTTCACTTGCCTCTAGGGAATAATTAAGAGAATGAAAGTAACCGAACTATTGAGAAAGAAATAGGAGTGCTCGATTAGAACGACTATCCATCCTCTAAAGAAAGGAATATTCATTATATTGTAGCCGATGTCCCCTAAACAATAAAGAGCAGGTGTTCGGCGCTGGCTAGAGGAAAAATAAGCGGAGAATAAGAAAGTAAATAAAAAGGTGTTATGTACAGTAATACATAAGGCGGAAGGAGAGGGGGAGGTGTGCGGTATAAGGGGGAAGGACGCCTGCATACTCACCACCATTCGAGCATAAACCCAACGTTGAAAGGAAAGATAAGTAGGCAAGAAGATACAGTGACAACTCGAGTGTATATTGAAAATCCAATCAAATATTTACCTACAATAAAAAATCCGTAAAATTCCCTATGAAGAGGTCCTCTTCATGTCAATATCCCACTCCTCAACTCTGACATTCCCCTTATGCCGCTGCTCTACAGGCTCCGGTTGCACAACATTTGTCAAAGTTACCGAGAGCACGGCGGGAATAGCAATGATTAGTGCCCCAATGCACAACCCCCAATTCATCGCCAGCTGTGACATGGAAGGAGTTTTTAGTGCGTTTACTCTCCATGCCATCGCGCCGCCAGTGGCCTGGAAGGACTTGTATGCCCCGACCAAGATAGCCGTCACAGCAGCCGAGTTGGACATACTGCCAATGAGCCAGTAGCAATATCCCTGCCAGAGTGCATCGTACAGACCATAGAAGATATAGAGAAAGATCGGACCCGTGGCAATGTCGGCTGAGGTGAAGTCGAGATCCTGCACAAGACCGGCTGCTATTCGTTTGTCTTCCCATTTCTGGAACACATAGCCGCCACCCCAGGTACCCAAACCAGTAACCAGAAGGACGACCCAGCCGAGCCAGGCGCGTTGTCGTCGGTTGAGGAATCTCAGATCCATCAGAGCACCCATCAGCAGACCGCCACACATCTGTGCCATCCAGTACAGGGCAGAATTTAGAGAACGGGTCCGGATGTTAAATGTCTTGCCGTTGACATCGTTCTGTTGATAGGAGTAGAAGAGATTCGCACAGAAAAACAAGGGGAGGCTGCACACGACTTGGAGGCGGAAGATGGTACTGAAGATCAGTTTCCCCAAAGCCCGGAGTGAACGATCTCTAACCATATATTCGGCTTCGCGGAGTTGGGAGAGCTGGACACGGGATGGGGGGCAGATAAAGATGCCGATCAGCCATCCAAACCCCATAACGGCCATCGTGGCGATATATGTGCTGTTGGATACAGTGCCTCGTCCGTTGTGGAAATTGAGCCCAAAACTGGCAAGGGAGCCGATCGTGCCACCCATATTAAAGACAATCCAGAATACGGCAATGGCACGGCCCTTTTGGGCTTCGGGGACATAAGTTGTCATTATAGCGCCCTGAGCAACCCAAAGGAAGCTGGCGCCGACACCGAGAATGCCACCGGCGACGATGACGAAGGGGCCATTTGCAATGACTTTGAAAAATGGTTAGCCGGCGGCAATGCTGGATGGACCAAGATATCATCTAGATAAAATTGGAAAAAGAATTTGAGCGGCGTTTATGAGAACCAACTCACTGTTAAAGGCCAGCAAACTTCCGCTGTAAAGCGCATAGGTCCATCCGCCAACCAGCCAGCAGGCGCGTGGACCGATGATCGAGAATATAGGCCCGACAACAAACAGCGCAGTGGCAGCATTTGCCGCGAGCAAAGCTACGTTTGCGTTTGCAGCAACCGTAGGGTCCACCTGGCCCGAGCCCCCCAAGCCACCCAGAGCATTAAACATCTAGGGTTCAAACATCAAGTCAGTCGATCTTCTTCGGCAATCATGTTTAGAATCATTAAGCTCACAACCATGGAAAACCACGTACACCAGGGCAGCAGAAGCAGATAAAGCTAATCAACAACACCTGAAACCAGGCATTGGTGAAGACCGCATAATACCACGGTACCGAGGGCGATCCATTATCAATAAGTTGACTTCTTCCCATTTCTGGATCACGTCTGGCAAGGAATGAAAAATATCTGGTCATTCTGCCGCGAGGGCTTGAAATATATGCATATGTGCAAATACTTGTGGATGAGGGATTACGAGAGACCGAGGAGGGATATATATTAATATTAATGTCCCAAGCAGGCCTGGGTGTCCCTCGTTGGAAATCCGGGGTCTGCCTCCAAGGATTGACCACCATTGACAGTCCCCTGCGCATCCATCAGGAAAGGGGGCTAGATTCCTGCCGAGTCCATGGCATGTTGAGATTTGTTGCTCTATGTGATTCAGACCACTGCCCAGAATCTGACTAGTGAGAATTTAGCATCTGTAGGGCGGGCCAGGAACTCAGCGAACTTTATTGGTGGCGCCCGACCAACGAGGAGGCTTCAGGATTCCAACGGCGGTTTGAGGAAGTCTGTTTGGGCCTCTCGAACAGAATTGGAGATGCGCACTTGCTCACAATGCACACAACGGCGCTGGACGTGGCAACTAATCGGTTCTCATGATCTGGTGGCGGCTGACGAGTCGACATTGGCCTTCTTCTCCGCACAAGAATGCGGGCAAGATGTTTGTGGCCATCCGCTTATCTGAACTCTATTCTCGTATTCACATTAAAATCCGGTTGCTGTCAAGCCGCGGCGTTCATAGCTCTGCTCATTCTGCTCTGGCGCAAACAAGAAATTTTTGCGATACTGGTAGCTTTCAGGCACGCCCCTCATTTCCGCAGTTGAAAGGTGGCCCCTCCAGGGTGTTCCACTCAATTCTGCCAATACTGTTTGTTCATGGCCGTTTTTCAAAGATCCCCCTCGCCCGGCGCCGTTGAGCCCTGAGAAGCCAGCATGCGTGCGGGCTGCCGGCAGTTGGCGCTGCTGGGCTGGTGATTGGGCGGCCAAGAGAGTCACGGATATAGCCTAATAAGAGGCCAAGAGCATCTCGAAGGCAGGAAGATGTCCAGCAGCAGGGATGACGGAACAATAATAAGAATCAACTGGGTCAGCCTGGCCCAAGCTATCAATAATACTAATATCGCTTACATAGTATGTCCTCCATGGCTTGGACCTGGGAAAAGTTCCGAAAGCTTCCACGTTCACTCATCTCCTTGGCTTTTCCGGTGAGTTGCTATATCTGCCCAGGAAATTCCCGAGCCCGTTGAAGAGTCAAGAGGAGCAGGAAGCATATTGCTCTGCTGTAAAACTACCCGTTTCGATTCCCAGGCCTGAGGGTGCGGGGGACACCTCAAAGGTACTCTACCTTTCTGGTTTCCGATGATGGGGCTCAAAATTCGTTTGACTGCCTGGAGGGCCTTAGTTCAAACCTGGATGAAGGCGAGGAACTGGTGTAACTCAAGAAGCTTGGGAGGGGTTGAACAAGCCTGTCCGATTTTTGCCCACATCCACAGCCTTGGAAATCATGCTCATCTCCCTCGGCCTACGCAGCGCCTCCAGTATGATCACTGGGGCCAAGGAGGGAATTTAGGTTTGGCTACGGTGCCAAATTTTTGGTATGATGCAAGGAGGATTTCAAAATCACATTGCAATACCAACTAATCTAGCCAGAAATTCGACCCCTGTTCTCCAGCCCTGTTTGATATCGATTGCAGGCATGTCTTGAACCAACTTACTCAGCTTGTGTGAAATCAAATTTTATGGGATATTGGCCTCAGCGGCATTGCATTGACATACTTCTGATTGGGATAATATGTTTTTTGAAACCGTCCATTTGTGTCATCAAAATGGGGTTTTGCATGAACTTCTGTATGTCTGGGAGAACCATCCTGTCAAGAAAACCATGAAAAGACATACAGCGGGATATTACCAATTCACCCGGAAAAAAAAAAAAGAAAAGAAAAGAAAAAAAAGATCCCGAAACGGCAATTGGATGTTCTCACCTCTAAACTCAAGTTTCGTGCCGATTATAAAAAACTTACTCATCTGGCACCCATTCTCCATCCTTCTTTATCCACTTGGGTAATTTGTCGTCCTGCCTTAGCTTAACAAGTTGCGTAGGAATGCGCAGCTTCCAAGGCTTTCCTTGTGGGATCTCTTCACCTGGCTTCTGCGCTCTCTCCGCAATCTCATCAGCGATCGGAAGGAAAAGCTCGCTGGATATGGTCGGAAGTGGCCCGCCGTTCCAAAGCTCGCCGAACTGCAGGAAACTATCCCGATATATTTTCATCAGTATAGGGTAGCAAACTCGATTAAATAACTGCTTCCAAAGTACAACGGAAGATTGGCGTTGAACACATACTGGTCAATAGCAGCCTCGAATCCAAGTCTCGCTGGGACTTGAACTCGGGCGAAGCCTGCTTTAAGGAACTCATCAAATTGCGGATCTGGGTCCTCGAATGCTAGTCGCTGCGCCCAATAGGGCTTACGTCCCCAAAAGTACGGGTACATAACGTACACTGGTCCATTTGTGAGTCCACGTCATGAGAGACCTTCGTGGGTAAATGCACTTGTTCCACTCACTTATCTGCTCCCATTCAAACGCTTGCTCGAAAAATCGAACGTATTCCCCTTCGGCTTCAGCCTCGTAGAGATTGATTTGAGGATACGCCCAAGGCCCGATTGAAATAGAGTTGAAGCGGTCAAAATGCTGTCCGGTGATAATGGAGATACAGTTTTTCTTTAACTCCTGTTTTATTGTGGCTTGGTTTGCGACAGGGTTTCTTTGGAAACGAAAGGGTAAGCATGTGCGTAACTTGTTAGCAAAACGAGATACTAACCTCCCCTCAATAGTAATTCCTTGCTGCAGTTGCAAAGTCGCCAACTTCTCCTCGTACTCTTGCAATCTTGCCTTATACGCAGTCATGAGCTTTGCATGTGTATCAGCTCTCCACTTGTTGGTCGCGTCCTCTGTGACTGCACACTTGATATCTACCGTCACAATAATGCTAGAAGTGTTCCATGTTTTCACTCCCCATGGAATGGTTCCTCTTTGTTTATCGACAGACAACGGGATAAGAAAACCAGCGCCCTGCTTGAATCGGCACGTCTCATTCCCAACAATGACGTCGGCCACCCAGTTTTCTTCCCAGTAATTTACCGCACACCCCACGACTACGTGCACAGCTTCATAGCCTGACTCGATTGTGATCTGGCCGGTGTGCTGGTAATCTTGCTCGGGCTTGCCATCACCTTTGTTGATTTGGTCCGTCGCAGTGATGTAATCTGCAGGCGGGGGCCCCACGTCGGTTGCTTCGTACACTTTAACCCAATGGCCGTAATTGTCCTCACCTTCTTCTGAAATTTGGGAAGGCTCCAAGTCGAACTTTTGCGGTTTTTCCAGCATCGTTTTGGTTTCCGCGGCTTTCGTCATGGTGTTAATTACCCATGCAGCTGGCTCGGGAACCATAAAATCACTGATTATTTCGTGAACATGTGCGTCTTTGGAAACCAGACAGGAAGGGATACTCACAACAGGGTGCGCAGCCCATAATTGAAAACCTGGGCTTCATATCTATAGTTTGAAGTTAAGACAAGTTACACTCGCTAATCGGAAATGTAAGGGCTACTTGGGTATTACTTACACCTTATTCACCCACTGGTAAACGCCAGATATATTCACATTGCCGGCAGTATTATCGATACCATGGGAGTTCTTCTCCACGACTTCAGACTGCGAGAACGCGTCAGAAAACTAGTCCAGTATGTCCTTAGCCATTGACCCCCAACACTCACAGTTATTGTAGTAGTTGTCTTCTGGAGCACTCGTTCTGTGATTTTTTTGACCGCTTTCTCCGTAACATCCTGCGAGAACTGGACGAAAGTTAGTCCCAAATGCGCCCATGGGAAACTAAGGATGTGCATAAGAAATGTCATTTATTTTACCTACCTTCGTTGCCGTCTTGGTAGATTCCTCCTTGGATCGATTGAACCCTCCCTCAACATTCGCGGACACTTCCACCGCAGGGCCGTATTTCGCTGTGACCTGGACGCCTCCTTTGAGCTCATAGGCCTCCTGAATTTGCTTTTGAGTCTCCTGGCCCATCTCAAAACGAGTTGTTGAAGCTAACTCTCGAGTATCTTCTTGGGTAGTCTCAGTCTCGAGACTTGTCACAGTCTCTGTTCTGTCAGTCCGGACATGTTCACGGCTCTTTGATTCGCCCTTCAACACATTTTCAATATGAGCGATATCAGCGCCCTCATAACCGATCAACTGCTGCCTCACTACAAGGAGATCCCCGACACCAATCTTGTTCACTTTGCCAATAGTGTGGGGAACCCTTGGGTCTGGAGGTGGGAGCAAGGGAAGTTTAGGAACAAGCCGCCCAAAATTGATTCCGGTGAGGAACTGGCTGTACTTGCTAGGCCGAGGTGTCCTCACGCTCACCAATGTATTGCCGACTCGAGTAATTTGTATATCCTCAAAAGAGGGCGCTAACGATTTCAAATCTCGCTCAGCTTCGCGCATCTTCTGACGCAAATTCTGGACAATATCTAGTAGCGGAAACGTCAGCTACACTTCAGATGATATATGATTATTGGGAAAATACCAGGTAATGGCACCGCGTCTGGTTCAATTCCCTCCTTCTGTAGAAGAGCGGTTGTGTTCTCGGACAAAACCACACCCGTTTGAAGTTTCAACGCGTTTTGCCTTGCCGAAAAAGGTATAAATTTCCCTACACCTCGCAAGCCGGCTCCGGCTGTAAGAAGCTCGCGAGTAAGACCCAAAGCGGAGGTTGCTCCTGCTCCGTCTTGTAGCTGCAGCGGGTCCGCTGCCACAACAGGATCAGCGGTTGCTGCTGAAATTTTTGGTGCATCAGGAGGAGGTGTAGTGCCAGATCGCGCAGCGGCAGCCCGGAACTGGTCAACATTAATGCCCCGTAATACTGTTTGCAAGTCAAGTCGGCTTTTCAGTAAGGATATCGCTGAGTACTTTGTATCAGGGGTGAATCCGTCGTGGGGATCCTGTACGGGAATTTGGAAATTCCGCGGATCCATTGCCGTCAGCTCCTTCACAGCTCGGAAGAGCTGATTGTGGAGGCTGAGAAGGCGATCTGCCTCTTTTTCGGTGTCATCAGTGGGATCATCGTTGTTGCTATCTGGCTCCGAGAGTACCGATTTTAATTGAGTTTCAGTTGGAAGCAGCAATGATCGTTGTCGATACCCGAAGAGGTTGGTACTCTCATCTGTTGGTGGGATGGGATCCCCATCTGGATTGGGTCTGCTCACGCGCACCCATAGGGCCGGGGTTTTGGGAGGTTCCCATCCAATGACAGTGGTATGCGCTTGGATGCAAACATACACATGGCCATCGTACGAGACTTGATCGCCAACCTTATAGGCCGTGTTTTCGCTCCATTCAGGGGGTCCCGCGGCAGCAGTCGTTTCAGTGGACTCAGTTACAGGACCTTTGAACTCGCTTGCACTATCGCTTGACACAGCTGGTGGTACATCTTTTTCCAGCTGCACTGCTTTTTCGATGAGCTCGAGATCACGGATCTGGTTGACAAGATCTTCGACCGGTTTTGAGTGCTCCGACTTGAGAAATAACGTTAATTTGAAAGTCAGGCAAACAAAAGTCATATTTGAAGCTGAAGAACGGCAAAAAAAATTGGACAAGGAATAGTCATTACCTGGTCGTATTTGATTGCCACAACTGAATCACGGAGATTCTGAAGGAGAGTACCGAACTCCCCGCCCTTAACCAGCTCTGATGCTGCTATTCCAAATGCGCGCTTTGCCAATTCAAGGACTACAGTATATTTTAAATCATTACTGACACTGCTAGCTTCATCAACCAGAACTTTAAATTGACGCAGTTTCTTTTGAAAATCCGTCCCTGTAGGGTCAGCAATGAATTCATTACTGATGACGAATTTTTTGACAACTTTCAATGCGTCAGTTCTGGGGGTTTGTGTTTTGAGAGCATCCAGAAGTTCCTTTTGGAAAGTAGAATTTTGCAACAATGGAATGCTCGGTTTGCGAGCATCCTGTGATACATGAGCTGCGGAGTGGGGAAGGTCAGTAATTGCTCTCTTTGTATTTTCTTTTTCCTTTTCTTTTCTTCTCTCAGGGGGAACGAATACTAACGTCGTATCAACAGGAAATTGAACAGCGGTTCAGCCATGGTTGCAGAGGATTTCTCCTGAAGATCAAAATGGCCTGTCGAAACGGAAGCTAATGGAAGAAAATGAGTTTTAACCCATTTGCGGTGCCTGGTGAAATGGCAATTCATCCACACTTTAAATAATACTGTGACAAAAAGCCCCTTCCCCCAATCTCCAGCGCCGAGAGCATCACGGGAACCTCGCGGCCCGTTTCACAAGGCTCTGTAGGTAACAACCAGTCATTTTCCAGAGGAGGCATTGCCGAAAGCATAAAGTGAGACTGATGGAATTGATGGATTGATCACGAATGCTAGAAGGCGTTCAAAGTTAACGAGGCTCAGACCTTGGCAATGGACAAAGTGGCGTACTCAGCTGCAGATTGCTGAATAGGATGATCATTTGATAGGGTTCGGGGTCATCAAAAACTTAAATTTTAAGCCGCGTAGACTCATCCAGACTCAACGGCTCGCGAAAACCCATGATGCCACCACAACCCTGGCACCTTGCATAGCCCACGACGAGATGGAAAACGAAAAAAGAAAATGAGGGGGAAGAAAAGAAAACAAAGAAAAAAAAGGTCACCAGATCCATCAGTTCCTCAGCATAATGAAGAGATCCTGCCTCTCTGGAAACCCAATGTTTTCCATCCTGGATGAAATCACTGTAGCCCATCAAGGTAACTAACTATTTGTGACATCACGATAAAGCACCATGGAGCGGATCTCAGAAGCCGAGCTTCAGAGCATACTGCAAGAGGCGAAAAATGACCTGACTAAACTGCTCACCGATGCCACCACGAACACCACGCAAATTGGCATCGCCCGAGAGCGGGTAGAAATCATGAACGAACAATGGACAACAGCACGGCCGCAGGTTGTCGGAACGTATGGTGGAATGGCCGCATCATTGCAGGCCAAAATGAAAAAGATGTCAATGTGGTACGAGAACGCAACGAATGCAGCCGCAGAGAAGGTGGCATACGAAACGACGAGCTATGATCGATTGAGCAGTCATAAAAGGAAGGACGCGGAGCACTACGCATTCGCAAACGCTTGGGCTCGTTCCAAATATGAATTCTTTGTATGGTATAAGAATGAATATACAGGCGTGACGTCCATCTGGGAATCGAACCCGCTGATCCCCAGGCTGACGGCGGCAATCAGAGATGAGTTTCAGGCTTGGTTCCAGAAGCAGGTTGTCACCCAGAAACTGCTAGATCAATCTTCTGAATCTGCCATGCACGATTTTTTAAGTGAGCGGCCGGATGTGGTTGTCCTCCTAAACCTAATTCCCCGTTTGCCGACAACCAAGACGCAAACCCAGGGCACCATCGACCGCCCGACAGCTGTTACAGCCATCGAAATCACGCTATCTTTGGTGCCGTTTTTAGGAAACGCGATAGCATTGTATGAAGTGTGGACAGGGCGCGATTTATTCGGCTACGACCTGAGCCCTGTTGAACAAGCCATTCTTGCCGCTTCTATTCTTTTACCCATCGCTGGCAGAATGGTTAAAGGGGGTAGGGCACTCTACACAGAATCACGACTCGTCAAACTCTATGGAAAAGATGCGACCTCGTGGGGGAAAGTTATGAACGCCTCTGCACGAGCTAGCGAAAAACAAGCGGTAATTCGATCAATAGAGGCTGGGGAGGAAGCTCTAGCGACGCTCGGCCGAGTTGAAGGAAAAATTGCCCAGGAAGCTGCGGCTGCTGTGAAAGCTGTGGTTACTTCGCCCGTCGCCATTCCCAATGTGGTGGCACCAGAGACCAAAGTCCTTTGGCAAACACTTTCTAAGAGATACCCAATCTTGGACAAGTTGGACGAAATCGCCGTGGACAGGATCCTCAGAAAAGGCCCCAATGTAGATCACATCAAAGGACAATTGCTTGAGGAGCTGGCAGGGTCACATATAATTCCTATGCTGAGGGAACGACATGCTGGATTTGCGTTGGGAGTAAAGGTGCCCAAAGGAAAAACTTTGGAGTTCGTCCCTGGCTATTCGATTATGGACGCCTCAGGGCGACAAATTACGGACGGCATGCTCGGATACACGGATAAGCAGGTGTTCAATATCCTGGCAATCTTCGAAGCGAAGGCGGGAAGAAAGGGTGCCAGAGAGTTGACCGTGACGACGACGAGAGTCGCGAAAATGAGTCAAGATAGCCTCCTCGAAATCAAGGCAGCGGCTAAAGATTTTTGGTTAAATGCAAGAACGATCGCACGAAACAACAAGCAGCCTTTTTCTAAGACGGTGGCTGACTTTGAAAAACAGGTAAATAAATAATGCTCAACCCTTGTAAGACGCAACTGGAATATGTTCTGACGGGATAAATGATTTCGCAGCTCCTCAAAACCAAAGACAGTGGTCAACTGCAACGGGATCTTGAGCGGCTTAGTCGAAACGCCGGAAAGTCGTTGACCAAGATTTACATCGGTGAGGTAAATACAGCCGTTCGAATAAGTCCGACCAACACAAAGTTCTTTGGAATCCTTCCACAGGGAATAAGAATCAGCTTAGTGGAAGCTGAAGCCAAAGCTGCTGGCTTTAAATTTGAAGCATTAGCTGTGCCAATGCACAAAACGGACTTGGCAGCAGTAGCAAAGGAGCTTGTCCCACATGCAACACAGATGGTGTCGAAAGCTCCGTAGTGGGGAAATATGATGCTGAACGCGCATGCACACCAGAGAGAGAGAGGCATAAGAACGTTAAGTCAATGGGTTTCTTCTCTTGCAACATCAGACACCTGTTTATAGGGCCGCCCGCGGTCAGTTGCAACTTTTGTCAATATCAGAGCCAGGCATGCAGTCTTCGTTCTCAGCATTTAAGTGCAGGCTGGTAGTCTTTCGGGAACAACATGGGGAGAGCAAGGTCGTTGGGAAGAAACAAGAGAAATGAATAAGTTACAATGCAGAGTGGAAGTATTGAGCTTTAGATGACTCAATATGAAAAATTCGGGAATTCAACTTCACCGCTGTTTTGGCCATCTAGGATGTCGAACCAAACCTGATAGTACCGGAATTCCATCCGCTATGGTGTTGACCAAAACCTCTAAAGGCATTTAGGAAATGTAAGATAGACCAGAGGCAGAGACCAGCAACTGAACTCTGATTGATGTTCCATCCCTGAGCGCTGGGTTTTTAGTTTAGCCCAGCTGTGGACATCTAGAGCATGGCTTTCCTTGATTGAAGGACTCCTTAGTCCGACATACTCAATAAGGAGTTAGGCGTCGTTAATAATGATGTTCCATCACTTATCTCCAACGGTGCTCACACGCTCTGATTGTGAGGGTAAAAAAGAGATGATTCGATATCACCTTTGACATCCTGAACCACAGCCAAGGGAAAATTTGTGTGACTGTACCGTCGATAACATTGATACAAGCCATGAAATGAGACACATCTTAGCCATGAATTTAGCTGCATTATCAATTCGACAATTATAATGACTCAGTGTTCATCCCTCTGTTTTTCTTGTAGCACATTGCGTCTTCAAGTGGTCCTGACGTACTGTTAAAAGTTCATCGCAGTTGTATAAATTTTGAGAAACAGAATAATGAGGAGCTGAGTTGAGTTAGATCGTAAACAGATAATTTCACTCTAATCGCTAGAGATATGGCGAGCAATCCTTTCAGGGTCGCGGCGTCAAAGGCTCACCTCTTTCTGATGAGGTAAATTGCTTAGGGTGTGTGCCTCAAGCCATCCACACACGGTGGCCCGCCACTACCCAAGTGTATGGAGCCAGTGCAAGTATTAGAGGATTACCGTTCATGCTCTGCAGAAGCCCCGGCTCGATGAAATCACCATTGAACTTGTTTGAAAATATGAACTTGTTTGAAAATAAAAACTTGAACTTGCGATCAGTTCCCGATGACGCAGAGCCAAGGAAAGCCAAAACCAGGGTGAGGAGTCGAAATAAGCTTTTAAGGTTTCTACTAGTCCCGATCCGTCGGGCCTCGGATAAACACTCGGTCCGTCGCCAAAGCCAACCGCCGGAGATTTTTCATCATCGCACCAGAGCGTTTTGATGATCGATCTTCCACGCTCAGACCTCACTTCCTCACACGTACAAAGGGCGAGCCACCCAACAGCACAAGTGCTACCGGCCGTGAACCCTTCAATAAACCTCTTGTCTATTCATCGCCCCCTCCCTTGTCTTTCCCACACGAAAGGATATCGACCATCATCATGTCTGACATGACTAACGCAGGTACGCCCTTGAAAGCGAGCTCCACAATCATTCTGAAGAAAATATCGCAGCTAACATCTACGGGAAAAAAAATTACCAGCTTGGCCCCTTGCCGACCAAGCCATGACCCAGACCATTCTGGACCTTGTCCAGCAAGCCTCTCACTACCGCCAGTTGAAGAAGGGCGCCAACGAAGCCACCAAGACTTTGAACCGCGGCACCTCCGAGATTGTGATTCTCGCTGCTGGTAAGAACTGCGTCACATCCGCCGAGTCAATTTACATTACAACCACCACCAGAGCATATGTTTCATTGTGTGCCGGCCCCCAGCTAACTGTTTGCCGTCGTCGCGAATAGACACTACCCCATTGGCGATTCTTCTTCACCTGCCGCTCCTCGCTGAGGATAAGAACGTGCCGTACGTATACGTGCCCAGTAAAATGGCCCTAGGCCGTGCATGCGGTGTCAGCCGTGCTGTCATCGCGGCCAGCATTACCACCAACGAAGCCAGCGATCTGAATGCGCAGATTCAGACCTTGAAGGTGAATGTGGAGAGGTTGATGATTTAAGCCTATAAGCTGATGGATATTTTAATTTCGGATTTTAAGGATGGCAATTACTGGTGCGCGGAGATTGCTGTGGTGTTTAGGAAGTATGACGATGGGTCGTTCCTACTTGCGCCTGGATACTTCTGAGCCGGTGGAAATCGGACTCGGGCTCGTAATTGGCCTACCCTATTTCCAGCTGTGTGTAAAACCTATCTATTGGAGGCAAAAACCATGAGTAAAATCTCAAAAATTTAAAGGAAATCAAAAATGAAAATTTACCCTATCCCTCAACCTCCTATTCAATTCCGATCCTTGGTTTCTTTCCGCTGAAATTTTGCTTCTCTCTTCTCTCTATCTCCCTCTATTACCACTCTTAGACAGTACGACATACACATTCAACCAAAATAATCGAGATGCAACAAGCAACTCATTTCATATATCTTCAGCACACTCGACTGCCAACAAATTTCACCCCCCTTCTAACATGATATCAATGAAACTACTTAACATAAAATATTCGACCTTGAAATACAGAAGTCCGCGTCAAAAGTTCCTTCTCATGCTGGTATATTATTTTATATTTACAAGTACACTCTCATGTAAATCTGGTAGGCTTCAAATTGGCTGTGTAGCCTAAGTTCTAGGATATATATATCCATGAAACTGCCTACTGAGTGCCCCAAACTCAGTAGGCTGTAATAGGCCATTACTGATCAATGATTATAAGTTGAAAACCAGATAGATTACTAGCGTGAGAAAGAACTTAGTACCCTCCCCTGAAAACCAGAAAGTCAAAAGAAAAGAAAAGAAAAGAAAAGAGAGAGAGAGAGAGAGAGAGAGAGAGAGAGAGAGAGAGAGAGAGAGAGAGAGAGAGAAGTACATAAAGCAGTGCAAGGCCACGGACAAAATCACCGAACTAAAGCCTCCCTTCCCCCATCCCTTCCTTTACAACAGCCGAGCCAATCCTGAGCCTTACGCTGGGCTTTCACGCATGTTGCATTTACATGCGGCCCCCCCCCCCCCCTCTCTCATTCATCCCCTGAAAGTCGCAAGCGCACCATTTTGGAAGGCCATCATTATCTAGATATCCAACCAGCAAGAAACAGAATTCACGATGTAGTTAAGAAGAAGTATTAGTATTTAAAGAAAAAACAACAGATGGAATAGAATGTACTGTACATGAAACAGAAAGCACCCTCCCTACCTACCCCCCACATCCCCTCTACCACCCCACCAACCCCCCATCCCTTTGCCCCCTTCTTTTTGTTCCCGTCTCTGGTGACGCATCGGTCTTTTTCTATTCTCTATGTAATATGTGCAGGATATTTTAATTTTAAACATTGGTGGTTTACAAGCATATGAAAGATGGAGAGAGAGATAGGAAAGGAATGGAATGGAATGGAATGGGAAAATGCATGAACGGAATCAACAATACTTCTAGAAAGAAGCAGATGAAAATATCTCAAAAGGAAGCAAAATTATAAAACGGATAAGAAAGAAAAACGAAAAACGAAAAACGAAAAACGTAAAATGAAATAAAATGAAATAAAATGAAATAAAATGAAATAAAATGAAATAAAAAAAAAAACCACCGCCACGAACACATTTTGTGAGTGAGAATAAAACCAGACCAGAAATATGTATAAGCGTAGAAAAATACAAACAAGAAAATCAATCAGATAAAAAAAAAAAAAAATCAAAGGGACGCACGAGTATCTTTTTTTTTTCTCCTTCTCCTTTCTCTTTTTCCTTTCCCCCCTTTTTTTCCATTCTTTCTCCTCAGGCGGTCCGCCCCTTCGTCCTCTCACACAAAATACACACTAAAGAGATAATCTGCGAGATCACCACATTCCCACCCCTCTCACGCACCCTTCCTCTTCGCCACGCCATTCTGATACTTCCCCGCTGACGAGGAGGAGAGAGCATCCCCACCAATCTCCGCACGCCCATCATAAAACCTCCGATCCAAAAACTTCAAGACTTCATCAATAACTACTACGGGCGCCGAGAAGGCCAGCACAGCCACCCACTCCATCCTATCAAGTGGCAGGATCGAGAACAGGCCCTGCAGGAACGGCACGTAGAGGATGGCGAAGTGGAGCGCCATGGATAGGGCGACGGCGTAGACGAGCATCATGTTGTTCCACAATGGGAAGGTTAGGAGGGACTCGGAGGCGGAGAGAGAGTTGATGGCGTTGAGCATTTCGATGACGACGAGGATGGAGAGGGAGATCGTCGAGGCGGACTTGGACATGTCGTTCGTGAACATCTCGCAGCCGACGGAGGGGAAGTGGGAGGGACATTTGTGGAAGTGTGTCTTTTTTGTTGTGATTTGAGTGTTAGAAATTGGAGATAACAAATAGGAACTGGGGGCCGGGGGGAGGGTGGATTTGGTTGCGGGCAAGGAGGCCCGAAGATATAGGGGTACTCACCAACTGCCAAAACGTAATCTGCGGCCCCGCGGGATTATACATAAACCACCACGCATACCCAAGCACTGTCGCAACGCCCACATACACGCCCACCACCATATACCTAAAGAACAACCAGCCGCCCACGAGCGGATCCCCGCGCTTCCGCGGCGGCCTCTTCATCACATCGTGGTCGGGCGGGTTAAACGACAACGCCGTCGCCGGTAGGCCATCCGTGACTAAATTAACCCACAGCAGCTGCACGGGGATGAGCGCCTCGGGCATGCCCAGCGCGGCTGTGAGGAAAATCGACACCACCTCCCCGATATTCGAGGAGATGAGGTAGCGGATGAACTGCTGGGTGTTGTTGTAAATGGACCTGCCCTCCTCGACGGCGACCTCGATAGTGGCGAAGTTATTGTCAGCCAGGACCATGTCGGCCGCGAGCTTGGCGACGTCCGTGCCCGAGCCCATCGCGATGCCGATATCGGATTTCTTCAGCGCGGGCGCGTCGTTGACGCCGTCGCCCGTCATGGCCACGACGTGGCCCTGCGCCTGCAGAATGTCGACCAGCTGGGACTTATGCGAAGGCTCCGTGCGCGAGAAAAGCGAGGCGTTTTTGGCGGCTTCGATCTTGGCGGCGTCACTGAGGGCGTCGAATTCCTTGCCCGTGAACGATCTGCCCTGGAGGTTCTGCTCGTGCGGGCCGAAGATGCCTATCTGGCGACAGATGGCTTCGGCAGTGTTTCTGTTGTCGCCGGTGATGACGACGACGCGAATACCAGCCTCGCGGCATTTGCGGATCGAGGCGGCGACTTCCGGGCGCGGAGGGTCAAGCATGCCGACGAGACCGATGAGAGTCATGTTCTGTTCTAGCTGGGCGTAATCTTTGGTTGATTCCGCAGTGCGGAAGAGCGGGGATGGAATAACGTGGTCGACCGAGGCGAGGGCGATGACGCGGAGGCCGCGGTTGCCGTAGTCCACGACTTCCTGGGAGATCAGCTGGGTGTGTTTCTTGGTCAATGCCACTTTGTGGCCGTTGGGGCCGAGGATGGCGTGTGAGCAGCGTTCAAGGATTGACTCCGGGGCGCCCTTGACGAGGAGTTTCTGTCGGTCACCGTCACCAGCGAGCACGGACATGCTCTTGCGGTCGCGGGAGAATTCGTATTTGCACTGCAGGGGGAGGCTGTTTTCGTAGTACCTGCTGGCCATGTGAAGTCTCTCAGAGGGAGGAAGTTGTCTAATCTTCTTGTTTACTGCCGCGGAGTCTGTTCCGATCTTCTCAACGAGCACGCGTAAGGCGCCTTCGGTGGGTTCGCCGATGCTGGAGTATGCGCCCGTCTTTTGATCGTAGGACAACGAGGACTCGTTACAGAGCGCCAGAACCTCCGCTATCTGCAAAACGGTAGAGGACGAGACGGCCAAATCCCTCATCGCTTTGCCGTTCTTCCTTAAGCTGCCTTGGGGCGCGAACGTGGTGCCCTCAACATTGATCTCCTCCAGCCCATTCCCGGCCTCATTGAGATACACAATCCTCTCCACACTCATTTGATTCGTCGTTAGCGTGCCCGTCTTATCGGAGCAGATCACACTGCAGCTCCCCAGAGTCTCCACGGACGGCAATGACCTAACCACGGCGTTCTTGGCCGCCATCTTCCTCGTCCCCAAGGCCAGACACGTAGTGATAACCACCGCCAACCCCTCGGGAATAGCTGCAACACCCAGTGAAACGGCAATCTTCAAATAATAAATGGCACCCTTGGCCCAACTGCCGTGCATCGGATCATTGAAATGTTCGATATTGATAAGCCACACAAGCACGCAGATCACCGTGATGACCTTAGCCAACAGATCGCCAAAGTCATTCAGCTTCTGCTTCAGCGGCGTCGGCTCGGATATCTGCGCCGTGATGCTCTCGTGGATATCGCCAATCGCCGTCGCGGAGCCCGTCAGCGCGACAACGGCAGTTGCGTGACCCATGACCACCGTCGTGCCAGAGAAGAGCATATTGACTTGATCCTGCTTCACGGCGGCTACATCCTGGATGACCCTGGTGCTTTTCGAGACACTCTCGCTCTCCCCGGTCAGGATGGCCTGGTCGACGCGGAAGCTGTTGCTGTGGATGGAGAGCAGACGGCAGTCGGCGGGGATGCGATCGCCCACCGCAACAGACACGATGTCACCGGGGACCAGCTCCTCTGCCTTGACGCGCTGCACCTGTCCGTCGCGGATGACCTTTGCCTCATTTGCGGAGTATTCTTGGAGGGCAGCGATGGCCTTTTCGGCACTGCTTTCCTGCGAAACCGCGACGATGGCGTTGAGGACCAGGATGGTGAGGATCTATAGTAATAAATTTTCACAAGCAATTTTGATTCGACGGTCAGCCATTGAATACAACCTACGCACAAAGTAAAGTAAAAACAAACGTAGTCTAGCGAAGAGAAGGAATATAAACAGATATAGATCGGAATAGAAAGGGAGATGAGAGAAAGCAAAACATACCACCAGCGGATCCACAAAGGCGGTCCAGTCATCCCCGCCCTCAAACAGCGCCAGTACAAACGACACGACAGCAGACCCCAGCAGTATCACGACAAGCTGATCTTCAAACTGGGCCAGCACGAGTTTCCACAGGGGCGTTGGCGGCTCTTCAGGGAGAGCTGTTTACTCGATCAACACATTAGCCCCCACAAATCATATCATGCCAGCTCTTAATCAATAAAGAGAAGAAGAAGAAGAGTCAAACATGAAAAGAAAAGGGGGGAAAGAAAATGAACCAGACGTACCATTCCTCCCATACGCCTCCCTCGCCGTCACGACCTGCTGGCTCGACAAGCCCGCCTGCTCCGTGACGTTGAAGTGAGAGAGGACATGATCCGCTGAGAAGAGATACGAGCGTTCCATCGACGTATTTATCTTCTTTTGTATATTGTTTCTTAGGGTCCTTCTGTTTCTCCCTTCACGGTATATAGATATTGTGTCCCACAGGTCTCCCAAGTCTCCAAGTCTCCAAATCTCCTAATCTCCTAATTTCCCAAAGCAATCCCACAGTCCCAGTCCCAGTCCCAGTCCCTCGCCCTCGCCAATCCGTAATAACTATCGTATACGAGTGCGGATACGGATCTTCAGAATATCAATACTCCTGCGTCTTTTGCCTTGCTCCGTCTGCTCCGTCTGTCCTTTCTTTGCTCCTCTTTGCGCACGCACAGACCAAAAAAAAAAAAGAAAGAAAGAAAGAAACCGAGCGCGGGCCCGGTGATCTTGTCCTGTGCGTTTCTGTAGATTTGCGCCGGTGGTCCAATGCCCGAGGGCCCGGGGGGGGGGGGGGGGGGAGAGGCTGTGGCGGGAAGAAAGACCGCGAATTTTCTCTCCGACAGCAGCAAGAAGGGCAACGGCGTAAAAACCCAAGCACAGGGGAGCGGGAAACACAAACACGGGGTAAACGAGTTGTGTCTGGAAGAAAAGCGGGGGGTCCGTTCTCGCTGTCGCTGTCACTGAAGACGATCTGATGGGCCCGTCAGTTGTCGTCAGTTGTCGTCAGTCAGGGTGTCGCCGCCGGGAGAAAGAACCACGGTTGGCGGGTAGTCAACTAACTAGCAGCCGCGGGATTGGGGTCCGCGCGAGAGAGAGACGACGATGGGGGTGAGGAGGGTGAGGAGGGTGAGGAGGCCGAGGAAGGGAGACGGCGGAGCGGGGAGGTTTTATACCAGGAGAATTTTATATAGCGTGTACATTATTTATTCGGTTACAGGAGGATTTGGCGGGAATTCTCTGATCCGTCAATCAATGGCTGGCAGAAGAAGGTGCAGCTCCAGCTCCAGCTCCGGCTCCGGCTACAGCTACAGCTACTCAACGCCCTCGAGCAATTCGCGCACATCTACTACATCTATATCTCTACATCTATGTCTCTCCATCTATGTCTCCATCTCCATCTGCCGGATCGCACGTTGATTGCTGATTGGCCGCTGATTGGCCGCCGCCAAAAGCCTCAACGTGTTCTTTTCTCGTCTTGCCAAGGCTTCTGGAATACGGTGGAAGGTCTGGGCGCCGAGATCCTGCTTTGTCAGCATCTAGCCGCAGACGTAAGCAGAGGAGAGAGAGAGATGGAGGGAAAGGACAAGCAGGGAGCACCGGGAACGAGGAATGAGGGATGAGGGATACCCCCGTCTGCGTCTGTGTCTACTGTAGTTACTGTGTTTCTCAGAGAGCGAAAGACCCGGCGTGAAGAACAAGAGCCAAGGGAACCAAACATCGGTCTGGGCCAACAAACTCAACTCTCAACAAAAGAGAAGAAAGAGGAGGAGAAGGGGACAGAGAAAAGAGAATATAGGGGAGGATATAATAAAAGCTAACCTGGCTAAAATTAAAAAAAATAAAAAATAATACGGGATGAGATAGCTAAGCCGAGCTGAGCCGAGCTGCAAACTAATCGAGGGCAGGACAGGGGGAACAGATAGATATTAGAGCACACAAGAAACACAACGGGGGAGAGTTGGCAATGCTGCCAGGACACCAGGCGGTGGCTTTCCTGACCAGAGTGGATGTAGTCGGGGATATTGGGGGAAGGACCTGCAGGGACAGGGCAGGGCAAAGGTGTTCAAACAAGGCGAGGACAGGGGCGCGGGAGGGGACGAGGTCTCCAAGACGTAGAGATAGAGCGGGCAGAGTGATGGCAGGGGAGCGAGCTGTATTTTGGAAAGAAAATTGGGAGAAAACTGGGGGAGAAGGGGAGGGGGGGAATGGGAGATGAAAGGTTACAAAGAGAAGAATAATCAAAGTGAGGCACACACTGGGAACATGCTTCTTCCTCTTCTTCCTCTTCCCTTATTCCTCTCCACAACCAAGACCAAACACTGGGGAGCCGATTCTCTGCTGGGACGAGCGAGCTGCACGACAAAGGGAATAGTAGGTAATGAACAGGAGAACAGGGGGGATATTGTTGATTGCTTGATTATTAAAGACCGCAAAACAAGGAAGGAAACAAAGAAAAGAAAAATAGAGAAAAATAAAGAAAAAAAAATATTCCCCAGGTTTTCCATTATCAGCCTCTTCTCTTTTTTGTCTTTCTTCTTTTTAATTTGATTATCATCGTTTCCCCCTCCCATTCTTTCCCCATTCCTCCCCTTCGCAAATCTCCAATTCAAACTGTAGCAAACGCCGCCTGGTCAAAACTAAAGATGGATAACATCACCCACCCCCCTTGAGAGTACCTACAAGGGCGTCCGCCTTGTCTCATGTCTCTTGAGGCAAGGAGAGAGAGGCCTGGAGTTTGGTTGCGAAACATGCACACACACACACATACACACACATACATACCTAGCCCACGCCCACGCCCACGCCATAAAATCGACTCAATCCCTTTCATCGAAAACAAAAAGAAACATAACATCTCCCTTGCCTTCTTTCTTCCTCGCCTTGTGTTTTTATTTTTTTTTTTTTTTGCTTTTTTTTTAACTTTTTTTTTTTCTTTTACTTGCTCTTTTGGGACAACTGTGGATACTTTGGTTTTTGTTTTATTTTTGTGTGTTTAACAGGACATTCCGATATACCTACCACTTCACCTGCAGTATGGCTTTGTTTTGCGCAAACTGTAGGGGGAAAGGTAGCGGGATTTGCCTTGTCAACCTCAAGAAGGGCCAGCAACAGCCTCCTCCTCCTTCTTCGGCTCCTCTGCTGCAGGCGCATCAGCAGCACCTTCAGCAGCACCTTCGGCGCCCTCGGAAGCCTCAGCTGGCTTATCGTCCTTGGGCTCACTAGGTTGCGTGGTCTCGGGCTCAGCACCGTCGGACGAGGTCCACAGAGTCAAGTTGTCACGGAGCAACTGCATGATCAGAGTACTATCACGGTACGACTCCTCGGATAGGGAGTCGAGTTCAGCAATAGCATCATCGAACGCCTGTTTGGCCAGGTGGCAGGCACGGTCTGGAGAGTTGAGGATCTCATAGTAGAACACGGAGAAGTTGAGGGCAAGGCCGAGACGGATGGGGTGGGTGGGCGTCAGCTCAGTTTGGGCAACATCAGTAGCGTTCTAGTGAGGAGGGATGTGGTTAGACGCGTTTTGAAATGCACAGTTTCAGTTTTTAGTTGAATTTTTTTTTCTTTTTTTTTTTTCCGGCGGAAGGAGCGCGTGTACCTTGTAAGCCTCGTGGGCAGCAGTCGCAGCAACCTTGCGCTTGTTACCGGAAGCGAACTCGGCGAGGTAACGGTGGTAATCACCTTTCCTGTAGATTGCGTGTTGTCGTATTAGTATAAAAATGCTTCCCTCGAATACCTGTGTGCGCGGCCCGTCGCGAAATGCAAAGTGGCAACACACTGTATCTAAGAGAAGAAAAGAAAAGAAAAACACGTACATCTTATGATAGAACACCTTGGATTCACCGGATTCGGCTTTGGGGATCAAGGATTGATCCAGAACATCAAGGACATCCTGGCAGACGCGCTCGAGTTCAGCCTCGATCTTCTGGCGGTACTGGCTGATGATAGCAACATGTTTCTCAGAGCCCTTCGAGTCCTCTTTCTGCTCGATGGAGGAGATTATGCGCCAGGAAGCACGGCGGGTGCCAACAACGTTTTTGTAGGCAACGGAAAGAAGGTTGCGCTCATCAACGGTAAGTTCACCGCCCAGCTAGTTTGATTGGGGTGGTTAGCATCGACGAAAAAGACAGATAAGAGGCGCAAACGGGGTACTTCAACACAGGTGTACTTACATTGGCAACTTCCTACAACCAAAGACGCGACGCAATGCTCGTCAGAAGCGGTGTGCTAGAAGGGTGATTCCACAGGAGAGCAGGACAAACCTTCATATATGTAACCATTTCTGTATGACGCGGTCAGAAGAAAGCCCGGGACATCACTTACGAAGAGAAGAAGGAGCTGAGTACTTACCATCGTAGCGTTCGGCCTGCTCACAGAGCCTGGCAAGAAACGTCTTGCTAAACGGAAAAAGGATGTCAGTGCACGAGATCCCCACCACACCCCTCAGTCCCAATTCCAAAGCGCACGAGCAGCAGGGAGGGCAAATTACTTATCACGCTGTTGGAGACAATGGAGTTAGCATAGGATCCCAGCAACACAGAGAGGGGAGAACGGATAGGGGAGAGGAGAGGAGGCATGTTGAGGGAGACACGCCGTGGAATGCGCGCCTAACAGGGAGGGGTAAACCTACTTCTGAGGTCATTGTGGGAGATGGTGCGAAACGACGAGGAACGACGGGCGATCGAGATGCGTAGAGCAGAGTGCAGGAGCGGAAGAACGGAGCGATGGGGGAGAGGCAGTCAGCAGCGGGACAGAGAGCAAGGCTGGAGATGGGGAGGAGGATGGGCAGACAACAAGACGGCGGCTGAGGCAGAAGTTTGGCGTTGTTGAGGCAGACGAACGACGGATGAGGTTGATGGAGGATGCTGACTAAGCCACCACCTTGGGCTGCTGCAGCGCAATTTCGGGTAGACTTCACTCGCTAAGGACCGACACTGCCACGGTAACGGATATCAAACTCTATCAGCGTGGATACAATATTGGTATTTATCCACGATGCACCGTCTCTCGCTTCCTGCCATAGTATAGTGTAGGGTCACCCTGTCCTGCGCTGCGTCGACGGGAGATCCCCCTGGGCCACTGATATCGCTGATCTTATCTATGCATTCTCAGCCTCGCCGCAGCCCTTTTTCGTAGACTGGAAATCCCCGCGTCGCCATATCTACTACATACATTGCCTAGTACTTGCACCTCTGTTCTATGGAATGGAAGAACCCAAGCCCAGCAGTCCTCGTCTTCCCCCGAACTGCCCTTCATCCGCGTTGCTCTGTGCCCGACGTGCCCTGCATTGCGGTGCTAACCCGTCCCATCCTTCCATTCCAGCAGACTCCACGCGTAGACATTGGCCTGATGCATTTCACACCCAATTTCCAACATCAATCGCTCGGTTTTAACCAGCTGGTATGGCTATAGCAATAGCCATCCTTGTGCTTTTTTAAACTAAAAAAGAAAAAAAGAAAAGCAAATTCCACACCTCCAACCAGATAATGGTTTTATTTTTCACGTAGGTTTTTGTTTTTTCGATACGCATTTTCGTAGCCTTGGAGCCCTTCGAAGAGCATGTGATGTAAAACGGAATAATAGTTACATCGCCCGCAATCACGACATCAACAGAAGTGATCCAAGGGTTCTTTTAATATGCAGCGTACAGAAAAGAGAAAAAAAGAAGAACCAGAATAACCAAAATTTACGATAAAGGCAAACGGACTTCGAGCGCTCCAGTCATCGCCTTGATATCTTCAAACAAGATCGCTGCAGGGGTAAAGTATCCCACCCCAGTTTCCATATTCCCTGCAAACAAAAGCCCTACGAATTTCGTCTCCACATCAAATATAAATGATCCGGAGTCTCCTGGTGCACAGAACTGTAATCCATTCTTGTCTGTAACTGCTGCTTCCTCCATCACAGCCACTGCCTTCTTGTCAGTTTTGTCAGTTTTCCATGACTCAAGGTGCACACTGTGCAATCCCTGATATCTTCCGCTGGTGAAATTGGTCCGCCGGCCAATTTTGTACAAAGCTGAGCCGTGAGGAGGGTCATTTACAGAGGACTGCTCCATAAGTTGTCCCGAAAAGTCTGCGAATCCATCTCTATATGATCCAGTGGGCGGTACCTAGAAAAATGTTAGCAAAAATTCAACAAGCAAATAACTATTTGTTATAAATGAATTACTCACGTTGTTACTACCAATACGGGGTGTAACAATCTCAATTAGGGCCCAGTCTAGCTGTCTTTTCATGGGAAAGGAGGTGAATCTGTACCTAGAAGCAGCAGAAACTCTTCCAAGAAGGGCATCTCCTGCGGCAAAAAACTTTTCAGCTTTGTGTTTGATAGTGAGAAGCTGATTTATATTGTCCTGGAAGCGTTTATACTGGGCTTCATCTGTTGGAGTGATAAATTCATTGTTTGACACGGCAGCTTCTATGCGTTCTCGTATCGGGGATTTCATCCAATCCTCTGTTGCTTCCTCAATCAGTTCCATTCTCTTCATGTGATCCTTTAGCGCTGGCTGATCTATCAGGATATTGGCAGATTTCGCTTGGTCAACTCTCATGCCAGTCTCCCTCCATTCTTTGACATCTATTGATATGTTAGCACATCGCCGAGTCCAACCTCATCCTATGGGGGAGAAGGGAGGGGAAGGAGGGGTTGCATATGATTAGGCATGTTTGTGAAGAGGGGATTAGAAAGGGGTAGGTTCGTCGGTATTCCCACACCTTTAGACAAGCGAGAGGAGTCATTACTCCCTTCCTCTGAATCAACGCAATGGTAGCATGTTAATCCAAAGGTGTTCCACTGCTTGGTACTTGGATGTAACAGTTGGAGGAAACCACCAAATGTAGAGCCACTATAATCTGAGCCGTGCGGCGCGATGCTCATCCCCAATTGTGCTTTTTGCTCCCAGGCATTATCCGGGAGGATAACGCTTGTGAGGTCCATATCGGTTGTTCTCCAAATGTAACTTCGTACAACTTCAACAGCTACCTCCTGGAGACCCTCATCATCTAATAATGCAGTAATCTGATCACGTTCTGCCTTCCATGTTCTTGGTGCATCCAGAGGGATGGATAAAACAATTGTGGGTGGATTATTTTGGCGATCTGGACTTGTGCCTCTTCGAAAACACTCCAGAGACAGCCAGCCTTCCATTCCAATAAGTTCACAAATACGTGCAGATAAGTCATGCCACTTGGGGTAAATTTTGTCATCCTCAAAAACAGGAAAGGTGTATCTTTCCGCACTTGCTTGTGGGTCAATGATCTCAATATTGAGGGTAGGCAGATTGTGGAGTTGGAATAAGTTGCGAATGTCAAGGCAAGCATTCAGCCATGATCTATCTGGAATGTCTCTGGTTGCTGGAACTATAACTGTTTCTGTTTTTCCATCGTCGTCGTACCTTGCAGATCGTCTATCTACAAGATCCAGAGTCTTCCAGTGGATTGAGTGGCGATTTAGCAGGTCAACTATGCCCTGTTCAAGTCCAGATTTCCACTTCTTGAAGGTTGGATGTTGCTCAGATAGGGCCAAATTCAGGGTTGGAAGGGCACAGAGGTATGGCCCTCCGACGCGAAAATCTTCCACCCTTATGCCGTTCGTCGATTCGTCCGAATCTGAGCTGGAGCCGGAAGACCTTTTCTGCCTTTTGGGGAGGGGAGGGGGGGAGGGACCTGGAGAAGGTGAAGAGGACTCGAGAGATGGCAGCGAGGGAGAAGCATAGCAATCTTCACTGCTTCTGTTTACTGCTCTTCTTCTGGAGCCAGGAACTGAAGACATCTTGTCGTTGATGAGGGGGGTACTTGAAAGCTCAAAACACTCTGCTTGTTGATCTGTGCTTCCACAGAGAAGAAAGAAAGGCAGATGTGGAAGCAAGGACAAGATAGGGAGGGGGTGTTATTGGGAACCGACGGCGGTGAAGTGAGCTGGTGAAGTGGTGAAGTGCAGCGTTGTTGATCGGCCGCAAGTTGTAGGACATTATCTACAACAACCATTTTGAGAGATGTGGAAACGTCCCACAAAGCTAAACTGAACATCCTCCAAGAAAAATCCAGAATATCAGGGAGGATAATAGCTCATCAAATCTGCAAGTTATGCACTGGTTGCTCGGTATAGAAACAAATCCTTAGCAGATGCTGGTGTTTCAGGGTCATCTCGCGCAGGGGTTCCTCAGACACTCCTGTGATTCGATATCAGAAACTGAAGACTCTCCTCACTATTTGCCTTGTCCCAGATGTCAACCATCATGGGTGCATCACATTAAGTATTAGTAAATATAAAAGGAAGTTGGTTTTGGCGACCGAGAAAAAGGAAAATGAAAGTAAGAGGAGACTTTGGCCTAAGAGCGAATAACTATCCTGCTTCCATACAAGACTGATATATACATAATTACATATTTGCCACCAGATAGTTAGCGTAAATGAGGAGAAACAACCCATCTCCTTCTACAGAGTTAACTATCATAGATTAAAAATTTCAAGAAGTTATTATAAAACCGAAGTTGATAAGTTACAATGCAGCTTGGCTAAATTCCATAATCTCTAAACTGTAGAGATTTTTATATAATTACTTATATATACTGGTATATATACTATATGTACTGTACGTACCTCCGTGGGCGTGTTTAGCTGGAGACAAAAGTGTTCCTCTCTATCTCGGTTGGCACTGGAATAGTTTTAAAAAAAATCAATCCATCCATCCCACTCCGTATACATGTATATAGCAATGACTCCAGGGATTTCTTTAAAACAATGACTTCAACCATCATTTCCTGGCCGTGTATATATAGAGAGGGGGGATTTCGGAGGTCATTATTTACTGGGCAGCATTATATAGATGAACATGTATGTGTATGTGTATGTGTATGTGTAGGTATTTCTCCCTCTCTCTCTCAAGATATATATATTGATGTGTCCGGGAACCACTGTATAGGGTCTTCTGACACTATCACATCATATATGTATATATAGCGGCCTCCAAGCATCAATAGATCGAGATCCCTATTTATAATTATACACTAGTTTTCATGCACAAGTAAACAGAATATAGTTATTTGATCAACTCAGTCTTCCGTAGCTGTCTCATCCTAACTGCTCGTCTGGGATATGGAGAATTTGTCCCAAGCATATACCATATTATATCTATCTATATTATGCTTTGCTTTTCATTCCCCCTTTGCTCTTTTCTTACAATGGGCACCCCAAAAATCTCGAAACACGGGACTTAAACAAGACTTGCTTTCTATTTTATTTTATTTTTGTTTTTAGTTTTATGTTTTTGGATTTGGATTTAGACTTGGTAAGGAAGCAGGGGATGGTAAGCAAATAAGGGGACACTTCAACGACGAGAATAACGAGATTATTGATATTTCTGAATAACGGGAAGAAAGAATTTTTGGCAGTAGAGGAGGTATTAAATTAGCAAATAAAAAGGGGCCCTGAAACTTTGAAACAGGGCAGCTGGGGTGGATAAGCGGGTTTTATCTGTAAGACGTTCTCTAAAACTGTACTAAAATGAGAAAGATGTTGGCAGGCCCTGTAGAAAATGTGTAATACCGGATAGAAAGGGAAAGGCAAATAAAACAAGAAAAAAAAATGAAAATGAAAAATGGCAGGAAGGGAATTACTACGGACTTGAGGCATAATGGGTTCTGAAAGGCAATCTAGGGGGGGAGAAGTGAGAGGGAAACAATATCATCCATCCGTCACCTCTCGGAATATAGATATGAAAACAACCTGAATGAAGAAAAAAAAAAAGAAGGGGGAACGGGAGGGAGAAGAGGGAAGGGGGAGAGAGAAATCACATAAAGTCATCATCACCCAAATCATCCCCATCATACGCCGTGAGATCAGCGCCGCGCGCGCCCCCAACATCCCTCCCAACCACAACGCTCGTCTTCGTCTTGGCCGCCTTGCTCTTCTTCCCCCCTTTATCCGCCGCCTTCTCCTCCTTCAGCTTCTCATTCCCCACGGCCGTCAACGCGCTCGCTATCTTCTTGATATCCCCGCTCGGCAACTCCTTGACGAGCTTCTTCGCGAAATCCTGAGCCCACATGGCATACTGCGGCTTCTTCGACTGGGCTGTCAGCAGCGGGATCAGCGCGTCGGTCAGCTCTGCGAACTGCGTCTTGGTCCCCGGCTTGAAGAGGGGGATGGCGGAGAGGTCTATAGATTTGGTCGGGTCAGATTTGTCGCCGATGACGACGGCGGCTTTCGGAATGGTGGAGCGGGTGCGGTTCAGGTCGATGTCGCCAATGAGGTCCTGGGCGTGGGCGAGGTCTGCGTCCTTCTCTGTGCGCCGGAGACGGGCGCGCACGGCGGCCTCGTCTTCATCGTCATCATCATCGTCGTCGTCGCTGGATAGTTGTTCGTGCCGCCGTTGCTCCTTGCGCTCTTGTATCCGTTGGGTTTTGGATTTCTTGTTCGCAGCCGCTTCGGCTTCGGCTTTTGCTTTCGCTGCGGCGGCTTTGGCAGCCTTTTCGCGCTCGACTTCGGAGTCTTCGGCGGCTTCCCAGTCGTCGACTACCTACACAATTCCCCAAGAAGCAAAGAATTAAAACAGGTAATGGACGGATGGATGGTTGGTGCAACGGGGGTCTATGTGGAGGAGGCGCCATACATCATCGCTATCCTCCTCGTCATCGAACTTGCGTCTCTGTGTCGTTGTTGAAACAAGAGGAGGGGAGGAGGGGGGTGTACTCTCCTCTTCATCGTCTGTAGGTTATGTCAAAAAGACCATTCATACGTTAGCTCCGAGAACCTGCATATATTGATACAATATCTAAGCGAACTAAACTGCATGGCATTAACAACTTGAATCCCTTGACCGCCATTTGCAAGAAGACACAAATCTAAGATAGAAAGAAATATAAATAGCGCCCTGCCATGTTTGACAATCCCTCCCCTCCTCTCTCCTAAATTTAGGCACATACCCCACTTTGAAGGCGCCATGGCCTCCTGAAAACAGCTGATGGTAGCAAGAGCTCTTGTGTGTGTTGCGGGTTCTCGATGAGGGGACTTTGAGTGTAGTGAGGAGCAGTCAACGGCAGTACAGGGTATGGGGGCGTAGATGGTTGATATAAATGTGAGTGTGGGATGTTTTTTTCGGCTTCGTTTCGCTACAAAGAATTGCATGTGGGTTGGATGAGATACGCTAAGCTTTTTTCGGTAGGGCCGATAAGATAAGCACCTCCAATAGTTAGCTAGGGCTTAACTTAGTGGTTATAGAATCAAAATATTGCACGGCTCATTAATACATAAATCATGAACAAATAAAATGTAAAAGTAGGATGGCAAAAAGAAAGTGAAATAAAAAGTCATTTAATTAACCGCTTCGCAGCGAGATCCTAGCATCTTCAACAGCAGCAAGTCCGATAAGTTCGATCTACCACTTGGTGCAAGACATCCAATCTCGTCTCCATCTCTCACAAGGTCTTCCATATATTTCGCCATTCCCGATGCATGCAATACTTTTGCAAGTGCAGCGTGCATCTGAAGAAGTGCAGGGCTTGGGAGATCGATGGTAGTACCACCATGCCTGTCGAAGGTAACAAGTCGAGGTCCATTAGGACCGCCCTGAGGCGCCGGGAGGTGGAGAAGTAAAACAGTATGCCGTTCGCCTAGCATGAGCATCCTATACTGGTTCGGCTCGCCCTGGTAGACAGAAATAGGGTTAGTCTCTGTCGGGTCTGTGGAAAGTATGGGAGGGTTGCCCAACCGTCGGTTCGAATGCTAGAGAAAAGGCTGCAAAGGCTGAGTGTGCGCTATCCCACAATGTCATCAAATTCTTTGGATCGTTGACTTCCCCTGGTCCAAGCCCAATAGCCGGGAATAATTTCCCCAATGTGGCCCAAACTTGGGCGATTTGGTGTTCCTAAGAGGATATTTAATACAGCGTTATTGAAATCATTGAAATATATTGTCCAGAGTTGACCTACAGTTGACTTGTTCCATTTGCCCAAGGAGAATGGGATAATATGACAGAGGTTTGTGGGTGCCTTTGGCCCAGGGTTCTCCTGTGTTCCTGCATCGCTATCAATGATCCCGGTAGCCATACAACGGTAATTGTCCCGTTCAAGGCACAATTTCTTGAGGAGAGTCTGGTCCTTTCGGCTTCCTGACTCATCCATTGTAGCCGCCACATTCCCTATTTCCTCTTCGTCATCAAAGGGCGAGGGAGATATAGATGGGGTGGCGCCTCTAGCACGCACTAAAGTAGATGTCAGAAACTCCGATCAAAAGTTTAGAGCATCAAAGAGTTAAGGAAGGGAGGGCCTACTCGGTATTAAAATGGCATTTTTGAGGTGCTGGCTCAGGGAGTAAAGTGATTCGTGATTATTGCCTGTATTCACGATAAAATTTGCCAATGTCGTTCTTCCCTCTGCAGGTAAGAAACGAAGAAAGCTGGAAAGTATATCTTTTGTCAGGTCTTGGTTATTCCTGGGCTGGTAGACCTCGACTATTTGCTCTGCTTCATGCTCATTGAAGTCAGATGGGACACTGCTGAGTGAACTTTGGTCACTGAAAAGGCTCGAAACGGATTCCATTCTGGAGAGCGAAAATATGTTGAGATTAAACTTTGACAGCAGAAGGCTCGTCGCCGTTTGTCTGGTGATAACCAGGTAGAGCAGTCTAAAGGAAAAGTTGGGCTTGAAAGCTCTTATTGATGCGTTACATTATATGAGCACGCGTTCTGCCGACGGCGAGTATTTTGCTTGGGAAGCGGGTTTGTCCGTGACTCTGAAACGTAATCCACCACCACTTCCACTCAATGCCCTCCTTTTTGTTGGGGGTTTGGATCGGTTCGTCCCCTCTGCTACCAGCATGGCGCTGGTGGTGATCGAGCTCTTTTGCCCTAACTGATGGAGGTGGAAGGTTGGTTCACTGTAAGTATCTAGCGGGCGCTGCGCTGCTTGAATAGGCGCAGTCACGTGGCATTCTAGCGAGCCAACACTAACACTTTTTCCATACAAAATCAAGAATGACCAGCTATTGATATCTCAACACCATACTAAAATGTTATATAATTTATACAGATATGGATATTTGTAAATAAAAGATTTTAAATTTGAAATGATCTGTATATTGCTGAGCTATAAGTCTGTATTATAGAAACTTTTATTAGAACTTACAGTATGCAAATTATGAGTGATGTATTCACATTACAATATTGTCATCAATATATGTATCTTTATTATTTTTTTAAAAAAAATTATGTATATTTTAGAGTACTATATAGCTAGTTTTCAGTCTAAATTATAAAGAAAAATAATAGATATCAAAGAAGTTGTTCAAATATTGCAAAACACAGATTTTTCTTATAGAAATAAAAAAAATAACAACTAGTAATCTGAATATATTCTACGTATAGATTTATACAAGAAAGTATTCTCAATACATCTCACATATCATAACTTTTTTAAAAATATTTGTTTCAAAATAGATATATCTAGTAAAGGATTTCAAATTATCACCTCCAAATTTATCGTAATATATTGTGATTGAGATATCAATACTCCGTAGCTGGTCGACCATTCTTGATTTTGTATGGAAGTAGTTGAATACGTTACCTCCCTACCAAGAAAACTAACCTCCTCAGCTAGTCATAGAATACTAACTTAACCAACTCCTAACCTTATGTGCAGAGAGATGTGTGGATATGAAATATAGTCAGTCGATGCCGCTGTTTTGTTTGGATGTTTTAAGGCCAAACTGAAAGCTGGACTAAGGGTGGTGAGAAAAAAGCACGACATAATTTTTGTTCTTTCCTTTTTATTGTCCGCACATTTTAAACTCGTAGGAGCAGTAGTAGTACTATTTTATTAAGTTACATGTCCCACCACAACTTTTGTTCAATCCCTTTGTTGCACTTTGTATCCTTGATTACATGCCCACCAGCCACGGTCCCACGGCTTGCAGATAACTAAATCACAACATTCCAAGCCAAAAGGACAAAAGGGCCAAGAAACGGTTTTCCACTGGATATCCATCCATTAATTCCGGGTTGCAATGTTATTTCATAGCTACTACCCAATAGCCTCTCCTAACATTCCTTCATATCAACAAAAGCCCACGGAGTAATTTTTTTTCCCCCTCTTTGCTCGCCATCTACATCTCCACGGCGTTTCTGAACTTCTCCCCCGCATAGACCGCATTAGATCCCAACTCCTCCTCAATCCTCAAAATCTGGTTCAGCTTCGCCAACCGCTCTGAGCGTGCGGGCGCGCCGGTCTTAATCTGGCCTGCGCGTAGACCAACGACGATATCAGCAATGGTGACATCCTCCGTCTCGCCGGAGCGGTGGGAGACCATCACACCCCATCCGGCTGCGTAAGAGTCCTTGGCGGCCTGGATGGATTCAGTCAAGGTGCCGATCTGGTTCACTTTGAGGAGAAGGGCGTTGCAGGCTTTGAGCTCGATGGCCTTCTTGATGCGGAGAGGATTTGTGACGGTTATATCGTCGCTGTTGGGGAATGGAGGGAGGATGTTAGTATATTTCTGTCCTTATACCAATTCGGAGCCGTTATGATATTCTGAGATTTAAGCAAACATACCCAACAATCTGGCAATCGGCTGTCTTGAAGAAATAGCTCCAGGCCTCCCAATCATCCTCAGCGAAGGGATCCTCAATGCTGACGATTGGATACTTGCTAGCCAACTGCTTATACAGGTCGGCCAGCTGCTCATACGTGAGCCACTTGCTCTTATCGCTATCCGGATTCTTGAAGTCGAGATCATATTTCTTCTCATCGGTCTTGTAAAACTCGCTCGAGGCGACATCGATGGCGATCTTGACCTTGCCGGTGTATCCAGCCTGCTCAATGGCTTCGGTGATCAAATCAAGAGCCTCTTCGGCTGTTTGGATGTCGGGGGCAACACCACCCTCGTCACCAACGTTGCCGGCAGAGGGCCCATACTTCTCCTTGGCCAGGGCTTTCAGTTTGTGATATACTTCAGTCCCTTGGCGCAGGGCCTCAGAGAACGAAGGGGCAGTACTATTGAAATCAGTACGATATCCACTAGAACGGATACCACAACGCTATCGAGGGCAGTTCTTTACCTTGGAACAATCATAAATTCCTGGAAAGCCAAACGGCCACCAGCGTGAGAACCGCCGTTCAGCACATTTTGGAACGGGACAGGCAAGACGTATGGCTTCTTGGTGCCGGCAAGGTCAGAAACGTGGGCGTAGAGGGGGACACCCTTCTCAGCAGCGCCGGCCTTCGCAATGGCCAAACTGACCCCGAGGATGGCGTTGGCACCGAGTTTAGACTTGTTCGGGGTCCCGTCGAGCTTGTTCAGGAACTCGTCGACCTTCGACTGATCCTTGACATCGACGCCGTGCTTGATGATCGCGGGGCCAATGGTCTCATTGACATTCTTTACGGCAGTCAATACACCTATTCTCGTCCACGGATGGTTCATATCAGTAATTCGACCCAGCTGGACTCAGGAAACTGTGCATTTTATGCCTGCATACTCACCCTTTCCGAGCCACTTGCTCTTGTCACCATCGCGAAGCTCGCAGGCCTCATGTTGACCTGTTCCGATAAAAGTTGTCAGTGTATAATGACATCGACAAACCCCGTGGATAAGGGGAGGAAATCATGTATCAATTACCAGTCGAGGCACCGGATGGGACGATAGCGCGGTGAAGACCGGTCTCCGTCACGACATCGACCTCAACGGTAGGGTTTCCGCGAGAGTCGTAGACCGAGCGGGCATGGATCTTGGTAATCGCCATTTTCTACGTAATCTGTAGGGATTGAACAGATGGGACAATTAGTGAACTGCTTTGAAATCACGTATAGGAGAGGATGGAAGTGTAATATCAAGATAGTGAAATGGAAGAAAAGGAGGTGGGGGTTCCGTTTCTCCTCTGCGCGGACTGCTAATTCCAACTCCACCATAGAGCTTTCAGCAAACTAAGGAGAAGGAGATATGTCTATATCCACCAATTCCTCTAAGAAAGACCGTTGGACTGGCTCAACTATTGGAGCAAATCTTTCCTGTCATTTAATAGCGACACGTTTCCTTGCGCTGTTGTTGATAATGGTGTGTAGTAGTGTAGAGAGTATTATTGACGACATGGGAGGTGGGGTGGCGGGGTGGTGGGGTAATGGAAACCACAGGGGAATTAACACAGTCAAACCCACTACTTACTTGCGATGATAAGCCAATTGAGGGATATGGGAGTATGAGGATGCCGGGGAGGTAGCACGGTGTAGGGAGAGGAGTTGGGTTGTAGAAAGGAGAGGAGTTGGGAGGTTCAGGAAGTTGAGGCTGTTGTGGTTGGGGATCTGTTTATTTAGTTGGATATGATGTTTGGATGCCCCTCCAAAACAACCCACCCAGGCCAACGGGAGCCCACAGCCAAAACAAGCACGGAAGATACTAGTATTATGATGTTGAGCAGCTTGGAAGTATATTTTCTTTGTATTTCTCATGTACAAGCCCTTGCTCGGAAACCTGTTTCCCTGTGAAGACAGATCTGTGAAAGTAAGAAATATATACAATCAACCAAAGCCATTGTCTTTGAATAAAATAGGACATTTTCATATCAATTAACTGAAATTGCCTTGCCATTTCAATTCAACCGCTGCTCTGCTCTCATCATCACCTCATCATCACCTCATCATCATCATCATTATCACCGACATAGTTTTTTCCCTGCCCTCATCGGCCGGGGTCACATGATTGTGAGAAACTGCTTGTTTGGTCTCTGAGCGGACCCGTATTCTTGGCTGGTGCTGACATAACCCAAGATGAGCTCCGATGCTTGAGATCTGAGGTCGAGGATGATATCAACATTGATATCAACATAACACCTGCGCTCGTCTTTCCCACAGCTACTCCGTCGCATACACAGCGTATATACCCCTATCGGCTGTGTCTCCCTGTTGTCTTCTTTCATCCCCCCGTTTCCGCCCTCCAAGCCTCCAGCTCATCCCCCAACGCATAGCAATCCTCCGCCATGGAAGGTGTTGACCCCGAACGCGAACAAGCCCTCGAGGAATACAAGAAGAGCCTCCTGGAGTCAAGAGAATGGGAAGCAAAGCTGAAGGATCTCCGGCTGGGTATAAAAGACCTTCAAAAGGAGTTTGACACCACAGAGGATAATATCAAGGCGCTGCAGAGTGTTGGCCAGATCATCGGCGAGGTTCTAAAGCAGCTAGACGAGGAGAGGTGTTAGTATTTGACCTCCTTTATCGGAGCGATGTAGGAATGTCCTCTACTGAACACACATACCGTCATGTTATAGTCATCGTCAAAGCCTCTTCGGGTCCCCGATATGTCGTCGGCTGCCGCTCAAAAGTCGACAAGGCAAAGCTAAAACAAGGCACCCGCGTCGCCCTCGATATGACCACCCTCACAATCATGCGCATGCTGCCCCGCGAAGTCGACCCTCTGGTCTATAATATGTCTCTCGAAGATCCAGGGCAGGTCAGCTTTGCAGGAATCGGTGGCCTGAACGACCAGATCCGAGAACTGAGAGAGGTCATTGAGCTGCCACTGAAGAACCCGGAGCTGTTTTTGCGTGTGGGTATAAAACCGCCCAAGGGTGTACTTCTGTACGGGCCGCCGGGGACGGGGAAGACGCTGTTGGCCCGAGCTGTTGCGAGCTCGCTGGAGACCAATTTCTTAAAGGGTATATATATATATATTTATATATAGTTACATTCGTTACCTCCTTAAACCTTGTTTCCTACGGCTGTTGAGCTAACCGACCCTTCCGTCTCCTCCTTCTCTTCTAGTTGTCTCCTCCGCCATCGTAGACAAATACATCGGCGAATCCGCTCGCCTAATCCGCGAGATGTTCGGCTACGCCAAGGAACACGAACCCTGCATCATCTTCATGGATGAAATCGACGCCATCGGCGGCCGCCGCTTCTCAGAGGGTACCTCTGCCGATCGCGAAATCCAACGCACACTCATGGAGCTCCTCAACCAACTCGACGGCTTCGATTACCTGGGTAAAACCAAAATCATCATGGCGACCAACCGGCCGGATACGCTTGACCCTGCGCTCCTGCGAGCTGGGCGGCTGGATCGGAAAATCGAGATCCCCTTGCCGAATGAGGTTGGGCGGTTGGAGATTCTGAAGATTCATGCGAGTGGGGTTGCGATTGAGGGCGAAATTGATTTTGAGAGCATTGTGAAGATGAGTGATGGGTTGAATGGGGCCGATTTGAGGAATGTGGTTACGGAGGCGTAAGTCTTGACATCACCTCTGTCGTACCCCTATATGTGGGAAGCTAACACTATCCATTTAGCGGCCTCTTCGCCATCAAGGACTACCGGGATACGGTGAACCAGGACGATTTCAACAAGGCTGTTCGCAAGGTTGCGGAGTCCAAGAAGCTGGAGGGCAAGCTAGAGTACCAGAAGCTGTAATGGGGGCCTTTTCAGTTTGATCGTTCTTTAGTTTATTCTCCCCTACATTTCACCCCATTCTTGATCTATCTTCTGGTTCAGGTCCTCCGGCCCTTCCCCAAACATTTTCCACGTCCTGTAAAGTAGACTGTTGCATAAATGAACTAGACTACATTGCAATGCATTCTTAACTGGCTGGCTCCCGCATTGTTCAAGGGGTCGTTATAGCATTTCTTCTTTTCTGCTGGAAGAATACCCTCTGAGTAGCTATGATGCGCCGTAAATCTGAAGATATTTAGTTTGTTAGTTTTAGACAGTCGGGAAGGACAATCCGGCAAAAACGCCAAACACGCCAAACACACCCACCGCGACAACGCATCTTTCGTTTCAATTCCTTCATCTGAATTATCAAGCAATGGCTCTATCTATTTCATGAGAAAGAAAAATTCAACGTCCATCGCCATTTATTAGCCAAATACAGAGTGCTCCCTGTCTCCGGCTTGCATCCTCTTCACCCGGGAAACCGAAACCCGAGCTCCGCAACCAAACGATCCGTGCACGACAACAAACAAACCTTACCATGATGAATAAAATTTAACTCCCGCTTTCGTTATAAAGTTACATGACCCGACATCTCCCTCCCGCGACCTTACCAACAGCCAAGGGACGAGCGAGCGGACTGCGCTGGTGTTTTTCTCTGTGCTCTCCCTGAGTGTGCAATATCTCCAGTTCGCGAAAACAAGTTCCTGTCGTGCCGCATCCAGTTAACATACTAACTACTTATTCTTCTCCTAAAAGAGGCTTTCTGTACCCTGAAGGATCAGGTATATATTCCCAGGTTTTCGTGCTTATCGAGCAGTTTATCTTATACGCGGTATTACTTGATTGAGAACCCAGATCGCGGCGGCAGTGGACGGAAGGTTACTGCTTGTGCCCGCAAAGGGAATTCTTTATTGATTTCTCTTTTGCGTTGAATATCATAACTGGTGCGGCAAGTCTCTACATATCCGTGACTACGGAGCTTTAGCCGCCTGCAGCGGACAAGGAAGCTCGGAAACGCACAACTCTGACCCGGGTTTCTTTGGTCAACCCCGGAGACTTTTTCTTTAAACAAATACACCGCGCAAACACGCTGTCAAGCAAGCGGCGGGATCGCACAAAGCAGCTCCCCCTTTTTATAAGGGCCAAGAATAAAAAAGGTTTATAAAATATATGTTGTAAAACAACGAAAAAGAGGAGGGAGGGAAAATTAAAAAAACAATGTCCTTCAAACTCCCCAGCAATGTCCCTTCCTTCTCCTCCTCCCAGCGCGAGTATGAGGACGGCTACTGGCGCGCCACAAGAACCAACGTCGACAACCACGGTTTCTCCTTCGCCAGCTTCATGAACCCGAACATCAACAGCAATCTGCCCATGTACAAAGACAAACCACATTACGCCTCACGGCAGGTCCGGAGACGGCGAAAAATTACCTGGGTATTGGCTGGGTTGGTGTTCTTGGGTATTGTGTGGGTGCTTGTGCATATGACAGCACCGGGGCAGGTGGTGCGAATGAAAACTACTAAGCATGGGGGCAATTTGTGGAAGTGGATGAGAGCTCTGGAGAAGGAGAAAGGGGGGTTTGAGGGGGATGAGAGGGATGGGAAGGGAGTGGTGGATTGGGCGGCGAGAAGGGAGAAGGTTCGAGATGCGTTTATCATTAGTTGGGACGATTATGCGTCTCATGCTTGGGGTAGGTCTCTTCTCACAGACAACTCTCTCCTCCCCACTCTTTTGTGACGAGGAAACTCGTGTTGGATGTTTTAGGAGAAATGGACAAGTCGGCTGATGATGAATCCTTTGTGATGATACTGCAGGCCACGACATATACAAACCGCTGAGCAAGAAAGGTGAAGACATGGTCAAGGGCGGATTGGGCTGGATAATCGTCGACTCGCTGGATACATTGATGATCATGAACCTGACATCCCGTGTGCAAAATGCCAGGAATTGGATCCATACCTCTCTCCGCTATGACCAGGACCATCCTGTCAATACTTTCGAGACGACCATTCGAATGCTCGGTGGCCTCCTCTCTGCGCATTATCTGTCGACGACATACCCCAACCTCGCCCCGATTGCAGACGATGATGACGGAGCTCCCGGCGAGGATCTGTATATCGAAAAAGCCACAGGTCTTGCTGACCGACTGCTTGGCGCATTTGAATCGCCATCCGGTGTACCATATGCGAGTATTAACCTTAATACGAGCGTAGGCGTAGAATCCCACATGGATTTCGGTGCCTCTTCGACGGCTGAGGCAACCACCCTCCAGCTAGAATTTAAATATCTTGCGAAACTTACGGGGGAGGCAAACTACTGGGAGAAAGTGGAGAAGGTCATGGAGGTTGTCGAAGCAAATGGAATGGAGGGTGGTCTCGTTCCTATCTTTATTGAGCCGAGTTCAGGAAAATTTATGGGCCAGAATATCCGGCTGGGGAGCCGCGGGGACTCGTACTACGGTGAGCTCAAGCGGCTTTGTTCTTCAATGTCTCCTTGTTTGTGTTTTGGCCATCATACTGATAGCTAGATGATACCACAGAATACTTGATCAAACAGTACCTCCAAACTTCTCGTGAAGAGCCGATCTACCTTGATATGTGGAATGAAGCGCTCATGGGCATCCGCGAACATCTTGTCACATATACGAAACATGCTTCTCTCACAGTCATTGGCGAGAGGCCGAACGGTCTCAAACATGAGCTGGTTCCAAAAATGGACCATCTCGTCTGCTTCATGCCCGGCACTATCTCCCTCGCCGCAACAGGTGGCCTGCCAATCTCCCAAGCTCGGAAGACCCCAGGTTGGGGCCACAAGCAAGAGGAAGAAATCCTCCTCGCCAGAGAACTCATGAAAACCTGCTGGGCCACTTACGTGGCAACAAACACAGGCCTCGCGCCGGAAATCACCTATTTCGAGATCGACGACCCGCCCCGTATGATGAAAAATGTGTTCCCAGACTTACGCAAGAACCCCGCTGCTGCCAAATCTGCTTTGGCAGATTTGCACCTAACATCCAAACCCCTCTACCCACTCACGAACGCCAACAGCGCATGGCGCAAGGACGTCGTCATCATGCCCCAGGACAAACACAACCTCCAACGCCCCGAGACCATCGAGTCACTGCTGTACATGTACCGCATCCTCGAAGACGACACGTACCGGCACTGGGGCTGGCAGATGTTCAAGAACTTCGTGAACCACACCTCAATCAGCGTGCAGGATAGAGACCCGCCGATCCGCGACCCGCACAATAAGAACGTAGATCTAGAGGCCAAGCGGAGGACGCCCTCGTCACACATACGTGCGTTCACGTCGCTGGATAATGTCGATGTGATACCTGCGGCGCAGAGGGATAACATGGAGAGTTTCTGGCTGGCGGAGACGTTGAAGTATTTCTACTTGTTGTTTTCGGACAGGGAGTTTTTGCCGTTGGAGGCGACTGTGTTTAATACGGAGGCCCATGTGTTTCCGCGGTTTCAGATGGGGCAGTTGTTTAAGACTGGGTGGAAGCGGAAGCATGGGAACGGGAGTTGGCTTTCGTAACTTTTGGCGTTCTGCTTAGTTTCTTTTTGGTTATTTCATGGCATTTTGTGCATGGCATTGACGAAGGATTCATTTCAGTGTTCTAGATCTGTATTCTTTTTTTATTTTCTATGTCTTGTACTGTCTTTTTTTCTTTTCCGTCCTAGGTTCAATGAATTGGCTGAATACCCCTCACCTTCTGCATGGATATATATATATATATATCGTGGATATCTCAAAGCTTTGGTTTTTTTCTAGTCTTTTTCCTCCGATTTCATTAGGACACATGAGGACTGCAACTATTTCTTTTTCCCTGAAAGTTTTTTTCTCTTTCTCTTTCCTCACTGCTCCCATGAGCTACCACCACTCGACGTGCATCATTTTCGCCGTTCCGTATAGGGCATGCCGTGTTGATTCTGCATCTCTCGTTCTCCTGAACTGGTTAGAGACACATACTCTCCCCTTGCTTCCCGGTGATAGTCATATCTCAGGTCCTCAAGTTCCAACAAACTTGTCAGGACAACCGCGGATGACCCCTTCGCGGGCCACCGTCCTCAATCCAGCCACTCACCATTCGCTATATATGTGCCTATTGGCAGTTTTGCAGTAGTATGTATAGAGCGCATACGAGCCTGGGACGGTGCTGGATTTGTTACTCCGGGGACAAATATCGGTTCGGACAAAGCTTTTCCTTCTGCCGTTGATCGAGAACCCAATTCTTACTCTTCGTGGAAGGCTGGTTTTTGGTTTTTTTTTATCTTTTCGCTTGATTTTGTTCGAGCTATGTATGGTATTTAACCAAACAATGTCATCAGGAGCCGCCAGTCACTTGGCCCGCCCTTCCTCTCCCCCCCAGAGCCAAGGGGGAAAAGAAAGAAAGTGCCTCTGAGATTTGCATCTGGCTAGCTCTACCTCATTCCCGTCGGGAAATTTTCTCATCTGCCATTCGCCTGATGTTTATTTGGATTGGATAGATAGATGTCGGACAGTGCGAGGAGTGGAGATGGAGTTTGGAATGAAGCGTGTTTATTGACCCCTCGTTGTAGAGTCGATAGAGCAAACAACTAATGGATAGGCAGGGCATCAAGCTAGATAATGGAGACCATGAATTGTGCTTGAGTCATTCGGAGGGACATCAGGTAATATTATATTCCGATCCAGCTAGGTCAAAAGTCTGTGTGCAAGTTTACGCAGCTCGCATTTGAGCTAGATAGATAGCCCTATCTGTAAGCAAACGAGGCGTGGGTATAATCAAATGCCAAAGGAGCAGGTCAGAGAGACCTTCATAATGCTTTGAAAGTCCGTGAAGTAGGATCCCTGAACAGAGTCCGAAAATGGGGAGTATATCCCCTCCCTACCCTCAACCTAAAAAAAAAAAAATAAATAAAATAAAATAAAAAATAAAGCTGAAGAGACAACATATCTGAAGAGCATTTGATATACACCAAATCTAAACAAAAGCGAAAGCATTAACGTCCTTTAACCTCTCCTAACCGCTGCATCAATTAACTTCGCATACCCCTTAACCGCCTTCTCTAAATCGCCCACTGTAAGCGCCTCATCAGCGCCGTGTGCCACAAGGATAGTTCCCGGGCCATACAGGTATCTCTTGACCTTAACATCGGAGTCTTCATCATGGATGTCCAACTTCGGAATATCGGTCCCGTAATTGACCGTCAACAACTCAAAACCATCAACATCTGTATCTAAATCGACAGGCGGGTAGGCCTTGCTATCGGGGAATGTGATGGTTATATTCTTGCTTCCGCCACAGGCGTCCGCAACAGCCTTGCGAATGATATTCTGCGCATCTTCTATCGTGCCGGCCGCAAGACGGACGGCGACGCTAGCAGACGCAGATTCCGGCACGACGTTGCCCGCCGCACCACCCTTGAGCATACCGATGTTCAGCGTCGTGCGGCCATATTTCTCGCTGGCGGGCAGCCCGCCGTCCTTGACGGGGATATCACCCAGTTTATCAATGCGCTCAAGCACCGGGAGAATCTCCGAGATGGCGCTGTGGCCGAGCCAGGGGTAACCCGAGTGGGCCGAGACGCCCCTTGCTTCGACGTCGAAGCGGAGGTTGCCTTTGTGGCCGTCGACCAGCTTGAGCTCCGTCGGCTCGCCGAAGATGAGCGTGTGGAAGAACGGCGGAGTGGTGTTGAGATCCGAGTCGGAGAAATGCACCATGCCCGTGCCGCCTTTTTCCTCGCTGACGACGAACAGGAGACCCAGTGGCACGTCGGGGTGCTCCTTCAGATGGCCCAGGGCCGCAATAATCATTGCGGCGACGCTGGCTTTCGCATCCACGGTGCCACGGCCCTTAATGGTGATGTTGGCGCGATCAAAGTCACCCTCCGGCGCTTGGAGGTTATAGTCAATGTGCGGAGGAACAGTATCGATATGGCTGGTCAAGATGATCTTGGGCTTCGGGGACCCTTCTGGATAGGCCCAGATGTTGAAGCGCTTGTCGGTGCTGTCGTCATCCTCATCGACGGGGACCATTTGTTTTTCGGTGGCGAAGCCATTTTCACCCAGGTATTTGATCAATGCTTCGCCGACGGCAGATTCATGGTTGGAGACTGACTCGACCTGGCAGATCGTGCGGTGGAGGGAGAGGAGCGGGGAACTAGAGATTATCTTTTCCAGCAGGTCTTCATCTTGAGCGTTTGCGGCAGCGGCGACGGCGACGTTCATTGTGTCGGCTCTGATGATATCCTGACTCACGTAGCCGGCTGCCACGGGGGCGACCGTCGATGCGGACAACAGCGCTGCGAGATTTGAAAGCTTCATGCTTGAGCCGATAGGCGCTCTTTGACCTTTTGAGTTCAGCGCAAACCAGGGTTTGAGGTACTTGAAGTCGGGCGAATGGACGCCTTTATATGCTTGCTCCTCCTTCCACTGCGTCCAATTGAACAAACCGCTCTATTATTATTGTTATTGTTATTGCAGTTCCACAGCGTCCACTGCCCCTGAAGTAACGTCGACGGAGAAAAGCCAAAAAGTTGGAGGATATTAAACACCAGTTCTCGCTAGCTCACTGTTCCATCCCAATTATTGAGCCAGCTTCATCGATTGGGTGTATGCAAAGGACAACCGCCGACGACAGTTCCCGTCCTGTTCGATCAGTTGCTGATCTGGGCTCTTGGTATGGTATGGAGCGTGCAAAGCTGCCCGCCAAAGCTGCAGATAGCGGAGTGAGCGCCCCGGATCGATTCAAAAAGAATGCCATTGTGGGGCGAAGAAACACTGCGCACTCTGGCGCTTGCTAGCCGATCGGCAAGACAGGATTTAGGAGCGGGATCTACATAGCAAGGGGGAAAAGCCCAGGGGAATATTGAATATTGTCGCTCGGTTGATCAGGTTGACGATAGAGATGAGCAGGGCGGCGGATACAGTATGTACATACATTGCCCTGACAGCGAGGATATTTCACGAAGATGAATAATAACATCTATCAAAAATGCTACAAAAATGCTACGAGTATGGCAGTACTCTAGCAAAAGCAAGCCAACGGCACGCCAATAACGCCCTCGACGGTGATAATAGCTACGACATAAAAGACCACTGGTTGGGGACATATAACTATAACCCTGCGGGGCCATGGACGGTTATCTAATAGGAACGCTCCGCAGGCTGCTCTAACTGAAAGGCAAACTCCAGCCTTGTATCCTCAGCTAAGATACCAAACACCAATATATCACAAAAAGAAAACAGCATGTTCTCCGTCCTACTTCTTCCCGCAGACAAAAATTGGGCCAACAGGTTTAAACTAGATGCTGGTGAAGCAAGCGAAGCAATTAGGGGGAGAGTCCCCACAACAACACGTCATATACGGCAAACATGAATTGAGCATAAACAAAGAGAGGCCAAGGGCGATATCCAGAGCTTGCGGTTCAAAAGTGGGCGAGATGACAAACAGCGGCGTGGGGCCGGTCGTCATCTCTACCACAGATTCGAAAGGGGAAATAAAAAGACATCCCTTCGAAGTGAGCAGACGGCCCGACCATACTGCTATGGCGAGGTGGGCAACATTGTACTGTACAAGCTGCTCGTCGAACCCGTGGCCCTGCTTCCACCTGTCATTATTTCTTCTTCCAACGGCTTCGTCCACTATTAACACATTCGCATTTTAATAATCACTGAATCCTGGGTATCCTAGAGCTTTTAATTCTTGAAAGGGGCGACCACCCTCTATCCCCCAGACGTTCTAAAAAGAAACGGGTTGGGAAAAGAAGGGAGGAACAAAAAAAATAAAATAAAATAATAACGGGTCATGTTTAGAAGGTGCAGTTCACACAAGTCCCACAATCCCCGTTCCGAAACATGGATTGTAGCAGGAGAAACTGTGCTGAAACCAGAGGAGAAATGCCCAGCCTCCCCTTTTTCGATTTCGCTCCTCTCTCACATCTCCCATGATTCACGGTTGCCGCAAAATTCCACAATCAGCCTTTCCAGGTCGGCCAACTTGTATGGTTTCGTCATATAGCCTTCCATCCCCACTTTGGTAGCTCGGCCCAACGCCTCATCCGTGACATCCGCACTGACTGCTAGGATAGTCGGGCTGGGTGGTAATAAAACGTCCGGGTTCGCACTCCGCATTCTATCACGATGACTCCCAACCATATCCAGTATTTCCTCCGTCGCCTGATATCCGTCCATATCGGGCATCCAGAGATCCATGAGGATGACGTCGACAAACTTCGATTTGGGCACCTGCTTGATAGACGGCTCGTTGAATGTTGACATTTGGCAGTCTTCTATGAGCGACGTTATCGTGTCAGTGCTCATTTCGGAGACACTTCGACTAGAAGGGCTTTGCGGGGGTGGTCCTGGGTCGGGGGCAACGTCGTTCAAGATCATCTCGCTCATAATACGAACAGCTTCTTTGCCGTTGAAAGCCTCATATACATCGTTGTATCCCAGCTTCGCAAGCATGCTAACGAGAATTCGTCTATTGATTTTGTTGTCTTCGGCTACAAGAAACGTGAGAGGGTGTTTGTCGGCAAGATGGCGGTCATAGCCATTGGAGCTAAGAAGGGCGGAACCGCCACGGGATGAAATCGATAGGCGACGTGAGGGTGCTAGCCAACCGCCGTTTGTGAAGCTCGAGCTTGCTCGAGCTGGTGCCGGGCGGTTTGAAGAAGGATCCGACGGGGCAGTTTCGGAACCATTCCCGACCGATTTAGGCCCATTTGTTTGACTGTCGCAACGTGAAGATGGGTTCGAATTCGATTGGGAAACTGTGCACTCGTCGCGTTGAGGCGTGGTTGGCGGGCTGACACTGTCGTTGGGGCTTATGGGTAGCCGGATTTCGAATTCGGATCCACGATCTGGTTCCCTCGTCGAAGAACGACGGCATCTTAAATCACCGCCAAGCTTCCTAGACAAGCCCTTGGCGACCAACAGCCCGAGTCCCAAGCCTTCCTTGCTCCTCGTTGTAGAGTCGTCTTCCCGAGCAAAAGGCTGGAAGAGGTTTGGAAGAAAGTCCTCTGGAATACCGGTTCCAGTATCGCTGATATTAATTAAAACGCACTTGCCCGAACTACTCAACTTTGTAACAAGCGTAATGGTTCCAGACTCTGTAAACTTGAGAGCGTTGATAAAGACGCAGGACACCAACTTGGTAAAGTCTCTTTCGTCGACATATAAGATATCCGGCACTGACGGGTCGACAAACCAATCGATAATCTTTGTCGAAGCCCGGCCATTTGAAGATCTTGACCTAATCTCGATTTTTTGCCCAAACATGTTCGGCTCAACGAAAGCGGAATCCGGACGGCCTCCTACATGGAGTGATTCGTGGATAAGCGGTTGGAGTATCTCACGGATTTTGGTGGACTGCAGTGTCATCGGAGGGAAGACCTTGGGTTTAACGTATATGCTAGAACACGAAAACTGCTCAGGGATTGAGGCGCGTCGTGCATTGATCAAAGCTTCTTGGACTTCGTTGTCTTCCTCGACTCGCGGGCCGGCTTGAACGATTTTGTCGCTCTCTTCAACTACCGTCTTGACTTCTGCGCTTCGGGGTGAGAGTTCTCGTCGACGTAATCTGGGTGATCTGGATCCTGACGGAGGGCTATAATTCCAATCAACTGGACTACTCCTTCTACGCTTGTATGGATTTACAGCAATGTTGTTCCCTTCGATTAGGATATTCGGACGAGTATCGTATTCTCCACTATATGACCGCAAAGAAGCTCCAGTACTTTGCTCACCAGCCTGGTTCTGGGGTGTTTCAGGTATTTGCATATTTAGATCGTAAGCATGCACCACATTATCAGCTGCCTCCACTGCTCTTCGAACGCTATCTGTAACGTTGTACCAGGCCATTAACACGACTTGACATCCAAAATAATGGAACGGCGCCAACTACGCTAAATATCGAAGACGGAACTAACCTTGGATTGCCTCAATGTTATCTTTGAGCTCCTGGAACACGGGAATTACTCCTGCTGCATCGAGACGCTTGTCCATTGCTTCTTGCACGTTGGCATGCATGACATCCAGCATCCCAACCACCCCTTGCATCGGTGTTCTTAACTCATGGGATAGGCTCCGTGCATACGGTTTGAACGACTGTGAGCCCGTCGTGGAGTGATGATAGACCGTGGGTCTACTTGCTTTTGCTCTGCCTCTTCGCTGTTGTTGTTCGTCTCTTTTCTGGACGAGCGTTGGCTTCTTGTAGTTCTGTTCGTCCAGGATGCGGTGTTGTACAAAGTCCTCCAAGGAATGTAGGATCATCTCAAGATATGCCCAGGAGACATCACGCCTCGCTAAACCTTCAGCGGTCCACATCAGCCCAAAATGAGCAAAACATTTTCCACCCGAGAACAAAGGGACAGCCAAGTAGGCATCCATTGGGAATGGGAGCATATTTGGGCCATTGCTTATGTATGAAGTCAAGTTTTCCGGGATGAGGAAAACCTTGTCGTGCTTCATGAAGTCACAAGGTATATCCCGAGCGAGATGCTTGTAGTTTCTGTGCATCGCTGAGATCGAGTCGCCATTGTTATAGTACAGAGCGATACCTATATAGGGAGAATACTCATGGGTTTCAGTGGCTGGCATCAGAGTATCGTAGCCATTCTGGCATGGGGCCGGCTGGGGATTTGCGGAGGCTACAAACGAGCATTGGGCATTGCAAATCGCTGCTACTCCTTCTAGCAACCGTTTCCAAAATGTCTCGGTCTCAGCATCCCTTAATTCTTCCTTGAGTCTTAGGAGACGTTCAATCGCATTGCTCTGTCCAACCTCATAGTATTTCATCATTCCACTGAGAAGCTCCGGCTCTCCGCTAGAAGTCAGGCCTGGTAGATAAAGGGTCTGGCGATTAATGAAAACCGAATCTACGAATTGGCTGGAGGGATTTGGTCCAAAAGTACTCGACATTGTCCCGCGAACCTTGCGACCTCATATAGCCCCGACAATCTCTATTCTCGGGGGATGGAAATGGAATCGGGAAATATTATTGGGGTATCGAGAACTCGAAATGGCTGGAAAATCGCCTTCCTTGACAACAGTAGAATGTACAGAGCATGCTCATCAGCACAGAAAAAGCTCATTCAATATTCGAGTACACACACAAGTCCGGTATCCGGCGTAGTTTTGCGGTTGGAGGTGCAAGAAGTAAAAGGGAGACTGCGGATCTGGATCTGGCCGCACTACCTGCTTTCTTTCGGGGACATTCGGATAGCTAGGAGATTTCAATCCAGGGCAACCTAGGTAGATAACGGACTCTGGACGATGAGGAAGAGTGGTCGTGCGCCGCGCTGCTACCAGGCTGCAATAATTCGGCGGTCTAGGTGAATAGCAATCAGCGGGAGGAAGCCAAAAAACGATGCCTTGGGGGAAATATATAAGGAAGCCGGCTCAGGAAGAAGGATAACAAATAAAAGCAACGACACGGAACAGAGCCACAAGGACGGGGGAAGTACACCAACAATGAGCAATGCTGCTGGTTGTCTCCAGCCGGGGCGGAAGAGGTGTGGAAGCGGTGTTGGAGGACGGCGACGGCGCAAAGAGGGGCACACGAAGGGAACCAGCCGCCGACCATTTAATTAATCAATCGACAACGACGTCCGTGAATAGGGGGCGACCACCACCAACCACTACGACTGCCACGACGACTTGTGCTCACTAGTTACTACTGTTGGGGACACCCACGACGGTGGCATAACCTGGTCTGTCGCCGTATTCTCCTCTTACTACGGAGTATAGTTGCTACTATTATTGCGACGAGCAGGGGATAGGAATGACGCAGTTGGCCGAAGTGGAACACCCAGCGGTGTCTCCAGTATATAATGCTTCCTCTCGTGCAAAGCAACGGAGGATCCTCCAGGCCAATCCCTCACCAAATGATGCTAACTATTTATCCTGTTTACCCCCAAAATCTAGGCCAAGGACTCTCTCGCTCGCCTTTCTTTTTCTCCGTCAACTTGGCCTCTGTGCACGGGATACTAACGAGGCCAGGTCCCGCCTGGACGCATTCGATTTTCCTTCGATCATGAAGTGGCAATCCATGGCTGGACACACTCTTGGGTTCCACAGACCACCAGCCGCGGGATGCTTCGAATATCAAGCCCCCAGAGCCAAGAGTTCAGCGCCTCCTCGTTTCCCCGCATGGACTATGAGTGCTTGAGCTCTGGGTTTCTGTTTGGCCCTTCAATCGCGACAGTGCTTGGACGTTGTTTCGCCCTAGCGCGGGTTTAGCCTGCCGCCAAAAGTTAACCATTGGCCTTGAACTGCAAAGTTGGACGGGGAAGCACGGATCGAAGCCCCGTGGCTGGACTGGCGATCATCAGGATTAAAAAGAAACAACAGAGCAAAAAGGGACAGTGGCAAATAACCACAACGTGAGCCTGGAATTGCATAGTGTATCTGCTGACCATCAACTCCGTACAGAGTTCGAGAAGCTACGATGTACGCTGGATTTTTTTAAAACTTCCCTGGATTATCAATTTCTGCTAGCATGCCGATGTGGTCGCAGAAAGCCGCTCCAGGAGAACAGGCCTCTGCGTCTGGACCTTATCGACCAAGAAAATATTGGCGAACCATGCATCAACTGGCATCGTGCATCCAGAGCAAAAATTTTCGTAAGGTAATGTTGGTGGACATCAGAGCAAGGGTCTACAGTAAGCTTGTGCTTGTGCTTCTGTAGCAAGAAGAATGGGGAGCTTTGAGAAAACCAGCCATGACGCTGATCCAACAGAGAAAGAATTTCTGACCAAGGCCCCAGCCTAATTGCAAGGAAAACTACTCTGTACTCTGTAACCGATTCTAGAACTAGCACATGTCCTGGCTCCAGAGGGCGGCGATGCCACCACCTGCGTGATATCTCTACACACCCACACCCACCCACACACACACAAAAAAAAAAAAAAAAAACTTGGTCCTTTTGAACCCCCAAACTCCCAGCGTTCCAGTCGCCTCTCCGGGATGGCCTTTTTACTGTTTGCTTGTTCAATAGTAATTGACAAGCGGCGGATAATGGAGAACTACTAACACATGAGAAGTAGGAGAACAAATTACAAATTCAGCGTGAAACGCTACATCCAATGACCGAGGCGGGTGCAAACGGTAAATGCAGGCAGGCTAGAGCGGGAGAGGGATACAAGCCCTACCTGCACTTCGCCAAAAGCAGTGAAATGAGTGATCCATCCATCAAGAGCGATGCAGAAAATCCCTGAGTGGGATTCTCTCCGGGGCCCAGGAGACACTACTACTAATATTGTTCATTTTCATAAACCATGAAGCACGATGCGGGAAGGGAGAGAATTGATCCGACGAGCTTTTGCATGTTTGAAATTGGACTTACATCAAGTGGCCTCGGAGGAGCACTCCTTCACAGATACCACAGAAAATACTCCTACTGGTCCACCCAACCTAGAACGATCGGGCGAATCTCGAGTTACCCCAGTATCTCCGATGAAAAGTCACTACAAGGTACATGTACTGTACATGTACTGTACACTACATTCTCGACTCTCCATCTGCTATCTGCTCATCCTGTCTTCATCCTCTCTTTGTCGCTTCTTAACTCCCCGAGCGTCAGCAACCAGAGTGTTCCATCATGCATGGTTGCATACCAGTATTTGCTCGAAAAATCACCCGAACTCTGTTTGTCCTTTGTCTGGTTCTTCATATTTATCAGTTTATGTGTATGCCTATAGAAGTATATACATATATATATAATTAGACAGATTGCACAATTTGGTCCCCCAATTCGCTCTACTTTACATCGAATGACACAGAGAACTAGAATAAACCATCTACACAGTTGCGCCAACATGCGTTGTTGGACTTTTTCCACAGGCCGCAGCTAACTTTCAGCTTTCATTTGCATGTATGTTTGTTCTGCAGTCGGCACGTACCTTCGCACTTCCCATGCGGCGTCATCTCCTATACATGCATCTTTCCGAGACCCTTGGTCAATCTTTAATGCTACCATCAATAAGACAACAGCTGTAAAAGTGGCCCCTTAGCTGCATGGCCCCAGTTTCAAAGGAGAAATAATGAGGAGGACTGTCAATTCAGCTCCCTTAGCGCGCAGAACCGAGTCCCATCTTAGCAATTGGGAAAGCGGGAGGGCGGGAGAGCTATGGGACCGTTTTCTTTCTACTTTCAAGGCGGCTAGTGTGGGGCACAGAAGCGTGTTACCTGATCCCTCTTTGTATGAGGGTCCAGGTCCAGGCCTTGGTACTCAAAACAGCCCACCTCCATGTTCATCCCTGGTTTCAATCCATCATTAAGCGAATGTGTAAGATAATTTTGGTCTGAATTTTTCGCCATCTTCCCGCCGACCGGGATCGTAGCCCTGCCAAATATTCTCGACTCCGATTGCTCGGCTTGGCTTGCGTCTCCTTATCGGGTTTCGATGTCCTGCGTCGATAATCCCGTCTCGGGGAATGTGGTGGGGATTGGTTTCAGAATATGTATATATGTGCTCCAGGTTCACCCAGCCAGAACAAATTCGATTTCATTCCTGTCTTGTTCTTATGGCCTTCTCGTATACGTGGACATGACCAGATTCTTGGGCTTGGTGTTTTGAGCGCCGTGCTTCACCAGCAGCAGTTCATGAAGATATCATATCGCACGATTGTCCGCTTGGCTCATTTTGCCAGGGAGCATCACTTTTCGCTTTTGCCAAGTCCAATCACTTCTCTAAGGATTTGGCCAACAAAAAAAAAAAAAAAAAAAAAAAAAAAAAAGAGCTACGCCTCATAATACAAAGCTCTTAGCTTCCGTTTGCCATCTTTTGCGTTTGGTGATCTCCGTGTCCATGAATCAAACTATGAGATTAAAGTTTTGCAAAAGGCGGCTCAAAACCGATATCATCACCGCCTCCAGTTTAGCATAGTTTGTGAATATCCGATTGTATGAAAATAACAAAGAACTAGTTAACTACAATAGAAAATTATTAAATGATCCCTTCCACCGTCATCCCCATTTGCCAACCCTCGTCATAGCATACATGTACTGGGATGCGGGTAAGGAAAATGAACTCCGAAGTAGGTAGTTAGTACTTCTCCTCAGAGTAGTCAAAAACGCCCTCCCGTAGTATCGTCAGCAAGCTTTTACAGCAAGGGCGGGTGATTGTAAGTTGGCCGCCCCGCTAACGAAAAATTGCAACGTTGAGAGAAACTTCCGCTGTCCGGATGTATCTTCCACTGGTATAGGAGTCGAGATGACAATTGGATGCATTCTCAACCCGCACCCCGGATCCTTGCGGGGAATAGAAATAAGTAAAAACTCATTCACTGTTGTGTATGGCGGATATGAGTCTCCTGGCGCACGACATCGTTTGAGTGCTGGTGAAAACAAGAATGTCATAAGAATGCGAAAACCTCAAGAGCTAGCTGACTGCATCGAAAACGGTGGGATGATATCAATGCCGCCAACGTACTGGAAATCTACTACGTCGAAAGGAGATTCAACAGACAGGGCTCTTTTCCATGGTTTGATGATATTGTAAAAGTTCAGCAAGATTCGTCTCCAAAATTCCGCGATGCCTGCAAAACTGCCAACGAGGGGTCGAATTGTTGATCATAAAGCTGGCGAACGATGCCCAACTAAGCGCATCCATAATGAGAATAAGGAACTGGCGGTATCCCTCAGATTCAGGTCTATCATGCACAGGGTGTTTCACACGTAATACTATACCATCGCTGGTCATCTGGATGTTAACACATGGCTTTGGCCGAGAAAGGTTTAAATCTGTCCATGACAAAGTTCTAGAAAACGGATACCAAGACGCATCCAAATAGCTGTGTGCATAATTCGGGAAAAGGAACATACGGTTGTTGTTGATATGAAGTATCCTAGTACGGACTGTTGTTGTGTTTTTGAGGTTTTAGACAACTCGTCCAACCCGTTTTGAGACACAGGTAGGGCTACAACCCTAAACCCTAAACCCGCTTTTCTCGCTTCGCACTGTACTTTGAGCCTCATCCAAGGAAGGCACTTCAACCTCCGAAGACAACGACAGCGACAGCGACAGCGACGACAATCCTCCGCACCACCCACCACCATCGCCCCGTCATCAACGATCGAGATGGCGAAGGAACGCTCCGGCATTGCCGTCGGCTTGAACAAAGGCCATGTATGTTGGAATTCACACCCTTCAAACTGTCTCTCCCGGTAGCAAAGCTACTGCTCTTGGAACACACGCGCCTCCCCTTTTCATCCTCCAAAATGAGAATTGCTACCCGCTTAATTGCCTTGGGCTGTAAAAGTTTTCATTTACTGCCCAATTCCCGCGGCTTTTTTGCTTTCAATATATTATGGACAGGAAAAAAGAAGATAGAAAAATCGAAACATCAGTACGCTTATGGATGAGCACACGAGCAAAAGAGCTAACCAGTTGGGATTTTTTTACGCCCTGTTTAGAAAACCACCGCCAACACAACCAAGACACGCATCTCGCGGACAAAGGGCCACCTCTCCCGCCGCACCAAGTTCGTCCGTGATATCGTCAAGGAGGTCGCCGGCCTTGCCCCATATGAGCGCCGTGTCGTTGAACTGTTGAGAAACGCCCAGGACAAGCGGGCCCGGAAGCTCGCGAAGAAACGGGTGAGTACCCATTTATTTATTTGCATTTTTCTAGTTAAGCTGTGGCCTTCGTCGGGTTCAAGAGGTGGAGCGAGTATTTGAGATGAAACGACTGTTGAGGAGCGAAGAGAGTGGAACGTGAAATAAAAGGAGAGCGAAGAGGAAATGATCGAGATGGATCCCCATTTGATAATACCAGCCTCCAACCACCAAAATTCGAAGCCCCAGATCTGCATGGATGCCTTGTGACAAATCTGCAATATGATGACCACCTCGAACGCACATGTTTTTCTTAATTCAAGGGGGACAGGCTATATTCAAAACTCGCTGAAATGAGGAAACCGATAGGGGCATGGCACAGCGTCATGAAGCGCACGCGCATACACATTCTCGAGAAAGAATTACCACTAACTCAAAATCTTTCATCTAATCTAGCTCGGAACCTTTGGCCGTGCCAAGAGAAAGGTCGACGAAATGCAAGGAGTCATTGCTGAGGCCAAGAGAGCCGGCCACTAAATGTTCTTATATCGAAGGAGGGCAAAATTAGAAAGTCCTGTGGTTCTCGTGGGGGAGGAAATTGGGGAACGGGACTGTTGCTGGTTGTTGTTACTCTTTGAATTAAAGGGTTTGGTGTCATGGATTACCATTTAAACTTGTTTTTTTTTTCCCCATCATGTGTGCATCTTTTTCAATTAATGGAAATGAAATATCAAGAAACAAACAAACAACAAACAACAAAATACCGTACATATCCGGTCTTTGATTTTTGCTCATCGATATTTTCCCTACCCAACCTGTATCTTTTATGTTGTGCTACTTAGATACGACTGTTGGTTCTCTCCTCACCCATCTCCCCCGTTGCTCGCTGGAAAGATGAAGCTCAGGATGGCGCAAAAGACATGGAGGAACAAGCAGTTATCCCCTTGAAACTGGGAAATGAGGGCAAGAAGAAGAACCTAGTGAGGGAAGGATACAGTAGCTAGCTATCAGAGACTTTGTTAATGGAGTTACGATGATATTTACAAAAAAACTACCTCCATTTTTTTCCCTGTTCTTCTTCTACGGTAGAGAGGCATCCCTTCCGTTATACCCTCCACCGGAAAAAACGGGGGAAAGAAAGAAAACGAAAACGAAACACGGGTATGTCCCATGAACGATAGAAAGCGAAAAATGCGATGGAAGGCACCAATACCCCAGATAACGAAATGCATCGCATTTGCATCAACCGTTAAAACAAAGCCTCATTTCATTATCATCACGCTTCATTGCCGTCTAAGCTCATCGTAGCAAAAGCGAAACAAAGATAAACTCTATGAACAAAATGAACAAAATGTCTCCCTCCCTACTTCTTCCCAGGTAACTTCAGCCACTTCGGCACCCCGCCACCCCCTTTCCTCGCTCCCGCACGTCCCTGATCCCCATCGCCGCCGCCGCCCAGCCTCTGCAGCAACGACTTATCCCCCTTCTCATCACGGACAGGAAGAGCAGCCACCTCCTGCACCTTGATCTGGCTAGCCACCTGCCTCAGTTCGGGGCGGAGTATCTGCACCCGTGTCGACGCGCTCTTCGCCCGCGACGAGACATCGTCCGCCCAGGAGAAATTCACCAGCACGCGGCCACTCATGCGCAAATCGCGAATGAGTAATTTCTCAGCCACGTCCGGGATGACGGACTGGCCCTTTTTATTTGTCGGGTTTGATGATAGGGAATGGTGGGTGTGTAAGGGGGTAGTGAGTGGGGAGGTCGCGCCCCCTGCCCCGACCCCGCCAGCAGCAGCGAAGAATGACAACGAGAATTTCTCGCCCGATATAGAACTATCCAGGCAACTTCTGACAAACGCGTACAGACCCTGCGCCGTATCTTCCCTGGTGAACTTGGAGACTACCTGGCTTTGATCGGGGAAGCGGATCTTGACTTCGACATCGGCGATGCTGGCAAGCTTGGTTTCCTGGGCGGATGCTTGTGCCGCCAGTTCTGCGTCGGTGGGGAGGCGGTTGGGGCGGGTGGTGCGGCTGAGGTGAAGTTGGTGAGCTTTTGCTTGGTCGACGGTAGGGACATAGTCGTGCTCGTTGAATGGGGTTTTCGCGGATTGTGGTACTGCGCTCGAGGGTGGGGCGTAAACGGTGGTAGGCCTTGATGATACAGTGGTCACTGGAGGAGGGGTTTGGGCGGGGTTTCCCGTACTTTGTTGCTGTTCTGGGATGGCTTGAGGCTCGGGGGTGGGATCTGTAATATCGGATAGGGTCGATGTAGCGGATGGTTCTGGCATTGCCAGTTCTGAGCCTGACGGAACGAGAGTTTCGCGTTTTGAGCCCCCGGAAGCGTTCACATTACTTGTATCCTCCTCTTCTTCTATGGACTTGAAGTACCCCGCGATTTCCATCATGGCTTCTTCGAGCGGCTTATCCGTCGCCCTGAAGTTTAATCTGAGAAGAGTGCTTCCGCTATTGAACCCCAGCTGCCCAAGAGTCCTCTGTAGATCCCCAAATGACGATAGCTCCCTCCCGACAACTTGAATGACAGGAGACTCATAAAACAACCGCCCCGCACCAGTTGCCGTCGACGGCACCCCTCTAGCCGTCAGGTTTCTCGTGGTTCCATTCCCCGCCACCCCGGCTTCAAACTTCCGTAAAACATGCCATAACGTGGTAGTACTGGGGAACTTATCGGTTAAACGGCCGTTTGGGGCACCTCGGGCCTCTGATTCGGGAAGCTGTAAGGCAACGGAGACGACGGAGGGGGAGCGCGAAAGCTGGACAAGCTCAAGCCTAGCACCGGAGCTTAGCCCCGATAGTCGTATAGAGAGCGAGAGATCGATCTGTTTCTTCTGATGTCTTTCAGAAAAAGGAACGGGTCAACGGTTAGTAGGGAACCCAGGATACATATTGCTTTCAGACATGCGGCACCGCCGGGTAGGCAGAACTAAGCACTTACTTGAGTCCATATTGGCGGGCATCAAGGCCGAGCTTGGAACATGCTTCCGATAGAACCTCAGTGAGATGTTTTGTAGGAGTGACCTTGACTGTAGCCTTTCGAGCAGTGGAGTCTATCACAACAACGTGAGAGGCCATGCTGAGGAACGGAGGATGAGGAGGTTCGTCTTGAGGTTGGAAATACGGAGGCAGACGACGACATCGATCCCGGCGCCGCGGTTTGAGGGTGGGATATATAGTAAATACACGCCAAGCCGCGACTAAAGAGCAGATGAAAGTTCCTGGCGATGATTTTATGTTTCGAGATCGATTAAATACTCAGAGAATTTGGGTCCGTGTCGGTTTCGTATTTCAAGAATTGGCATCAAATCGAGGGGCCACTGTCTTAACGAAGTATTTACATGTCTCCTTGACCAAGCTGGGAGGTATTTATCTCAACATTCACACCCATCTCCAAAGACCAACAAAAATTCCCTTCATTCATGATTTGGGTATCGCAACACTAGCTAGTTACATAGCAACAAAAGAATAATAAGCCCAGATACAACCAAAAACAGCTCTAACTCCGAATATGATTTAATCTAAACAGCCAGCTGCTTATATTCTCCATCGGGCGTGCAGCTGGCAAAACGCCATCTGCCAGAGTGCCACATGGGCACGACGTTGTTCACGAGAGTTCTCGCAAATCCTTTCAGAGGCGGGAAAACGCCGTGCCACATGCCGCCTTCGAAGGTGGCCGTTTCCATGTTCAGGAAGAAGACGGGCACGGTGTTTAGGAAGAAGCTAAAGCCGACCTGCTTTCTGCCTAGAGAAACACATCAGAATCCAGTGACAATGGCTAATTGAAATCCTGTGATACAATCGATGCAAGCTCACACACGAAAGCGGGGAAGGGATTGTGCGCAGAAGCAGGGTCTTACCAGCAGCGGCGGCGATGGCCATGATATCTATCGGGTTCTGCTCCGTGTTGTACCTCGCCAAATCGACGATGGCAGGCGGCTCAGCCTTGAGATGACTGTGCAGCGGCTTCTTGAACGAGTCCATGATGGAAATCAGCTCTGCGGCGGAGAACTCCGCACCCGTTTCATCGAGATAGGCCTTCATCCGGTCCATCCCGCCGTAAAAAAGCTCGTGCTCCTGCACGGCATCTGCCATCAAACCAGTCGTGCCGGCCGCCTTGTTGATGTTGGGAAACAGGTCCGTCTCCTCATAGTGGTGGTGGGTCTTGACGCATTCGATCCACGCCTGGCAGTAGCCGACGAAGTCCGACTTGTCCGTGGGCTCCTGGAGGCGAGAGGCCTGTTGGTAGATGCTGTTGAAGCCGCGGATGAATGCGTTGTGGCTGAGAGCCATGTGGGAAGCCTCGATGGTGAACGGGTCTTCCTACAGGATGGGCCAGTCAGCAACGAGATTCCTGTCCCGCTGGTCATGGGCGAGCTGAGAAGGGAAATAGGTGCAGATACGCACGTTGCCTGTTTCGAACTTTGGCGTGGGGATGACGGCCAAAGGAGTGTCCGTGTACATGGGAGGAGAATCGTTGTTGGCCATGTTTTTGAAGTGCAATTTTACCACCCGGGGATAGAGTAGAGATTTTGCTGCTGTTGGAAGGACTTGGAAGATGATGTTTTGTATTGGCACGGTCATATGTATGTAGAAATCCTGAGTCGAAGCACAGCGCCCATCAAACAAATAAACAGAATTGATAATACATTGCGTGTTACGTCGTGCTGATATATATGGTCTTGTTCCCATTTAGCTTGAATAGAGGATTCCAGGAATCAAACTCCCCCCTATTGGTAGATACAGGCTCGTTGGCTATGAACCCCTGTCAAATCCATGGACCCCAAATGATGAGTACGAATCAAATTCCATGTCCGTCATCTGCTTCTTCATGGAGAGTTTTGACGAGAGCACCAATCAGGAGATATCACAACCTCAGCTTCCTTCTGTCCATACGACGAAAGTACGAGGTCTGCAAGGGCAGTTCCAACGACACTAGCATCAAACGTCTCGCACGGATCCAATGGGCCTCCAGCTCTTCTCGGCTGTAAAATATACCAAGCTTATTATTCTTCTGTAACATTCATCGTCTTTCCATGGTAGCAGCTTCTACCATTACAACACACCGAGCAACATTGTGCACACAGTACCATACAAATAATCCACAAAGCCACCAGCCATTTACGTCAAGCCAACAGAGAGCGTCTCCTTATCTCTAACTCCCTGCAGAACTGAGGTCCCAATGCCTTCTCAACGTGGCTCGATATGGGTTATTTGTCCGTGATATCAACATGATGAGTGCTAGAGTAGTATTGATATATCGACAAACTTACGAGCGCTGCAATATCTCGATCCACTCTGAGCCCAATTATTGCACCCCTCCTTAACACACCTGATCGCGGGGCTTGGCATTTTTCGATTTTTTTAGAGGGAGGGTATCCTCAACAAGAAACTAGGTTCGAATACTTCGAGAATATAGATTCTGGACAGCTTGTAGGAGTTTGGGAATATGTTAACGGAGGAGGGGTTCCAACCCATTATTTATATCTTTCCATGTCGTTCCCATGAAAGCAAAGCAGAAGGCAGCTGTTTAGAACTACTGCAGAGTTATCACATTTTTGATCCCTTTGAGTGGTAGACATCCAGTGAGATGACTAGTTTAAGCGCTTGGGTGACAACCATAACCCCTTAGGACTCCTCATTACGGTTTGGTGACACCCCCTTTCGGAGAAAGCGACGGAAATACGACGTGCGATATGCCTTCAAGGGACTGGATTCCGGTATCAGGGATCGAAGTATTATTTGATTACCCGTCTCAGCGACTTCCCCTTGGCTCACCAACCTGAGATCAAGTGACCTTTCCAGCTGGATATATTAGGCCACTATATCCTGTTGGGGGTTATGGATTGGGTGATTCGTACCCTCTATACCACCATGGCGCTGGTGGTGATTGAGCTCTTTTGCCCTAGTGGCCGAATACTAACTTGTGGGATGGTTCATCTTGTTATTGTTGTGGTCGCTAGCTAACTATATAGGGGTAATCACATGCGGTGGAGGGCCACCTGGGCAACTAGTGCCCAACACCCCCCCACGCGCCAACATGCATGATGTGTTCCTACAAATATTCCATGCTAACTATCTTAACCTAGATCATCCCAAAAACATGCTATATACAGAAATTTAATCATTCTTACTGTTGTCAGTGAAAAGTTCTAGTAATTTAATGAAACATCTAAATGCCACTGTGCTCAGAGATTTGATTAATTCATCTGCTATCATATCCTCAGTGGGAACATGATTAATTGAAATAACATCTTCATTCAGTTGTGTGCAAGAATAGTGGAAGTGAGTGTCAATATACTTGCTGCACACTGTGATTGCAGCAACAGTAGCTAGATCAATTGAATCTTTATTATCTGCTCTAATAAACAAGAAGTTCTTTGCTGTAACAAATTCTAGTTCCATCATTATATTGTACAATCACATTGCTTCATATACTGCTTTGCTGAGTGCCATATATTCTATCTCATTTGAACTTAAAGAAACACAAGATTGTTTGGACAAACACTATGAAATTGATGCATCTGCTAATTTGAATATGAAGCTCAAGATAGATTTGCATTCATCATTCAACAGTTCTGTTCAATCTGAATTCATATAATCTATCAGCAGATATGACACATTGGGGAATTCATCAATCTCATTCTTGAGGCCTTTATATAAGATGCCTAGATTGCTCATTTCTTTTAAATATTATATGACACAGAGAAGAGCTCTTCACATCTTAAGTGTAGACACAGTATTCTTCTGCACTAGTAGAGATGCTGCTTGTACAATATCTGAGCATAATTTGACTGTCAGATACTGCAAGCACTCTACTTTATATTGATATTATTCTTTAGTGAACTCTTCTTCTCATTCTGATACAGAGGTATCATCTATCTTCATCCTCTCAAGTATTGGTATAGAGACAGGGACAGTATCATCTAGATGGAAATCTTGCACTAAACAATCAATATAGCATCTCAATGTCAATTTTATGGTGCCATCAGAGCAACATTCAACCTTCATACCCAAGTATTTCAAAGGTTCTTTCAAATCTTTTATTTCTAATTTATTGACAAGGGTATCAACTAGCCAATCAGCATCTGCCAAATCTTCTGCTATAATATGAAGGTCATTCATATAGATTGTCATATAAAGATGATTGCAGAACATGTGACACCATAGAGCAGAGTTATAGAGGCTAGATTTGAAGCCATTCTCACAGAGTAATGCTATAAGAAAATCATATCAAATCTTAGCAGCAGGGTTCAATTCATATAGAGAGTCTACAACAGCACAAACCATTGTGTGTGGAGTCCCCATCTCAAATCTGATAGATTGCTGTATATAAATCATTTTATCAAGTCAGTCATGCAGATAGGCCATAACTATATCAATCTGACATAAGATTCAATCTCACTTCACTGCTATCACAAACATCATGCAATTAGTAGCATCATTGACAACAGGCATATATGTTTCTTCACATGCACTCTTCTTTAATCAATTGCCACATATTATTCATCAAGATTTTCATAATATATCATCAGAATTTACATTGAGATTCTGAGAGCAATCTTTTTTAATATAAACCCAGCAGCTGAAGGCCACTGACTCATCAGAAGAGACATCAGAATATAGAATCATTGTTCAAATGTTTCTTCATTTCAAATCTGCAATCTCACATTTCATTGACTTTTGTCAATATTCATCAACTCTCTCAGATCTACTAACAGCATTTTTATATTCTTTCAGAACAGAATCAGTGAGAGGAGAAGAGATATAGATGATGAATGCTTTTACTGATCTTATTCATTCAGCATCAGCTAGTTCAGAAACAGCAGCATTATCAACAAGATAAATCACTGAACTTGCAGCTTCAGATGTTATATAATTAATATCATTCTGCAGAATTGAAGATTTCTTTGCAGAGAAAACAACATCACTGATGACAATTATTTTATCAGTTATAGAACTTCAGAGACAGTAGATTGAGTTACCACAGAATTCTATAAGTTTAAATATTTCTGCTCTGATGAACAGCTTATCAGTAGATTTTTGAGATTCATAAAAATGCATATAAACATCAACATCTAGCTCTCTAAAATGGTGAAGTTGGGGCAGAGTGTTGATTAATGCTGAGAATGAAACAGTATAGAGGTATTGTATAGATGCTTCTTCAGCATTGATAGGTCAGTATTTCTCATTATATAGAGTGGTAGATGTCAGAGTGTTGTTGATAATTGCAACTACCATTTCAAGAACATCTACCCAGAACTTCTTCAGTATATTCATATCTATAAGCACTGCTCTAGTGCATGTCATTATTATGCAGATTCCTCTCTCAGAAACACCATCTTGGTGAGAGGATTGAGATATAGTAGATTCTCAGATAATGTTATTTTTGATTATCATCATTGTTATTTTGTTTGATTGAAAGACATCATCAATATCAGTTCTAACTAGCATCAGTAGTGTGAAGCTGAGATTTTTTATGAATTGAACTCAGTGAGCATAAAATTTGATAGCTTGATTCTTAGTGTGTAAAAAATAGATTCATCTATAACAGATGATATCATCAGTGATAAGCATATAATATTTGATTTCTTGATAAGATTCTATAGAGTAATCAAACATGTCATCCAGCATACAACTGCTGTCAGCAAGATTGATATGAACACATTGCATTGCTTGCAACACTTGTGGCATGGAAGTTTGCAAGAACTTGCATGTCATATCTGCTTTGACACAGCTATCACAGAAGAAGTCTGTTTTAGATTCTTTGATACAGATGCTGAATGACAGATTCTTCACTAGTGCAATGATCACATCAGTATAAATATGCTTTAGAGTGACATGCCATTCCATGAGTGTTCTTATCAGAGGGTTGCAATCACTAGATTGATCACTAGATTTCCCCACAGTTGTTGACATTGCATTCTCATAATTGTAAGATTTGACTATAAAATGAACAGTCTGAAACAGATGATGAATATCTATTTGAAATTCTTGTTCTATTATCTTGTAGATCAATTCTTTGAATATACAAACAGTGATGAAGTTAATATCATTCAGAGTCTTTATTGTAAAATAAGAAGAGGTGATATCAGATAGTTGATATCTGAAATCTTAATCTTCTAACTTTGTGAAGAATAGAAGATTGACAGTGAGATTGAGAATTCAGTGAATGTAACCCACTGAGATATCCCTCTCTTCTGATTCTAGAAGAATATCATCTATCTTCTCAATTCATTCTACATCATCATCTGTAGTGGTTATCTCTAAATCCCTCTCAAACAACTTTGCACACATCAACAAGTGCCTTTCACTCATCATATTAAAGCTTGTGTAGATATCAAGATATCAAGGTTTGAATGTTGTAGCAGACAACACAGATAAAGCAAATGCCACATTGACACTAGATTGTGAGACAAGAAGATCTGACACTCTGATATCAGTAGATTTGTCATCATTCTTATTCTTCTTCTTATTCTTTCCCTTCTTTTTGATACTCTCAGTGTTGTCAGTGCTTTTATTATTCTTATTCTTCTTCCTCCACCACTCAGATGCTTTGTCAGAGTTCAGATAATAGCAATTAGCCTTTATATACTCTGAGATCTTGCAGTATTCATATCATGAGATTATAGTGGTGGTTGTGATGTTATCATCATTATTATTGATGATTACATTGGCTTTTGAAGCTTTGAAACATTCAGAACTCTCTGACTTACTTATTCAGTAAGTAATTTGTTTTGTGAGATCATTGATATCTAGATTGACAATCAGATTCTGATCTGTCTTATAGAATATATCAAGATATGATTTGATATAGATTCTCTGATAATCTCAGAGATTAATAATAAAGAAATCATAGAGATAGTTCTCACTGTGATCCTCTGTTAGTTGTCACATACAAGTAGACAGATAGTGATATCAACATATATACATCAGATAATCACTATTTTTGATATGTAAGTGGATAAGTTCTTTGAGAATATTAATCCTTTTCTTCTCTAGAGACATCATATATACTGTATTTATCTTGTGTTATAGAGCTGCTGTGTTGTCAGATTGAATGAATTCCATGATCAAACAGACAGAATCTATCAGAGATTGTAATATACAATAGAAGAGTAGCTTTGAATATATCACTCAATATTATTGCTCAAGTGTTGATAAATCTTCAGATGGTTTCTGTTGATTCTTATTGAGAATATCTACACTATCAATTACCTCTGTATTCAAGAAGAATGTCATCTTTCATGTCTGATAGTTGATGTCATCAAATGTGGTGACAGACTTTGTATTCAACAAGATCTGTGCTTTCTTCTGATATTCACAAGTCAGTATGTTCAGATCTTCTTCTGATATAGAGTTTGGAGAAGATGAAGATGGAGGAGAAGATAGTAAAGAAGGTGGTGGTGTGCATGCTGATATCAGTCACTTGCAGAGTGCAATGAGATCTGCTGCTGCCATGGTCATCATGCTGTTAGAATTTGATATAGAAATCAGTATAGAACTGAGTATACCATCTTCAGATTTCTCACATTCTGACATCTTGCCAGTATCACATGCTGAGTCAGAGATTGTCATATCTTTCTTTATCATTGTATATTCAGTTTGATCACTCTTCACTTCTGAGGTGAATTCTTGCTCAGTAACAGAGAAGAAGAATTGAGAAACTCTTGATTGCAAATATAGTGTCTTCTTACATTCTGATATAAGAGTCACAGATAATCAAGAATCACTCATAATCAATCTGATTTAGAAAGATTCTGAATGAAAATAAATAAATAAGTTTTTGATTTCTTCAAGATAGTAATGAAATCTCTGCAGCAGTCTCAACAGTAATTCCATTAATTACACCACTTTTATAGACAAAGAGCTCTCTTTTCAGAGGAATAATGTCTAACTCATCCAATATAACATCAGTTGCAGTGTATTCTAATCAAAACACATTGTTTTTCTTAAAAATCTGCTATCCAGGCCATCAATATCGATCTCTACATTTGCACGGAATTATGTTGCTAGCTAACTATATAGGGGTAATCACGTGCGGTGGAGGGCCACCTGGGCAACTAGTGCCCAACATAACTGTATACCACCACCGCGCCTAGGGGGGGGCGGGCACGTGATAGGGTAGCCGTAGTCCATACCAACCAACACCAGCTCGCTCACCCCTCTACCCCTTGTATGATTTAGATAACCAACCCTTCTGTTGTGCAGTCTATCATATACCATGAACTACCACTGATCACTGTGTAGATCCCCAATGGCAATGTGGAGTTGTGATTTCGAACCCTGTGACAAGCCCTCTGTACGCACGTATGGAGAATGTGTCCTCTGCGATCGTCATCTCTGCGCGAAACATCTTCGCTCGGAGTATCATAAATGTCCTAAATGGGAGGTGAGCGAAATTTTTTATTATTGTGACGTTGTTCTATAGATGTTAATTTTGGGACTGAGAAGGATGAGGAATCGTACGACCCAGCGGCTCGAGAAGCTGAGCAAAAGGAAATGGCAATTCTCCTTAGTAAGGTCAATGTCTCCGCGCTTCTCTCTCGAGCCAGTTCCTTGCGTGACGGCGTTCCGTGCTCATTGACCCGGCCCCTTCAGTATGATCGATCGGCGCGTTCCTCTGTAATGGGCGGTATGAATTACCACATCGAAATCCAGTTTCAGGATGGACTCAGCTGGCTTGCACGTATTCGAAGATTGAATGCAACTTCACCGCCGCCAGACCTACGGGCTTATATTATGTGCAGCGAGGTGGCGACTCTGCAGTTCCTGAGCAAGACAAAAATTCCCGTTCCCAAGGTTTTTGATTACAACCTTGATGAAAAAAACCCTATTGGGGTTGGATATATCTTGATGGAAAAAATGGCGGGTCGGTCGCTTCGCTGGTCTCTTCTCTCGGCAGAGCAGAAAAGGAAAGTCATGAGTCAGCTAGCAGATATATATATCGAATTGCAGCGGTTTCCATTCGATTTGATGGGTTCTTTGGACCAACCAGGAACTGAACGTGTTGGATTTTTCGCGCGGGAATCATTGACCGACTACAAAAACTCTCATATGCTACCCATGGGGCCATTTCCTTCTTCCAGAGAGTACCTACTTGCAAGCATTCAATTGACACTGGATCTGATTATGAGAGAAGAGTGTTTCAGTCCGCGAGCAATCGATGCCTACTTAGTTCATCGCTTTCTCCTCGACTCCGTTTCGAAGAAAATATTCTGTCCTGGTCGTGCCGATGGGCGGTTCTACTTACGGCATGCAGATAACAAAGGTGACCACATTCTCATTGATGATGAATATAATATCACAGGGATCGTGGATTGGGAATGGGCCCATACAGATGTAAAATCCGCGGCCTTTAATTCTCCGGTAATGCTACTTCCTGTTGCTGATTTCTATGATGGAAAAAATCAACTGGGCGAAGATGAGGTGGTCTTTGCCCAGTTATTAGAAGACAAAGGGCATGAAGGTCTTGCGGAAATCGTGAGGGAGGGGCGAATTCTCCACAGGTTTGAATTCTGTCATGGATATGATGTCGCTGATTGGGAGGGTTTTCTAGGCATTTTTCAAGGTCTTAGGAAGGCGTTGGGTGTTGACGGAGACTTGGAATGGGAAACGTGGAGAGAGAAGGCTTTAAGTAATTATCGGGATGATGATCAACTAAAAAAGTTGTTGCTCGCTGGGGATTTGTCGTCGACATACGGCTGAAGCATCCGCAATTAAATGTACCGTATGGAACATTTCAATTGTCCTTTATTATTTCAAGTTTAGAAAGATAAGTAGAACAAGGAATAAAACCAACCATTTAACCAATATGTCTTATTTCGCTTCAGAGTACAATCCCCAAATTCCCTCTGGACGTTCCGTACCATTTTCTCTTTGGTGGAGATGCTGGGGATGCCGGCTGCAGTGAGCAGGAGGGAGATCGGTTCCATCATTACGGATGGGTTGATGAAGATCAGGAGAGTAAGGAGGCCATTTCATAACCTCTATATTCATCTCTGTAAGCAGATCTTTGATTATTCCAGCTCGACGAACAGAGGCATTCTCTTGCATAAAGATATCTCCGCGTTGAATAATATCAGGCGAAATAGACAATAAAGCTCATAGATTACCCAGGAAGTTACACCTCCACGAGGCGCCTCAGGGTCTCTATCTAAAGGTATAAGACTAGATTGAAAGTCTTCACCAAAAGCAGTCCAAAATATCTGTTTTACCTGCTTTCCAGTGCCTCGAAGGCGTATATCTTGAGTCTTGATTTGCTCACTTGGGCGTGTAAAAGTCCAGACAGGTTTTATTCCAATAACTCTTTCAAAAGAGTAACGTATTTCACCACTTCCTGAGACACTAAAAGTAGAAATATTCTTCTTTTTCTTTTCTAACAGAGTAGTAGATAGATAGATATTATTTCTAGTTACTTTAAAGTCGGTGTATAATTTCTAGATATAACTTACATCTCTATATTAATATCTGAAATTGGTGGATAGGTGATCTCTTTATGTGGGATGTCTAAGTGGTTGTATTAACATGTAGACGGCACCAGTCCGTAATAGATAGCCTGGGGCCAACACGAGAATGGGATTGATTGGGTTCTCGTAAGCGGCGGGTCGAGGATCTCGCTGCTTATCTAGAGGAGGTCCTTAGAACTCTACAGGGATAGAGCTACATAAGATAATACAGTGTTATATCGGAAGGGATTCAGATAGAAGGATCAAAATATCGAGGCAGTAGAATGTAGGGATGAGATTATATCAGAATGATGATTCACTCTGGCCCTTAGAAGGTTGGGTTAGCTGCTAGTTACATATACATATAGTATATAGATTAAAACTTATTATAAGAAAGAAATTAGAAGAGACTAAACTATTTATATTAATTACTCAGACGGTTTATTGAAAAGGGAGAAAATGCTTTAGAGTTAAGAATAAAGAAATGATTTGAGTTTTTAAAGAAGAGTATTTAATACTCTCACTCTGTAAATAGATATTGATTCACATGTATCTTCTATATATTTAACATGCATCTTAGAGCATGCTGTCTTTGGGCCGGCTGAGTCCCTTTCTCTGTAGCGCATTTAATTTTTCCCAGCCATGACGGGCACATCGCCAGAAAAGCAAATAGAAGAACAACTCGAGATCATGCCGACAGGTATTGTCCATCGTTTGCGAGGGAAAAAAAGCAAACGGTGTGAGAGACCACCCTTGAAGAACCGCTCCATGAAGGTGCGGTTTACATTTTAGCTAAAACCTGTTCTTGTATTTATTCAACTTGTTCCCGTCTCGTCTTTGCATTGGATAAATGCCTTATGATACTTCCGTTGTTGCCCTTCTGCAGATGACGACCCACTTCCGTTTGGGATCGACCCATAGTTAGCACTGGTGCCATCAACAATCAGAGCCGCGTCGAACCCAGTCGTCCATTAACAGGTGAGCTAAACATTCGCTACTTCATCCATTTCTTCTCGCCCAAGCCTTTTAGGACCCATTCATCATACACAAGCTCTCCGGCTGTCGGCCGTTCCTCAGGTACCCAACGCAGAATTTTACGCAAGAAGCTTAAGAAGCCCTCCTTGTCCTCACCTTGCATATCTATGGCAAGGCTTTCGAGTGTTATGTCTGGGATGGGAGTGAGGTTTTTCCATTTCCCTAAACCAAAAACACAAAGCGGCAGTTGTCAACATAAGCAGGAAAATGCAAATGACAAGCTTGTTGAGTCGAATGAAGGTAACATACCATCTTCATCCCAGAATACCTTGCAGTCTTCACTCCTTTCAAGGTACTCTTTCGGCGGGGGTCCCATAATGGCAATCATCTCTGCAATACGAATGGCCTCCTGAATTCCGTCCTCTACAATTCGCGCACGAAAAAGATGGCCAGGTGACACAAGGTCCCAGAGCTAAGGAATGTTACCGATTTTAGCCAGTGGATTTTATGTTCAGAAAGGCATGCACTCACGAGTACCGCGATGTTCCAAATATCAACTTTGTCATTCCATTCCATGTTAAGAATAGCCTCTGGTGCTCTATAATGATGAGGCATGATGAACTCCCCTGGCTGGGTCTTGCTTATCAGCCTAGCATCTCCAAAATCAGTTAAGATGGGGACTGTTGGGGTTAAAGGAATGCGCCGGGTCATATATATGATATGATTATCACTCAGAATCTTCCTTGGTGCTGGCTCTTTCAATTCAGTTTCTTCAAAATTTCTAAAAATTGCATCATCTTTGACTGGGAAAAGTATATTTTTGCTTTGAATATCTTATCATATCTTATTCATTAGCATAACTGTTCATCAAGTCAATGATTGTGCCATGAATTGATCAATGCCATACCCGTATGAACAACACCTGCTATGTGCACAAAGTCCAAGGCAATTAAAAGACTTCGTAGCATAGGTTTGAGAAGGTCTGTTGATAGAAGCCCGGACTGGCGGAGATCAAGATATTGATCCATACTCAGGCCAAGAGGCTGTTGGACAAGGCATGTATGAGTGGTACCATGAGGCGCAGTGATGTTAAAGGAGCCATATAATTGCCGATAGAGAGTTTTTCCAACGTGGTCGGTTTCCAAGGCAGCAGACTCTAGCTGTTTGTAGATGTCGATTTCATTATTTTGTGTTGAATACCCAGCAGTAGATATCTTCAAGGACACATATCGGGACTCTCTGGGGCTTGAGTCAGTTATGCTACATTATTTAGATTTGTTCTATAGTGAAAAAGCAATGATATACCGAATATCACGGCCAAGCCAGACAGTTGAGGCCACGCCATAGCCCAGTTTCCCGACAATCTGATATCTATCTGCCAACACCTGCCCAATCCGAGCTGGATAATAGTCTGCAGGGTGATAGTCCGGGAGGGTCTCCTCTTCAAATTTTTTAGAGGTGTCAACAATATCGAAGCCAGTGTCTGTAAACTTGAGGGGAGAAGACATGTTGGAGGACATGGTTGTGTACAGGTAGCTGTTAGGAAATAATGGCAGTGTGAAGCATGAAGGCTGGAGCTGGGCATGTTGTGCATGAAGAGGACTTGGGCAGCTCAAGAAAGTGCGTCGCAGACTTCGCAGACTGGCTTGAGATGATAAAAGAATGGAAGGCCGCATTGCCGTGGCACCTGGGGGGCCAGCTATTCTGTACTGAAATGTTCAGCGCTTGCATTCAGGTGGTTCAACACGTAGATATCTATCTAATCGTCGTCGATCTCCGGAAACTCGATCAGATGTCTGGGGCAGAAAGTTACCTGGTAAGCTTGTTTACATACCGGCTCAGGGGCTAATAGGGGCTTCATGCCTAAATTTTAGCGGGGGTCTTGGGTGTCAAGCTCCCAGAACGGCTTCTAGGCAGGGCGGCATTATAAGGGTCTCCGGTATTGAGATTTCCACTTAAATTTCTAGTGTACGCACATCCCGCCCAATCAGCTCCAGGCTTGCGGCTGACTAACCTAGCTCACCGCGCGTTTATCCAGCAACCTGGAGAAGACCGAGAGCGAGATAGCTTCAAGAGACTCTGCATCACAGCTATTAGGTCTCAAGAAGTCAACACACCCGCCACTACTGCTGTAATCCCCCTCACTGCTACACCTGCGCGGCCACATTTCTCCCATATATTCAATTGCTGATCGTTCACATCATGGTAAGCGACCTTCCATTCCATCTACATCCAACCAACAATACCGATTCTGCCGTCTAACACTTTACATAGGCCTCACCCTTCGACATAAGTATATACACATTTCCCCATTCCCCCTCCAAATCAAACCCCCCACCCAAAACAACCTACCCTCCTAACCACCCTCTACAACAATAGATGGCGGTGCCTGCGTCGCCATGGTCGGCAAGGACTGCGTCGCCATCGCCTGCGACCTCCGCCTAGGCCTACAAGCCCTCACCGTCTCCAACAACTTCCCCAAGATCTTCAACTACGCCCCCTCGACCTATCTCGGCCTAACAGGGCTCGCCACGGACGTCTCCAGCGTCTCCGACCTACTCCGCTACAAAGTCAACATGTACCGCCTGCGCGAAGAGCGGCAGATCTCGCCGCAGACCCTGGCCAACCTGATCAGCTCGAGTCTGTACGAGAAGCGCTTCGGGCCCTACTTCGTCAGTCCCGTGCTGGCGGGCATAAATAGCACGACGGGCAAGCCGTTCATATGCGGTTTTGACAGCATTGGCTGCATCGATTTCGCGAAGGATTTTATCGTCAGCGGCACCGCGAGTGACCAGCTGTTCGGGACGTGTGAGGGGCTGTGGGAGCCGGATCTCGTATGTTTCTTATCTGTGTCTTTATCTATCTATCCATCCATTCATCCATCCATCTTTATTATATATACATATATTTCTCTCATAGCTACGTGGGTAAAACTACTGCCGCTGACTAACTATCCGTTGAACCAGGGACCTGACGACCTGTTCGAGACCATCTCGCAAGCCCTGCTTAATGCCGTCGATCGAGACGCCCTGTCAGGTTGGGGCGCTCACGTTTACATCATAGAAAAGGACAAAGTCACGAAGCGATTGCTAAAGGGACGACAAGATTAGACGGTGGGTTCGGTTTTGTGTTTTTTGTTTAGGTCTCACGGGCTAGAGGAAGAGGGAGAAGGAGGAGGAGATGAAAAAGGGGGAGGTGGTTGTTTAGAGTGGGTTTCCAAGCCTGGAGTGTGTTTTCTCTACTTTTTTTTTATCTTTTCATTTCATTTCATTTTTTTTTTCTTTTTTCGTTTTTATCTCCACCTTCGATAAATTCTGAGAAATGGGATCCCGATCGGTCATGATTTTTGAAACCTCATTCTATAAAACAAAGTTACTAATCATCTTTCCACATTCTGTTCGTAAGTTTTGGCTCTTGTCCAGAACAAGGCGGGGGAGATCTGAGCGATCCACAGACCCATTCCATTGATGATATGATATGACAGTGCCGAAAATAGTTGGGGGAGGAGGGGGGGGGGACATTGAAAGGAATAGACGCAGTTGAGGAGCTGAGCTTTATTCATTCTCCCCCTCCCACATGGGCAATCAGGAGTAGAGGAATGGCTCGCCCATATATTGGCACAAAACAGGCCGCATACGTACAGGACACACTGCCCGGGGGCTTAAGGACGGACTTCAATTTTTATAAGTAACTTACCTATTGAAATGGATGTTTCTGGGGGCGATGTTACCTAGGCGGGTTTAATAATGATTGAATAAATAAAATGAATGCCCCACAAACCTCTCCGGTATTCTTCTATAAATGCCAATAAAACTTATTTTTCAAGCTCTCAATTTCATTCCGTGGTATTCCTCCCAACCACCATTGGTACGTCTGGCAATTATATAATTTGTATGTATATATCTGTGTCAAACCAAACCAACTTACGTTCCGAGAGAAAAGGCTGGATTCATCAGAAACTACCAAGAATTTGCTGGCCACTCTCAGGGACAAGCAATCAATCATGAAAAAAAAAAAAAGAAAGAAAGAAAGAAAGAAAGAAAATGAAAATGAAAATGGAGCGGCAAGGAAAGAAAGAAAGAAAGAGTATATATACATTCACACCACCGCACACAAACCTAACACCCCGTCAAGCGACTCATCCCAACTCTCCATCAATGACGCGCAAAACAACTCCAACGACGCCGTATCCATTAACTCCTCAATCTCCCTCCTCACTGTGCCCACTGGCTCTGCCTCCCCCACCGCATCCCCATCATCATTATCGCCACCATCACTGTTATATCCGTCGTTCTCAAAGCCATACTCCCCCCTTACCCACTCCACCAACTCCCCCAACATTCCAGACTCGGCTATTTGCATCTTCAAAAAGCGCGTGTTCCGGCGGATAACGTCGACGAGCTGCTCAACGAGGTTGTGCAGGTTTTCGACAGTTTCCTTTGTTGGGAGGGGTTGACTTTGGTGGGCTTTTTTTGATTTTGTGGCGGGGGAATCCGATTTTGCTTTTGTTGTTGATGATTGTGAGGAGAGAAAGGTGAGGAATAACGTGGTGGCTTTCAGGGTTTCGAGGAGAGAGATTGTGGTATGGAGATAGAGCCATGAGGGGGCGGTGGAAGATGGAGTGGTTGCGGGTTGTTGCTTGATAGCATATGCGAGGGGTATGGTTGTTGGGAGGATGGAAGTGGATGTGGGTGTGGAGGATAGAATGGTTAGCTTTTCGGTTAGGAATGATTCAAGGGTAACAAGGTGAGTCGTTATGGGCGTTGGTGGAGAGGATTGTTTGGTGTCGGTGCTGGCTAGGGATGCGAGGGCTTTCAGGAGAGTGAGGTGGATGTTTGTATTTTCTATTTCAGCGGCAGTGAGTTCCGTTTCTGGGAGAGGGATATCAAGGTCGGGGTCAAGGTAACGCGATAGATCAATATTTGACAGTGTTGATGTTGAAGATGATGTCGTCTTTTTGGTGGTGCTATTTTTTATTAGGAAATCGAATAGGACGTCGGTTATGGTCATTGCTTTTACTGCTTGGGCCTATTATTCATTTTCAGCCAGGCATTAGTTCCACTGACTAGTAAACCGAGCAGAAATGTTGATTAAAACGAACATACCCCTGGCTTGGGTCCGAGCCGGACTTGTTCTTCAAAGCTGGGTTTGCCAGGAAGCTCACAGTTCGGAAAGCCATCGAAGTTGCGCTTGTCAACAACTGGGTCAATGTCGGAGACTAAATATGATATAAATATTGTTAGTTTTATGGTGGATATTCTTGGGAGGAAAATATCACATAGACTTTGAACCTTACCAATATGATCATATTGTCCCACCGAATCGCCACCAACTAGTCGCCCAATCCTCCGGGTTTCCAATGCCCACATCCTTCTACAGATGCTGTTTTTAAGGCTCTTTTGGAGATCAATACTTCCAGCCACATTAACATAGCTTCCATGTTCTAGGCCAACGTTTCTCGAATACTTAGTCGCAGTTTCAGAATTTCGATAAAAGTTCAATGCATGCCTCATGGCACTTTGAGGATCGTAATCCTTCACCTCTAATCCTTCGTACGGTGGAGCAGCATGAGGGTGCGTCGATGCGAGGCGGGTAAAGAGATTATGTGCTACCGTTTCATATTGCATCTGCTTCAGAGACAATCTATGGAACGACTTTAGAGCCAAGGAGCCCGCGCCCAGGAGGAGGTATATCCGAACTAAAAGGAGTAGAGCTTCATAGTTATGTGGTGACTTGAGAAGCAAATTCTCTATCAGTGCAGCGGCTTGGATTAATGCGGGATGAGGAGCATCACGCTTAGACCCAATATTTGTTTGGTGGAATCTAATTAAGGCCATGACCGCTAGAAGACAGAGATCGTCACTTGGCTGGCTCTCGATGGTAGATGGAGCTGAGTGCTGGCTAGGTCTATCGGTATTTCGGTAAATACGAAGGCACCGAGACACGAAATTTTCGACCTTCTGTACTGAGAGTTTTTTGTCACCCTCGAATGACAACTGGAAACAGTATTCATATTTTAGAGCATTGATAGTCGCAACGCCTTTGAAAGGGTCGGAAACCTATAATATAAACCGGCTTAGTGTGGTGTCACAAGAAAGCCGAAAAGGAAGGACATTCTGTCTTCACCTCTTTCTGATCATCCACACTCTGATCTGCAATAACCTTCTGAGAAACATGAAATTGAAATTCGTCTTGCATCGACCGATCAAGTTTAATTAGATACTTGCACAGGTCGTGGAAGCAATAGAGCTTAGTGCAATTACGATCAAAATACTCTCTGCATTTGGCGAGAAGGTTTCCCGGAGATAGTTCTTTGATCGTAATCAGCTGCTCTGTCAAGTCAAGGGCCGCCAACTGGGCATTCCGTGATTTCGGTTGCCTTTTAATGTAAGCAGCGATAAATTCCTGGGTTTCCCGTAATATCCTTCAAAAAAATAAAATTTGTTGTCAGCCTTTTGTGAGTAACAAAGTCTCATGTGGACGATTAGCACGTACTCTTTGTTATCCAATTTCTTAGTGGCCATGAGAAGGAGGCCCCAAACTTGCCAATCATCTTTCTCTTGGGCTGCTGCTGTTCTTGAACCATTTGCAAGGTCAGCCGGAAGGGCAAGCAGCTCCCGTGTATATGACAGCGCTTCATCCCACAATGTTGCATTCTCGAGACCTGCAATTTTCGCACGAACAAATGACCAATCATTCTGGCAAATGCGGGACTCTATGCCTAAGTGCTTGCTGTTAAGGAAAGAAACAATTTCTTCGTGCTGCCCTTGTGTTTCAAAAATCTTGATCAATAGGGAGAATTCTTCAGAGGTTTGAATTGCTCTTGATGGGCTTAATAGCTCTTTCTATAAGGAATGAAAGGAAAACGAATGAGCCTCGCAGGTTTATACTCGAGAAGAAAGGAGGTCAAGTATCCAGAGTGGTTTATTCATACCGGGTCAGTTGGCACATTTGAGGCAGCTTTTAATATCATACGGTAAGCAAGCGTGCCAAAGAGTTTGCGGTCCATTTCTGAATTCGCAGGGTCGATGGCGATGAGGTAGCACATGAATGTGGCCCAGAAGTAGTATTTGCGCTCTTTGGGGAAGTTGTTTTGCAAGCTCATAGCTGCCTAGGGATGGGTCATGTCAGTTTGGTTCCTCCAACACATAGACGAATATATATAATAATTGATTCATATGAATAAACTCGAAGAGAGGATGTCTTTGGGGGCCAGCGTATAAGAATTGGGTTTTTTTTTCCGGACCTTTTGTGCAGTTTTCCAGTCGCCCTTCTCCAACGCTAGATTAAACCATCTCAATTGAATATCTAGCGCTTGTGGCTTCGCCTTTGCTGCCCTCTCCCATATCGCGCGCGTCGTTTCCACATGCTCATCAAGGCCCTTAAGAGTGGTATACAGAATATTCAGCGCTTCTATATCGGAAACAGGGGGTTCCGTGCGGCAGAGCTCGAGGGTCTCCGAAATGCCCCGCCGCCGATGAACGTCGTCTACATGGCTGAAAAGAATATACGCTTTCCACGCCTATGTATATCAGATACAAACATATATAGTCACATTGTATTAGTGTTTTAACAAGAGCAATGAACTTGCAAGATACTATGTCCAAACTAACCCTCAGGAAATGCGAATCCTCGCCCTTCTTTAGTCGCTTTTCACAGAGCTGCAAGGCCTGTTTGAGATTCTGTCCGTCGATGGCATCTTGGATCTGCTTGTTCCGGCGCTCGAAAACAGCGGTGGCGGACATGGCGAAGACCAGTCGGGTAGAGCTGCTGTGCGAGGAAATCCAGGTGGGAAGATGTCAGTCAGGCGGGGCTAGCTTTGGTGGGAGATCGGCCGATGTACTCTTCATACATAATTCCGCGGAAAGATACAAGGTCGCGGCTAGCCGAGCAACTTGCCTAATGAGGCCTAGTGTACTATCTTAAGCCCCATATCATTAGAACTTAGACTATTCAAGCTTTGTCCATACAATGAATTCAGATGAGAACGCCCGAAAGCTTGGTGCTATTGTCTACAGCGAATCTCTCACTTTATGCAACGCTATTCCCCGGCTTGATCATTTAAACAAGTGAAACTCCTATTCTCCAACCAATATCAGCGACGTGGGGCTGCCAACATTCCAACACCCGATGCAACACTAGAATCCCATTTCATTCTTGTAAAGCCACCCTGCGGGGGCACCTTCGCTGGTATCCAAATGATGTCTTTCTGCCGATCTGGTACATACTTATAAAAGACATGGCTATTCCATGCACTCGTCAACAAAATCTTGAAATCACAACCATGGTCTTTGGTCCATTGCACCATGGACATGAGTTCTTGGACTGCATATTCTCCTTCTTCCTGAAGCAAGCCGTTCTGTTCATATACGGTAATCGCGTCAAGGACGCAAAAAACCGTTACATGCGGTGGCAGTTGAGCGATCATCATATGGAAAATCTGACAGAGGCTGCGGATGTCATCTTGACCTGTTCGTTGGATTTGCTTGATGACGCTCATTCCAAAATCGGGGTAGGCAATGAGGAGTTGACCGATCAGGTTTCGCATCATTCCGCTGACCCCATAGTCGGGGTCGTCTGGGCGTATGTGCTCTGCACAAAGAAAAAATAAGGCAAAGATATTTCTGGGATAATGCGGATCTATGACATCTGACTGGATCGAATGCGTTAATTTTGCGGAAATGAAAGACGTCGACGCAGCCTTCTTGGGGTCATTAAAATTGACCAGGAGAGCCGAAGAACTGGACTCGGTTATCCAGGAATGCAGCTTCGGTGATTGCATGACTGCAACTGCACGATCTTGATCGCATCGTGGCAACGCCCAGATGGCTTCAAGACTTGCATCAATGTCATTGCGCACAACGGAGCTTTCATAGTCAAAGTCCGATAGCAGTTCATTTTTCGCATCAAGGTAATCTATGGCCGTAAGTGAGTTTTGATTCCTGTATATTTGAAATCATTTCCCCCTGATTCCGTACCTTGCACTAGATTGGCTTCCGACACTGCCCTGCGCAACGGAAGCATTGGCCCTCTGACTAAATAAAGGTCAGCTAAATGAGCGGACGCTGAATTCCTGCCTATATATTCAACTAACCATCCTGTATTTTGAAATCCATTCGAGCATTGCTGCTGAGAAACCCAGCAAGGACTCTACGCAGCTGCGAAACCTCATTGCTTATCAGTTTGACCTCTCGATTCACACCTCCAGCTGCCAGTTTGAAATCATCCCGGAAATCCTGAAACTCATTTCTCGACTGGTCAAAGTAGCCCAGTACGATTTCACGGTGTTTGCGCGATTCGTCACCTTGGTCCATTATCAATTTCCTTGCATTCATAATCGCATCATACGAACATAACTGAGCCACCCGTTCAAACTCTTTAGCTTCGTCTCTGACGGCTTTTAGGAGATCGCTCAGTTCCTTTTCGTAGGTATCTTGTTTGAAGATGCTGCGGAATAACTTTTCTAAAACGCCTGTAAGCCTAAATAGTCAGCGGTTCGTGCGCTTTATCGGGAGCACATACTCGATGCTTTTTCCTTATACCACACAACGATGTGGTGTACGGCGGCTATTGTAGCGGTATAGAGAGCCGCGCTGGATCGACGCAGGTCATTCGACCTTCGGAAGATACCTAAGGCTTTATGTGTGCTCGACATGAGGAGTGGAATCTCCGTTAAGGCGTCGCTGATGTCGGTTCGAAGATCGTGCATACGTGCCGCGGCCTAGCAAGTTTTAGTGGAGAACACTCTGGGGCAAATGAGGACGGTACAAACCCCTAATATGAGTTTGAAACCTGCGCAAAGCAGAGAAAAGTAATGCGATTGTGACGGCAGAATACTCGCCCAAGCCCTAAAGGCTTTGTGGTTTTTTCCGAAGCTACGGAGCCCTTTTCTTATCCCCCCCCAAAATCCAGATACGTCGTTGTATTCATCTGATGCATTTTTAATCGCCTGCAGAACTTCCTCCCACGTGTGTACCGATTTTGTTGTGACGTCGGTCTGGAATTTCGACCCGGCAGTTGTACTTTCGTACTCTTCCAATGCCGTTTTGAAGCGTTTATTTTCTGCTTCAACATCTATGTACAGATCTTGCCTGCATGCAAGGTCAGCTCAGAAAAAGCGACCAGAATATGTGGGAATAACGGTGCAGCATACAGCGCATCACCCTCATCATCCGATTCAATCTGCTCATTTATCCCATTTTGGCTTTGTTGTTGAACGAGCGATATGTCTGAGGTTGTTCCTGGAGCCGTGGGAACCAGCAACATATCGCTGGTCGCCTCTCCGTCATCTCTTACTGCTTTCAGAGCAGGATGCGAATCACGGGTAAGCCTTTTTCGCAGATACAAGTCTGCAAGCCCACCAAGGCGTCGACGGGAAGGAGGAGCGTCATGACTATTCGTACTATTGCTGGCTTCACTGGCTGTAGTTCTAAATTTAATTGATGGCATTTTGGGGTCCGGAGCCCACGGCTAATGTAATATCGGTAAAGAGTGAAATGTCGTTCTTCACAAACAATATGTCAATTTTTTTTTTCTTTTCAGGATTTTGTGCTTGCGGCACCAACCTCGCGGGGTTGATTGAGGGGTCAGTCAGTATCTTGAACTTGACGCACGGAGCCTCAGATTTGTCGGATGTGTTTTGTCCGCAAGGCTGAACAAGGCTCGACAAGGCTCGGCGACGTTCAACACGGCATTCCTCCATGCCAGACTGGATTGAAATTCCATGTGGGGATTGCACCATTGAGCATTGGATAAATATGCAGAGTTATCCCACGCTAGAAACAAAGGGGTCGTGGCTCCAGCGAATAACCTGCAGCCCAAAATTGGTCTGCTCCATGAGCTTGAGGTTGCTAACTTGACCCCGCACCTGGATCTTCAAGAGCTACAAATTTATGAAACTGAGCAGAAATCCCTCGAATTATCTGGGCAATTTTATGCAAAATTAAAGCAAGTAAACAACCATTCACTTGTGTTTCTGACATTATACTCCGACTCTCAATTGATCATGTCAGCTGCCATTCATCCCGGCCCAGAAGGGTCTTCAGACGTTTCGAGCAATGATGCAGATGGTGAACTTAATGGAATTGCAGCACCTCCTACACCCGAAAGCGAGAGGACTAAAAGTGAATTGGAGGCGCATTGCGACCAGTGTCAATCCGCTCCAGTGGACAACGATTTGAAGCATATACTTAAGACCTTGGCAGATGGTCAAAAGGAACTACTTGCCAGAAAGAAGAGGTAAGAGCATTCTCCAATTCCTTGGAGAAACGTTTGCTGAACACCCAATCCGCGCCAGTGACGACGATTCAACCAAGGATCTTGCAGCTCCAAAACCGAAAGACCCAAAGGATGAAACGGATCTTCAAGAAATTGCTATCAAGCGAGTTTCACCAGGAGATTGGCGAAAGATCAAAAAGGAGGGTAAAATCGATCTTCAGCAGAGCGTCCTTCTTGTTTCCTCGAAAGCCAATGCGAGAACTCGGCTACGGAGACAGGGTTATAAACTATCAAGGATGGCGGAGAAGAAGCCGTCTGAGAACACTTCTGATCCAAGTAGTGATGACCCGAAACAATTAGATATTCCATTTCGCCTTGCCATCAACTCAACCTACCTCTTAGAGGTATTGAGTCAGTTCGTTGGTGAGAGCTTCACTGCCGCGCAAAACGTATTTGTCCGCCCGTTCAAGTACCTCGTCATGTACGAATCCGACATTAGACAATTCGTCAAGGATGCCGAAATGGCCTACGACCAGGCCGCTTCTAGGCTTGGAGAAACAACACAGGAGAACCCTGTTCCTGATGTCAATATAACTAGCAAAGGAGCTGAAAAAAAGGACACTAAACCAGAACAGCAAAGCCCGGTTCCTGTCACCCAAGTCGAGGAGACAAACAACGCTAGAACAGCAGCAACGCGGGCGAGACGAGAAAGGGATGAGCTTCGTTGCCTGGTGGAGTTCATGGATACAGATTTGCACGATATATTTGAGGTTAAACGACGAATATCCAACGGGGACATCACAGAGATTGCCTTTGAGCACCTATGGCTATTGTTTAAACCGGGAGATGTCGTTCTCGGTTCAAGTTCGGATGACAATCAAAGCATTCGTCAGGCTTATCGTGTTTTGAACATCAGCGGCGGAAGGGCATACTTCGATAGCGGCTACAAAGCTTCCTTCGTTGGTATAATTGACCATATCGGGGATTCAGATTCGGAAAACGAAGAGAAGTGCCGTGACGCTATCAAATGTTCCGGCATGGACACGACATGTTTTATCGTTGACGCTTTCTATATCGACTTCGATGGGACCAAATTTGGGCCCCGATCGAAAAGATTTGCCATTCCACCTTTCAAAGGTACGAAGCCTATCAGATCTCTGATACCTTTTCCGCTGCTTCCTGGGCCAGAAAGCGAACAAATAGAGCGGTCGCTCATCCAAAGAGGGCGGCGTTTTGCGGAACTTGTCCCTGGGACCCATAAAAAATACTCAGGAGCCACAGTCCAGGAGGGCAACCAAACCACCAAAGGGTACAACAATTGGATGATAAAAGAAACCGAGGTTAGCACTGCCTCCTTCCACATTTCAAATTCGTAAAAGCCAGATATTGACACGATAATAATAAAATAATAGTTGCATAGCGAAATAGTGGTAGACCAAGCAGCGGGGGTTGAGCACTTTAAACAAAAGGTGTACCGATTTGGGAGAAGCTTGAAATTTGGGTCTGGCGCCATTGCTAGAGCAACTCCACAGGACAAGAGGGAGACGTTCGATCCGCTGCCTGATCAAGAGGACGGTGATTGGGTTACAGACGTCTTTGACGACTCCAAATTCGAAGAAGATCGTCAAAATGAATTCCGCCGAACCACCGACCTTCTAGGCTTCCGAACTTTACAGCAGAAACCCATTCCGAATGACAATCTGATGCTTTTTCCTTATCGAGCTTACGGATACGGTCTCCTTGATCATAAGTGGCTTCCTCTTGATATCAATAAGGTCGAAGATTTACCAGCAACGGGGGAAGAGGTCCAACGGGCGAGGTTTGAGGATCTAGTTCTACCAGAGGGCCACCGAATGCTACTTCAAGCGTTAATTAAAAACCAGGTCGAACAGCCCAAGAAAGAAACGGTCAATCCCGATGGGACAAACGGGCCGCTTTCCATGGACGCTGTTCCGGGTAAAGGCAAAGGGCTTATCATCCTTTTGCATGGCGCCCCTGGAGTTGGCAAAACATCTACGGCTGAGTGTGTAGCCGCCCAGTTAAAACGGCCATTGTTACCGATCACCTGCGGAGATATTGGCACTACTGCCCAAACTGCAGAGGCGACCCTCGAATCATTTTGTGTTTTGGCCCACAGGTGGAGGTGTGTATTGTTGCTCGACGAGGCGGATGTTTTCCTCGCGAAAAGAGAAAAAGGGGATATAATACGCAACAGTCTTGTTTCCGGTATGTTTCCACATGGGGGAATTTATTGACGGCAACAGGATGGGCACTAATCGTTATATAGTCTTCCTCCGGGTTCTAGAGTATTACTCTGGGGTCATCATTCTGACAACAAATCGCGTTGGCGAATTCGACGAAGCCTTCAGGTCCCGCATTCACATGAGTCTCTACTACCCAAAACTTGACGAACTTTCAACAAAAGAAATTTGGGAGAAAAATCTTGGGCACATCATGAAGAACGGCCGCGATATCGATGTCGAGGATGAAAAAATTAGGCGTTTCGCTAATAAGCACTGGCAGGAGAATAAGTATAAACCCTCCCGCCGCTGGAACGGTCGACAAATCAAAAATGCTTTTCAGACCGCGTTAGCTCTTGCAAATTGGGACTTCCGTGAAGGGAAAAAGAGCGCCAAGCTTAAACGGCCATTAGTCAAGGCGTCGCATTTCATGCGCATAGCACAGACCAGCGCCCATTTTGACGACTATATTAGTAACATCCATGGGATCCAGGAGGAAGACACGTACGGGATCCTGGCCGAGCGAGAGGAAGTTCGCAAGGACAATTACGAATCACCTTCCGGAAAGCAGTCAATGCAAGGTGGCCGTTCCAAGAGGAACCCACCACCGCCTCGTCGTGGTATCAATAGACGCAACTCTGGATTACCGCAGGGTCGAGGCTACGACTATGAGGAAGACGACGAATCCTCAGAAGACGATATTGAGCGCTTAAAGTTGAAGCTAGAGCTCGCAAAGTTGAAAAGCAAAAGCACGAAGAGCGACAAGGTGGAGTCTGGCGAGTCTAGTGATGAAGATGAGGACGAAGCTTGGTAATTTCCAATGCCGTCGCCATCTTCAAGAGTGCGAAAATGCGTTCTTTTAATACACTCCAGAAATGGTGACCATCATGGTAGAGCGTGTAAAATTTCTGAATATTGTAAAAGTGGAGTGCTAGAAGGGTCCAACAATGATGAATAGAGTCAAAGAAGCTAAGCCCCTGAGCGAACCAGACAATTAGCTATCGTTTGACACTGAATGGAAAGCCGTTAATTTAGAAGTTGTTGCGGGAAGCCATCCATCGAAAGATGGTACTTAGGACTGACGGGTCGAACAGGAGGGTATATTTAATTTAGGTCTTGGGATGGGGGCGAGGAACTTCGCGACACGTCGAAGGAAGGATGGATTGCTTATTAGTATTACCCCAATTTATCCCAGCTGCAGCTCCAAAAACAACAAAACGAGTTCTTCTATGAAAGAGCTGTACATCCAAGTCTGCTACTTTGAACCCGAGTCTGCTAGGACTCGTCTTGCATGTGCCATTCCCCACATCTTCAACCCCAGAGTCCATCCTCCACAAATTTGTTATATGGTAATATTATCTTTTTCCCATTAAAAGTGAAATATTTGGTTCACTTTCACGCCACACTCATTATATATGCTGTGGGCGTAATTCTAAGTTTGTATCGTGATTCATTGCAATGTTCGTTCCGCGAGGAGTCCAGTATCTCGACAGCTTTTTCTTGACACCCCCCCGCCTTTCCCCAGAGTGTCTCTTCATTCTTTCTTCCTTTTTACTTTCTAAAACCTGTTTCCTCTCCTCTCTATATTGGAGCACAGGTCGTGGGAATGTGGAGAGGTTCTAGGTGCTCTTTTTCCGCTGGGTCATCTGTAACATCACCATGTATATTAGTTCAACAGCTCAAAAAGTTAAGACTACTGGACCTGAATGTCTGAACAGTCACGGATGATCCGCAGGAGCGACCAGAAACAATGCCACTGTTCCCAATGTGTCTGCAGGCGACAGCTAGGGATTGCGAAAGCTGCTAGTCCCCAACCTCAAATCAGACGCGAGAGGTGTAAAAGTTCACATACCCATTCCTTTTTGCAATCACGATATGCCCTAATATACCAAAATTACACCAGTAAGCGCGCCATCCAGCAACATCAATGATGGAAAGAGAAAAAAAAGATACTCAATCGCAAAATCGATTTCTCGCTCTCGCGGCTACCATAGCAGCTTCTTGGGGGCATAATATATGATGACCAAGTTCATGGGGGAATCTTGCTCACTGGAAATAATCACTGCACATCGTCTTATCGTTCCCATTGCGCCGCATGCATTTGATGCTTCGATCCGCAAAGTCCTGACACGGGTCGTAGAACCCGCTTGCCGGTTTGCTATAATACCCAAACATGAAAAAAAAAAGGTGGGTTAGTGGCTGGCAATTAGTCTCCGACAATCCCTCAAAAGAAGAAAGGAAAAGATGCTGGTAGCATTGAGACGTAGCCAATGTAATGACGTGACTCGTAGTGCTGTATGAATCCCGCCCATTCCAGTACCTGAACACACCTGAAGCAGCAGGGATGGGAGGGCTTACTGGGTGAATGCTGGCTTGGCCTTGTCCCAGGAACTCAGGGATTCCTCGCTCACTTTGTTCGCGCTCATCTTGTGCAGGAATTGCCCAGTCTCTGGCTGTCTTGGATGGAAGCGAGGACCATACGGAACCCTAACGAGGGTCAAGTTCGGATAGCGAAACTTCGATGGCAGCCGCTTTGCCGCGCCCTGGTGACTACTATTCTACACTAGGACTAGGTCCGCGTTTAATTGGCTGACCTTCGGCTAGTAGGCGGCTAACGGCTACAAGGTAATAAATTAGTGCAACTTGTTGTGTTCCAGCACATTTCTTCAACGTGCCAAATATATAAATATATTAAAAAAAAAAAAAAAAAAGGAAAGGAAAGGAGAGGGAGAAAGGCCATATTTGCCAGATAGATGGAGATTACTATTGCTTCTGGAGGAATACTTGTTATGCATTCAAACTGGGAACGAACAGAAAAATGACGGTTGCTCAAATTCCCAACCGAGCAATCAGCCAAACGAAAGACCAGCAGCTAGGGCACTAACTATCAAAAACAAGCATGAAAGAAATCCTAAAAGAAATCAGGTCCTCTACGTCACTGTACCCCGATTCCCTCTCATCAGTAAACGCTTTCAGACAGCACACTCTTCCTTCCACACCCCAAGCGACGACTCATTTTTATTACATAATGTTTCAACCCTCTATTGATTCCCCTTGCAGAAACACGCATTTGGCAAAGCTTGAGTATCTTGCATGTCAACAGGGAATGGCGCCGAGTATGAGCCAGAGAAGCACACCTCGCTACCTAAATGTTCATACCTGCCTCATCTCTTCACCGTAATTGGGTTTTTAGACTTGGCCCATGCCTCTCGCGTCGTCCTTGGCGATGTATCCGTGGGAGCCAGCGCCAAAATGACATAGATGACGTACCGACCCTCCTTGTGAAAACGGCCAAAGGGAACTTCAAAGGTCTCGTCTTGGGTAGCTAGAGGCACCGTCATAAAATGGGAGGTCAGGCCGTTGATCGAGCGCCCGGGAGTGTACACGCCTCCCTTGTCATGTCTCCCAACCCTTCTGCATACCTCGAAGCGGTCAGAACCTGTCGCATGGAATACTTTGACGTGGATCTGGGCCTCCACCGGGCACCACGACATTCCATCCTCCAAGTTCCGCACCCTGACAATCATGGGACGTTGGAAGAGATCATTTTCACGAATCTCCTCTGGTGGCTCGACGATGAATTCGACTTTGTAAGCTGTGCCATGATGGCTATCGTCTAGCTCTTGTTCTTTGAAGATGGATGTCGGTATGGGATTGTCCATTTCACTGCCATGCAACATCTTTATTTCGGAGGAAAGGGGTTTGTCTTAGGAAGCATAAGATGGTAAGACGACCAATAACAGCGTGATGTTGGATAGTTACGGAGTTTCTTCAGCCGCTATGAGCTTTTGAAGGTGATGTTTGAAATATAAAAGCGGCATAAAATGTAGATAAGAAAGGGCAGCAGGCCTGAGTCCATAAACAAGAGGCCAGCTGAGGGCGAGATTAACCAAGAGTTGGGTGAATGGCTTAACGATTATGAAGAGGGCATCGAAGGACGCGGGTTCCATAGATTGTGCTTGTTTTCCCGATGAGAGGCAAACAGGGTCGACTTTGAAGGGGAATAAGTTGATATTTGTTTGACCATCCAATCCTACCAGAACAATCGAGGTTCGGGAAGCAAGCGAAATGACACTTTCGGTGGAATTCCATAGACCATGTAGGCAAGTTCAGTGATAGCGAAGAGTCTGTATACTCAGCTATAATGGCAGGATTCCCTGCATGAAGAACATAATAGTGTAGGGAAGCACCTGCCCGGGAGTTCCGTTAGTTAACATGAGGTTAACCTCAAAAGCCCCTGCGGCCTTGGGGAGGAATCCGGACACGCTGCAGTGCTTTAAGGCAGGGCCTTAAGATGTCATTTGAATTCCCATAGGCATGGGGAATGACAATCCGGCACTGACCATTTGCCCCCGCAACACAGAGCAAGAAGGACAGACTTGCTCCAACATGAAGACACAAAGCGGAACAAACATCCTTCAGCTGTCTTTCCTGGAATCTCCAGAGGCAGGAGTAACCTCCATGCGCATCCGCCATTGCGGTGGGCTTGAGGGAAGGAATCAGCCACTGCTACATGGTGAGTATATGTAGACTTCCATCACCATGCCGTGCACAATACAAATATTGTAGATTATAGACCAGAGGAACTTGAAAAATTCTGATAACCATGATGTTATCTTGAGAAGCCAGATATCCTCGGGCTTGCTAGTATTTCTTGATGCCGTTGGAAGAAGAACGATTGACTGCTCATACACAAAGCAGTTAGTTATCTTACCCCTTGGTTTCAGGTCCGTTCTTCAACCTTTTTCCATAGAAGGGGGTAAACCTCCAGCTATCAACCAATTTTAATTATAGTTAATTAAAGTTAATTAATTTATAACTAGGAACTAATATACAATCTCCTAGAAAATTTGACTCCTCTAACAGATATATTTGAATTACTAGCTGTATTTTTTAGCCCTCTATGAGACAAGCAATACTAACATTCAAATAACTTGCTTAATACTTAGACTTTTTTATATATAAACGCGAATTTTTTAAAGCCAACTATGTAGCTCCATAATAGTTGTTAAATTTCATTAAAAAAAAACGGTCCTATTAATGACAATACAGTAATCATAATAAAGAGAGGTGTGGGACTGGTTGGGGGGGCCCTTGGTGCCTAACTTGACAGCTAAGCTTTAGGCCTCAAGCCTCTCTTTTAGGGGACTTGCCCACTGGTAACTAATCGTTATATAAGTTCTAGTTAGCCCGTGCAAGGATGCTTGGTATATTCCAATGCATCTTGTGACTCAACATATATTAGAGATTGTTAAAATCCGGAACAGTATGATCTATTAAATGGCTGGATACATATAAATTACCTGTTATATATACATTCTACATAATTGATGTTGGGATTTATGGATCAAATCAAAGCGTTTTCGTTTTATTATTATGCAAAATGGCACACTGGTTCTTGGGCTCGCCGTTTCAACCTACTGACTGATTGATAGCTTAAAGTTTCAGTTATCATGCTGAGGTTGTATGGGAATGATGTAAATATAGTCTCGCCCCGGTGGCCCGCTAGAGCAGCCGAGTTCCAGGCAAAAATGGGATGGAGAGAATATTCACGGCCCAAGCCATAACCGCTTCCATCCTCCCTCCATCCCCCAATCGAGTCAAAATTTCCATCAAGCTCCCGTTGGTCCCGGTTTTGATGGGGAAGCGTTAGTTTACGTGGTGGGGAAAAGTAAAAAAAAGCAAATAACAACATGGAACAGACGAGAGTGTCTCTATGAGTCGGGACCATTATGCTTATTTTTGTATTTTGGTTTAAGTTCTTTCTGCGTTCCGCTGTAGAAAACTACCCCTCTCCGCTGTTTATTTGATTTTTTGATTTAACACCATTATATCATTCGCCCTCTCCCTGCCGAAACATTCGCTTTCTCCATTTTCCGCCATCAACTTCCATGATCTAGGTGATAAAGTAGCACATCGGCATTTAGACCCATGTTTGCCGTCACTGCTTTCGTAATTCCTGCCAACTTTGCTCATCATATCCAGACAACCCAAAAAGCATAATTTCTTAACGAACCAAAATAGCCGTCTCATCTTGCAACCTTGAATCATTTCCTCTTTGCAATAACAAATATTAGATCCGTCCCGTTTATGATCTAAAACGTTGGCGGATGAGTGCTGGGTGATCACAGGTGACCATGTGTCGAGTAATCAATCGCTCACCGCACGCCGATTGTAGAGATCATCATCAGCTGGTATAATCCGCCGGACATGGAAGGGTATGCTGAGCGTGGTTTTAAGTGTAAATGCGTGACTTAGACCATCCTGACAATAGCAAACCCGCCTAGAGACCGCGGTCTGGACCCTTCCAGCGACCCAGCTCGTTGCTGCCCAGACAGTGTCAACTGTGATTCATAACTCCGTGCCAAACCAAACAAAGCAACAATTTCCATCTCAGGCTCGAGACGCAGGAGGTGGCGGAGAGATCCACTTGCTGCATCATGTCATGAGCTATTGATGTGGTTTGATTGATATGCTGACAACCTTGCTCAGAACCGGAACTTCGCGCTTTTTCCGCCGGGTCACACATTCTCAAACATAATTTTGCGAGGGAGATCATTCTGTCAACCCCGATCTTGGTAGTGCAAGAACCCGCCGCGTGGAAATGTATACCCCACGTAGAATAGATCTCTGCAGATTTCGCTGTTGCAGGCATGAATAAATGGCGGTCATTGCCCGACCTTCGTTCCTAGGCAGATTCTGTGCTGGAAAGTGCATTGGCCACCCCCAACTATAAATATCCCCTTCGTTCCCCCAAAACCCTTTTTCAAGTCAGTTCTGAGGTATTTTTTGTTCAAGGAACGTATCGTTCATTACCTTAAATCCTTAAAGATATTTTTTCGGACAGCCATTTTCACAAAGCTTTGAAAGTTCCTCTTCTGTCTTCTTCCCTCTGATATTTACTCCCTTGCACAATATTCCCAAGTGGTGATAGCAGCAAAAGAGAGAGTGAGTTTTTGCTACCCTTCGTAGAAGTTCGATGAAGGGAAACGTCAAGAGTTTCCCTTTTCGTGTCTGAAAGATGTCGAGTTGCGCTTCCTGCTGTCTATCGTCATCCATCACCGTTATGACCATGATGGACTACGGTAGTACCCCAGCAGACTTGGTCCCAAATTAGAAGCTGTGTCAAGGGGCAAACACTCACCACACAACAAAGAACAGCACGATGGCGACAGCAGATATCCTCTCCCCAAACACTTCCTTCCCCATAGCCCCAGACCACATACCCTCTTCCAGTTACAATGACGAAGGCGACGCATTGCAAACCACCCATGACACAGCAACAGCTTCCCAAGCTGAGGAACCGGTCCGGTTTGATGCCCAAATACATATTCAGTACACACCTCCGCCAAGGGTTCACTCCATGAAGGAGCTGGGCTTTAGTGATGACGTTGGTGTCTCCCCGATCGGGGTTTCCGAGCCATTCTCGCTCTTCTCTCGTGATGCGATTTACCAAATGCGAAAGGAGATCCTCAGTGACAAAGTCTGGGAACGCTATCGCTTCTCCAGTAATCTCGCACAGTGTCAACTGCGCGGGTATGCCGCTGAGTAAGTTCTACCCCTTTTCGCATGTCCAACTTGCACTAGATTAACACGATGAACAAAGATGTGCTCCATTCGTTTATGACGCCTGGAAGAGCCCGGAAGTACTGAAAATCATTTCGAATATTGCTGGCATTGACCTTGTCCCTGAAATGGACTGGGAAATAGGCCATGTCAACATTTCTGTTCCATCCCAGGTCGATAAGGGTCAAACTCTCAATTCCACTGAGGATGATGAACCAATCGTCGATTGGCATACGGATAGCTATCCATTTGTCTGTGTTACCATGCTCAGCGACTGCACGAACATGGTGGGCGGTGAAACAGCATTGCGCAAGGGAGACGGATCGATTGTGAAAGTCAGAGGCCCAGAAATGGTATGCCCACTTCCCTGTTTCTCAGCAGCAAAGACGTCGTGTTCACACGGATACTAATTGTATGTGAATAGGGATGTGCTGTTGTTCTTCAAGGACGATACATCGAACATCAAGCACTGCGTGCTGTGGGCGGGACAGAGAGAATCACGATGGTAACATCGTTCCGCCCGCGCTCGCCAGCCTTGCCAGATGACACCGTTTTGACAACGGTTCGAGCCATATCCGACTTGTCAGAGCTCTACTTCCAGTTCTCCGAATACAGGCTTGAGATGCTTGAGGAACGGGTCCGGATGCAGCTTAAAGAAATCCGCGACCGGAAAAAAGCCAGACGAAACTTCAACACCAAAGGGATGAAGAAATTCCTGGCTGAGCAAGAGAAATTTTTAGCTCACATGAACAAAGAAATTGTTGAAGACGCACTGGTGACGAAGGGCTTGAATTCCGATAGCCATCTGATCTCTGAAGAGCTTAAAGAGCGCCATAAGAAACGAGCTTGCGTTAACGGCCAGTAGGTTGAAAGGTGCATTGGCAAGGATCCTGACACGAAGATCCAATGATTTTGGTCATGAAAATGAGCGTAATTACTTGTCGAAGATCATATCCATGAGTGGTATTTGTTGTGCATATTAAATTTAGGGATAGCTGACTATTGTTTTCGTTCACTATTCCAGAAAGTATTGTGTCGCATTGGGGAGCATTTAGATAAAATTGTTGCTTCGAGTTTTCGAGTTCCAAAATTGGTCCAGAAGTTAATTATAATTTATATAGAGATTCCTGGGATCCTAAATTGAATCTTTGTTTTTCGGTGTTGAACAAAAGTTGCGTCAGGGGGACGTCGGATCATTCATCAGAAATATTCGAGACGGTTGTAGTCGCGTAGGGATTCATGGAAATAAACACAATTAACATGAACGAATAAAGGACAAAATATTATATCTGACGACAAGTAAGAGTATAATAAAAATGAATAAAATGGCAGAATATTGAAGCAAAAATAAAGTGCATAGATTCAAGAATGGTATATATTTCAGTCGTAATTCAATTTCATTCCACATCTCATATGGAGGTTGTAGGCAATATTTCTTGCAGCAACTGAAGAATCTGCGAATAATTCTCCGTTATATATGTTTCAATATCGAAAAAAAAATATCGACACCACCAAGCCAGCCTCATTGCTATCTGAAAGGACGCTCTCGCCAGTCGACAACAGAAAAGATAGCGCGAAGACGGTTTGGCGAAACTATATCAAATGTAAGCCTACGAGCTCAAACAAAACCACGACAACAGGGGGTTTCTGGAATCAAACCAAATATGTCTTCTCTCGTGGGAGACGTATGTTCTGTCTATTTCGGATGTTGATACCAGCCCCCTGATTGCTGGCGTGAATATCAGTTCAACGGGATGTTTTTTTGTTTCAGAGGTAGAAACTGGGGAACCCCACGGTATTTAAACCCCCAAATAACAATAATGGCAAGCATTTCAAATCGGGTAAAAATATCCAAACCTTGGAATTGGCGACGGGTTTGGACGACTGGATTGGTCCATGTTTTCGGGCTGCAGCAAGCTGCGCTTTTCTCGATTGTCCCCACAATACATGACGTATTGTTGCCTAGAACAAGGCAAGTCGAAAATTTGTTCCTGTGAATGTCTTTCGAATATTAAACTGCCCTAGGGTTAGGTAGAGCGTTACCACAGCTGACGGCCGTGCAAGGGCTACAGGCAGTGTCACGAAAAATCAGTCAAGCTAGAATAATATAAAGAGCGATAAAGTAACGGTGTCGGTACGACTCGCATATTGTATAGAATTCGAAACTGCATTCAATAAATGGCAGGGATAGAATCCCAGTCACGATTCTACGCAGAATGAAGAAGAATGAAGAAGAGGTTGAAGACGGAAGTTGTCCTCTTGCTGGAAACCCAACGCAGGAGGAGGAGTCACGTGTGGAGCTTATATAAGGCAGTGCATATCTGTTGGGGGGATTGGGTTGGGTGATTCGTACCCTCTATACCACCATGGCGCTGGTGGTGATTGAGCTCTTTTGCCCTAGTGGCCTAATAGGTTATGAGCCCGTGTAAGCGCGACTGCTACAGGGTGTGCCAACATGCTATCACAGGTTCGAATCAGACCAAGGCCAGAGGAATATCCCTTACTAATGCACATTCTCTTGCCAAGATGGGGGAGATTGGTGGTTAGGCACCCAGGAAGACCCCAGGCCACCAAGGACCAATGGCAGTAGGGTAGTGGAACTTAGGAAGAGCCAGGTTCCCCCAGCTGGCCGGATGGTAGAGTGGGTCCGAGGGGGGGTGTTGGGGGGATTGGGTTGGGTGATTCGTACCCTCTATACCACCATGGCGCTGGTGGTGATTGAGCTCTTTTGCCCTAGTGGCCTAATAATATCACCCCACGACGACGCGGTGACGTCCTCCGGCTCGCTACATTCTCATGAGAAATATAATTTTAATCAGGCCGCTGTTGGCACGATTCAACGCTGGTTAGCATCTTCTTCTGACATGTCCACTGTCTTTCTAGGGGCAAAAAGGTATTACGCCCTCAAACTTTTGTTGTCTCGCAGAACCTTGTCCGTCAACCCAAGGACGCAAAACTTTGAGTGTCTACCTATCCAACACCAAAGATAATCCTCTTGCTGCTCAATACCTAATCCATACCCGTGTGTTGGTCTGCCAAACGGGCACCGGGAACGTAATAGAGGCGTGATGTCAGCCCCATCAACCATTGGCCTCGGTGCCGCATCTACGAATCCTGGCTCCTCGCTCACAACTGACACATCAGGAGTGAGTGAAATAGACTCACAGGATCATTTACTATCATGACTAACAATATAATCCTGTTTAAGCTTCTCCGAACCGTGCAAGGTCATGTTGGTGATATAAGAGCTCTGATATACTGCGGAGTTTGTGTCAAACTGCTTTACGAACCATTCACCCTAGCATGCGGCCATACATTTTGTTACAGTGTGAGCAAAACTCCTGCCTATCCTATGGAATTTCTAGCTAACCCGCTGCAGTGTCTGACACAATGGTTTGTGAGCCACCAACGGAAAAAAACTTGTCCAGACTGTCGAGCTTCTGTCTCAGCCCAACCTGCTCCAGCCTATCTGGTAGGGCCTCATCGGTTTATCATTCCTTCCCAGTTCCTTATCTAACGGTACCCTTTACTAGATCCGTGAAATTGTCCACACATTTATCACCCGAGCGGAACTGCTTGAAAACGATGGAACCACAAAGGAACATCTCTTGAACAAACGCGCGGAGACCGAGAAAATGGAATCGGACAAGTCGAGTACTGACCCAGTAAATGGCGGCCTATTTCAAGGCTGCTTCAAATGTCCTCTACCCTTGAATGAGCCGATCAACGATATCGCAGATGGTGTTACTAGGTGTCCTCATTGTGCCTGGGAGCTCGAAGACGGGGGATGTCTACATTGTGGGTATATGATGGATGGGCTTTCGGACAGTGATTTTTCCGATGACGATGACTCTATTTCAATGACAGATGAAATCGATGACGTCGAGGACGGATTTTCATCAATCGATACGGATGGTATAGCATGGAACGAACTTGACCCTGAGTTACAATATCACATGTACTACCATCACCATTACCATCCCGGATTTCGCCAGACAAGCGACGGATCATCTGTAATGCATAGGAGCACCGATCACAGCGAGGATGAAGATTTACATGATTCGGAGATGTCTGACTTTATTGATGATGGCACAATAGACGAAGGCATAGAAACAGATCACTCAACTGTTGTTGGCGCAACTACCATCGTATCGGACTCTGAGAGCGACCTAGAAGCGCATGTAGGGTCTAGAGCTCTTCGGTCTCGTATCCGGCAAACTACATCTTTTGGTGATGGTGATGATGACGACGACGAGGATCATGATGATGGCAATAATGATGATGGGGAAACAGAGGGGATGATAGATGATGGTGATGATGGTGATGATGATGACGATGATCCGGTACGAGCGCCAACGAGGGCGGTTCAGCGACGGTGCGAGATATCGTCCGCTTCTATCGATCATCCTACTCGTCTCCGGTACCGCGCAACAAACGCTAGCCCAAGGACGTCAGTTAGTGATAGCGATGATGACGAGCATTGTGAAGAAGGTTTTTCCTTTTCAAATGCATTGGATCGTGTTCGCGCGTCGGGCTCAAACGTGCATAGCCCAGAACCTCTCGATGATGATTCCGACGTTCCTGTCGCCCCCATAAGCAGCAGAAGGAGAGGCTCACGGCCAGGCCGGATACGACCAAGCCAGCGCCGAGGTCGTCACCAAGGCCGGGCCCCGGAGATTTCTAACTGAGCCTCTCTACTCGCAACCATACATCATTTTACTGCCCTTGCCTGGCATATCTTTATACTCTAGCCGGGTAAAGGATATAATGAATCATATGCGTCTCTTCAAGTAACGGGGAAGCGGGATACATATGACTCAACCAAACTCTTTGCTCTCGTTCGCTGAGTCGATGTACCTGCGAGCTCTATCCTCTACAGAGAAAAGCCCATTGGGTAGACCGCCATACTTGCGATATTTTCGAGTTGGTATTGTCGTGTCATGATTTCACTGCAATGTACTCTTTGCAATTCAAATGATGGCATGGACAAGTTCTACTCCTTTATTCCTTGGCCGTTCTAACCTCTCTGGTCCGTCAGCACTATACTTTACGACATCCTCCCCTCTTAAGCCAGTAATATGTCGACCACAAGCGCCAACTATTTCCCATGAACTCCTCGCCAATCCTCCCAGGAGTGCTAAATGAATCCGCAACACAACGACCCTCTCTCGCCAGGCAATTCAATATCCCAGGGTGCCTTTACTTTTTCTTGCACACATATTTTGTTGTTTTCTATAGAATGCCTCTCTTTGTGACATCATTTTACAACCCGCCAATTTTCCGACTGATTTCCCTTCCCCACACCAGATGGCTGTCTTTTTAATATCTACATATAATTACCTAAACATCCCATTTCCCCCATGCCCCTATCCTATCCTATTACATTTCCCATTTTTTCCTTTTTTTTCAAAGTATTGGCGCCGTCGTTTCTTTTCAATTGGAAGCACTAAAAAGCGTTTGATTTATGCAAAAAGGTCTAGGTTACCAAAAGACAATAATGAGGTGTCTGGGATGTAGGGGGCGTTTCCGGAGCATACTTATTACATCCATACAAAACGTACAACAAGTGCTTTTCAGGTTTAGCAAGGAGTCCAAGAAAGCCAGGAATAGGTATAGATATCGGACTTTTTTCTTTTCTTTTTCTTTCTTCTTTTCCTTTTGGCAACTTATTAAGTTGTCCCGTATATTCTATTGATATAAGTTTTTAATGATAGTTAGGATAACTATTTGATCTTGCTATCCGAGATTGTTCTGCCTCTTTTTTCTTGATACTGGAGAGGACATAACCGGATTTCCAATGGACACAATCCATTTTTTTAATGGGTTTTGGTACGGTCATTGAACTCAAGTCATAGGCAGAACCGTCTGTAAGACGAATGGGAGTAAAGATGGAGATAGAGAAATAGGAATGGAAACCTCAAGAGAAAACAGCATACGACAATAAGTGAAGCGAGGGGTATTTTTGATATTTTATGCGCGAACGTCTATTTGTACCGTGCACGCACTGGCAACAACAACATTGCAGAAACCATTTTTCGGAAAAGAAACAGAAGAAAAATAAATAGCACGCCCACGCGGTTGTAATTACATGTACAAGGACATAACTAAAAACATGATGGTAATCCTAGCCTTCGTTCGTTCGAAGATCCTACTTCTATACCCCTTTACATACCTCTATTCAAACTGACAAACAACAACCGACGACTTTGCCTCTATTTCAGGCGCCCCCCTCCTCCGTTCTCCGCAAAAACGGCACCTCGAAAACCACTGCCCCATTCCTTCCCCCCAGCCGAGTTCCATTACCATATTTGCCATTCTCACCATTGTCGGTAGGATACTTCCACCGACCAAGTCGATGTTCTTTTCCCAGGGCGGCAACGATGCAGATACCTTTCTGCTCCTGCCCCTGGATTAGGTCTTTTGGGGATGAGGAGTTAGATTTGCCCTTCTTCGATTTCATTTTGAAAGCATTGGCTGGGGCATTGTCAGGAGCTGATCGTTCGAATACGCCAATTCCGTTAACAATGCCCCTTAGGAATGGATTTGGATGAGGACCGTGTTCATCAGATGTGGATGTAGCGACTTCAAGGTCCATGTTGTCATTACCGTTACTGATTAGATCTGTCCCATTGACGTTGGGTTGTGATGGTGATTGAGATGGGCAGCCGACTGGTCCTAGTGGCGTGATCACTCTCTTGTCTTCTGAAATTTTCCAGGCGCGGATCCATCCGTCCCAGCTTCCACTTAAGACAATATCTGTTCCCGGCAGAGTTGTGAGAGCGGTTATCCACCGGGGGTTGGGCGACATGTTCCGCGTATTGTTCTTTGCAACTACAGGGTCCAACTCAGACGATAGTTCATCGAGGGGTGGTACAGGGTCGACCCCGTGGGCCTGATGGATCGTGTAGAGTGGCTTCTTCTTATATATCGACCAGAGCGAGATGGCTCCCGAGTCTGAGCCGGTGACAAAATGTGCAGGCGGCAATACCGCCACGCAATCAATTGAACCCTCAACATACGAGCTGCCCTTTGAGTTGCCACCACGGAAGACGAGTTGTGTTTCGTCAACAACCTTCCATAACCGTGCGGTGCGGTCGCGGGCACCAACGCTGACACACTGGTCTAGCGCCATGGAGTCAACAGCAATGACGTGGTCCTGGTGACCGAATAGGGTTTCTACGTAGGCATGCGCGCCAGGGCTGAGGGACCATGTTTTGATGGTGCGATCGAAGGAGGAGGAGAAAAGTTGTTCGCCGGAGCTAGATGAGGAGATTCGTCGCGTAAATGATAGCCCGCTCACGGAGTCGCGGTGTTGATTGAAGGTTTTCAGAGGGGTGAGTGTCGCCGAGTCCCATATGACTATGCGTCGGTCTGTGCCTCCAGTTGCTACAAAGTCGCCTGACGGAGACACGGCCACTGTGAGGATATTTCCGATGTGGCCCTGAGGCTCACCCCCTTCGTCGGTTTGCTGTAGCCCCCGAATGGATTTGATCTTCTTTGGTTTTTTCCGTTGAGGCCGCTTGGTTCTCGTTGGTTCTCCGTTTTTTATCTGAGCGTTTTGCTCTGTTGGGGGGTTAGGGTATGGGGTCGCTAGCTCCCATTTTATGAGGGTCTTGTCTTTGGAAACTGTATAGACGAAAGGTGAATGTACCGCAATCGCAGTGGTACTTTGCGTATCTGCACGGAAAAAGGAATGTGACGCTGTGGAAAAAGATAACTGAGAGCTGATTTGTCGATATATCCGGCCCTTCGATTCATCCTACACCCATTGAAAATATGAGCAACTGGCAGATATTGAGTAGATAGTTTGTTCTGCTACTGATAGCTTTAAAACATACCACATCCTCTTTTAGTCTCTCCGCAATCAAGTCCCGGTCAATTTCAGCAGCGTCAAAGCCAATCTCATCAACCTCCTCTCTTATATTTTCCAGATATCTCTCCGCGAGTCTCAACCTCCGATCTGCGGCAGTTTCGTTTTCTGACTCTTCCTCTGAACCCTCCTCCTCAATTGAGATTTCACTTTGGGGCAAGTCATCACCATCAGACTCGCTTCCAGATATCGACTCATCTCTTTGGTTTCTCGTGTCTCGCTGGCCAGCATCTTGCGTACCCTTCCCGCCACTTTTTGCTAACGCTCCCCTCTTCTTTGAGGCAGGAGCAGCAACACCATCATCTCTCTTCCGCTTGCGTTGGGATGCCGGTAGCGTAAAGAAAGAGGACATGGCAAAAGCCTGGCTCCTATATACTGCCCTGTCGAATAGTTACAGGGCTAGAAAATCGAATGAGGAGCTGTTGCGGATACCTTAAAACACCGCCATTCGAACTAGTTCTCCGACATAAATTTTTGGAAACTTTTTTTCCGTAGCAGAGTTTGCGCTGTTTGCATCCCTACTGGCCCAGCCTTTCCTGATCGGGTATGGTCAAGGCCCCAAGCTCACGCGTGTCTCCAGTCCAAGCTTCACCTCGTAAGTTCAAAGAACATCAGATACCCTGATACCCAGATACCCAGACAATAGAACAGAACAGCATAGTAGTCATTTGCCCATTCCGTGGGCCTTGGACTTGTTTCTTCATTTTCTGAACACAGCAGAGGTTATCGCAGCATCATGTGGGTTCACTCTCAACAGACATCGACTCAGCTAATTTGCATGGCTAACCTATACCTAGGGAGGTTCTACTTGGAATTACTGGCAAGGACTTTACTCTCATTGCGGCCTCTAAAGCTGCTATGAGAGGAGCCACCATTCTTAAAGCTTCTGATGATAAGACCAGGGAGCTGAGCAAACATACTATCATGGCATTTTCGGGAGAAGCTGGGGACACCGGTACATCAGTTCTGCTCATCTTCACGAGAAGGGAATTATTTATCTAATTGTCTGCCACATATAGTCCAATTCGCCGAATACATCCAAGCAAATGTCCAACTGTACTCCATGAGAAATGAAGCTGAACTCAGTCCATCCGCTGTGGCAAGCTTCGTACGAGGGGAGCTTGCCCGTAGTCTACGATCAAGACGACCCTACACTGTAAACCTCCTGCTGGGCGGTGTGGATCCCATCACGGAAAAACCCAGTCTGTACTGGCTCGACTACCTAGCGGCACTCGCTCCGGTACCGTATGCTGCACATGGCTATGCCCAGTATGTCTATCTCTATCTCCGAACTTGCTGCTGATGGGGAAGTGAATGAAGACGGTGCATTCTTGCTCTAGAATATTATCTAACAGGACATTAGATACTACTGCCTATCGATCCTCGATAAGCACCACCACCCAGATATCACATTAGAACAAGGCTTGAAGCTTCTCGAGATGTGCACAGATGAATTAAAGCGGAGGTTACCAATTGACTTCAAAGGAGTATGTCCATGTTATTGTTATCCCTCCTTGCCGCATCCTGCGCAAGGCCAGATGGGCTTACGCTGACCTTAACTTTTCTCTATAGGTATTGGTGAAAGTAGTGAGGAAAGATGGAATCGAAGAAGTACCGTTTGATAACAGTAAACAAGCTGTGAGCGCATAGACTGTCTGTTGACTTTTCTTGGGATGGCGATGATGTATCATAGCAATTCTTTTAATGACTTCTGCTTTGGAATGGCTTTTGGCCACCATCATGGTCCATTGGTTTTAAGTTGTTCGTGTGTATCATATCCGTAAAATTATAACGACATGTTGTCCCATGTTGATTTGGTTTGATAGTTTGGGCATGTTTGCTCTGTTTGCATCACCAGAGCGCCCAGCAGACAAATGTTCCGACATCAAATTCGATAACTTTTTGTCCAAACAACATCAATTTCCGGCTTATCAGACAACGTACACAATGGCCAAAAGACCTGCTGAGACATCATTGGAGGGTTCATCACCAATTAACTCTCCAACCTCAAAACGCGCGCGGGTGGAAGACCCAGAGGACGAGCAGCGACTACAACATCAACATCGCAGTCGCAGTCCGCTTGGCGAACGACGATGGGAAGACGATGAACGCAATGGAAAGGATATTTTAGCAGCAGCAGATCAAGAGGAGGAAGAGATCGAGGAGGGCTCTATTCACGGAGCTCTCGATTCCGATGAAGAGGAAGCGGGAGAGGAATCGGCCATTTCCGCGCCTGCTCGCCAGACCGCGCCCGCGGAGGGTTACAGTGACCTCTACTTAGATACAATACAGCGATCGGTACTTGATTTCGATTTCGAGAAGCAATGTTCAGTTTCGCTGTCGAATATCAATGTCTACGCCTGTCTTGTGTGTGGGAAATACTATCAGGGCCGTGGGCCCAAGTCGCATGCCTATTTCCATGCGCTCGACGTTGGACATCATGTCTTTGTGAATATGGAGACGAAGAAGGTGTATGTGCTACCGGAGGGGTATGAGGTTAAGAGCAGAAGCTTGGATGATATTAAATATGTGGTTGATCCTCAGTATAAAAAGGAGGAAGTTGCTAAGCTTGATAAGGCGGTTATTGATGCTTGGGATTTGGCAGGTAAACGATACAGACCAGGTACATCTGACTCTGTTCCGCAGTGATATTGGGTGCAGGACTGACAAGAACCGACACGCTATAGGATTCGTCGGAATGAATAATATCAAATCCAATGACTACCTAAACGTCATTGTTCAAGTCCTGTCACACGTCCGTCCCATTAGGAATTTTTTCCTTCTTCACCAGTTTCCGATGCCCGGAACTCCCCAACTCCCTCTGCGCTTCGGCATCCTAGTACGCAAGTTGTGGAATCCGCGCGCATTCAAATCTCACGTTTCACCACACGAGCTACTTCAAGAAGTTGCCCTACGCTCATCGAAGCGTTTCACCCTCACCCAACAATCCGATCCTGTCGACTTTCTCTCCTGGTTCCTAAACAACCTCCACCTTAGCCTAGGTGGCTCCAAAAAGCCCTCTCCAACCCCAACCAGTGTAATCCACTCCGCCTTCCAAGGCCATCTCCGTATCGAAAGCCAAGCTATAACAGCCCGCTCTGACGCAGCCAACGCGCGCCTCGTCTTCTCCGAATCTAGCGAAACAACCTCGCAAACAACACCTTTCCTCATATTAACGCTTGACCTCCCTCCCACACCACTTTTCCAATCCACAAATGCCGAATCCATCATCCCACAAATACCACTTACAACTCTTCTAAACAAATACAACGGCCTCGTCGCGTCGGAAAAGCTCTCCCACCGTGTTCGCCACCGACTCCTCCACCCTCTCCCCCCCTACCTCCTCTTCCACATCAAACGCTTCAGCAAAAACAAATTCGTCTCTGAACGCAACCCGACAATTGTCACTTTCCCTTCTCCGCGTTCCCTCGACATGTCCCCTTATGTCGAACCGAATCCATCCGTGTGCTCAGCCGGCGAACCTATACTGTACGATCTAGTCGCAAACGTCATCCTTGACGCAACAGTCACTGCACCCGGCGTTGGCGGTAACAGCGAAAGCTCCAGCTCTGGCCCTACATCCAGTGGCACTAACGCTAATAAAGCCGGCGTGACTGGCTCAACAGCGATGACAGCAGGTGCGGGCGCAGGCAATGATAAGGTCTCTTGGCTCGTGCAGTTGTACGATAAGGCTATGAGTGTGGAAAATGAGCGTGCACATGCGCAGCAGCACAGAGGCCCTGAGTGGTTGGAAATCCAAGACTTATGGGTGAAGAGAACGGAGAGTGAGACGCTTTTCACGCGCGAAGGTTATTTGATGGTTTGGGAGAGGAGGAGGGCGGGTGCGGATGGGAAAGGGATGGGAAAGGTGAAGTCGTAAAGGTTTCCTATGTAGGTGGTGCTCTATGAGACTGCGTTCGTTAGGAATCCCTGGCATGTGGGAAGTTGGGAAGGAACCCTTTCCTTTTTACGACCTAATTTTATGTATATTTACCTTTTAATACACTTTGCGTCAAATTCACTTTCAGGACCTTCTGTATGAAATGATATTTCCGCTGATGATGGTAGGTTCTGAGTTCAATAAAAAAAGGAAACGCGACTAAAACTGAATTCGGGTTTGGATATACCTATATATATTTATGTATGATATCTCAAATTTGAATATCAATAGCCAATTGTCCCAATAATGACTATCCCTTGATTGCGATGGGTAATCCTCAAAATATAAAAATTTTGGTATCTACCGTCACATTTAAAAAAAATAGATCAAACGCCCCAATCCATCCATCCATCCATCCAACGATCTGTCCATACGCCAAATTTCTACAAATTCCCCCACCCAAACTTCCTCGTCCCAAGCATAACTGTCACTGCAGTTCCCATGCCCCATACCGCCACACTGACCAACGCCTCCATGCCCACTACAAGGCCCATCTTTGCCAAGTATGCGAGCATATCACTTCTCGATCCTCCTCCACACCACCCGAATATATCCCGCACATCACTCCTCAAACCTAGCGTCATTGCACTAATAGCACTAGCACCGACGGGTAGCGGCGCAAGCAATGACGGAGTCGTCAAAAACTGCGTTGCGAAGTTGCGTAGGTACATGGATTCAAGAGGGTAGAAGAACGCGGAGGTTAGGAGGGAAGCAAGGTGGGAGGAAAGGGAGTCGACGGGGAGTGAGGAAAGGATTGTTACACGGTGGTCAGGGAAAAGGGGACGTCCGGGGCGGGAACGGCGTGCTGGCTGTGCCGAGGGAGGCCGTGAGGTGTTCCGGTTTTCGTCATTTACGAGGGCCGCGGTGGGTTCGGCACGGTGGGTCCTGGCGGAGGGTGATTCGGGGATTTCTAGGAGTGGCTCGAGGGTGCCTGGAGGTTCTTGGGGGGCGGTAGGGGTAGTAGGGCGCGCGGATGGTTCTTGCTCGTGGTTTTCCAAGCTTGCTGGATTGAGTGTGGAGCTGAGTTCTACTAAAGCTGCTTGTTGTTGTAGGAGCATGGTTTGATCCCATGGCTGATCGGGGAGGTGAAGGCTTTCAGATCGGGCTGGATCACGACCTAATTGAAGCGCGTCCAGACTTTCGGATACTATACGATCAACTTCGCTCGGGGTGAGTCCTGTTGTTGTCTCAGAGCCAGCGATCATAGAATCATTGTCATAATTTGTTCGGGCGTGAGACGGGGAGTTGTGATTGCTCCGTAGAAGTTCGAGTTGCATAGTTATTACGTCGGAGTTTTGATGCACCAGTGATGCTCTGACACGGGGTGAGGCCAGGGGGGACGATTCTGGGGTTGAAGGATGGGAGAATAAAGTATTGGAACGTGAATGGAAGTGATGGCGATGAGATACTTCAAGGCCGTGGTCATTGGGCCCTTGGGGTGATGCAGAAGGGTCCATCCTGAACGCTTCTTCCATTCCTGGCCTACCTTGAGATGGATCGTCCTGGTCGAAGTAGTCTTCTGCAAGCTGGAAGGGTGATTGTGACATACGTTGCCCATCACCGGATAAGATCTGGTTCGTGCCAAATTGCTCTTGCGCTGCGGCATCCGGAGTCGGGGATCTTGGCCGAGCTCCTTCGATTTGACCGCTTAAAAGCTGTCCACCCCGTGCTTGCACTGAGTTCACTAAGACTTCGCCGTGTTGGATTATTTCTTCTCGGAGAGGAGCCGTGCTCGTATTGAAATCACGGCTAAGTTGTTCGAGTCTATTCTGGAGAGAATGGGGTGTCAATCGTCCTCTATCCCCTGTATCAGACGGCCTATCGACTTGCAAACCAAAAATACCCAAAATCCAATTTCTGAAGATGCGTAATTCATATTTGAATTCCTCACCAATTGTAAGGTCGCTACGACGATATTCCTCATCAGACCGCCTTCCGAACGATGGAGCTGTCCACTCGATAAGGCCACTTTCCGCTGCGACACGAAGAGACAGGATATCTGGATGGTCTGGTTTGGGGAGTTTCCGTCGGATGATACGGTAAATTCTGGACTCTATTATAGGCCGAAGATAAACATACATATACAGCACTGCAAATGGGGCGGTAAGTAGTTTAACCCCAAAATTTCCGATACCAGCTAGTGACAATCTTGCTGGGAGCGGTGGAAATTGGATTAATGAGGTAGGGCCAAATGGAAGGAGTGAGCGAAGTGTTGGAACCGCAAGCGGCGGTAGTATGTGAAGTGATTGAAGTAACGAAAACATATAAGTTTGTCCAAGGACGACAAAAAGGGCCAATTTGCAGCTGCGAAATTTTAGCAAACTATACACAAACTATTGATAAAGAGTAAGCAAATACCTTAATTGGAGACCATTAAATATATGGTGGATGGCGAATTTATAGGCCTTATTGTCAAACAGTACGGAAACCTTGACGTGAATGTAGTCGAAAGCAGGTTCTAGAAAGTGATTTCGGCAAACTGAGACTATGAACGAAACTGTCCAAGCTGGGATACCAGCGCCGTAGAACCCAAAAAGTCCGACTTCACTCCGTTCTGTGCGTATGATTTGTAGAAATGGGACATGGGTATACCGTTTAAATGTCTGGGTATTCCTTGTAAGTATTACAATCTCCACAAAAAAAGCGCTATGGTCATACCTGAATACGGGCGGCGAGCGATGTTGTCCACCACGATGAAAAGAACATCGCAACCTGGTCTAGTGTCGCCAGAGCAAGGCCATAGTCATTTTCCGTTGACAGAAGATTCATCCGTTGCCGTTCTTTTGATATTCCCAAGGTGCCGTCCTCGCCACTAACAACAATTCCCATGGTAGACAAAATGTCATTTTTCGCCCTCCGAAGTTGCCTAGCTAGCGCTTTTGAACTAAGATTGACAGGATGGCCGCGGACATCATACTCCTGAACGTAGCCATCGGCATTGACACTGTCTTCAGTGCGTCGTTCTCCAGCAACATAACCCTGAGGAGGAGTTTCTGGTGCCTCATAAGGGGATCGCCCCTATTATGAGTATTAGCAAAGCAGGGCACAAACATGTAATGGCTGTGAGGTGTACAATACGAATTATCTAGACAAAACAAACTTATATGCATCGAACTGGTTTGTCAAACATGCATGCAGGAAATTATAGGGAGAAAAAGAATTTCTCACGAAATACCGCGCAATAAATGGGCAGAATCTCCGAGAAATTTGAGCTGAGATAACACGATAGTATGGACTTCGAAATTATAAGAGCATGCCTCGAGAACATTAAGGAACACCAGAAGAACATACCAGGGCAAGCAAGTTCATGTAGGGTTGCCTCCCCATGATGGCAGTGAGTACACGGCGACAGAGCAGCGATATCTAGACCCCACATAGAGAAACCCCCTAGCAACAGCAAATGTATTGTATAGCCTTAGACGCTACATCGGAACAGCTGCGACTTGAAAGTGCTGGCGTTATAATGTATGTCCATGTCCATGTCCATGTCCAATGTGCGGACGGGACATTTCAGCGCGGCTGTGGCGTCTAACCGCATGGCGCCAACCTAGTTTTTAGCCGCGATAACTTTTTTATTTTGACCGACTGCAGAATTCCTTATATATAGCGGAACATACTGTTCTCAGACTAAAATTTTGCAGTAATAGCCGGATTGTTCTTCGAGAAGTCCCTAGCAATGTTGATATAAAATTTTATTGTATCAGCTAGCCCCCCACAATGTCGAAAATCAATATTAAAACGACCTTCGAAGTAGCAAATACCATTCGTCCCATTTACACAGGTGGAAGTATTTCGCTCGACGCAAGCGGCCGGCACTTGGTGACATGTGTTGGCGAAGATGTCGTGATTACAGATCTAAGGGCCGGCGGGCAATTGGCGACGATTGAGGGAGTAAGTTAGTGGCAGATATTCTGACTTAAATGGATCTCACTGACAAATGAAAACCGTTACAATATAGGATGGAGCTGTGGTTACAAGCATATCAAGTATGCTCTCCCGGTTGAAACCCCCGTTTGAATCCATTGCTAACATTGTATCTAGTAACCCCGTCAGCATCTCACCTAGCAATATGCTCGCGATCGTTGTCGATGCGGATTTACTCGCTGACGCAATTGGAGGAACCCTCTCCTTCAATACAAGCGGAGCTCCTCAGAACCCTTAAACCCCATACGTCTCCTGTAGTAACTTCGGCCATTGATGCGACGGGAACCCTTTTGGCTACAGGAAGCTCAGATGGGTCAATAAAAATATGGGATATACGACGGGGATTTGCTACACATACTTTCCATGGCCATGGAGGGGTAATATCTGCCCTATCCTTTTTCGAGGCAGCAGGATCCAATGCTGCCGACGGACCTTCCAGAAATAAGAAGAGTACAGGATCGAAATCCTCATATGCCAGCGATCGCCACAGAAATGGAGATCGTGGGCCCCCCGCTGTGGGATTCCGCCTTGCCTCTGGTAGTGAAGATGGTAAAATTCTAATATGGGATCTTCACAGGAGAAGCAGCATCGCGTCTCTCGAGTCGCACGTTTCTGTTGTGCGCAGCCTGTCCTTTTCGCCTTCTGAGAATGCGCTTTTATCCGCAAGTCGCGATAAAACCTTGATTATGTGGGATGCTAGAACTTGGAAAACCCGAAGGATCATTCCGGCGCTTGAGAGTGTTGAAGCAGCAGGTTTTCTGTCGGATGAATCGCTCTGCTACACTGGCGGAGAAAATGGCCGTTTGAGAATATGGGACCCAAACAGGGGCAGTGAAGTCATAAGAGACCAAGATCCCGGCCATGAACAAGAAGCCATAATTGCATGCGAATACTCTGCAAATTTGCCCTGGATCATGACGATCCATGCGGATCAAACTTTGAGACTGCATTCCATCGAGCCCCTTCTGTCGTTAAAGCCCGGCATGAAAATCGAGCCCCTACCTATAATACGCCGAATTTCTGGAAACGATGACGAAGTTATCGACTTGGCTTGCATTGGCCGCGATCGATCCCTGGTGGCGTTGGCAACCAACACTGAATATATTAGAATTGTATCCACAAACAAGGAGCATGCTACGGATTCTCAGTCCAGGGAAGAGCAAAATTATTTTGGTGCGGAAGTCACTCACCTAGAAGGGCATGATGATATTATTATCTGCCTGGATGTCGACTGGTCAGGTTGTTGGCTGGCGACGGGTGCTAAAGATAATACGGCACGGTTATGGCGTATCGATTCCGAATCATCATCTTTCACCTGCTTTGCGACTCTTACTGGCCATGCAGAGTCATTGGGTGCTATTGCATTTCCCCGGTCCCAACCTCCACCCAGCTCTCCCGCTTACAAAGATCCACTGAACCATCCACCCCCTTTCCTTTTCACTGGATCTCAAGACCGCACTCTCAAACGATGGGATACATCTAAAATATCAGCGTCCGACGGTCACAAACCCAGTGCACCGAAGGCGTTATACACGCGGAAAGCACACGACAAAGATATCAATGCGCTTGATGTCAATTATTCTTCTACCCTTTTTGCCTCTGCTTCCCAAGATCGCACTGCGAAAATATGGTCCGTAGAAGACGGCTCCGTTCTAGGGATCCTACGTGGCCACAAGCGAGGCGTCTGGTCTATCCGATTCGGTCCCAGAGATACTCCAGTCATAACTTCAGATTCAGGAACTAGTACTAGTCGAGGTGTCGTCGCAACCGGCTCGGCCGACAAGACTATCAAGCTCTGGAGTCTTTCAGATTACAGCTGCCTCCTGACTTTTGAAGGACATACCAACAGTGTTCTGAAGCTGCTCTGGCTACCCCCGCCACTAATTGATGATGAAAACGAAGACATATCCTCACGTGGTGCCATCCAGATGCATCCTTTAGTCGCATCAGCCGGAGCTGATGGCCTAGTCAAGATTTGGTCCCCGTACAGCGGAGAAATAGAAACAACTCTTGATAACCACGAGGATCGCGTCTGGGCATTAGCAACACCGTCCACATCCTCGATTGATAAATCGACCGATAATAATCTCGGCTTCGCTTTAATATCTGGCGGAGCCGACTCAGTCGTCACCTTCTGGAAGGACACCACTTCCGCCACACTGTCGGCGGCGGTAAATGCCAGTACCGAGCGGATTGAGCAGGACCAGCAACTTCAGAACTACATACATGCTGGAGCTTACCGAGAGGCTATTACTCTCGCACTACAATTAAACCACCCCGCTCGACTCCTATCCCTGTTCACCGCCGCTCTGAATGGATCACAAACTACAAGTTGCGCAGAACGAGAAAAGGAGAGCCTTACTGGGAATCCAGACATCGATACCGTTCTCCAATCCCTCGACAAAGATAATCTCTACTCGCTCCTCCTGCGTGTTCGAGACTGGAACACCAATGCTAGAACTGCGCCCATAGCGCAGCGCATTCTTTACGCGCTGTCAAAATCCTACCCACCTTCGATATTCATCGACTTAGCCAGCCATCGCCGTGCGGTGCCAAGGGACCAAGCTGGTGGTCGGAATAAATATAAGCCCCAGTCCATGAAAGAGATTCTGGATACGCTGGTGTCCTATACGGAACGGCATTATAAGAGGATTGAGGAGCTTGTAGATGAAAGCTATCTTGTAGAATGGGTTCTTGGCGAGATGGATGGGGGAATTGGCGGCGGCGGGTTGTTAAATGGAGAGGCAGAGACGGGACGAAGTCAAGATGTCATTATGGCTGGCGTGTGAATTTACCCTTTTATTTTTTTGGTTGTACGATAATACATAAAATGCTGGTTTTGAAAAATTCGCGGGATTTACCGAAAAATAGACGGGCAAAGGGATACCCTTTTTGATGCAAGGAATGATAGACGATATTTAACCTACATAATATATGAATTTTCGTATGTATTATTGTTCATTACATGAGCAGTCCCTATATTACATCCCAACTCTAATATAACATCATGAAGCCAGTGGACCTTTGAATGGGTATCTAATATGCATTTCAATACACTTCCTCACGACGCGACCGACTCCTTTCGTTGTCGTCCCTATCATAGCGATCTCTTTTATCGTTTGTGGAGTACCTATTTCTATCCCGATGCGAGTCTCTGTGTGCGTCGCGATCACGTCTCGAAGATGAAGATGAAGGACGGGGCCTGTGGCCATCATCACCATCGTCGTCATATGATCTCCGGCTACTCCTGTGTTTCCGATCTCGATCCCGATCATCACGATCACTTCCACGGTCCCTAGTGTATCGATCCTCCAACCCGCTATCACTCGCGCCAGCTTCGCGATCCTCATGACGTCTCCTCTTATCTCTGGCCCTATAACTATCGCCGGATGTTCCACTCCCGTTTCTACGGGACTTATATCCATCGCCCTCACCACTATCGTTGTCATAATCCCGTTCAGAACGGCGATCCCAATCACGCAGTTTATTTCTTCCATTCAACTGCAAATTCCGATCCCTCCTTTCACGCCAGCTATCGTCACCGTCCTTTTTAAGCCCTCGTTCCTCACCCGCCTTAACCAAGCGATTAAACTCCTCCTGCGTAACCATCTCCCCTGTCTTCTTATTCCTCATGAGAACAGGGGTATAAAGCCCCTCGCCAGGCTTCTTAGCCTTCCTCATGGCCGACTTGCCCCAAGCGCCCAACTCAACTTCAGAACCGCTACCCGCCTTATCCTTGCCCGGAATTTCCTTGGCTCCGATGCCTAGATACCCGGGCCTCCTCTCTGGAATGCGGGCCTTCGTAGCAGCTTTCGCATTCGAACTTCCATATTTTCCCCTACCAATAGGTTCTCCATCCTTCCATCCCATACCGCGCAACAATGCAGCCCCAAACTCCTCCACAGGAATGGCACTATAAGCCGCCAAACTAGCTGGATCGGGCCTCGACGCAACATCAGCACGGAATGACTTCGTCTCATCAAACCGCCCGTCTTCCGCACCATAATCTTCATTTCCATATTCATCCTCATCCCTCTCCTTCCTTTTCCCAGGGATAACGAGATCGGACCGCCTTGTCGTTTCTTCCCCATCTACCTTGCTCTCACGTATAAGAGCCTGCATAGCAATCTCATCCTGCGTTAAGGGCCTCTCCGATGTCTCCCCCTGCCCCTCAACCCGAGTGTCCACATCTTTCCTTTCTTTTTCCACACCGCCAGCACCCGCCATTTTGACATCGCCATCTACCCCCGCCGCCTTCAATTCTCCAGCAAGGGTTAGCCCAAATTTCATACTCGGGCCCTCAGCCTCCGTCGTCTCATCAGCAGCAACGATGCCGCTCGCCTCCGCCTCTCTCTGCGCCCTAACCTCCTTCGGCAACAAATTCAACCCCCCTCTCTTCCTCAGCCACGGTCTTTGCTGCCAATTGTTTTTGCTTTCAACTTTGATGACGAGTGGTTGCTTCTCCTGCTCCGCACGCCTTTGGGCGCTTATGGCACCGCCAGCTTCGCGGTCGAAGCCCGTCACTTCCTCCACGACAGGAGGTTGATGGCTGTCTTCGTTATCGGAGTCATGGTCCTGGAATGTGCGGGGGCGACGAGGGAGGATTTCGGGTGTGGGCTTCGAGGATGAAGAGGAGGCAGCGCTATCTGTGCGTCTAGTAGTGGACATCGAAGATGATGGGGATGGTTTCTTCTTTTGTGAGGAGGAAGCGAGGGAGATGGAGAAGGGTTTTGGTTTCGGGCTGTGGTCGAGGTCTTCGGAAGCCATAGCTGCGACAGGAGTGGGATACCGCAGCCCAGGCCAGAGAGGAGATGAGAATAGAACGAGAGGAAAGGGGAAAAGAAAAGAAAAGAAACAAGGAGATTCCGAACTATGCTGTTTGGTGTGTCATTGGATTTTGGGGGGAGTTTGAGATGGGGCTCCTTTTGCGTGGTGGATTTGTCGATGCAGCTTAGCGGCTCGGGCGACGTTGGTGGCAAATGGCTAGACGCGGTAAGCGCGCTCCGGCAAATATGAAATGCTCATTATGGAAAGGGATTTCTTCCTCTTTTATTTTATTTATTTACTATTTTCAAGAAAACCCATGAAGGATTCACACAATGAACAGAATTATTATTGCATGCTCACATCAGTCATAACATCACTAACTTTTTCTCATCGCACATATTCCTCTCATCTCCTCCCGTCTATTGCACGATGCAAAGACCACAAACCACCAGAGAAAATGAGAAAGGAAAAGAAAGGAAAAGAAAGGAAAAGAAACCAATGCTATGGCTGGAAACAAAGCACTTCACATCATAGTAGAAAAATAAAAAAAAAAAAAAAATTGAAAAAAAAAGGCAAAGAGGAACCACTGAAAATGGCCCTTCTATCAATACAAATACATAGTTGTCAGAGCCACGCAAAAAGAAACAAGGACAACTGAAGACAAGAGAAGATGGAAGAAAGGGAAAGAGAAGAAACAAAACAACAAACAACAAAAACGCGAAAATGTAAGAATCCCCCTCACCCAGTAGTATACCATAACTAGAGCAATAATACCTAACCCCTCAGGAGGAAAAACAGTAAGAACCAAACCAAACCAAGAACAATAAGAGAACAATCCCGCTCGCCTGGTGCCAGTTCAACAGCGCATAACTTATAAAAGGGGGAAAAGAAACAAAAAAAATTAAGAAATAAAAAATCGTTGAACCAACCGCGAAGTCCAGAAGGTTAGTGCAGATGGAGGAGTGTTTTTCTCTTTTTGTTGCTTGGCATATGAAGGGTGAGTAGCGGCTAAATTAAATCCTCTTCGTTAAATTATATGTACAAGAAAGAAGAGGGTGAGAAATCTATGGCAGGCCGGGTAGGTGATTTGGTGTATAGGGTGTAGAAAAACAAGAAGGTAGGTAGGTAGGTATGTGTAGGAGGAACATTACAACGAAAACCCTAGCCATTGCCAACACATATAATTTTGGAAAGGAAATAGTTTTTATTTATAATTCAACTCGATGCCATCTGCGCTTGTGGCGGCCGTGGGCTCTTCCCCGCAACAGGACCTACACCAGGACCTTGCCCTGGGTTTGAAGCTTGACCCGCACCCGGGCCGGACCCGGGCCCACTTGCACTCCGATGTGTCTGTGCCGTCGCACTTCGGCCCTGCTGAACAGCCATGGCCGCGTTCATTGCTGGCGATCCATTCACGCCCATCCGGTTCGGCTGCTGCACAGGCTGTGCCACGCGCATCAGCGGCGAGTATCCCTGCGTCTGGTGCGTTTGCATCGAAGCTGGCGAGCCGCCATTCGGCATGTTCGCGTGTGCCAGTTGGTGCATGTTGCCATCATGGTGCATTTGGTAGCTAGTCTGCATGGAGCTCATGTTTCCGGTGGCTGCGTTCATAGCTGCCTGGGACATACGCTGTTGTTGAATGTGTTGGAGCCTTTCGGTAGCTAGTTTGGTGATTTGCTCCTGGGACATGTTTGGGTTGGTTCGCTGGATGGTGTTTTGGATGCTGGCTAGAGTCGGGAGCCCTGCAGCGGCGGTTGCGAGAACGTTTGCATGGTTGAGTCGAGGGGACGGAGTAGAGACCCCCTGAGCAAGAGAGGGAGCATGGAAAGAAGGGCTGTTGGCGCCGCTCGCGGCTTGGAATGATAGCATTGTAGGATTATTGGGGTTAACGTTCATATTTCCAATGTTCATGTTAGAGGAATGAGGAGGTCCTTGAGAGATGAATGATTGTTGTTGATTCTGAAGCTGTTGGCGTGACTGTACCATACGTTGCTGCTCTTCTTGTACGCGACTGGCTTCACGGATGATACGCGCATTGTCCGGAGACCCTTGGGTAGGTATGCCTGGACGCCCATTCATTGCCGGCGGGATGCCAGGCTGAGGTATCATCTTCAGTCCCATGCTTGCATTTGGAATGCCATTGACCTGAACACCATTTGGCAGCTGCATGCCAGGGTGGGGTCGAGATTGGGGCATTGCTGCAGTGGCTGGCAGACCATTAGGAAGACCAGATGGGGTAGGAATTGCCTGGATAACGCCATTCGGAGGCGCACTAGCAGTAGTTCGTGGAGGCACCCCATTTACCAAGGCTTGCTGGTTCGGCATTTGCCGGTGTTGCTGTTGAGCCTGCTGTTGAGCCTGCTGGAGCTGCTGGGCCTGCTGCTGATGCTGTGCTTGCTGCTGCTGTGCAACGCGTTGCGCCATCGCCATCTAAAAAGAACGAGTCGGTTAGGATAAAGAGCAAATGGACAAATATGTGATACAACTTACTCGCTGTGCTATCATCGCCTGCTTATATTGTTCCTGGGTCTCCTGAATCTTCAACTCCCTCTCATGTTTTAAACGACTGAATTCTGCTGGAGTCGATATTGGTGGTCGTGGTTGGTTCACTTCATTAAGCTTTCGTGAAGCTGCCAAATGGGTAGCTGTTAAGGGAGGAGATGCACATAAAATTAGCACAAAATACACAAAATTTGAAGAGTCTGTCACATGCGCGTGATTTTAAAGGTATTTCATACCATGCTGCTGTTTCTGAAGCAAGGTTTCCCGTTTCTTAGATAATTTCCTCATGCCATCAAGGAGCGCTAAGTGTCTGGAGGACCTCTTCCGTTCCACTCTCATGGGTGTCGTAGGCCGTCTCCGAAGAATTGCCGTTGGTGTTGGTGGTGGATTGCTACCCTGCTGCTGGGGCTGCGCCTGCGCTTGCGCTTGTGCCTGCTGCTGTTGTTGCTGCAGTTGTTGAGCTGCAAGGACAGTCCGCTGCGCCGACTCCACTCTAGAGGTGTATGCTCTAAAGTACGGAGTCTTCAGCATCTCCGTAGGAAGCCCTTCTAGCTGAACCCACTTTTCAAAACATTCCCAGGGGGTCCGCCTATCCGCGCCCGAGGTAAATAACGACGAGGGAGTCAAGCAAGCCGATATGAGCGACCAGTTAAACGAGTACTCCTTAACAATTCGCCTAAGCTCGTCTTCTTCAGCGCAGGTCCATTGCGAAGGTTGCCGTGACTCATAAAATCCTAGAGATGGCATCAGGAACTCGGTGGGAGGTCTGAATACCTGACCAGGATGTATACGATCACGTATATGCTTATTTTGCGACTGGAAGAGGGCAACATTAGTTTGCTCAGGGGGGATTTCAATGGCATCGACATCGTCGTCATCATTATCAGAGTAATCATATCGGCTTCGCTTACGAGGCGGCTGTTTGTTAGTAAATTCCAATTTTCCCGTAGCAAATTTGGAAACAGGTAACAGCTCCTTTCGCCACGACGAGTCCGGCGGGCGTTTAAACTGTGGTAAATTGGTTTCTGGTGAAATATCGATGGGAGCATAAAGCGGAAGCTCTTCTAGAATTTTTTCAAAAGCCGGGGTTCGTTCCATCCCAAATGTAAACTCATCCGAACCAAGCGAAAATATCGCTGCGGGAACAACGCCATCAGATAGATCTGGATGGATTTCATCGTTAAAACCTTCGCTGACAGAATCATCTTCCATGATTAAATCAGGAGTCGGTTGTGAGTGAGGCAAAACATCATCAACCCTATCGTCACTATACGATGGGGCATTCTTGTTGTGACCGCTCTCACCCAGCTTACCAGTAGTGGGTGGAGTTCGAACTGTTATCCGCAACTCCACTTTGCGTTCACCAGGAGCATTAACGTATTCAACGCACCAATCTGCACATCTCTTCGCAGCGGCGATTTTCCATTTCCGCTCTTCTCTGAAATCTGTTCGCATCCATTTCATATGATCCAGCAGAATGTCCCAGTGTGTCCCTGATCGCTCAGGTTCTGTAGACCGTTGTAATTGGCGAAGGGGCCAACGATTCGCGTGCTGGAGCTGGTAAATTCGTTTTAACAACCGACAGCCCATTTGTTCTTGATACTCAACAAAGTGGTTTGCGGTTGTAAGGGTTTTGTGCGCAGTGGAGAGGAGAGAACTTAGGTGCATACTGCGGGGAGGGTAGTGTGCTTTGGCCTGGAAAAGGGTGAAGAGGTAATCCTTTTCTTCATTCAGAGATCTCGAATGCCCTGACGGAGCCCGAACCAAGTCTGCTGTCTCGCTTTTCTCAGCAGCAGTTTGTTGCTTGGGGAAAACTACAGTTGAGAGCTTGCTTCGCTCCTTTTGGTTTTCCCTTTTGTTCTTGAGACGAGAACGGCCCGGAGAACTTTCAGAAGTCGCCGTGGGTGATTCCGATACAGCCTTTTCGGAAGTTTTATCCGCAGCTAACTTAGGAGTTTCCCCTAGGATTTCAGAGACAGACCGGTGGCGAATTGCTCCTGAAGAAACTCTTGTTGTCATACGCTCTGGCTGGAATTGATTCTGCGCCGCCCCAACTGGGAGTGATGCTTTTCGGGCAATACCGGGGAGTGGTGAGCCACTGGCACCTTCTGGCAGAGTAAGACCTTCTGGCGCCGAACTGGATTCGTGGACCTTTGATAGTAGCTCTGATTTACCTCTCTCTGTATCAAGTCGAAGAGAGCCATTAACCATGGGTCGATCGTCGGGGGCAACGGAGGTTTTGGATTGAGTAGAAAAATTAGATTCATTATAACCGTCAGGTGGTTTCTTTAGAGATGAAAATGAATTCTCTGGAGTAGGCTGGAAGGATGAAAACGCAGAGCCCCTACTAGGCACACTTTTGGTTACTTTCACAGCTGCTGCGGCTTGTTGTCTGCTCGATTGCTCGGCTTCAAATTTCAGTTGTTCATCCGGGGTGGCCGGAGCTCTATGTGCAGCTGATACATCTGCGGTATCCATAGGGCCTAAGATGCCTCCTCCGCTCTGGGGGGGGGTTGGAGCTTCATTTTGTGGTTCTCGTTGCGGCTGGTCCTTGGCTGGGCTACTCGCTGGAGTTCTATCAGATACAGAGGTGGAGCTTGATAATTGACCCCGGGAAGAAGCTGGAGATAGAGGCTGGTCAGTACTTTTTGGAGAAGCATCGGTAACCAGGCAAGGCAAATTGGCAGAGTTCTTTCCATGTTGACATTCAAGGGCGTCCAAAGTGGACGACGACGCACCCGTAGCATTACCCTGGATCTCAGCGACGGTTTTTCCAGGGCCAATAGGTAAGACACTTTCCACAGCGAGGATTTCGCCACTATCAGTTTTGTCCCTACTGTCAGGAGCTTCATCCATATCAAGATCAGTAACAGGAGTTACAGTAGCAGCAACGGTCTGTTGGGTCGAGGAAGGTGACGATGCTTCCTTCTCACGTATGGCCTCGTGAGAAGCGTTGAGTGTTGTTTTAGGGATGGGCAATTGGTCGGAACCGGCTTGGGCTACCACGGACTCCGTATCTCCAGTGCGGATTCGATCCTGGGGTCGCGAGGTATCCTGGGTTTCCAGTTCGCCATGGTGGCCTGCGGAAGACAATTTTGGTGACGGGGCTGTGATCCCAGCCGGCAAAGAAACGAGTCCAACTGCATGGCCATCCGTAATGCGATCCGCTGCACTTGTACCTAGAGATCCTTGGCTAAGCTTTTCATCCGTTGGAGAAACCTGAAGGGATGGGGGTTCCGGTCGGCGAGGAAGCGTGCGTGCATCGAAAAGTCGGCCTCTGGATATGGATGGATTAGTTCGAATTTATACAAGCGAAAAATGACAGTGGGTAATGCTAGGATGACAGGAGTAGAATGGAACAAAGGGACATACTTTGTAATGTCGTTGGCGTCGAGAAATTCCTGTTCCCGCTGCTGGTATTGGTGGTGCTTGGGGGAGCCATCGGTCGCAGCAGGAAAGCCCACGGTCGCAAAATAGAGCTCGCTCAGTTTGCGCTTCCGCGACAACAAACAACGTCTAAAAATTACAGTAAGCGAAAATTCGAAGTTCAGAGAGCCCAGAGAGAATTTTGGATCGGTTGGAATAAGCAAATACATACGCGATCTCATCATGCTTGGACCGTAGCAGCTCGTCACGGAGCATCGAGCCTATCTCGGGCAGCCAACATCCGATTTACGCGCAGAAAGCGGGAGATAGGATGATAGCGAGGGCATACAAGCAAGAAAAATCGCTCGGAATAGATGGAAGTGATGGCGTTGTGATGGGGCAGTGGGTGTGGTTGCAGGGCGCGGATGGGGGTGGTGAGTCTGGTCAGTTTGGTGAGGGAGAGAGAAACCGAGACGAGGCAGGAGTCAACCGCCGGCGGAGTTGGGGAGGTACTTCGGCCCTGGTACCAGAGCTGGTGGTGGGCGAGGTACCGGGTACTGGTGGCCTACCACGGAGCTTAGTTTCAGCGGACGCCGCCGCTCCCAAGCAAAATTTATTTTTTTTTGGCGTTTGTGGCAACGAGCAGAGAACGGGATGTTGGATGACACCTGATAGCCTGGCAACAATCCGGCATCGAGGTAAAGCGGGCTTCAGTTTGCTTCTGCTGTTATCTCTGGGTTGTGATTTTGCATTATTGTGTATAACTTTTGCTAATTGGTCTCAGGTTGCCTGATACATCTATCTAATATAGATATCTAGCGATCCATCCAGCCCCGATATACCAATCTCTCCCATGGCAAAACGAAAGAGAGACGATGCCGGTCACAAGCAGGAGGCGACTAGGAAAGCTCTCAAGGCAGATGTCAATGAAAATGGCAATGCCAACTCCCAGAAGCAGGACTGTGCGTCAGAACAACAGATACGGACACCAAACGCGGTCACTATCCAGATTATCACTGGATCATACGAACGGATCTTGCACGGGATAACTGCTACCGTTTTCGAACCATCTACTGACGACGAGCCAACTCAGTCAGTTCAGTTCGTCGACAACTTCCTGTTCCAAGCTCATGCCTCTGCCATCAAATGTCTAGCCTTGGGGCCCCTACCAGAGCAAAACCACCAGCAATCGGACGGACTGCAGAAAGTCATGCTGGCCAGCGGTGGCACCGATGAACGCGTCAATCTATACACTTTATCGGCATCCTCGCCTCCAGCATCGGACAGCACCAAGTTCCCCACAATCCCGACGTTGGCAGGAAACAAAATCCTCGAAAACCCCAAGAATCGGGAGTTGGGCTCCCTACTCCACCATTCCTCTGCCATCACAGCTCTGTATTTCCCTTCGCGCTCCAAGTTGCTTTCAGCCGCTGAGGATAATACAATAGCAGTCACCAGAACTAGGGACTGGTTAGTGGTTTCGACGATAAAAGTGCCCCGGCCAAAGGTCCAAGGAAGACCCAGCGGGGACACTGCGCCTCCCGGTGGTGCTCCTGCGGGCGTGAATGATTTCGCGGTGCATCCTAGCATGAAACTCATGCTCACAGTGGGGAGAGGGGAAAAGTGCATGCGTCTGTGGAATTTAGTTACAGGAAGGAAGGCTGGGGTGTTGAATTTTGATAGGAGGATTCTCGAATCGGTTTTAGAGGGCAAATATAGCAGTGGTGAAGGGCGACGGATATCGTGGGACTCGGAGGGAGAAGAATTTGCTGTTGCATTTGAACGGGGGGCTGTGGTTTTTGGAATAGTATGTTGCTCATTCGCATATATTGTTGCTAGTATCCCTGGGCGATTTACTGATATCAGATGGACAGGATTCCGTCCCCACACAGGTATTACTCCCATCACCGCGAACAAAGCTTCACCAGTTGAAATACATCGATGTGGACATGGTTGGCGGGAATAAACGTGAATTACTTGCCGTATCAACCGAGGATGGACGGATTTTGTTTTATTCTACTAAATCCAGACCACAATCCCAGAGCACAGCGGGGTCTAATAAAGACGATACGAAATCCCCTATCCCAGAAGCGCAACTAATAGCACAATTAGGTGGGAAAGACCACGGCCAATCAAGCCGCATCAAAGATTTTGAAGTCCTGCCCGTGAAAGCTCAAGGATGGAATAACAATAAAACATTCCTAATAGTCACCGCTGGCAGCGACGGTGCCGTGAAACTGTGGATGCTGAATGAGGCAGAGTTTCCAGCAGCCGTTGGAGATCGATTTCCTGGAAACAAAAAGGGCAGGTTGGATTCAAAGGAGCTGAAAAATGGAATCCCATCTGCCAGTGCCAGTACTGCCGTGGTTCAAGTTGGAAGACTTCTAGGCACATATGAATCTAGCAACCGCATCACATGCATGAAGGCATTTGTTATGCTGGCCCCTCCTACGGGTGACTTGGATGACAGTGACTTTTCGGGGAGTAATGAGGATGAGGATAGTAGTGGCTCAGACGGTGAGGATTAATATAATTCTCCCGCATTGAAGTTGTCCCATTGGGTACGGTCTACAAAATCTTTCCCTGGATACCCAAGCCAATACTATGAGTATGAGTATTATAGAAATAAAATCAGTTTCATTATACCCACGCAGTCTCCATCCATCTAATACAATGACTTCAAATTAGGGTTGATGAGTCACTAATGCACGTGACAGTTCTGATCTCATTGCAGAAAAATCATCGACGGGCGACAAGCATATATTAAGACTTCAATCTCTAGACTCCATATACACCAGAGCCTATCCTCGCCGTCTTAGGAGCGCTTCGCATTCCCAGTGGCTTAATTCTGTTGCCGGTTGCCACAGAAGTGAAGCAAATATACCTTCTCATTCTTCCATCTAAGGGTCCAGAACACAATACCCCACAGATAAGCTGCTCGCCAAAATTATACCGTCCAGCAAATATCCCAGCTCAGCGATCAACCAGGCTTACAATTTCGGAAGACCAACACAGTATCGACTGACAACTGGGCTATCGAGTATTAAACCGCCATTATGGCTACCCATAGCGACTATTCTGACGATGATTCCCAACCGGGCTCCCCGGTACTGGGCAATGCCAACAACGCGGACGATATCGAGGACCAGGAAGCCCTCGATCAAGACAATGAGCATGACAGTCAGTCTCTCAAATCAGCCTTGAAGACGCGAACTTCATTGCCTCCGATGGTTTCGGAGAAGAAACCTGAGCTTCCAGAACAGCCGGATCCGCAGACTCTGGACCTGTCCACCCTAACGCCACTGACACCAGAAATCATTGCACGGCAAGCGACGATCAACATTGGCACCATTGGACACGTCGCACACGGCAAATCGACGGTGGTGAAGGCTATCTCTGGTGTACAAACGGTCAGATTCAAGAATGAACAGGAGAGAAATATCACCATCAAGCTGGGTTATGCCAATGCCAAGGTCTACAAATGTGACAATGAAGAGTGTCCCCGCCCTGGTTGCTATAGGAGTTTCAAGAGTGAGAAAGAGGTAGACCCTCCATGCGCAAGAGATGGATGCACAGGCAGATATCGTCTTCTCAGACATGTTTCGTAAGTTTGTTTAGCTCATATGGAATTTTTATTATTATTTGAAAAATGTTCTCGTGGACCCGCAGCTGACACATTGCAAATCCCAGCTTTGTCGATTGCCCCGGACACGACATCCTCATGAGCACTATGCTTTCAGGAGCAGCTGTCATGGACGCAGCACTCCTCCTAATTGCTGGCAACGAAACCTGTCCTCAACCACAAACATCGGAACATCTGGCTGCAATTGAAATCATGAAACTGAACCGCATCATCATTCTCCAAAACAAAGTCGACCTCATGCGCGAAGACGGTGCCCTACAACACTACCAGTCGATACTAAAATTCATCCGCGGCACCGTCGCGGACGGATCGCCTATCATCCCCATCTCAGCCCAGTTGAAATACAACATCGATGCCGTCAACGAGTATCTCGTGTCGCACATCCCCGTGCCAGTCCGTGACTTCCAAGCGGCCCCGCACATGATCATCATCCGATCGTTCGACGTCAACAAGCCCGGCGCGGAGATCGAGGACCTCCGAGGTGGCGTCGCGGGTGGCAGTATCCTTACTGGTGTGCTCAAACTAGGTGATGAGATCGAAATCCGGCCGGGGATCGTCACCAAAGACGAACAGGGCAAGATCCAATGCCGACCCATCTTTAGCCGCGTCATCTCTCTCCTCGCCGAGCAGAATGATCTGAAATTCGCCGTGCCCGGCGGCCTCATCGGTGTCGGAACCCGTGTCGATCCAACGCTCTGCCGGGCTGATCGTCTACTAGGTTTCGTCCTGGGCCATCGCGGCCGTCTGCCAGCCATCTACACGGAAATCGAAGTTAACTACTTCCTCCTCAGACGATTGCTGGGTGTCAAGACCGCAGACGGGAAACAGGCGAAGGTATCCAAGCTGGCAAAGAATGAGGTGCTAATGGTTAACATTGGCTCGACGGCTACGGGTGCGAAGGTGATGGGCGTCAAGGCTGATGCCGCCAAATTGAGCTTAACGAGTCCTGCATGCACCGAGGTTGGGGAGAAAATTGCGCTGAGTCGACGGATTGATAAGCATTGGCGTTTGATTGGGTGGGCGAATATTGTAGCGTAAGTTTTTCTTCCTTCCGTCTTATCCCTTTCCCTTGTTTTTGGTCTTCTTTCTCTTTTGTCTTGCCTTCAATTATCTTCCCGGCCACTATTTCCGTTAAAATATACGTATACTGATATGTTTGTTCCAGTGGAAACACGCTTGAACCAATCATTGACTGAGAGTTGATCTCTTCTCGTCATTTCACTTCCCTCTCGATCCCCGGCCCCCTAGTCTATCTCATCATGTCCAACCAGCGACCGCTACACCTTGATATGGTCATACAAAAACGCGAGGGAAAATCCGGGGCTCTAATTTCGCTAGGGGCAGAAGAGGTTATCCAAAAAAAAATAATGTGGCTGGTACAGAGAGAAGAAAAGGCAGATCAATTAATTCAAGTGGGTAGGGAAATGTGAAGGAGAGGGATAAGAAGAAGGAGAATATGCGAAAAATGAACAATTCTTAAGGATCTTACTACCAAGGCATTGAAATGAAAAATAAGAATAACTAGTGGGATATATAGAAAAAAGCAAAAGAAACAAACGAAACTGATACCAATTCTCTGTAACACCTGTCCTGTCCAATGACCTCAATGTCCCCCTTTATCATCTGATGCATTGCATTTAACTCGTGCTGCGTTGCCATGTCTCGTCTTCCAAAAATTGAGTTCCATTTGATTTTTATGGTTTTTCTCTCTATCGGTTAAGAGATGGAAGGATTTCACTGGCCGATCTTCATGTTTTTCCTTTTTCTACTTTGTATTTTGGTTTCTATGTGATTGGTGATGGTGGAGAGGAGAACATGACGAAGATTTATATATGTACTGTGTTATTGTATCAGCCATAACACGGTAAATGTTATATCACCTCTCAATCTCGAAGGCAACAATGTACTCCGACAAAGGTGCCTGTTTCTCTCAAAAATATAATTTGAGGATGTAACATTTAGAATTTGAAATAAATGCGGAAAGAAAACATATTTATTCAGATACCAAGGTAGCTCGCAAGATACAAGAAGGCGAAATATAGAGCTACTGACTGATAACGATCTCCGTGAGTATGTAGCAAGAAACATTCTAGGGACGATAGAACAAAGACTCATGCACGATACTGATCGCACATATCAGATATACATCGAAGTTTTTGAAGAGTGAAGACTGGAAGGATTTTCAACCTAAATCCTGTACAAAGCCTTATTCGATAAAGACGCCACGCTGGTAAATGGTAAAGCAAAGCATACGAATATTTCCCATGGACATCCAAACACGCCCCGCGGCGCAAATAGTGGGAGGAACAGGCACCGAATTCGGTAGATTCAATCGTCCTCCCCAACTCTCTTTACCGCATCTATCCTGTGCATATCGTACACAGCAAAGCCCGAACGAAGCATGAAATCTCCACACATCTCCGTCCCGGAAAATCCAAACCAGCCCAATCAAGTATTTCATTTATAAACAAAAATTCAGCATAAATAACAGCAGTAACAAATAGCAAGAAAAGAAAAAAAAAAGATGTCATTGAAAGGAAAAACACCCTCTCCATCTACCAGCTCAAATACTTCCTCCCTTTCGCCCGTCTCCTCGCCAAAATCTTTCGCCCACTATGACTCTTCAATCTCGCCAGGAAGCCATGGCGGCGCTTCTGCACGCGGCGGCTAGGGTTGTATGTATCCCGCTTCGCCCCGAGCGCTGCGGAGGAGGAGAACGGGCGAGTAGGAATACCGCCGGTAAAAGACGATGTTAATAGTGATAGTAGCGGGGAACTGGTTGTTGTCGCTCTAATTGTAGTGGATTGCGCAGTGGGAGAGGCAGTAGCGGTAGTGGGCTGGAGGAGGCGGAGGAGCGTCGATGGTTGTGAATCTGCGGAGGATGGGGGTGTAGATTGTTGTCGGGAGAGGAGGTGGGAGAAGGCGCGTGATTGGATTCGGGACCGGAATTGAGATCGAGATTTTAAGAAGAGGGAGGAAGTAGACCGGCTGTAATAATTAGAATTTATGTTGAAATTGCTCTGGTTAGATGAAGGGGGACTTGATTCAATGGGGGTCGAGACGATCCATGAAGCGCAAGGGGCGGACATACCGTGGGAGCGATCCGAAGAGAGATCTCGCAGAGAAAAGGGATACTGCTTGCCTTGGGCAATGCAGACATGCCATTATGGAAGATTGATTGCTCGACACCGAAATTGTCGTCGATGTTGAAACATGAGCAAGAACTGGGGTTGAGGTTTTGCCGGTGAAGGTTGAAGCTCGGGTCAATTTATGGACGGATCTGGAAAAATTTCGTCCGACAACTTTTTCTGCCAGCCAGGAATAGATATTGATTTCTTTATGGATTTCTTTTGCTTGTTAAATACTTTCTCCCATGTGCGAAATACCCTATTAATACTTTTAGCTGTCTTCCCGTATACCCCAATTCATACAGTCCAACAGCAAAAATAAAAAATAATATAATATCCATCCGTCCAATCTAATCTAATCCACTCACGGAGACCACATCACCACCGAAGCAGAAAGGAGACAAACCCAAGGACGGAATACAACCACCTCTTTTTTTTTTAAAAAAAAAAAAAAAACAGAAAGAAATAAAGAAAGAATCCATAACCCAAAACTATACACCATGGCCTTCCAATCCGCCCCGCAACCCCTCCCCCCAACCACAATCCACCGCTCCAGCTCAAAAACCCACCGCATCTCCCCCTCAGTCGCCCACGACTTTCTCTCCGCCTACCTCGACCGAGCCGCCACAGACCCCAGCCTACAACCCGACTCCGCCCTCTCCACTCACGGGCCCGTCTCCGCAAACGCAGGCTCCGCGCCAAACCTCGTCATCCACAATTTGAAGCGCGTCCAGGCGGGATTAGCGGGGGAGGTACTGGGGAGGGATTTGACACTTGCGAGGTTGGATGGGGAGGGCGGCGGGCCGGTATTTGCGTTGAAATCACGAGAGGTTGGAGGGGATGGAGAAGATTGGGGTGGGGACGGGAGGAGAGATTGGAAAGAGGCGGTGGATAATGGGTGGCAAGATTTGGAGATCTATGAGCGGGCGCAGGAGGTTATGGACGTTGGGGAGGGGGAGGGGGATGAGGGGGATCAGGCGCAGATGTCGATGCAAATGCAGATGGATACTGATCAAGGTTTTGAGGCTGGGGTTGGACAAGAGACGGGCGTGATTGATAAGGAGGAGCGGAAGAGGAAGAAGAAAGAGAGGCGGAAGGAGGAGAAGAGGGCTAAATCGAAGACTACGACTACAGGGTGACACGGGGTTTTGGGAGCGTGCTTGGGCTTCTTTTTTTGCTTCCTTTCTTTCTGTCGGCTGGAACGATGCGAGATACATACTGATTTTGGTTTGGCGTTTGAAAGGGTGAAAACCACTTTAACTCCGGTAAGGTTTCCCTAAAATTCCTCGAGCAAGTGAATGAAAGAAGCAAAAAGGAAAAAGGAAAAAGGAAAAATAAAAAAAAAAAAAAAAAAATTCTGCCTAAATAGCCGTACAAATTTTGTTTTATTTCCCGAGTCTTTAATAGAATCTCCTAATTTTCTAACCATCAAGCTCTATGCGCAACATTCTGCAGAGACTCTCGTCCCACTTTTCACAGCTCCCGATCCGCAGCCTTAACAGGCTTTTCACTGTCTTCCGATTTGCCCTCAGTCACTTTTCCCCCACTCCAGCCGAGCGCGGCAAGTCTTTCCGGGAGAATTGGATGGGAGTAGTGGTAGCTGGCATACATCCAGTCTGCATCCATGGTGGAAAGGTTTTGAATCTGGAGTTTGAGCAGCGACTTGGCGAGCTCGGTGGAGTATCCGAGATTTACAGCAAAGGCATCTAGCACATTTTTCATGTTAGGTCAAGTAAACGATGGTTGGCTTTTGAGCTGGGGTGTTGGGGTAGGGAAACGCCTACCGGCTTCAAATTCAAATTTTCTGCTTAGGATGTTCATTAGGAGTTTAACCACGGCGTCCATTGGGGCGAGGGCGTCAGAGAATAGAATAAAACCGATCATGATGGGCATCTCGTTGGTGAATCCAAAGTCCTGGTACAATGATTTGTTGTTCACAAAAGCAGAGAAAAGTGCAAAGATGTAGAACATATGGAACTAAAAGTTATAAATCCAGTTAGTCATGCGTCATTCATGTTTAAAGCAGCGGCCTCTGCAACATACCTGTGCAATTCCAAAAAGCTTAGTAGTATGGTTAAGACTCCAGTGGCCCAACTCATGTCCCAGAACCGCAACAACTTCCTCAGGCTCACTCTTCTCAATCAAAGTGTCATAAATGACAATATGCTTTTTCCACGGGAGCCCATAGAAATACGCATTGCTGTGAGCGCTCCTCTTACTACCGTCAATGACATGCAGCTCCTTGAGCGGGAAATTGAGTTTTCTGGCCAGGTCCTCTACACCAGTCTTCAGCTTTCCGGGTTCCAGGGGTGTCAGTTTGTTAAACAACGGCAGAATGGCAATTGGGTAGATACTGATAGCGAATAGTTGGACAAAGATGCCAAAGACCCATAGGTAGTAGAAGAAGCTGGTGCCGGTCTTCTGGACGATTTTCAAAATTGCGCTGATGATCGGGGTGCCAAGAACGATGCCCAACAATTGTCCCTTGAGCATATCCGTAACCCATAGTTTGAGCGTCTGCTTGTTGAAGCCGAATTTTTCCTCGACGACGAAGGTGCTGTAATATGAAGTTGGTAGGGAGAGGACAGTGGAGATCACGTTGAAGGTAAAGACGAAAGCCAAGGTATGAGAGATTTCTCCGGTAAAACGCTCGGGCATGTAGCGAGTGAGGAAAAGGCCAGTTACAGCCCACAATTTTGGCAGGACATCGTAGTAGATGAATGCAAGGTTCTGGATTTGGCTATACAGGCCTGACACAAAGCCAAATTTGGCCTTTGCCCGTCCATATGCCTATGGTAAACGTGAAAGATAATGTGTTAATGGAAGATTTAACAGAGAACACATATATATGTGTGTGTGACAGGGGGGTGGCTACCGGAACATACCTGACTCTTATCAAAGACAGATTGCGAAACCTCCTCCGCTAGCACCTTTGGCGGTTTCTTTTGCTGAAGGATCTTATACTGCCGTAACGATAGGAATCCTTCGATAATGTACTGTCCGACCGAAAAGCCCACGATCACCTTCTTCCAGGGGAAGAATGGGCGATCGAGCAGCAGAGCGAGTTGCTACACGAAGGAACTTCCGATCAGTATGAGGGTCAAGAATGATAACTATGAGAGGCGATTTGACAACACACCTGAAGGACATTCATGGCACCGGAATCCAGACTACCAGAGATGGGAAGAGGGCCACTGCCAGTAATGTTGACAGACGGATGGCAGCAGGCAGCAAAAAGCAGAGAGGACTGTTTTGGAGTTGGAGAATGTTGTTCAAATGCGGCTCCGCATGCCAAGAATGCCAAGTATGGCCCCAGCTCTTCCTTGTCTGGTGTTGGTGGTTGGTTCCTGCAAGCTGGCCTTCTTGCATGTTACACAAACACACATATCTTGTTCGTTTGTCAATTGCCATATCAAGATTACTAGTAGATTGATTGATAGTCAAATGCTGAGGAAGAAACCCAGAATCCGTAGACAGCTATCTATGCGTTTATTCTTGCGTTGAAAACAGTATAGCCGGTGCCAGTCGCATCTATGATTCCCCTGTTACGTTGAAGTCTACTCGGTCTCATGCAATAAGTAAATGTCAATTTGCCATTTCATCATCGTTGTCCATGCTGTCATCACTCCCCGATTCCTCGGCTTCCTCGTCCTCATCCCCATCCTCGTCCTCGTCGTCTTCGCCTCCCTCGAGCTTCAATCCATAGTCATCCTCAAAGAATTTCAGACTGCGCACTTCCGGTTTGTAGCCAACTCCTTCGAAGCCCTTCTTGATAGGCTTTAGAAATGGTCAGTAAAAATTTATATCCGAAACATTTATAAACGTGAACAAGTAAGAAAGTAAAGAAGCAGGCAGAAGAAAGAATAACAGAAAATCTATTTCTCACCTCTTCAAGCACCCTCCCGCAGGCAATTATGATATCAGACTTGCCAGGCGTAAAAAGGGGCAAGACAAAATCCCTTAGAATCTCCTTGATCTCCTCAATACCAATCTCCCTAACTTTCCGCAGTAGCTTCTCCTGGTAGTCACTGGGCAATCCCCGGATGACCTGCCGGACAAAACTGGCCAGTGCTGTACTAGCTTGCGTTGTCTCCTCATTGACGAAATCAAGCACGATGCTGCTGATGGCGCCCTCGAGGGCCATATGTGGGTCGAATTGTTCCGCCCCAGACAAATGGTTTTCGACAATTTTCTTTCCCTCCTCAAAGGCCCTGTATACATTGGGGGGTATAAAGGAAGGCGGCGAGTGGGGTATCCACGTCGTGTAGGAATCGAGAGCCATAAGCCAGCCCCGTGCCGCGGATAGCTACCCACAGTGGCCCTTCCACCGCATTCATATAGGCAATGGTCACCAAGAGGGCCGGGAGTTTGGGATGGTTGTAGGAGTCCAGACCCTTGGCGCTGGTGAGCACAAAGGAGGAGTCAATGGTCGTCATCGGAACGAGATGCGCCATGGTCCCCGGGTTTTTGGCCACATCTTTCAGACGATCTCGTAGTTGTATGATCGGACTGAGTGGCTGAGTAACATCCAGTCGACTGACGAATGGCCCCCACGCTGATGAAGGGTTGCGAAGTTTATCCATATCTGCGATGACAAATATTCGGAAATTTTCGAATCGGAAGAGCTGCTTCCTAATGATTTCCATTCGGGCCACAACGACTTCAGGGTTTTGCTCAAGCTGGCGTTTGGTACGTTTCAGATATAAAGCTCTAGTTAGAGGTGTCATGGCACGGACAATTGACTCCTGGGTGTGTGAGACCATCGTTTGCACCGCATCTACCATACGACTCCCATTACGCTTAGCATCTGGAACATCAGAGAGCAACCGAGTGGTGATGGCCTTCAACCGCTCCACGTCAAATATAGATTCCCATGAAAGTTCGGTGATGTAGGATATGATAGCATCATACTTGTCTGGTTCCGCTTGGAAGCTAATGATGAGCATCTCAGGGTTATGATGCCCAATGTCCATATTGTAGGAAACTGTGTCCCGCTCCAGTTCGACAATGACTTGCTCAAAGGGAACTTTTTCTCCATTTCGAAGAACAGGAAGGTTGAAGTAAGCTTGCATGTATACGGCTAGAAGCGGACGCAGTTCTGCTGGCACAGATGTGGTTGAGATATTCAGGAAGATCTGGATGAAGTTGCTGGCGACGTGCTCAAAATGAATGAACAAAGGCGAATCCGGCGCATCCGCATCGACTAGTTGTTGAATTCGGTTATTAGGACGACCCGTGCTAAGAGCAAGTCCCGATTTTGCTGTTGTTGTCTTGATGAAAGGAATGGATTCCACCCCAGGAATTTCGAATTTGGTCAGTTCTCCCTGAGGTATAGGCTTGTCGTTTGCGGCCTTGGCCTCCTCCAACTTTTCCGCTAATTTTTTTAGGCCTTCCTCTCCAAGAGCTCTCTTCCGTTCTGCGATTCTGGATTGTTCGTCCTCCTTCAATTTGGTGGCAAGTTTGGAGGACGGCACTCCTAGTATTGACACATGGGGGGCATCGGATATCCATTGTTTGATGAAAGCGCGCCATTGGTGGTCGTGCCACTTTTCCAACTCATCGTACTCGTGAAGACTTGCAACGTGGCGAAGAGTAGAGCCATCCCGCTTGCCGAACAAGAAATCGCAGATTACATAGTGCGCAAAAGGGGAGACCGAGGACTCAGTGGAGAATTTCCAGCTCCGACGTTGCCTTCGCACACACTCCTGCATATATTCCACATCAATCTCGTTTTGCATGGCCTCTTTTAACACCTCAAAGAAGCGCCGCTCGACCTGCTCAAGCTTTTCGGTGGCTACACTGGTGAGGGTGAAAGAGATTTCGGTTCGAGGTGTCTGGGATGTGGAGTAATACACAGCGCTTGTGAGATGTTCTTTCTCCACAAGGGTGTTTTCAAGGATCGTTGCGGAGGAACCCGCAAGATAGAGAAGAACCACATCGAGCGCATCACCTATAGATAGTTAGCTGCAATGCCGAGAAGGGATATATAGGTAGAGCACTCACTAAGGAGGGTATCACTGCAATCCGGACCAAGAAATCGAATCTCAATCTCGCCGAAAGATTCATCTGCTTCGGGGAATTCAACTTTCTCTACAATCGACCTCTCTAGCGGGGGTATTGGTTGCGATTCCATCCAGGGTCTTCTGAAGGGGTCATTAGGGCTTGGGATCACGTCAAGGACCGTGCTCTCAAATACATTCAGAATTTGCAACATGTTGTCGTGGTCAACTTCTCCCGTAATGATTAAGCATAGGTTTTTCGGCTGATACATCTTCCTGTGGAATGCACGGATACGTTCGGCTGTCAGAACCCGGAGTTGTTCCATCATTCCACCAGTTTCGTAACGGAAGCCAATGCCTTCCGGATACAGCAGGCGTCGGCATTTCAAATCTATCAATTCAGATGATTTATTCTGTACGCCCTGCATTTCCGAATAGACCACACCTGCATCATTGCCCGTACCGTCAACATGGTACACTTCAGTATAGCAACCGGCATCCGTTAAAGTGGGATCAATGATATGCTCAAGGTAGACGGGCAGAATTTGTGCAAATCCAGCCCAGCCCGCAGTATACAACGTGTATGCGGTGTGGTCTGTAGAAGTCCAGGCATTTGTATGGGAATAGGCTCTAGTAGCAAGCTTATCAAGGAACCCTTTGTATTGATAGTTTCTAGATCCCATAAAGCAAAGATGCTCTAAAGTGTGAGGTGCACCAGAATCATCAAGAATCTCTGTGGCAAGAACAAAATACCCCGAAACCTTTGGGCCTTTCTGGTCAATGACCACCACCTTCATCCCCGTCCTCTCGGATTCATACTGGGTGAAGTAGTTGGGAGAATAATCTGGCTTAAACCTTTGCAGAACTTGAAAATAATTCTTTTTCTCAGGGGAAGACATTTTGGCTTGAGACACTAGCGTTCTGGAGTGAGGGTTGTTGAAATAATTCGGAAAGAATGGTCTTTTCGAGCACTAACAGCTGTCAGCGCAACCCTCGATAGATCCGTCATCATGAATACAAATTGAACTAAACCCAATAGCAAAACATTACAAGGGGTATTGCAAGTAATGCCATCATCCGTCCCGTTTGCAGCTGCAGGGGGTGCCACAAACGCACATTATAGCTCAATGCTATGAGTGTAGCGGGACGGAGACAGCTTTGCAGCGAAATTCACCAACACGGGGACAAGGATAACCAGAAGAGGAAATCAGTTATGGGTTCAGCGGGGGGAAATCAGACATGTTCAGGTTGATAGTATATAGAAGGTATTTGAAGCCCTGATCCAGGGACATCAGAATGGGCAATTGGAGGGGTAGATAGGATCAGATAGTACTATTCAACATTCCAGGGACACGCTCTTTTATAAACTCACATTAACGATCGTACTCCAGGGAGTTTTTCTAACCAAGGAAGACACTGCGCCTTTTATTCAATTCGTGTCGGAGAGGAAAGGCTCTTTCGTTGAATAGCGGGGGAGTAGTTGATTGAACTTCCCTAAATGTTATCCAGTAGGCAAAAGAGCCCGCACCTCTTGTGTAAGAATATGAACATACAAAGAGGCGATAGTCGATAATTGACCTTTTCCCGTTCAAAATAGTCAACCTGGGAACTGTGTGTTGAGTATTTCAACAGTTCTCACACGAGGCTCGGGCTTATCGTGATATCAAAATCAAGTCGTGGCAACAGGGCCTGAGGCTAAATAAAGTGAGGATCCAAGCCTTGGCATTTGAGATCCACCGAGAGACACTGCTGGATTTAAGCAGCCAGCAATCTATTACGGAGAACAAAGCCAATTAACGAGAGCTTCGAACCATGAGTTTTCTTGTTCGTTTATAATTCACACCCAGCTACCCGTCGACATTTACTCCGGAGTGTGTTGTTGGTGATCGCACAACCGAGTTGCTTTCCGCATGCCAGCACCGCCAGCTCCTGGTTCACCCAGTACAGCAAGCAGTGCCCAGACGCTTCGAAATGGCCCCAAAGATCTCCGATGAGGCTACCTGTCGAGCTATTTACAATTTTCTGACCGATGGATCGTTCCCCGAGGAAGAAAGCATTGTTTCCGCGGAATTTGACTCTACCGCAGCTGCCAAGGAGCTCCAACAGATATGCAGAGCAAGAGAGGAGGTTGAGGTAGAACCCCATATGAACTCGCTGGACAACAGTTGATGCCATGAGTCCTACTTCTAACCTTCTTCTACTAGAACGAAATCGCCTCTCTTAGTCGAGAAACAGCGTCAAACGTGGATGGATGGATATCCCAGGCGAAACAGCTCCATGAGGACATTGAGCGGTCAAGGTCGGCGGCGAGGGAGATTGTTCGACAACATGAAATTGGGCAGCAGCTTCAAAGTCAGGTTATGGATGCTTCTAAGAAGGTTGAGCTGCTGGAGAACGAGATCGCTTTCAACGAGGTCCTGGCGAGAAACCTGGAGGACATCCGAACTATCGAGTATCGCATATCTTCTGTACAGATGGCGATTGAGCAGGATGATTTGGAAACTGCTACTGGACTTTTTGAGGAGATTGAGATGCTAATGGAAACTACGGGTCTGCCTCCGACTACTCCTGTCCTCCGTGTACTGTCTGGAAATGTGACAGGTTTGCGCACTGCCATTGTGTCTACCGCACAGCAAAAGTGGAATTCCTTGGTTAAGATTGACTCCAAATTAGGCCAAATGACTGTCATTACTGGCAATTCTGGTGCGTTTATTATGCCACCTTTCTTTCCTCTAACTAACTTATTTTGACTGATTTCGCAAGCAGAATCCCCTTGTAGCCTAGGCAAGGTTCTCACCACCCTTACAAAGTTGGACATGCTAGACTCCATCGTGAATTCATTGTATCGCGATATTTATTCTTATATCTTAGATCCAGCTCTCTTACCACCTGGAGCAGCAAACGCCTTGACCATCTCGCGTGATGGAGGTTCGATTCGACTGCTGCCCCAACCTTCTAACGCAAAACCGATTGACATTTTTGATAACCTCATACTGTTTTTAAAATATCTTCAGGAATACCTACCAGCTACGATCACAGATCTCTTGAATGCGAAGCTAGCCCCACCGATGATTTCATCCCTCGTTTCGAAGAAGTTGTTACCTTCCATTCCCGCAAGCGTTGACGGGATGGGGGAATTTCAGGTGATATTGGACCATACCCTTAAATTCCAACAAGCTTTAGATGGACTTGGCTGCTCCGGATCCACTGAATTAGCGTCGTTCACGCAACAAATACCTCGAATATGGCTCAATCAACGACGAATCAAATCTCTGGATGAAGTCAGGGTTGCATTATGTGCTAGCCCGGGTGAGACGCGTAAGGTGGAAAGGGTAGAAACAGAACAGGTGTCTCAAAAGGACAAAGTATTTGCTCAAAATTCTGACGATTGGAATGCTGGATGGGCCAGTGACAATGAAGAAAGCAACAACGCCAGCACTCAAAAGGAACCTGTCAGCCAGGAGGAGGATGATTTTAGCGCTTGGGGCCTTGACGAGCCTGATACGCAAGAACCAGAGGAGCAAAATAAGCCGGCCGTAGAAGGAGATGGAGACGAAGACGCTTGGGGCTGGGGTGACGAAGACGAGAGTGCAGGCCTTCCCCCGGAAGCATCTGGTTCTGGGAATCAAGCTTCAGCTCATATGAATGGAGGCCATGGAGACGGAAAAGATTCCCCTCGCCGAGAAGTTACATTAAGCGAGTTCTACACCATCACGGACATACCGGATTCCATCATGAGGATAATTTTGAGCCAAATCTCAGATTCCGAGAAGCTGGCATCAACCGAGTAAGTTGGTCCAATTATATTCTAGAATCGATCTTATTTCTAATTATCCTATGCAAAAGCTATTCCAATATTCCTATCGCTTCGTCCGGCCCAGCTCTGCTCTCATTCCCCACTTTGGTCATTGCGATGTTTAAGGCCTTGGCACCCATGTTTTACTCTCAAAGGTTCACTGGCGGCCAAATGTTCCTGTACAATGACAGCATGTATTTTGCCGAACAGCTGCGGTTGATGATGGAGACACACAATCTCTCCAGATTTCAACCCGATATTGAAACTCTCGAAAGATTTGGGAAGATTGCCTACAGCAAGGAAATGCATTCGCAACGCACAGTCTTGTCCGATCTGCTGGATGGGAGTCAAGGATTTGGCAGCTGCGCAGTGCAGCCATACCTAGGGGAGTGTGAAAACGCAGTCAGCGCAACAGTTGATCGAATGCGGCATGTTCATAAAGAATGGCAGTCTATCCTGTCACCGTCCGCACTTCTCCAATCCGTCGGTTCATTGCTCTCAACCGTCATTAACAAAATGATTCTCGATATCGAGGACTTGAGCGATATTTCAGATGCTGAGTCACAACGACTTACCGAATTTTGCAACCAGATTTCTAAACTCGAGGATCTGTTTCTTCCGGAATCTAAACCTGGTCAAGATATGGCGAGTGGACAAGCGGAGGTTGTTCCCATGACAGCGTTATATGTCCCGAACTGGCTAAAATTCCAGTATCTGATAAATATCCTGGAAAGCTCATTAGCGGACATCAAATACTTATGGAAGGAGGGTGAATTGAAACTCGAGTTTTCTCCGGAGGAGGTAACCGACCTGATCAGGGCGCTTTTTGCGGATTCAGACCATCGGAGAAGAGCAATTGCTGAAATTCGCAAGGCTTAATGAATATCGACATAGATAATGTATTCATAATTAATTTAACGAACGATTCCGCCTCAGTCAGACTTCGTTTAAGGTTATTGTGTTCTTTTTTTTTTTTTTTTTTTGTCTTTTGGTCCTGGAGGTTTCTCCATTGAAGCTTCTGTTGGCGGGATTACTATGGTATGAAGGGTTCGCTGGATTTGCACTCTTTGCCGTTCCGGCCACCGTAAAAAAAAAAATCCCACACGACTAAACTCCGCATAACTTTGCGGCAGTTGCAAGGAAAACACATACATACTGGGAAGCTGGAAAGTAGGCCTTGTTATTACGTATACTTCAAAAAATGGACGGGCTAGAGGAGGGGCCCCTTGATGCTAGCACAGCCATGTCGCAGCAGCCCCAGAGACAAGTACGCCTAAAGCTCACTTCGCGGCATGAAGACATAGCACTTCCAGAAAGCACCGGGCCAATTCTTGTGCCTACCGGTACGTTCTTGTGCAAAACTACACCTGATCTCTTGTGAATTAGCACCATTTTGACTAATGCTTTGTGTGTTGTGTGTGATTTTGCCCCACGGAAGGTCTACGACGATACGCTCTATCGACTCTGGTGAACAACCTCCTGGAATCCGAGAAGCCAATTCCATTCGAGTTTTTAATAAACGGAACATACCTACGAACGTCTATCGACGAGTATTTAACAGCAAATGGTATTTCGGCTGAGACAACACTCGACGTCGAGTATGTTCGTGCGCTCGTTCCGCCGTTGCATGTCGCTTCTTTCCTTCACGATGACTGGGTGAGCGCCGTGGATGTCCTTTCGGACACCTCGATAGCTGGAAGCAAATCTCGAGTCAATGAAGGCCAGGAGAGGATATTATCGGCAAGCTATGACGGGCTATTGAGAATGTGGAACATGTCTTCAGAGACAATTGCTTTATCGCCAGCTGCACGCGAAGGGGGACATACGGCTTCAGTCAAGTGCGCGAGAATGGTCTCGCCAAACCAGATAATATCGTCCGGGCTTGACCGTACAGTGCGATTGTGGAAATACACTGAAAGCGAAGACGGATTCTCAGCTTCGATTACTCCACAACTGGAACTCTACGGGCATAAAGGCAGCGTGGATTCAATATCCATGCATGCGCAATCACATCGTATCCTCTCTGCCTCAGCGGACCATTCGGTAGGATTCTGGTCGAGCAGAAAATCAGAAACCCCCGCAGCTCCTGAAAGCCTGCTCCCATCAAATACCTCCCGAAGCTCGAAGAGACGAAAGCTCAATTCATCCGTTTCCGTTCCGCAACGTGGCCCACTCGCGTTATTCAAGTCGCATACCGCCCCTGTCTCCGCTGCAATATTTGATGCGAAGGACCCTACTGTCGGCTACTCCACGTCATGGGACCATTCGCTGCGCACCTGGGATCTGGTCACCGGCGCCCTAGTCGACACACGTACGGCCTCCCACTCGCTCCTATCAGTCTCACATTTGCCTGAGCTCAGCCTTCTTGCCTCAGGGACCTCCGCTAGACATATCACACTAATAGACCCGCGCGCCTCAGCGACAACGGTCTCAGCACTAACGCTCAGAGGTCATACGAATGCCGTCGTTTGTCTGGCTCGCGATCCTGATAGTACATATGGATTGATCAGTGGTAGCCACGATGGTACATGTCGGATATGGGATGTGCGGTCAACCAGGACAGACAAAGACGGGGTTATGGGTGAGAGCATCTATTCGATCCCAAGGAAGAGCGTGGGAGGTGCTGGAAAGCGTGTTGGCGGGGAGGGTGTCAAGGTGTTTGATGTTTGCTGGGATAAGTCTGTGGGGATCGTTAGTAGTGGGGAGGATAAAATGATACAGATTAATAGGGGCGAAGGGGTATTACCGAACGGAGACAGTGATAGATAGTTTGCCCGCCTGTTCCCTGCTCGGAAGATGAGTGGGCAATGAGAATAAGCGTTAAAATCTTTTGGAGTTTATGCTGTTCATGAAGCGCTCCTTCCTTCTATTTTGTTTTCTAGATGTACATAATTACGTTGTCGTTAATCCCCCGAAACTAACTTCTTCTATTTTCTCAAATCTATGTTGTAGTATACAATTGAAAATTTTAAACGCCATTTACAAGACCCCACATATAACGTACAATATATCCAAATAAGAAAGAGAGACGACCCGTATAATTTATTACCTTGGACCCTTGAGCCCAAGCCTTCTGTCCAACTTGTTGAGTTTGATCGCCGTTTTGATCTATAAGCCATCGTTAGCAGTTAGTAAAAGATCCCGCCCATGTCTTAAACTGCGCATCTGCACCGTCTACGCATGCCAAAGGCCAATAAAATTCAAACGGAGAACCAAAAAAAGAACCAAGAATAATAGCATATAATCCATACCTGTGACCTTGTATTTTGTCCGCGAACCGGCAAGCCCAGCGCATGTCTCCTGCCCCGAACCGTCCCAGTATCCTTTAAACGTCGAATATCATCCAAGATCTGTCGTCTGAGGTCGTTTTCAATCTTCATTTCCGATAATGCTGCTGTCAAACTGAGGACCTGTTTGTTCGCCAGATCACCGATTTTCGCTGTCTCGTGCACGTAGAAGCGGGCCATGAGCTTGTTACATGCCAGGGGACCGATGCCGAAGAAGGATTGGAGCGCTTGCTGTTTCCTGGAGTTAGATAATGGCGACTTTTTTAAATGTATATATATATATATATTCTCGACGGTCCCATTTGAGGAGGTTACTGAGCAGGATAATGCGAGCAGTTGGGTTTGCTTGCCTTGACGAGCTGTCGCTCGGGGAAGTTGATGCCGAGAATGAAGACCTTTGAGAACGTATTAGCAGGGTTTGGAGTGGGCAATTGAGTTGGCGAGAATGCAAGAAGACGTGATTTACTTACCATTTTGGCTATCGGCAATCAGCTAGTTGTTGGTGTCGATACCGCAGCACAATTGCATGCTGGATGTTCTGTCAAATGGAGCTGGATTTATCTGCGGAACAACATTGACCCGGAGGATACGCCATAACTACTACTAATAGCATAGTGTTCGTGCTAGCACAGGTAAGGAGAACTGGAAATGCAAGCTGGCCTCGTTCTTGTTTTCCTTCATACCACCAGGGAGCTCTGAAAGCTTATCTTGATATTATTTGTACCTAGATTATTGTAACCATGGCGCCTTTGAAGCGTCTTTTCTTCCTTGCCTCTCTAGTCTTCGTGGGCATCATCCTCTTCCTTGGAAAGAATGCAGAGGCCAAAGGGCCCAAGATCACCCACAAGGTTTGTTTTTAGTGTACTCCCCCAAGTTGAGTAGTGGGACTAATGCTTCGATATAGGTTTACTTCGATATTGAACATGGAGACGAGCCAATGGGCCGGATTGTAATCGGACTTTATGGGAAGACAGTCCCTAAGGTGCGAAGATCACACTGCATTATACTTCTCATTTGGATTGTTACGGTTATTAGCTCACCTAACATGTAATTTTGGCGTGTGGACAGACTACGGAAAATTTCCGGTATGGGGCATATTTGCCGTCCAGTCAATATTCCAAGATCAGTAAAGCTAACTCTGCTCTGAAGCGCATTGGCCACCGGCGAGAAGGGATTCGGTTATGAAGGCTCTACCTTCCACCGAGTTATTAAGGACTTCATGATTCAAGGAGGCGATTTCACCAAGGGCGATGGTCAGTAGAGATCCTTCCCGAAAGACAATGCATGTATACTTCATTTTCATACTAATAATTGACAAAAGGTACTGGCGGAAAGTCCATCTATGGCGAGAAGTTTGCTGATGAGAACTTCAAGCTGCGACACACCAAGAAAGGCATTTTGAGTACGTCAAGTTATCCCAGGCCACGAGCCAGAACCACGGGTCCTTTCTGTTGATATCAATTAACATATATATCCTTTTAGGTATGGCCAATGCGGGAAAGGACACCAACGGTTCTCAATTCTTCATCACAACTGCGGTCACTAGGTATGCAGCGCCCTGACAAATCCAACATTCCAAGTGCATGTACTTACAATTTTTTAATCCGCAGCTGGCTCGATGGGCGTCACGTCGTCTTCGGCGAGGTTCTCGAGGGCTACGAGGTTGTCGATAAGATCCAAAATATCGAGAAAGAGCCCGGGGATCGACCCAAGGATGCCGTGAAGATAGCCAAGTCCGGGGAACTACCAATGACTGAGGAAGGTACTAGCCATGATGAGATCTAGATCATCCTTCTGAATTGCTTGGTGAAAGAAAAGGAACGAAGAGAAGAAAAAGGAAGAAAAAAGAGACCAAAATCCAATGTTTCCCCCTTCTTTTTCATTGCTTGTTTTTCATGCTCCAGTGCAAACATATATACACGTGATATTTGTCATTCTTTAGTTTTCTAAACAAGCATTTGCTGATGCTCTGGTTCCTTTTCCAATTCATCTATCAAGGTCGACCTGGACTCATCGCACAATTGACCGAGAAACTGAAACAATAAAGATGACGGCGAGCGAGAAAACTAAAAAGGGAGACTTGTCCGGTGTTCTAAACATCCCCATGTGTGCGTATTCCAGGGCCCCGGTCCCAGCAGAAGAATGGAGGTTGTTTGCCATTAAATGCCCTTGCGTTCGCTCTGCCGCCCGTTTAGACCCCGTTTATTACTTTATCCAGTTACACAATATTAATCTTCAAGGAATCTCTAGATCGAATGAGGGACGAGGGTAGCTGAAAGAGGGAGGTGGAGCAGTGTGTAAGGTCGTGTCGTTGACCCATTGACCCATCGAACGAGGTCCCCTGTCGGTTTTACCTCGTTGGATATGGGTTTTTCTTCATTTTCTTTCCCAAGCCCACAATCAATCCATAAAATCATCCGCTGGACAAATATGTGCAATCTCGGATGGATTCTTACTTTCTCACATATATACAAATAAATCATCATTTTCACTCGCCTGATTCTAACTCTAGATGTTGCTTGAGATGATACCCTTCCTCATTTACTCTCCTGGAGACGTTCTCGCCGCGTTCTGCCGAATCTGTGTCACTCAGATCCCATATCTCAAGGAATAGAGTAGGTAGGGTTGAAGCCTTATCGTTTCTTTGTTGCGCGAGGTTACGATATTAAGTATCCTAAAGTCTTTGATGCGGTGCTACGACTTGACCATGTACAGGCCTAAAAGAGTCTGCAAATTTGGAACCCACATAGGATGGTTGGCCATCCAATGTGTGAGTCTATTGTTGAGATCTTTGGACACAGGATTGTGTCGTCTTCTGCTCTGCACTCGGGTATTCTGCAGCACCTAGTCCGTGCGGAAGGATTGATTCTTCTTTTCTTTCAAAACGTTCCTGCTTATGATGCCGCCATCATCACCTTCCCCTAGAAGATAGAATCGCTATCATGAAAGATCTACTATTGATCGAGAACAAGCTTCTTTCAGTTTCTTTCAGCTGATACGAGCTCCTGTTGAACCCATTGAAATGGATTTGAAGTTGATCTAAGAACCAGCTATGGCAATCTCTGTTAGTCCTGCGAGCCAATCCCTAACATAACAGCCGCCCCGCATATCGTCGCACCTACTATTAGGCACACCGATCTCTATTCCGGCAATCTCTTCGTAGATAACGGTCACATCACCAGCGCCATTGACTGGCAGGGAGCTTGGGCTGGGCCTCTGTTTCTTGAAAGGCGTCATCCACGACCCATTGATCATCATGGCGATGTCATTTTGAAGCCCCCAGTGAATTTTTAAGGATCTTGTGCCAAATGAAAAGCCCCGGTTAAGGAGACAGATCACTAGTTCTATTGTTCTTTATCTTTATGAACAACAAACAGCAAAGATCAACCCTCGTTTGGACCGAATCCTTCGCTTAAAGCTAGGGAGGATAAGATGTGATCCTATAACCTTCGCCAGCAACACATGGGATGACGATTTACTTCCTCTAAGAGAGTCACTAATTAACGTAGAAAGGTAAGTGAGTGTATCATCCTCCTAAAACATCCCCCTAAGCAAAAAAGAGAAAATCCGTTCATGATGTACGGGAGACCATGTCCTAACTTTTACTCCAAACATTGGCCTAAGCTAGGCTTTAACTTTGTTTGTCCGATTCACTTTATCGAGGAGGAGCTTCAAGCACACACAAAGTATGGTAAAGGATGGAATGATGTCCAAGACTTTTGGAGGTCTGCACAAGTAATTGTGACTCGTGATAGCTGGACCACACACGATGATGCAGCGACTCTCTTTTCAGAACTCAGGGACTTCGGTTTGAGAAATATGGGGGGAAAAGATAGGAAGGACTTCGAGGCTCAAACGAAGTGAGTTGAGAAGTTAAAATGACACAGACGTCAAAGAGTTTGGATGATTCTTTTTCATCTTAACCACCTGCCCCAGACTACTTCTCAAAGGATTTGCAAACGTGGCGTTGAGTGGAAAATGCTGTCTGAGTGGAATGTCTCCCTCGCCCATATGCCATGCATATTGAGCGTGGTTTTTCGGCTAAGTCGTCCACATCGCTTTAAGTGAGCACTCTCTTCGGTTGATGCTACTCCATGTGTCTTATGTGGCCATGTCTCGGCCTCCCCTCCGGAAAACGATGAGAGAGCCAACCGTGTTTTGTCTGCTAGCAGAACATTATCATCCAAAAAAAAAAAAATATGGAAGAGGCCCTTGATACCAACCACCCTTTAGCCATCTGCCTGCTTCCATAAATACCAACCCTTATCTGAATTCGGTCACCGCACCAAATCAGTAGGAATTCAGTATCAGGACTTAACACTGACGCTTCTCCATCTCCACAGCTCTTGCATCGCCCATTCAGATATACGCAAGAATAACGTCCTCTTTGGTCCGAAAGGCCGCGGTTCACTCGATGGCTCGGGCGCTACACACCCAATCATTTTTATCCCAGTTCATCTTGGTGGACCATCGGAGACTATCTGAGACGCAACTGATAGTATAGTTCCAATAAACTACGAGTTGGGGGCTGGATTGAAGAACAAAAATATCCATCTACAATCACCATGACCTCATTTGCACTGGCCCAGGTCAGTCTTGACTCTGGATGAAAACATTTGCCGTGGACCATATATATAATTCTACCGCAGACCTGGTGAAACATGTCAAGAATCTACGTGATAGCCAGCTCGATCACTGGCCAGTTGAAGACCCTGTCCCAATGGCAGAATTAACCAGTGCGAATTGCATGCGGAGGAAAATTGAAAGCAAGAGCATAGTAATCCAGTGCCCAATAACTACGAAGTCTTCCATGACTTAGATAACGAAATTTTACTATATTGTCTTCCCCTAACTATTCTTTGCCCGCTGAACATCAACTGCAAGTACTATCAGAATGCTGGGGCTAGAATTGGGTGACGAGCGAAATTTCCGACACCATAGTTTCCAGTTCCGCTGAGTCTACATCCCGGCTGTTATTGATCGCTTCCCCTTACCTCCATCGTGGACTCTAATCTCATCCGACATATCATCATCTGGAATGATAAACGTACAGACGCAAACAAGGCAGAACAGTGCCTTGTTATACGTTATTGGATTCTTTTCAATCGAGCCGTTTCCACGTGGACTAGTTTTTTATATCTACGTATGCTGTTCCCAAGCCAGCCAGTGCGATGAAGCCGGTGACATTGTCGTTTGAGAAGAGAGGGAAATATATATGTGTACATTGACTTGGGTCAAATACATTCCCGTGACGAATATATGTATCCATATTCTGGTCGCTTTGGAATCCTACATGTCCCGTAGTTTCCAGCCAGGGTATGCTAAGCATAGCTATGTAACATAATCCAAATCCTTAACTATAGCTGGCAGTCAGCCAATGTTGCTAGGTTGGAGAAATCAGATCACGACGTCAACCCATGTCAAGCCAGCGGGGAACGCAATCGAGGTGGCAGCTTCCTGGGAGCTCCTTATCCCCGGCTGGCCTGAAAGGAACAAAGGAGCCAGAAAGGCTTTGAGAACATTTAGAATGCATACGCGATCATATCTACTTATCGCGATAATGGCGCTGCCCACCTGCCTGCCTTTCTGACTGACTTATATGCGACGAGGATCAAGAATGTTGGGCTCAACGATATTCAAGAAGCATATAGAGGAGCTCCAACGGCTGGTTAAAATCGGTATACATTCTGAATTTCTTGGCTTAACCCAGTTTGTTCAATACAGGTATATCCAGCATGTTTATTCTCCAGCAAAGCCCACTTGATTACTGCAGGTATTCAGAAAAGTTCAGTACTTGGTATAAACTGTGTGGTTTTATGTATGTATGGATCCTTTCTGGCGCTTTTTTCGCACGATTTCTTTGATGCTTTTTCCCAGCCTGCCTTCCCAACCCTTATCGCGATGCTCATATGAACGGGAAATGATAAAAATCCATATATGTTTATCACATGGCATCCCGGCAGAGACTATATGAGCAAGAACCTATTCGCAATGCTTCATTATTTCCCCTGGAAGGAATGTGTATGGGACCATCTCATGACAACGAGGTACTTAGCAGGTGTCTACCCTGCATATATACTATGCATGTGCAGTAGATGCAAAGGCACGAGAAAAAAAAAATCTTCTATAGCCGATAGAGACTTCTTCGTGCTGTGTACTGCAGTTGCAGTCCATATACACATGCTCTACATACAAGTGATGCTGGATCCGGCTACCGACATATTTTTCCTAGCGCAGAGTTCAATCCAAGCACGAGACAGGAACCGAGACAAAATTAATCGGCCAGTCTCATCCCTTTTCAGGCCTCCGTTTACTTGATGACTTAAAAGGGAATCATCTCCAAGCTTGCCTTGTACCCGTAGATGTGATAAATACAGGCCACTTTCGGCAATGATGAAGCGCATCTAATTATCCAGGTAGCGGAATAGGGGCCCAAAGCATCGACTAAATATTTTATCCTGCCACTGATGGAGAATGATGCTTCGCAACGAGAAGGCAGCCTCCCGCTCGACCTTAAATGGGTACATGTTTTTTTTTGCCATCCCCGGGGGTGCTCAAACTCCCGACACGGCTGGTAATCGTTGATCCCACAGAGAAGCAATGAAGATAAGTGGGGATGATCATCGTCTCAATGCGTTTGCCTCGTGCCCACGGGTATTGAAAATCTCCTCCTTCAGTGTTTCACAGGCGTGCATGAAGTGGATGTACTGTACTCTGTACATGGGTGGCGCTTTGAGGAACGTACAAAGACGCAGCCGATGTTGCTTTTATTTCCCCCCTTGGTCGCTCTCAGGGACAAAAACAATGAGGGAGGGGAAATAAAGAGATAGAACAAGGAGTGGTTGGAGTGCAATCGGATACACAATCTGATTCAGGCAACTCCATAGCATATTGCATCACTTCCGTCGACGGCCCGCTGCGAGTACGGCCCCTTTTGAGATAATGACCTGGAGGATTTTTGTAGAAACGCAAAAACCCTAACCTGGCTCTGTATCAGCCCCTGTTTAGTTCATTTTATTCTTCTCTGGCGGTTTTTCAGCTCTGTTCACTAGTACTAGTATGTAGGGGGGGGAAATAGAATGAACCAAATAGCCAATTCGAGAATATTTAAACGAAATGCATCCGCGGTTGGCACCTTATTATTCCCTCAGCACTCGCCTGTAGTTGCACAACCCAGGCATGTATTAAATGCTTTATTTTCGAGACCGCCGCAGATACCATAGAATATATTGACTTTCGCCCACCAAGCTGCTTACTTAATCTTATGCCCTTCGGGGGTCAGTTCAAACCACAAGTGAGCATAATTCCTTCTCACAAATGCCCGACAGACCTGAAATCCAAGCGCCATGGGTCGCTGATGCGACAGCGACCGAGATGGACTTCCTTGAATCCTCATTTTTCGCGAGCAAACTGGGTCAGAAACACCTTCCAACTCCAACTGAAGTTGCCGTGTGTTCGCCAGATTTCCGCACCAACCCCCGACCCAAACCAGTCAAGTTTGAACATCTTGGGCTTATTGTCAAGTTCGGTCCTTGTGTGGTGGTTGAAGAGGCTATATGCCTTCGTATGCTGCGAAAAACCCTTCCTGAAAAGGTCCCTGTTCCAGAGGTGTATGGCTGGAGAGTAGAAGAGGGTCGCGTGTTTATTTACATGGAGCTTATTCAGGGAGAAACCTTGCATGATCGATGGGATCATTTAAACGACCAAGGAAAAATATCTATTTGTGCTCAGCTGAAGGAGATCGTTGCGGTTCTGCGGCAGCTTGAGCCGGACCCTTCAGACTCATTTATTGGCATGTGGAATGCTAGGCAATCTCTACATTAGTCTTTTAATTTGTTTACTGACATGAATTGTAGGATCTATCACTCGTCGATTTTTACTCGACTACGTCTTCCAAGCGATGCCATCAGCGGGACCATTCAAGACCGTCAAAGAGTTTAATGACTGGTTTTCTGCATTGCCTCAACAGCAACTCCCCGATTCATTGAAATACAAGGACCCTTATCGGGAGTTTTTGCCAGATGATGGAACAATCAGGTTCACTCATGGAGACTTGCACCGCGGTAACATCATAATTTCCCGCTCAGATCCGCCGCGTGTCATGGCGGTAATCGACTGGACACATGCTGGCTGGTATCCTGACTATTGGGAGTATTGCAAGGCCCTATACACATCTGATTACAATGGGGAGTGGCGCAATACCTGGATACCAAGATTCTTGGAACAGTACCCAAAGGAATTTGCTGTGTTCTCGGAATATGTCATGGAGATAGGAGCTGTGTGAGTAGAAATCAGAGGATAAGGGCAGCTGGTTGAAAGACAGCTCGATCCCCTACTGGGTCCTGCTTCCCAACAAATGGCGTAAACTAATCGCCAGCGGTTAAGAATCATCCATGGGGAAATCCCAACAAAGAAAAACGATGTCTCCCCCGCACACTTGATCGCGGAAACCCTTCCGTGTGATGTCGGTACCAGACGCACTGAAGGTGCCCCGTTTATTGGCCTCTTCCCCTACGTGCCCGCTGCCTGACCTCCACCGCCCAACTCTTGGCCCCTCCCGAGTGGCTGCAACCCAACGCCATGAGTCGGAGGATCGCGCTTGGATTGCACAATCTGGATTGCGCCGGCGTCCAGGTACTGAAGGTGGACAAGGTGACGAACATATTCCATCGTCCACTCCTGGCATCTTTTGTTCCTTGTCTGGGATGTCTACAATTAGCACCCTGCGGCAGGTCAGATACTGATTTGACTCACATCATCAACGGGGCCGAGGAAGCTTTGGCTGATTCCTGGTGGGGGAACCTGGCCGGCTGCAAGTTCCACAGCACCTTTTGGAGTGGAATCCTTGCCTGGAGCGTCATTTGCGGCGTCGACAATGTACTGAGAGTCGATCTGCCCAATTTTGTACCTTGTGTGAGGCTGCTGGGTCAAGGCGGGGGAGTAGTTCCGCTTGAACTCAAGTTGGTAGCCAGCCATAGGGGCGCCTATAACGTGAATAATCGTCCCCAAATCCTGGTTGGCAGCAGAGGGAATGAAAATGGCAAAATGTGCACGCTGAGTGGCTGCATTGCGGTATAAAATAAGGGATACAGTACGGGGCGCCATCGCTGAAGAGGGAAAGGTTAGGGCAGCCTGAACCCTGGCATGGACAGTATAAGGAAGGGGACAGGCAGCTGTGGATATTTCAAAGAACAATGGCTGATGATGCTTCTTGAAAAAGGATACTTTGTCGTTCAGATTAAGATGAATATTTGAATATTGCTGAATAGTAAGTATTTGACAATTACTTTGAGTCAATGCCGTTAAAAGGGATAGATGCATGCATTCATTCTAAGATCATTTACAAATTATATATCGATGGAGGTGGAAGGCTGATTCATTGTTAGTAGCATCTAGCGGGCGCAGCACTGCTTAAATAAGTCTAGCGGGCGATTGGGATGCCAACATACATATACGGAGTATATGTATCGCTATCACTGAACACAGCCTTGGAAGAGTGACTATGCTCGTGCCTTCACTTATTCCCTCGCTGCCAGCTGTGGGAGGGCCTCCGATATCTCACACAAATGGCACTTGAAACTGCAATTCTATATAATGATATATCAATTTAGTCTAAATTTCGTCTAAAACATTTTATTTTTTATACCAGTCAGCGATATACAGACGTATTTTTCAGTGATTTTTCATGTTACAACTAAAATGGTCTATTGCATTTAAATCATTTCTACTAGCATATTCTCTGTATTCACATATACATATACTCTTGATGCCGTATTGAAGACATTCAATTTTTCATAGATACCAGTTCTATGGAACACTCATTATCACGATTATAGACTGCCAACTATGTGAAGGAAGACAATTCACCTGAAGTGTATCTGATGGTGTTATGAATTTGATTCACGAAATACGAAAAGTCAAAGGATTTCATTTCATGTTGCTAGTTAACTTTAACTAGCTGCCGTTGTTTACAAACCAAACCTTTCGCCAGAAATAGCTAGAGACTCAAGTTGGGATGAGCAAACTCTACCAGCCCCCCGGAACCCTCAGCTGCCAGTTTGGCCCGCCTGCGAAGGGCACCAACGTGAGAGACTAGCAGCGGTTGACTCTGCCTTCTTCCCCGATTCGATCACTTTCTTTTATGCGATCGTCAATGGTCGAACAAACCCTCCGTCCCAGGCTCCCAGCTTAGTGCTAGCGAGTGAAGTTTGAAGTTTCCCCGACACCCAAAAGACAGCCACACACCGCTAGGGTCGATTGGCTGCTGTCATGGCAAACAAAGGAACTCATCCATCATGGATCTAGACCAAAATTGAGTTTATCCATCCAACATGCCGTTGCATGGGCCGCTGGAGCGGTTGATCAATCTCCCGGCCGTATTTCAAGTCGTCGACTTTTGGCTCATCCAATTGATGGCGGGTTAAGTGCTTAGGGCGTCTGCAACTCCCTTGCTGGTAGTCTGCTTGTCTACTCTTATTTATTATTTATTAGCTTGACTAGTTATAACTATATTAATGTGTTGAATCGGCCGCACGTCCGCTGCTTGTAGCTTTGGGAGGCAGTCGAAAATTGCTTCTACCTGCCAGGGAGAGCCGCGAATATTCCCAGGAACCAGGAATCTCGAGAGAACTCTGCTGAAGACTTTCATGTACAGCCATGTTACGTATATTGTAACACACAACGGTTGGTCGAGCCGACTCATCGAGGTTTGGAGGCGCTCTTGGGGCCGCTGGCTTTCCAGACTTCTCCGCTTCTCCAGTTCTTTCAGGGTCTTTGTTGCTCGGACGTGCGCCGTGTGCAGGAGAGTGCAGAGCGAAAAAAAGAAAGGAAAGAGAAGGAAGGGAAACAGCATGTGCCGAATGGTACACAGATTTGTTGTCCCAAGAATCGCCCGATCTCACTCATCCATTCTGCCCCTTCAGCTTAGCCCTGGCCATTTTTCCCTCTTGTGCTGCGGGCTGTATCGTTCATTATTAATCAATCAATATTAGATCGAGTATTGCGCCAGTCGCTGTTTGTCTCCATGCTTATGGGAGATATACCGACTTGAACTATCCCTTTGGATCATTCCTCTTTTTTTGAGCTTTCAGCTGCCCCTTTTTCCGAATAGCCAGGCTTATTTTGCTTTCATAGAGCAAGGTCAACTAGCTTCAAACCCATCGGGAACAAATTGCGTCTACGGACCACGCATTGACATCACAGTGACGATTAGCGAGTGAGCGGACGGAAATTATTGAGTCCCGAGCGGCAGGTTTTTTATACCCTCAAGCTCTCTCTTTGCCAAACCTTGCAGCCACAGATCAGCGGGAACAGAATCGAGAGAGGGCGGAGGTTCGCCATACTTTTGTTTTACAGCAAAACCTTACCCCCTCTTCTCGGGCGAGATATGGGTCGCATCGTGCTGTAATAAAAGTACGCCGAGAGCCTTGTCATTGAATGGCCGTTTAAGCAAGATTCTGTTATCTGTGTCTTTAATGTGAAGACTAACTACAAATCATAGCAGAGAAGTAACGGAAAGCCCAACCAACACCAAATTATGCCTCCCAGAGCTCGGAGGGGTCGACTATCGGAGCGCCGTGCCGCTGCAACCTCAACGGGAGCCGGTAGTGATGCGAAACCCAGTGAGGTATTCCACTTTGTCAGCGTCAATCCATCGTCTGAATTTCAAAAGTCCGAAAACAGATCTGTGATCCGTTCGCACGCCAGCAAATATATCTGGCGTCAGCATCGGGCTAGTCGTACAGATGGCAACAACCCCAATTCTGGCACAGCGAAATCTGTTCCCTCACGAAAACAACTTTTAATCGCTCCAACCTCCTCGTATGGTGCAGCGAAGGAGACGCCATGGCCATTATTATCGGACGGCACCGAGGGCGAGGAGCCTGTCTTAACCCTTGCTCCTCCCGATGAATACAATGTGTCTCCCTCTGATGATGAAGATACGGTAAACTCTCGGGAGATACAGCCCGTAGGTAACGAAGTTGACAACAATGGAGAAGTCTCTAAGTTTGCTTCGAACACCCAATTGGCCCAATCGAGTATGGAATCAGCAGCAGTTATATACGCAGACGAAAGGAATACGATGCCCGGTCCATTTAACCAACTCATGGCGTTTATCGGGGAGCCGGCAAATACATTTCCTTCCATGCTTGGAGGATCCTCAGTTAGCAAGCTGATGCGGTACGGTAAGCTTATCTCTCTTCCTTTGCTTTTTTTTTTCTTCTTGGAAACGACCTATAAAGCAGGCCGTATATTCAAAATGAATTCATATCTGACAAAGGCAAATTTAGCTATTTTTGATCTTTGGCCTGGTCTTGTACTCGGTGCTGGAAACAAAAAATGGACACAAGAAGATGTAGCGCAATCCTGGCTTCCCCGATCAATGAGTCATCCAGCCTTATTCACAGCATTTTTGTACGGAGCCGCAGGCCACTTGCAGACTCGGCAACGGCTGGAGAGTGCAGTCATAGCACCTCAGACGCGCGAGGAGAAGCTAGAGCAGATTGTTTGCGAGGCGGAGACCATCAAACAGTTGAATAAAATGATGCTTGACCCGCAAAAAACCGCCCTTGACGAAGTTATCCTAGCAGTTCTGTGCATGGCTTTCAATAAGACCGACTACTCCAAGTGGACATCTGACATCGATCCAGCTCCCAAGGCCCCCTTGCGCAATCTCCAATGGCTCCAAGTGTATGGTGGTCTATCACTCAATGACCAGCACGTCAAAGGACTTCTTGCACTGATCCAGACGCGCGGCGGTCTGGATCAGCTCAAACTGCCAGGGTTGGCAGAAACCCTTTCAGTGTGAGTAAATTCCCTTCCCCTTGACACTCGTTTCCTTTTACATTTTGATTGCGCATGTGAGTCTCACCATCCTATCCAATAGGTCGTCTATAATGCTCTCCACCAAATATCTCGCGAAGCCCCGCCTGCCTTTCTTTCCAATTTTTAAAGATAGTATCTCCGGCAAAACGCCAAAGTGGCCGAATCTCTCCTCACATACCTGCCCTATGCCTATTGACATAATAAATCCCTCCTTGAATATCCAACCTAGCCCCGCCCCTTATCGCCCCAACAATAGTAGTAACAATGCCAAGGGTATCAACACCAGCAGTAGCACTGGGACCACCAGCCCAGGCGACATATTCGCACGATCTAACATCCCCACAGCCCTAGCAACCGTCCTACGCCAGATCCAGAACTATAGCACAGTCGTTAACCTGCACAGCCAGGGCCTCCTCCCCTATCTAGAGCTCGCCGTAATTGCCGATCGGCGCAACTGGGTCCAATATGAGCTCTTGAGCCTGAAGTCCATAAACGAATTGAAGGAAGAAATAGAAGTTGTCGGTCCCAGCAGCCCTACCTCAATAAGCCAGCAGCCCTACAACTACAAAATCTACGAACCCCTCCGGCTCACTGCATTGATATACAGCATGCTGGTGATTTACCCCTTACCACCCGCCAAACGACCCTTCCCCCGCCTGTGTCGGATGTTGAAAGCGGCGCTCGTAGCCGCGGACATCGAGAACATCACCCCCGATGATTCCTGTAGTAATTACCACTGCTGGGCTGGAGCTGCAGAGATGTTGCTGTGGGTAACGATGTTAGGAACCATGGCGGCGAGGAATACACCAAGTGAAGACTGGTATGTAGAACGATGTAGGGATGTGATGAGGTTTGTTGGGGTTCGGAGCTGGGAGCAGCTTAAGGCGGTAATGATCACGGTTATGTGGATGGACTGTGTGTGTGATATGGGTGGGATGGCGGTGTGGCTTGAGGTGGGTGTTGGGAATTGGAGTGATATTGAGAGCCAGCACAGGAGGGTTGGAGATGGCAGTGGAATTCCGCTTGCTGAAAGGGATTGGCTGATTTGATATACGAGCGTGGATCGGGAGAGACTGGGAACCCTACCTGGTGTGGATTTCTTCCCATGCCGGATCCTTATTTTCCGTTGATTATGCTATTTCGGCGGACAATTTATAATGGACATTTATGAATTGCCCAGTTTTGAATTTGGAAAGGGGCACTTTTTTTATTTTTGGGAGCTGCTGACATGTGTTCTACTATTTTCGGGCGGGTCCGTTTTTGCTTTCTGGTCCTTCCCATTTCCACATCTCGTCTCTCAGGTACCTGTATATTTCTTTGAAAAATGCCTTGAGTATTATACCCCATTAATGGACGAAAGGGGGTCCCTGCTTCAAGACACCTGTTGTCGCCTTCGTCATTACCTCGAACATGTAACGCTGTTAAGTTCGGTCAAATGAGAGATAAAAAGGAAATCGGTCACCACAAGTTGATCTCCCTGTGAACAAGTAATGCCATTTCATCTTGCGAATGCATATGGCAAAGCCACTGCTTGCATTATTTCCGAACCGCCTCGAGAATTTTCCTGGATAGTTATATTTATAGTTCCGCTTCAAGTTTATGCACCATGGGGGAATGAAAGATAGCAGAAAGTGAAAGCGAGTCTTGAGCACTAACATACATACTAGTATTCAATATATTAAACAATTGAATAGTGAAAGGATAGTAGACATGAGTCAAAGCATTGGCTACGAAAAAAGATGTCGGAATTTAAGGTGAATTCCCCTTTCAGTCTAGCGGAGAAAGTCTCATGGTTGTTATGATGTCTCGGGATGCCGAGAAATCAGTCACATGATATAAATATCGGCAATCCCGCATATCCTGAACCATAGGGAAGAAATATACAAAACACTAGATTGCTGACAGCTGCTCTTAATTCTACAAAAGGCGAAGCGATAAAGGAGCAGTGACTGCCCGTGAAAACTACTCGTCGTATTTCCCTGGCACAACCACCTTTCACTAATATTTACAGATGAAGGCCTGGAAAGCGAAGGATGCGTTGACTGGTTGATTGACAATCTTGAACATAGAACCTTATCACAGCTGTTTTGGATGGAGAGCCAATCTCAGAAAGAAGTGTTTGAAAAAACAAATATTATGGATGGCTCAGGTAGTGACTGAGCACCCAAAAATGTGCAATTTGGAGCAACGAAACTTGATTATCAATTATCAGATCAGTTTACAGTGCTACAGTCCAAGGATTCCCTGCAAATGTGTATCTCTGTCGGTTTACGAACTTGGGCTCCTCTTAACTCCGCTTCTCTATCACACACGAAATTATGAGCTCAGAGCTTCCTTTATCTCCGTTTATCTCCACCAACTGTTCTTCTGCCATACATCGTTGACTACCATCCGTTTGGCCAGATCCAAACATCAATTCCCGACTCTGCTCGGTTTCCGAACCCAGAATTACCAATCTTTCCCATTTATAAGCCTGCTCTTGTGTAGGTTCCCTTTCCCCCCCCTGGCATCGGGGACAAATTCTCGATCTTGAACCCCGAGATTTGAATGTTGAATGACTACGATGGTTGTCTACCAAACGTGCCTATTCGCCAGAAGCCATGGGCCCAAACCTTAATCTTCTGGAGAGATGAGAAGTTTGTAGCTTATGATGGGTACAACTTACCCAACATACGTTTGTTATGCTAGTCCAACATGTGAGGGCATCTCGCGAAAAGGACAGATGCATTCTACTATAAAAGGCCCATTCCGCTTCCGTTGAGCCGGCCCTGAAGTTTTAAAATCAAGCAAGAGCAGATAACTTCGATTCAAGACAGATCACCTTATCTCGAAAGGCGCGATATAAACCGATTTCCTTTGATATTATCTTTCAATTGGACCCTCATCTTCATTCGCTGGCGGCTCTCTCTCTCCTAGCTTCGGTACTGAGATAAACCTTGCAAATGTCTACCATCTTCAAAAATGTCGTTGTTGCTTCGGTGTGTATCTTATATCCAGCCATAGCGTATACTCATATACCATGTGTGAATTAGATAACTGATTTGTGGCCAATAGGCAGGCGGGGTAGTAGGGTACATCTAAGTCTACCTTATGACGATACGGAAACAACCCCTTACGCCCTCCCATCTGGCTAACTCTTTCCCCGTGGATCTAGGTCTGCCATTGTATCCGCGTTGCTAAAGTCCCCGCACGGATATTCTGTGTCAACTCTCTCCCGGGAGGGATCCAGCTACAGCCCACCAGCAGGCGTCACAGGCCTCAAAAGTGATTACACCCACGGTTCCCTCGTTCAAGCGCTAAAGGGCCAGGATGTGGTTGTATCGGCCATTGCAGGCGCCGCCGTACCCGAGCAGACCAAGGTAATTGATGCTGCAATCGAGGCAGGAGTAAAGAGGTTCATTCCGAGCGATTTTGGCAGCGAAACGCGGAATAAGAACTCGCATTCGCGCGTGCCTTTTTTCGTGCTGAAGGACCAGGTCCAAAAATACCTCCTGGAGAAGCAGGAAAAGATCGAGTGGACGATTTTCCTTTCTGGTCCCTTTTTAGATGAGTAAGTACCCGTAATTCTGAGTGCCCTTCAAACGAAATTTCCATCTTCATTCTAGACATTATTTTCCGTCTCCCCTATAAATATCTTCAATTTTGTTTAACAAATAATTTCCACGTTTCGATATCTCCTTCTCTAACTCTAAACTCTACACAATCACTCGCGCGTCTACAGAACCCTGAAAACAGACTTCCTCGGCTTCGACATCGCCAACAAAACTACAACCTTCTGGGACGAGAGGTACAAAAACGTTCCCTTCTCAACCTCGCGCCTCCCCCTCCTCGCTGACGCAATCTCACAATCCCTCGCCCCCACCATATCTCCAAACACAGCCAACCGTGTCCTCGCTATCCGCGACGTCACCGTGACCTTCGCGGAGATACTCAACGCTCTGGAGACAGCCACAGGCTCTGCATGGCCGCTCAACCATGCCGACCTGGATCAGCTGTTTGAGGAAGGCAAGGCAAAGGCCGCAAGGGGCGATGCCAGTGGTGTTTCGCATATGATTGTGCGGAATATTCTGGATGTGGAGTCTGAGGGGGACTTTGATGAGAGGGGGATCGTTTCTAACGAGTTGGTGGGGGTGGAAGGGTGGGAATTGCAGAGGATTGTGGATGCCGTCGTTGCGGAGGTGCAGAACAAAAAGACCGTGAAGCAGTAAGATCAGTTTATAGAAGCTGGGGCATATGGGTGATTTCTGAGCATGGAAAGGCATTCGTTGCATGTTTTGGATGTTTTGGAACGATGATCTACCGCTCCTATTTGCTTTTTGTCTTTTCTCAGGATATTGCTTTATATCTTTGGTTCTGTTAATCAACAGTCCTTGTCGGACTCAACCTCTATCATGACACACGAAGTTCCAGCCAGTTTTATCACTTATGCAAAGAGAGTTTTTCACATCATGCGACGGGGTCACGCAGTATTTCATCATTGCTGGAGTAGAATAGCGTGTGGAGTTCCTTGAAACCCCTAATAGCACATTTCTCGTTTGAAGAGTGCGAACAATATGAGACTTCGATGCTGGAGAATAACAATTTAGATAGTTGGGATCACAACTCGGCCCGAGATGTAGTATACTCCAACCATGGTATCAACTATCCAAACCAAACATGGATCACAATGCAAATGACATATGTTTGGCATCATGGTACCTATGTGGTATCCAATCGACATCATTTCAAAATTCTGGCATAAAATTTTTCCTGGACCAACCCCCAAAACTGGCAAAACATGCCGGTTTCTGAAGGCTAGGAATTAAGCTTTTAGTATTTGAGGACTTGGTAACTTCCTGCGCCACATCTCCCTCTCTCTCCAACCCCCCCTTTTTTTTAATCCGCGTTTGCTTTCTCGTTTCACATGGAACACAGAAGTAAAGCTCTGGATACCGCGGAATATTGGAGAAAGGGAGAAGCGAGGGCAATTTTCACCACCTTTCATATCCCAAGTTCCGAGTAATATGACGCTGGGGATATATACCCTCTAACCCAGGTTGCTAGTGGTAGGTCAGCAACGGAATGGAGGGCTCGACGGCGTAAGAAATTCAAAAAAACATATGATATGTTGATGTTGTAGTATATATAGATTGTGCAGATACGGCCACGTGTGCCCAGGCATGCAAAAGTTGCAATTTTTAACATGAACTTGTGAAAGGTGGAAAATAGAATAAACCCCCAAGGCTTAGCTCTAAGAGTAATTTCGAGATCCCGAGGGTGGCGTCAAAAGTGATAAAAATTTAGAAATCTTGATAGTTGGTTGGCCCTTTCTCGGGGCATTAGGCAGACTCGAAGATTGATGCAGAACTGTGCTTGACGTGAAGGAGCAGCGAGCAACTGGACGGTGACTTGGGCCAGAGGGAAACTGGACGATTATGATAACGAATCTTGGGACTTGATCGGAGGTTTTACCCTTGGTGTTGGGTTTTGCGGTGAAATCTAAGGTGAAGGTTTGGGGACGAAAAGGAGAAGGGAAAAAAATAAAAACAGGTCACTCGACCATACAAAATGCGTGGTGAGTGACTTTGTTCGGTTTTTGGGAGGCGAAAAAAAAAAAGCATATGCTTCCTGATTGGGATTAGGGCCAGAGCCAGCCTAGCTGCGGCTCAACCAGCACAAAAAAAAAATTCATCCAACTTCAACTTCTTCTTCTTCTTCTCCCTCACAACTCCCATTCTGTCTCACTTACATCCCTCCCCCTTCTTCTCTTTCTTCTATCCGATCTGTCTTCCTCTTTTCTCTCTTCCTGTTTCTGTTGTTTTCTCAGCTTACATCATCCTCCACGAATAGACTTCTAGACTTGAGAGATTGTTTCCTTATAACGAACTACGATATCTCGTCTTCAGGTCTTAATTTATTTACTTCCATATTCTACTTCTTCTCACAGGACCTACTTATTTTGAGTGTGTGAGAGACTTCTGAAACAAATATATTAATCATATTCGCCTACAAAAGACGGTCTCTTTACCTTTCTCTCCTTTTGATAATATACCCCAGAAGAGAAACGCTC